TGATTGATGCCAAAAGAAGCCAGCAAGTGGGATCACAATCGCATCATGAGAACTGAATCATCAACGGAAGCCAATAGAGGGATAGAGTATCCCGGCAAGCCAAGAGTAGCAGAAAACAAACAAGCTCCCAGAAACAGAACTGCGAAATATGGCTAATCGAAAACAAGTTGAGCGCACAAAGACGAGACCGAAAAACCGTTGAGGTGGAATGCAGAGAAGAAAATTAGAAGAGTCGAAAGATCCAATGATGTTTGTGGCAACCGGACAGAAGCAAACTAAAGGGGACTCGGCCGGATAATGGAAGGTTCGGCAGCTGCTCGGAGACGGGACGGGCAGATCGGAGTAGCCAATTAAGGCACCCTACTAAAAGGTACTCAGGACAAACTTAAGTTAGTCGTAGGCTTAGGTGCAAACAGTAGGTTGGTAGGTAAAAAGGAAGGTAACAACCGTCCCGTGTCTCGTCTTGTCTTGCTCAGAAAGTCGAATGGGATACAAAACAAAAACCTAAAAGGCTTGTTTGATGAAGAAGGGTTTTCGTTGGCGGCTTACTTCCCTACTTACCAAGACACAAACATTGGTTAGTTCAGCTCGTTGGCTGGCCGTCTAATAAGGTCCTCTTTCTTCCATCGGATTGGATTTCTTTAACCGACCTCCACCAGCCCCTGTTGGAGATGGGATGGATGCGGGAGGAGGGGGGCCATGGTGAGATGGCCTCAGCTTCTTGACCTAATCCATCCTGGACGAGACATGGTTAGCACGAGGTTCACCTTGAAGCAGGATCCACCTTTGAGAAGACCGGGGGGGCGCGAGGGTCGATGCGGGTGGTCTGGTACTAAGGCAGGTACCGAGGAAGATGCGTTACAGCCAGGAGTCAGGCGAAATGAACTAAAAGTCTCGAACAGAAATGGAAGGAACAGCCTCAGCACCGGTTGAGTGGTTTCTCTAGGTATGTACCTTACAGTACAGCGAACACAACTTGCCCGACTCCATACAGCCTTGTCTGGAAGTCGCCAGCATCGATGGAAGAAAGGAAGGCATAATTGACACAACCTATAACCACCTCGATTACTACTAGGTACCTACCTAGGGAACTACTACCTACATCAAGGCCTAGGCAACTTATAGTAGTAAGTCCCTGCTAACCATGGTACCTACCTAGGTACCTAAGGTACGTAGCTACCTAAGCTTTTTAAGGAACGATGCTGGTCTTTGCTCTTTTCCATCTGTGGTGGGAGGACTGAGCGCAGATATCATATTGAGATCTTACAAAGTTTGAAGAAATGTTAGTGTCTGACCGTATTGCCTGAGATCTTGCATAATTAATGTCGGGGAGCAAGAAAATAAGAACTGCACACATTTGTGTCAGGAAATTTCCCGATTATGGATAACTTTGGAGAAACTAGGCGGTTAGTCGGTCAACAAACAGTTCATCCCAGATGAAACTGACTCGGGTAAGCCTGGTGGATCGACCTTGTTACTCTACGCCAGGAGAATTTGACAACTGATTACCAGGTATGTACCCCTGTGCTTACTTACTCTAGTAGGTACCTACCAGGTAGGAGGAGGGGCACTTAGACGTGGGGACAATTCAATCCTCCTTTCCCTCAGTTCTTGAAGCTGTAGTAAAATAATGTCTCGATGGGCAAAATCGGCAAGCAAATTGAGGTAGCTAACTAGGTAGAGCCGGAAGCTGCAGAGCAGACTCAGCCCGTAGATTGGTAAGAAAACCCTCCTATCTTCAGTCCCCGGAGCGTTTGAAGTTAGGTACTATGTAAGCTTGGTAAGGCAAGATATCGTTCCAACCTGTTTGCTGCAGGGAACACGACTCAGGATACCTTAGCGCTTCTGGCAAGATTTCGGCCACATTGGATTCTCTGGATGCTCTCCTTTGCAAGCCACGAAGTGACTTGGTGGGCCGATCTCGCCTCTGGGAACTCTCTGTTCCAGCGCCTTCAACACCCTTGATTCTCCCAGCTACATTATGTCCTTACGACGTCTGATTGCCCGTTATTCCCTCTAAACTCCTATGGGAGACGGGTGTTAGTTCCAGGCCTGCGTGGCCGCTTAATCATGTTTCCAGATATTCCCGACATTGATCGATCCCAGGAGAATTGGCAACCATGGCTGTGAACACTATATTTGAGAACCAAACGATATGATGAGGGTCGTAAACCGAAAATGGAAGACCAACTCCTTCGCTCATGGGTTCCGTGCCCATGTAACCGTGCCCCATAAAGACGCTTGAGCCATTAATAATAATTAACCCATGCCTGGATCGTCTGGGTGTTTCTCATCGCACGGTAATGCACGGAGTGCGGTATGTCATCTACAGGGATGCCCCAAGATCGAAAAAGCAAAGACCTGCCTTATATCAGTGTGCCTAGTTGTAGTCGCTGTGTTCTGGTCTTTGAGTTAAAAGGAAAGAATCAAGAGCTTCAAGCCTCATCGAAATTGCTTTGCACACGATTGAAGATCTTGCGGAATACCTCAAGTTCAATCACGATCGATCTTAGTGCTTTGTCGTTTCTTAAAGAGTCAGCAAGTGGTCAAGGTCAGCACTTCTGGTTGCTCTAACACCGCGCTACCAACACGGGCTCTAGGGGCTCCATCAAAGATACTCAAAATACTACCATAGCTATTGTTTGATCTGGGACTCTGTAGTCTGCTATGGTATCTGATGGACAGGCTGGCAGAGTCCGTCGCCCATTTTACACGCGGCGCCGGCCCATCCCGCGGCGATTTCCAAATCTTTTATAACCAAGATAAGATCAAGGCATTCGTACATATATAACATGTAGTAAGGTAGGCCAAAGCATCCTCAGCACGGAATCCTTCCAACAGTCGGCAGGTCTTCATCTCCACCACTCAAACCTCACTGTTTGAGTATCAACATTGTAGGAGAAGTCATTAACATAGAAATATAGCCTCCACTCTTCGATGGTCCTGACTGTTCCTTCGGGCTGAACGTCAGCCGTTGCATACAATACTAGGCAGTCAGGTACGGAGTAGTGAACACAATTACAGTGAAATCCCAATACCCAGCCCTCCGGCGGCCGTTCCTGGTCCACTAAGCAGGGGTTATGAAAACATCAAAACCCGTCGGGATATTTCCAGGGGTCTCAAGGCGGCATCGACATCACTCTGGGCTTGCTCTTCGTCCTCTTCCTGAAGGAGACGTTTCCTCCATGTATCATCGTCAGATAATACGGTGCATAGCGACAGTGTTCAGAATGTTAACCAATACAATAGTTTTCTATCCTCGCGTGAGTGCGTTATTAATACTATCACGACCCTGTTCGGAACAAGCTTGTTGACCCCTTTTTTACCATTCAAAGACAGGTTGTCGCCTCAAACAACATCTTTGATTGACACTTGCTCAACTTCCATATCTGTTCAGATGCTACAGGTGCCTCTCAACAATACCAACTCTACCTCCACTTCGGCCCTTCCTTTCTACCTCGGCCTTGCTCTTCATCCGTCTTGGTGCCCACGTCGTCTGTGAGCCATGGTTGCTCCAACGTCAGAGGGGAACAGCCGTCAGGGTCTTGGTGTCTCTACGGAGTACATGGCTCGATAATGCACGGTTCACCATGTGTTGACAGGGGTTCAAAGGAAGCCAAGGAGGAGAAGTCTCGATGGCACGGAGTAGATAAATCAATAATCAGCTCCACAAATCGGGATTAATGTATGACTTTGTATATGTTATTCTGTGCAGAATCAAGCGGGGTGTTGTTGACTCGCTTTACCGTCCGAAATGCATCGGCGGCGGCGGCTTTGCGAGATTCATATGGATTCGTAATCAAGACATAACTTATCTTCTGAATTGAATTCTCGAGAAGAAGTTCAAGTAAGTTAGTCTTTCTCAAATCTGCAAAGAGGCTCAACTCTTTCATCTGTCACTTTGGAGGTCTAGAAATGTATTCCATAGGAGATGCAAGTGATTTTGATTTGCTATTTACTTTAACTGCCGCCTCTTTGGTCCGTCTCTTGATGTAGATGGGATAAATGATTGGGGTACATATATCCAATACCCTCCTTCAAAGCCCACCAGTGAGGCTTATAGCATCGTGCCTGGCCGAGTACTTTGACGAGCCTATAGCTGAGGTCGTCGTGTATTATCCACAGCTGCAGAGACCTGATCGAAGTCGGATAAGTCCTGGGTGATATCATGTTTTGATCTAAGTGCCCCGAGCTACATGCAGATAGGTCCATGAACCTCTGCTCGTGTAGCCCAGTATCTCGGATGCTGTTGCGCGTCGATAGGCTATTGAGTGCCAAACATGGTTCAGTACCATGCCAACTCCCTGGCTATTTCTAGTCTTTCATTTATTAGATTGCAATTCTCTTAGTTTCCATCCAAGATCGATCTTGCGGATGCACAAATGGCGTGCCGTCCCGTGCTTGACCTGGCCACCATTCCGATCATCTGCCCTGGTCCCAGTACTGCAAGGTCAGTTCATGCAGGCACTGCTGATGGTGAAATATATTTTTATTAAGTAGAGGATTCTTTGTTCTATGCATACATCTTACTAGACGTCCCCTAGGGAGCAAGAAAGCCTCTAACTTTTAACTAAGATGCCCAAACATTTTTGTCGTTAAGGATGAAGGCCCTAGGTTTTCTTGCTTCCCTTAGGCGTTGCCCATTAGTTATCGGCCACATGCAGATCTTGGTCAATTCGTAATTTAATCTGGCTACCTTAATTGTGTCATTACAGAAATAGGTTTCTTGTCCAATATCTTTACAAAAACTTCAACCCTTAAAGAAATCGCAAGCTATATCCCTTAAGCCGGCATCAGATCACATCTAGTGCTCCCGTAGCTTAGCTGGCCAATCCAAAACCTGACTTTAGAAGAGATATAAGATGCAACTTAATTCATCTAAATACAAAGAAGAAGCCAGGCCTTACATAGGCAGGCTAAAATCCTAGAAGGTTCTATAGATTGCCTTTAAGGGCAATCTATATAACTGCAAATAACAGATAAGGAAGGCAATCAGTCTGCCTAAGAACTTTGTTCTATGGTATTGACTGGTTGTTGTGGATAGCAAGAATTCGTTCGGAAATCACATCATTGATAGCAGTCAATGTACCGCGCCTTCACTACCAACCTAGGTGACCAATTTTGTTAGAATTGTCTTTTTCCGCGGTCTCAAAATCACAAGAGATACACTGTGCTACCCTTTAAGCTACATGTGTTCTTGACGCTGTGATTCTCTCTGTCATGGCTGTTCCATATCGCCAGGTTTGCTGGGGGTCAAGCGACTTCGAGATTGAGCGCAAGTTACAGGATGCTTCAAACTTAATGACTCCAAACAGTTGTGCTGATACCATTACCTGCCCTGTGTGTGTAGTTGGCACGCGCTTTTCAACCGGCGGCTCACAGCTTTCTTCTGCTAGTTTGGTTGAAGATATGTTGTGAGGGACGATTTCGCAGTCGACGCCCAATCTGTCATGTCCAGCGCAAGTTAACTCTTCGGCACACGAAGGGCACTCGCTCCGGGCCACCAAGGTCTAAAAGGACAGGAAACGGGTTGCGAAGATGGGATTTCACGGTCACGCTTCTGTCTAGCTGAATACGGGAGGGTGAGGAAGTTAACATATTCAGACATCTCGTTTTACACATCACCACCCAGACGTAACGCCGAGACAATCAATGGTCGTTCCCCCGATTCTTCTCAGCCCATGATAATTATGGTTGTGTCGGCGTAAGTACTCTTGGTGTTATACTTCCGTACATTTGCTTCCATCTACTCTATAAGCCAAACACAAAGCACGCCCACCGTGTTCTTCCTGCCAAAAATAAAAGTCACTTGAATACGTCAGGAGTCTTTGACGATACCGCGTTCATCTTTCCTCTGCTGTCCAGCCGTTGCCTGCTTGATTATGACGAGCCCTTAATTCAAGACTAACCGTTTTGTTGGACCAGCTGAGTGATTCGTGTTAGCTGTTTACTCAATCATTGGGTCCTCTTGGCAACGCAAAAACACTCACATCTTTATTCGGCCATCGTCTCCCGCTGACGCTAGCATATACGAGTCGGTAGGATTCCATGCAACAGCATTGCAGCGGGGATGATGACCATGTAGGCGCTCGACTGCCGCACCAGTGTTTTTATGCCATATAACGATGTTGCCATCTTCACTGCCACTTAGAACAAAACTCTCGTTGGCTCCACCAAACGAGCATCGAATTAGATAGTCACCGCCTGTGTGACCGAAAAACTTCTGGACCGAGTTCCGCGTTAAGAGGTCAATGAGCTGAGCTTCACCGTCGCACTTATTGACAAGAAGATGACGCGAGTCTTGGCTGATGTTGACTGATGTCGGCCGGGCTTTAAGCTCCATATCAAACTCCAATTCTCGTGTAACAGCGTTGTAGACGTGGATTGTCTGCTGATTGTCGACAGCCACGAGCCAGCGACCGTCTGGCGATCCACACAGATCCTGGACCCTATGCTTTACCCCCCACTCGTACTGCTCACTCGTATCCAGGTTCAGAGTTCGAAGGCTGTAATTAGGATCTAGCGTTCCAACGACCAGTGACCGACTGTCCTGAGCCCAAACGCAACCGCTCACAGGCTCATCGAATTTGGGAAATTTCCTGATCAAAGTCCCGTCCTAAGCTCGCTGTTAGTGCTGCATTCGGGTTTGAAAATTGGGAGTTGGTAATAACTCACATGAGTAGTCCACAACCTTGCATGCCCGTCTCTCGAGCAGCAGAGAATTAGAGAATCGTCAGGGCTAAAAACAATGTTTCCGACGCCGCCATCATGGCCGTCGAGAGACTCTAAGACTCTAAAGGTGCGGGTATCCCATATCATAACTTCTGGACTACTACCGCACGCCGCCATCTTGGTTCCATCATGGGAGAACTGTACTTGCCAAATCTCATCGGCCATATTCGAAAGCTCCAATGCGACCTCTGTTGGAAAGTTGCGTCTATCACAGAAGTGGTCTGAGTAGAGCGAAGGCGATAACGCTTCAGTATGGTATAGACAGGTGTCGATCTGACTCTGCTTAACCTGCTCAAGAAGGACTGCCAGGCGGTTTTCCGGGAGCATGACCGACGGTGATATGCATTCTTCTCATGTCAGCACGGAATCAAACGATTCGACAGAATACGTACTTGATAACTCCGAGAGCAACAGCTTTCGAGATTGGCCATTCGCACCATCCCATTCAGCCTTTGCCATAAGATCCTCGACCGAACGACACATGAGTAGACCTGATAAGAAATGCAGTTTACCAGTGTCATGGGATAACGGTGTCAACTCGCTTCGAAGTACTATCAGAGCCTTGCTTGTATCTTTCTGCTCCAAAAGCTCCAGAAACTTCTGTTGTCGTAACCAAAACCTCATGGCGTTGGGATCCGCGCCAGGTGCCAATACAAGGCCGTTACCTGGGCCTTCAGTCTCCAACGAAGCGCCGGCAAGTAACTCTTCGGCCACGGGCCATGACCCGGTCAGAACAGCAGATCTGAAGCCGGCTACGGTTGGGCTTTCCAATTCGTACCCACTCTCTTGGCTCACATTATCTGCGGCAGTCCGATACCCCATGTCTGATAACGCTTGTATCAATAGTCGGGTTACCTCCTCACGATCATGGCCAAAGTACTTTGAGGATTGTTCGTTGCGTCTGATGACCGAAGTGTTCTTATCTCGAGCTGAAGATCCGTTCAAGGCAGTCTTATTACCATTTGTGACCCCTGAAAACACTTCACTTGATCCATTAGATATTCCTAAAGGAGCACCATTATGGGGATCAAGAATGTCACTGCCACCCATCGTGACGTTCCCTCTTCGTCGCTTTGCTCTAGGCTCAGCGATAAGATAACCGTCTGGCGTGTGGGATCGGTCGGTTGACGGTTCGAAACGGCGGTCAGGAGCTGGGGAGCGTTGACGTCGTCCGAGTATCCGAGCCGGTACTTGACCCGGAAGTCCTTCAAATCTGGCAGCCGAAGAATCTATATTCGTGATGCCAGTCTGTGTCTGATTCCGGTTTTGTCGATGGGGTTGGGGTGCGGTTACGTTAGCCGGGGAGACGGCGGAGGAATGGGCAGAAGCAGTAGTGTTAGGAAAGTTCGAAAGAAGATGTGGCGTGTCTGGATCACTGGAAGTGGTGTCGTGGAGATTTGGGTGCGATGGCTCGCCGGAGGAGTCCAGGACGGCCTCTCCGCGGTTTCCTGCCGCGGTAGAATCTGGGGTAGCTTGATTAGTAGAAAACTGGCTTTCGACCAGAAAAGGCAGTATTCAGGCAAGATAATGAAACAACAAGAAGGCCAGCACGATGACAGAAGGCAGGATGGATGTGAAGAGTCGTGGTATTGTGATGTAGTGTATGTAATGGATGGTGGTTGGAAGCGGGAGGTGGAGGTGGTGGCGCTTGATAGGTAGGTAGGTTAGGTTAGTAGCTGTGGTCAGTTCGCAAGGTAGGTGCATGTGACGAGGTGAAGATGCTGGAGGAAACAGCCGTCTTGGTCTTTTATAAATTAGTAGGCAGATGTTGAGTAAGCCAGAGACGGCTCAATTCAATATTTACGAGTTTCAACGAGATTATCAGAGCTATCACTGTGGTGGTCTTAGTGACTACAGGTCCGCAGGTATGGTGTTATGTGTTGAGGTATGGCAGAGCTGTTTGTTGTCGTCGGTGCTAATTGGGAGCCGTGAGCACCCTTGGATGCTTCTCCTTCAGCAAGCAAGCAGGTGTACAGCACACCACTCAAGCCCACCTGCAACCCAGGTCTCCCCAGGTCTACCCCTGAAACATCGGTCATTGGTCGCTGACGTTGAGTGGCATAAACATTGGGAATTATGGAACAGAGGGCGGAATGAGTGGAGGTTTGCGAGACGAGATAGCCTATTCAACATTGCCTCTGTTTACTATTTTGATATCCCATCACTTCTTTGATAGGTAATTTTCTTTCTAATACCCCAAAGGACGAAACATAGAGGCATGCATTCTCTTGTTGACTGCTAACGAACTCGAAGACCTAATGGAACTTCTCACCCATCCGTCAGTTAGCGTCTCGGCTTAAGATGCAGTGTCACCCCCACACTAGTGCAGCCTTAGCTGATGACGTTCAAATCATATCGTCACCACAAATGATGAGATACTCCCGAGTCCTGGACTGCGCCTGGCTTTGTGAAATCCCGAGAATTTCTTACAGTGTGCTTTTCTTCAAGGGGGCACCCAGAAACTTTATGTTCTTACTGCTACTCTGCTGCAATCACTCACACAAGTCCTACCACCATGCTCGCAGTTCTCGAGCAAGCTACTACATTAGTAGTTACTTGATAGTACTATGTAGCCTCCACTGGATATCGTGCACAAGACGGACATCTTGTCATTGTAGCTCACCCACTACTTCCGTATTTCATGCACATGATCCTTCCCTTCCTCTATACCCTGTTAGGGCCTGGAGACAACTTCTTTTTCTTTTCAAAATGACAAATTAGAATGAAGGCATGGCTAGCTGGATTTTTATCGTCGCTTGAAGATTGGCATCGAAAGATCCAACAAGAACTGATCATATGAACAAGGGTCTAATAGTACAAGTGTCCTTGAACTACCGTATTGAAACCTGTAAAGCGCCAACGAAATATGATGACAAAACAAATGAACCGCTCCTGGGTTTGATTGAATAGAATCAGATACAAGTTTAATCCAAAGTCCATTTTGGGTCGCTTTTTGAATATACCTTGATAGGTGAGATGAGTAGGTACCTTAGGTTCGAACATCTATATCGAGGCCTCCAGCCAGGAGAAACTACCTGCTGATGAAGCCAAGTTGTGACAGTATCGCCATGGCTTCTCTTAGATATGCCGCCTAAAGGAAGGCAACCATTTTTATCTTTGGGGACCATCACAAGCTGACGTGTTCATCAGGCTACAGAGTTCTTAGCTTCCATGTTGGCCAGAATGATATTCAGGGCCATCACGTGCAATACAATTGATGGGAACGCTAAGCTTTTGGACCAGTTATGTAAGGCAATAAAATCTGAGATTGGGCATTCCTGCGCCACTGTGTGGCACAATGTAAGGACGTAATGCGGCGCGCAATTCTTAGTGCCATTAGGCTCGTGAACTCGCTGTCGTCCTGCGAGTTCCCTCCTTTATTCTAGCAACACCACCCATTTCTCATATACAACGAACTTCCACCCCCGAACGCTGTTCATTCTCGCGACTTGTACGGGTGAAAAACTTACAGACCAACCAGGGCTGCTGTGTTGTCTTTTTCCAAACTTGCGCAACGTTTCCTGCTATCTTTTGCCTCGACCGCTTTCCGGAAGTTAAATAAAGCAATAACCCTCCTCCCCCACCCATCGTTTTCAACCCGCTCGACTTTACGCATCGTTCAAGCGTACACAGTTTCAAGCTGGAAGAATCAACGAACATGAGCGGCACCCTTGCTTCACAGGGCGGCATTTCGGATCCCGCCCTGATCCAGTTAGTCACGATGTCAACCCTCCAACTCTACCCTACCTCTAACTTCCATTGATAGACTTGTCAATAAGCTTCAGGATGTTTTCGCGACTGTCGGTGTTAACAACCCTATCGATTTGCCTCAGATCGCCGTGGTGGGAAGCCAGTCAAGTGGAAAGAGTTCAGTTTTGGAGAATATTGTCGGTCGAGACTTGTGAGTTTGCTGCATACCGCCTACGTTGGGTCGCCATGAGACTGACCGCCCCTCTTAGCCTGCCCCGAGGCTCTGGTATTGTAACCCGACGTCCCCTCGTTCTTCAACTCATCAACCGCCCGGCACAGAGCAATGGAGTCAAGGCCGATGAGGTTGATACCACCAACGACAAGCAGGCCAATGCCGATGAGTGGGGAGAGTTCCTTCATGCCCCTGGGCAGAAGTTCTACGACTTCTCCAAGATTCGAGACGAGATCTCTCGAGAAACAGAAGCCAAGGTTGGACGAAATGCCGGCATCTCCCCCGCTCCCATCAACCTTCGTATCTACTCTCCCAACGTCCTCACTCTGACCCTGGTCGATTTGCCCGGACTTACCAAGGTCCCAGTCGGAGACCAGCCCCGCGATATCGAACGACAGATCCGGGAGATGGTTCTTAAACATATTGGCAAGTCCAACGCCATCATACTTGCAGTCACTGCCGCCAACCAGGATTTGGCCAACTCGGACGGTCTCAAGCTGGCACGAGAGGTTGACCCTGAAGGTCAAAGGACGATCGGAGTCTTAACCAAGGTTGATCTTATGGATGAGGGAACCGATGTCATCGATATTCTGTCGAACCGTGTCATTCCTCTTCGACTGGGCTACGTCCCCGTTGTGAATCGAGGCCAACGAGATATTGATAATCGAAAGGCCATCAACCAGGCGCTCGAGGCTGAGAAGAACTTTTTCGAAAACCATAAGGCTTACCGAAACAAGAGCTCATACTGTGGAACTCCTTATCTCGCGCGCAAACTTAACCTTATTCTCATGATGCACATCAAACAGACCCTACCTGACATCAAGGCCCGCATCAGTAGTTCTCTTCAAAAGTACTCAGCTGAGCTGGAAAGTCTCGGCCCCTCTATGCTCGGCAACAGTGCCAACATCGTTCTGAATATCATCACCGAGTTCACCAATGAGTGGCGCACAGTTCTGGATGGTAACAATACTGAGCTGTCCAGCACTGAGCTTTCGGGAGGTGCTCGTATCAGCTTTGTCTTCCACGAGCTTTACTCAAACGGTGTCAAGGCCATTGACCCATTTGATGTCGTCAAGGATGTCGACATCCGTACCATCCTCTATAACTCTTCTGGCTCTTCTCCAGCACTATTTGTTGGTACTACCGCTTTCGAACTGATTGTGAAGCAGCAGATCAAGCGATTGGAAGACCCCAGCTTGAAGTGTGTTTCTCTCGTATACGATGAACTTGTTCGAATTCTGTCACAGCTTCTCGCCAAGCAGCTTTACCGCCGATACCCTCAACTGAAGGAAAAGATGCATGGCGTAGTAATTGCTTTTTTCAAGAAGGCTATGGAACCTACCAACAAGCTTGTCAGAGATTTGGTGGCTATGGAGTCATGCTACGTCAACACAGGCCACCCCGACTTTTTGAACGGTCACCGAGTAAGCTGATTCGATCCTGAGCTTACTTGAAATGGCACTAAACTGATATCTCAGGCAATGGCGATGGTGAATGAGCGATATAACCCCAGCAAGCCTGTTCAGGTTGACCCCAAGACTGGCAAGCCACTCGCATCAACCCCCCGGGCTGCAAGCCCGACAGTCCCCGATCCTGATAGCGCCGGCAACTCGGGCTTCTTTGGCAGTTTCTTCGCGGCCAAGAACAAGAAAAAGGCCGCCGCTATGGAAGCTCCTCCGCCCACTCTCAAGGCTTCTGGTACTCTGTCAGAACGCGAGAACATTGAGGTAGAGGTTATCAGTACGTACAGATGAAGGGTTTGGCTTTTATGACATATACTAATGATTGTACAGAGCTCCTCATCTCCTCTTACTATAACATCGTCAAGCGAACCATGATTGACATGGTCCCCAAGGCTGTCATGCTGAATCTTGTGCAGTAAGTGTTTCGCAGCCAGAGATTCCATCAAGTCGCCTAACATCAGCTATAGGTTTACCAAGGACGAAATGCAACGAGAGCTATTGGAGAACATGTACCGAACCGACACATTGGACGACCTTCTGAAAGAGAGTGACTTCACAATCCGACGGAGAAAGGAGTGCCAGCAGATGGTTGAGTCTCTCTCGAAGGCTAGTGAGATCGTCAGTCAAGTGCAGTGATGTGGTGATGGACGAAGACTCATATCATAACTTCCCCACTCAGCGTCAGGGTCAGACTGAGCCCATCTGCAGCTTCTCTACCTACGAACCAAATGCCCCAGGGGGATCACTACCCAGCAGTCGTCTCCCGGTCCCCTTCTCATGACGTCCTGAGCATCACTTTATTTATTTTTTCGATACCACACTTTTCAGGAGGAGGCCTAGAGTAGACTGCTTAATGACTTACATTGGGATGCATGGCTTGGCCCTTGCGTACGACAGAGTTTGCAGGCGTGGTTTCGTCTTGGGGTGCTGTTAAGGAAGCGGGAGTAAATGGTGGTAATGTGTTGGCTGGACAGCTAAGCTTTCCCCGACTTCATGCCTGGCTTGCGCTGTCTACCAAGCATACTTGATAGTTCTCAGTATATTGTGTAGAAAGGTCCTGTTATAGGTAGAATATATAATCATTGCCCTTCTGAGTGTGCATCCAACGCAACTCTCTCTTTTTGGTGCCTCTGTCCTAACACAAGTTATCTAGTCTTTCTACCAGTGGCCTGCGCCAATGGTGGCTTGTATAGGACACGACGCTCATACTTAGTACATGTCACAGCTTGGAAAGCTCCTTGAGCACAAACCCTCCCCGCTCCAGTACATACTCGGTTCCGTTCTCCCATCCCAACCATTTCCTCAAGACTTCCTCCCCCCCTGCTCCAGGCTTCAGCAGACTCGCTCTATAGCCATCTCCGGGTACACCTGGGCCTTGACCAAACCGAGCTGGGTCTGCATGCCCTACGCCCTCTTTCACGGCAAGACACGGCGTCTCCCGCAAGGTCACCGCTGGTCTCTGGTCACCTTCCCGCTTGGGATCATTCTCTAGTTCGCTATACTCCAGCACTGGGGTGCAGCACGCATCTGTACCATCGAAGACTAGTTCCCACTGGGCACGAGTCTTGCTTCGAAACCTATCTGTCATTAAATGCCGAAGCTCGGGCCAGCGACCTCTGTTGAGCTGATCATCTTCCCATCCTTGACCAGCAAGCTCGAGCCCACTTAGAAGAGCGGCAAAGAATTTCGGTTCAAGAGCCCCGACGGCGACATATTTGCCATCCGATGTCTCGTAAGTGTCGTAAAAGGGAGCACCTCCATCGAGCAAATTGTTTCCTCGGCCACTGTTGCCCGTTATCGTCTTGAGCGCCATTCGAGGGAAAGTGGTCAGATATGAGCTTCCATCTACCATGTTTGCCTCGACAACTTGTCCGCGGCCAGAAGATTGTCTTGAGATTATGGCCATCAAGATACCTTCAAATAGCATTGCTCCCCCACCAGCGAAGTCAGCCAGGATGTTCCACGGCGGATGTGGCTTCTCGTCATCTCTGCCCAGCATTCCCAGTGTACCTGAAACGGCAAGATAGTTAATGTCGTGACCTGCCATGAGTGCGTACTTTCCATCACGACGGAACCCAGTCATGCGGCCATATATCAGCCTTGGGTTAAGACGACACAGCTCATCCGGACCCAGAGACAGTTTCTCAAGTACGCCTGGACGAAAAGGGTCAATGAGGACATCGGCCTCAGCAACGAGGCGTCTTATAAGCGCAACACCCCGCTCTGATTTGAGATCCACGGATATGGAGGATTTATGCCGGGCTAGCATGTCTTCTGTAGGAGCAGATGTGTCGGGTCGAGCACGGTCTATGCGGAGAACCGAGGCACCTGCGTCAGCGAGCAACATGCCAGCATAAGGTCCTTCAAGGAAAATCGGTTTATCAACTTTGCTCTTTCATTTGTCTTTGGTGTACTCACCAGGAGCAAGACCAGCGAATTCTAGCACCTTGATGCCAGTCAAAGGAGGATGCTGCAACATGGTGGGCGATGTCGAAGGTATGATGGGATTAACTATGCCGCAAATCTGTGTCAACATACGCTGCTTAGAAGAGGTCAAACCAAGTCCTTCAGCTGCATCAAGTAAGGTTAAAAGAATAGTATCTGACTTACAACTAGAACGAAGGAGATATAAGATCCAATGCCTACCTACGTACCTAAGTACCTACTGAGGTAACACTTCCCCGCGGTACCACTATCAACCGAGGTTCCACAAGGAAGCAACCAGGAACCATAAATTTACCCAGACTAGGTAACGCCCCATCCGTCTATCCCAGATCCTTGGCTACTAATGTTACATGCCGAAGTGGAGACGGCTATGAATGAACTTCACTGGAGATACTTGAGGGCTTGGATCGAATTGAAGCGGCAGCATACGTGACCAAAGAAGAATTTGCCAAATTGAATTACATCACCTCTTCGCCGGATTGGGCCCTTGAAACTATATCATCGAGTGAGGTAGCTTAAGTCTTCCCCAGTCTTGAACAGCGAGGCAGAACAATGATACCAAGTGATTTGACAATGGCCAAAGTTTGAACCATTTGAAAGAATCAAGCGTCTTCTCATGTAAGGTAGATATAATTAAGTTAACCAAGAACATATGTCAGAGCGCTCTCATTTACTTTGAATCAAAAGTGTTGTGTTTCATTCTTCGTTCTACCGGGCTAAAAAGGAGAAAAGGTAAAGGAAATAGGTGGAAAAAAAAAACTATATAAGATCCAGGCCCACGTCTATCGTGAAGAAAAACAAAAGTCATCCCCTTCTTGAAACCCCGCCAACGCCCAACAGTATGCATGCCCTGATAGTAGCCAAGAATAAAACTCCGTTCTTTGCAGAAATAGGTCGACATTGGGCAAGATAATCGTGATGAGAAGAACAGGTAGCCTTGGTGTGAGCCCAGCTCGGGTATTGCGGTCTTCCTGATCGATCTCTTATCTCGCTCCAGGCTTCCTTAAATGTCCATTTAGAACCAATCACCCTGGTCGTGCATGGCCTCGGCGACCTTGATGAAGCCGGCGATGTTGCTACCAGCAATCAAGCTGGGAAGCTCACCCTCCTTGGCCTCGACGTACTTCTGAGCAGTCTCAAGACCAGCGACAAAGGCGTCCTTCATGATGGCCTTCAGGCGGTCATCAACCTCCTTCTCAGTCCACTGGATACGCTGGCTGTTCTGAGCCATCTCAAGGCCAGAAACAGCGACACCGCCACAGTTGGAGGCCTTGCCGGGGGCGTACCAGAGAGCCTCAGCACCCTTCTCCTTGCGGTGAGCCTCGAAGACATCAATAGCCTCAGCAGTGCAACCCATGTTGGAACCCTCAGCGACGATGAAGGCGCCAGCATCAACGAGAGCCTGGGCCTCCTCCTTGCTGACCTCGTTCTGAGTAGCACTGGGGAGGGCAATGTCGACCTTGCCAACATGGACCCAAGGGCGGGCACCCTCAATCCATGTGAACTGTCCATCGTGCTCGAAAGTGGTCAGGGCTTGGTGCTTGATCTTGAGGGCAGCAATGTTATGAATCTGCTCGGGTGTGAAGGAGGAACCCTCCTTGGCGACGAGAGCACCCTTGGAGTCGGAAAGAGAGACGACAGAGCCACCAAGCTCGATGATTTTGAGAGCAGCGTATTGGGCGACATTTCCGGAGCCGGAGAGAGCGACACGCTTGCCCTCGAAGGTGCCACGGTTGGCGTGCTTGAGCATGTACTCGACATAGTAGACGAGACCGTAACCAGTAGCCTCAGGTCGGATCAAGCTACCACCCCATGAAAGACCCTTTCCAGTGAGGACACCCTCCCAACGGTTGCGGAGCTTGCGGTAGGCGCCGAAGAGGTAACCGATCTCTCGGCCACCGACACCAATATCACCAGCAGGAACATCAGTCTCGCCACCAATGTGCTTGGACAGCTCGGTCATGAAAGCCTGGCAAAATCGTCGAATCTCAGCATCAGACTTGCCCTTGGGGTCGAAGTCGGCACCACCCTTGCCACCACCCATGTTGACTAGAACAATGTTAGCGAGTCTGATTCCTTCAACTGTGCTAATTCCATCGCCCCGCAATATGCAGGGACCAGATAAGCGCGGCGATGAGGTCACTTACGGCCAGTCAGGGCGTTCTTGAAGATTTGCTCGAAACCAAGGAACTTGAGAATGGACAGGTTGACGCTGGGGTGGAATCGAAGGCCACCCTTGTAGGGGCCAAGGGCAGAGTTGAACTGGACGCGATAACCGCGGTTGACCTGGAGGTTACCCTTGTCGTCGTTCCAGACGACACGGAACTGAATGACACGCTCAGGAATGGCGGCCACAGCAAGGGCAGTACGATACTCGGGGTGCTCGTTGAAGAGAGAGCTGTTCTCGAGGGCAGAGGCGAGCTCTGGAGATTGCAAGTCAGGATTTATGTTCTCATTGATGTACATATGGGTTACCTACCGCCATAAGCCTGCTCGAACTCGGGCTCTTGGGGAAGGTGAGACATGGTGTTCAGCTGCATTTGGGATGTGTATCGAAAGTGGTGATAATAGATTCCTGCTGGGAAGAAGATTGCGAAGAGATTCGATACACTTTCCGAGACGTGTGAGTGTGAGATAAGGAGGGAGGGAAACCGTCTCGAAGGTGACGGGAGGCGAGGTTTATATGGTTATCGAGGGCTGCAAAAGAATGGCAAGAGATGGTCGCTTGGCTCGCTCCCATCACTCTTTCCGTCATGGCATCGAGGTCCGCGTCCGCATCCGATACAAGACCGACGCCAGGACGGGATACATGAGCGCAGCGCAGCGCAGCGTGGCACGGCACGGCACAAACATGCGACGATTGCAAAGTACCTTGTCTTCCGTGTTCAGAGATAAAGGACGGGAGCCAGAAAAAAGCTCACTCGATAGGCAATCGCGTTGCCATTATCCCATCTAATCGAGTGACAAGACACACCCTAATCTCTGTCGTTCCCGATAAACCCCAGTCTAGCGTTGCACCCCACATCGACATCGACAAGGAGCCTCATCACACACCCCTGGGGGGGTTCCATTTTTTCAATGCTGTCCGGGTCTGGAGTTTATGGTCTTGCAAGTTGAAGAATTTGTATGCGGTAGCCATAGACGAAACACATACTATCGCCACATTCTTTTCGTTTTCGTCTTCATCTACCATTTGAGGTAATTGAAAGATTCAAGTAACCGCACGAGATTCATGCCTCAGCAGCTTACATGTGAGAGTACTAATCTATTAGCACTACACCAGGGTCTTCACAGCTGCCGTGAGCTCCTCCGTACAAACTCCGTTTCTTCCCCACCATCTGGCCAATGGATCTCGGGCTCTCATATGTCGCGCGCATACGGGTACCTTATTAGCCTCCCATTCTCATGGGCACCACCGTCAACCTCCGATATTCGCTCGTTCACTTCGGCAATGTAGGTCCTGGCTGCCGTCGTACCATGCCCTCTGTAGTAAAGATCAAAGATGCCATGTTTTCAGCCATTCATTATTCATGATACGGTTCTTATTAGCCAACGCCCATTATTCCAATCCATTATCAGATCCTCTCCATTCGCTCTATACAGCACTTCACCTCCACGCTTGCCACCGTCGCTCTTGGACTTGTGTGGTGGGGGTGCTGTAAATTGCCTGCACATCTTATCTTGGCTTGTGTGAAATCATCATCGACGTTAATCCGTTCATCAATGCCTTTATTAATCACTTGTGATTCCTGCCCAGCGCCAAACTGAGCTGGCCTGACTGTCGCACTACTCCCAGTATATCCCCAGGTAAGCATGGACATTCTCAGCTAACAAATAACCCCACACGAGATATAATCACGGTAGGTCCCTTGCTGAATCCCACGCTCGAAGGACGACTCCAGGATATTTTTGAGCGGTGATCTGTGTGTCTATCGGAATGAGAAAAGTGCCTCGTCCCCAAGCCTGCCACACTGCTAACCTAAATCTTAATATTAAAGTCCTGTGTCGTGTGTGTGTGTGTGTGTGTAGATGCATCAGCCAGGTTCCAGGGACTTTAGCCTGACCAAGCACGTCAAATCAAACAATCCATTACCAATTCCCAAGCCAAACTTCTTCTTATATCTAGAAACGGAAATATCCTTTGCCTTCTGTCGAATCAGCGATAACTCAAAATGCGGGAATAGCTCATACCGTTGCATCTTACCCTTGTCCCGTCACCGGCGTCTTCCTCCGACCCAGCGAACTTGGAAATACAGCATGCGCCGGGAAGATTATCCTTGTCCACTTCCAGGTTACTTCAATCATCTTGTTCAATTATTCTCAGTGATATTCGCGGTGGCCCCATTGACGCGCAGCACATATCGACACTCCCCGGACCCTGAACTGCAACTGTTAGTCTCTAATTATCAAGACATTCTTATTGGCCGCCTTGTCATCTTGTTTGAAGAATGAATTGACATCAACTCTTCCTCCGACCAATGGCGCTCTTGATCAACCATGTCGGAAAAAGATCTATCAAACCACAACACAAGCAGCCCCAGACCATCATATGTTGCCGAAATCCTTTCCGAACGAATACTGGCCCGCTACAATTCATTCAGTGGCGGGGATACTAGGATAGAGTAATCTGGGGGAGCCTGTCCTGTCACAGCATTCTCCTAATTCATCAGTACAGCGCCTGTCAAATTGTCAGAGCATGTCTCCCCGGACCGATTAGAAGACTTTAGCTTCCGTTTCATCCCTCGCCATGCTTTTGACCGAGACTACCTCGCTCCCGACAACAACAAATTTTGGTCTTGATCGTGAATGTTTAGCCGTCCGCCGTTTACGGAACTGGTAGATCCATCCGGACATACATGTCCATGAGGAAGTCTGAGACCAAATGCTTCGGGTGCCCTCCGAAAACTACAAGGAATAGTCAAAATTCCCGGGCTTCATCGCCGAACCACTGGACATCGGCCATAGCCCGAGGATTAAGCACTGGCCACATTCATCATGAATCTGTTCCCTCATGAATTGCCCCCAACTTCCAGCTCATCATGACTTATGATACCCCCCTTCAGGCTTAAGCACCCCTCATTACCCTTGGACTATCCTATGATTCCGACATGTTCCGCCGCCTCCTCTTCTTTCCGATCATTACTTGTCTCTAAGTTTCACCATTGCCAAAATTATTATTCACCACCGTCGGTCTGCCCACGGTCAGGGTTCATCCCGCGGAGAAGCTCCCAGTGAGCCTCGATCTCCTTCGGTAAGGCTAAACGCTCAGTAGCCCGGAACACACGATTTAATAAATATCATGCCATTTGTGTATGTCTTCTTTCTCACCGTTAAAGAAACAGAAACACTTAGGCTTAGGCTATTCTACTGCTTCCAACTCATGCATTGTGACTAAAATTTCCCAATATTTCTTCGATACCATTGCTACGTTGCCTTTGAACACTCCATCCTGTTTTGTAGTAACACTTGGTCATTGCTGTTTGTAAGGGAAATTAAAGTCTCAAACGCCTTAATGTCCAATGCCGTGTACTTTATTCTGTCTTCAGTATATGCAGTGGTATCTGCAGCAACGTTGAACCCGCGGCCCCAACCCCCAAAACGCCTTACATACATAACACGACTACAAACAATCCCAAACTCGTACCTGCGCCTATACATACAATATGTCTTAGCCTAGCCATGATTTTATAGTAGCATCTCTTCCATTACAGCTCAGCATGGCTCTCCACATCTTCCCAACCGCACCCAGAGATGCTTTGGTTCCCCCTCCAGTGATTCAATACACATAAAAGACAATAAAAATAACGAGGTGACAACTGCGAATGTTGAATAGGTGTAGATGCCTGGAGAAACAACCCTCCCAACTCTCACCACATAGCAGCCTGATCAGCGTCGAAACGTGAAAGCTCGCGGCCAGCATCCTCAAGATCCTTTTTAGCTTTCATGCGCATGTAAAAGATGGGGCAATCTTTACTACTGCAGATAACCTCGCAGTGCATGCTGCCCTGACAGCGCTGGCACTGGGTCCATAGTCGCCCGAAGCGCACCTCCAAGTCTGACACGCGATCGAGCGTCTTCTTGTAAAGCTCACCAACGCGAGGTGCGCAATTAGAGCACACCGCCCCCTGTGACTCTTCTTTCCCTGTCAGAGGTTTCTTGCAGCCCATGCATGTTTGTGTCTTCTTGGCAAACTTCATGAGACCTCCAACAGTGGGAGCTGCAACAGAAATGGTACGGGTATGATCTCCTGTAAGTAGAGAGCGCGCCTTGGTCTCACCAAGAATCGGCTCAAAAATACGGCCGAGTGGCTTAGCTAGTTGATTGTCCAGGTAGTACCGCGTATCTATCGGCACGTTGTGCTCAAGCACGTAAATGGGGTCCTCCGACTTCTCGAAGTTTTTGGCGCCAGCTGGGCCTCGGACCATGACGTAGGCCACTCGGTCACCGAGTCCCGGTGCCGAGCCTGCATCTCGCTTCTTCATGCGTTGCGCCAGCTCGACGTGCGCTTGCTTTGCGGCATAATCGTCCTTTGTAAGGGCTTTTGTGATGACCAATTTCGACATGTCGACCTTATTTTGCAGCAGATCGGCAATCGTCTCTTTGACGTATCTAGATAATTTACCATTAGCATTCCGTTTTCTCCCCGCACTGCCTGATGAGGTCTGATAACCTCCAAGAAAGAAAGAAATACTGAAGCATCATTTGAGAAAGAACTTACTCTTGGGCACCTTGAACATCTTGGTCAATCAAGATCATTCGCAAGACTTTTTCAATGACCGTCTGGACCAACAAACAGTTGTCACGTCGCACCGTCTCAATACCCTTTGTGTCCATCTTGTCATACTTCTCTGGTTTAGTCCAGTAGAGACCTGCATATCGCTTCTTGTTGATCAGCAGATATGGGAAGTACACTTTTTCGAACTCGAGTTTGATGGGTTTAACGAATTTCTCCGATACGTATTTCGAAGCTTCCTCACCAAGCTTCATAGCTTCCTGTAGGTCTTTGGTACCAAACTTAATCATGACGGAATCAGTATCACCGTAAATGACCTGAGCGTCGTGAGAGTATCCGTTTGCTATGTTGTAGCGGTTTTCCACCTCTTCCTTGGTCTTCTCAATCATCTTTCGGCCAAAACTTGTTGTACTACTAGCAATTTCGAGACATGGGAGTTTGCCTGTTGTAGCACCAGTCAAACCGTACACACTGTTCGCGCTGATTTTCAGAGCCAGCTGTCGACCATTCAACACAGCCTTCTTGAAGGGATCTGTCTCAACCGCCAACTCACGCTTGGCCTGTTTACGGGCCGCGAGAAGTTCCTCAAGAATTTGTGCCAACAAGCCCTTCCGTTGCTTGATTGTTACAAAAGTGTCTCCATTGGGCGTGACAATGTAATCCTCGTCTTTCTTGAGATTGAAAGCTTCAATCGCCTTCTTACTGACCAGAGTAGTATAGCAAAGGTTATGAGCTTGCATAATACTAGGGTATAGAGAGGCGAAATCCAGTGTGGCGATTGGAACATCGTAGTAACCTCGGGTTGGCTCAATGACTGTAGCTCCTTCATACTGTTCATCAGAAGCCTCTGACTTGAGGTTGGGAATGACAAGTTTCTGTTCTAGTGCTTTTCGAAACAACTGACTGATGAACTTGACTTGCTGACCTCGAGACAATAAGAAGTTGAATGGCACTCCTGTGACTCTTGCCATTTCAGTATAGTTTTCCAAACAAGAGAGTTTATCCATTAGCCTTTGCGGGAGGTAGGCGTCTTTCAGACAGTAGAGCGCCAGGCGTCTTCGAGACTCGGGTGTGCCATTGAAAAGCTCTGTGATCATTGTATGATGGACATCCTCCTTCTGCTCGCCAAGGAAATTGGCACTCACAGAGTTCAGGGTATAGCTTCTGAGGTGATGATCACGCTGGATCAGTTGGAGAAGATCCAATTGTAATCGACCGTTGGTGTTTGTAGCTTTGGTATCTCGGTTGCCCATCTGTTTGCTGGAGAAATTCGTTTCCTTGGCTTTGGATTGCATGCTAGGGATTCGAGTCCAGTATTCGAAACCAGATACCTTGAGGTGTTTTGCTCGGTCTAGCAAATATGGGAAATCGAAATTGGAAATATTGTAGCCGGTGATGATATCAGGGTCCGCGCGTATGAGGAACTTTTGCCAGTCACTCAGCATTTTCTCCTCCTTTTCATACTCGAGAATCTGAGTTGCCACAATAGAGCTCGTCTCTTGCAAACAGAACACGTTTCTGATGAATGGTTTCTTTTCTCCATATTGTGTAACGATATTTGCGATCTGGATGACGGGATCGTGGTTTGCTTCCGGAAAGATACCCTTACGGCCGGCACACTCGATATCGAAAGACAGAATACGTAACGGTGCCATCTTTGACCATTCGCCGACGGGTTCGTGTGCTACAAGATCAAGGTAGCTAACTTCAGCTTCGATTTGACAGTTGGATTGGCGAACATGATCGGGGATGATTTTATAAGCCTTAGCGGGAGCTTCAACCCACGACATTCCTCGGACCTGGACGAGTATTAGATCATATAGCTATCATGTCGCATTGCTCATACCTTGCAGTCAACCATGAAACGCAGTAGATATTGTAGGTTGTCAAAAGTTTGAATTTCGCCATCATTCCTCCACATGCCTTTCCAGTTTGCATTGCCACTTTGAATCGTTGTTCGGACTTTGTTGATGAATTTGGGATCTGTCACAGTAACCTTCAGGTACGGTTTCGATTGGTTCCCTTGAAATCCGTAAATGTTCTCTCTCATAGCAAAGGCGACTGAGTGGATGGTCGGTTGATGTTGAGCGACTTGAGTCTCTAGGTATGCCTTGAATGCTGCACAGTCTTGTGGTTGGAAGTTGACAGGTGCGGGAACGTATAGATAATGCTTGAAGTCGGTAACATGCAGCATGACTGAGTTTCCTGCTTCATTAACACCAAACAGCTTGACGGTGGCCCGCCCACCGTGCAATGTACCCTCCTCGGCTTCAATAGACTGGAAGCAGAGGCTGTCACGCTCCGGTACGAAGTCAACTACCGGCGGTCTATCCCATGCCTGGTCCTTCTCGGTGTTGTTACGTTTGCGGTCCGACAAGTCCTGGCTGAGCTTTTCGAGGACTTCAGATTCAAAAGCACTCTTGGGCTGAGTGGATGTCATTTTGGATCGATGGTCATGCTGAGAGCTGGGAGCCCGGGCGGCAGCAGGTGATGACGGTATTGCATCTACTTTGCGCTTCTTCGTTGAGGAGGGAGACGATGTAATGTTCTGGCGAGTGTGACTCTCGCCCAGAACTCGTTTCTGAGGAAGAACTGCACTGGCCATGGTGACTGAGGATGGCGAATGCTAGACACGAAGAAAGAACAAGGCAACGTAGGGAGAAAAAAAGAAAAGCAAACTGTTATGCGATCACGTATTCATCCACAGTAAGGAGAGTGAAGAGTGTTTGACGACGTCTTTGGTGGATTATGATTGTTGACACTAAACGGTTGGAGGGGAGACTCTAACAGGGGAGATTTCTGATGGGTTTGACGACACGACTTTAATTGATACCGACCGCGTAGCGCGACTCAAGCGTGACGTGACTGACCCCACTTACTCGGACGATCTCGCTTTGTTCACGTGATCAGGCGTCAAGTATCTTTCTATACCTAAGAAGGGAGAATCTACCCTACGCCATTGATGAGTGAGATCAACTGTTTAGAGGTTTATGGATACCTTCCATGGAGGCTCTATACTTGACGGGACGTGTTACGTTCAAAGACCCCTTATGCGCATAGCATCGCAGAAGTTATCCATATGCTGAACTCTTCTGTGGTGGCTAGCTATCTCACTATTCCATTATGGCCGTTAATACTCGAAGATGTGTGTACCTCGAACTGGCGGACTCGTCAATTTACCCCTACATAAGATCAAACACGCCAACATCAAAGTAAAACTGTTATACAGGTTCCCTGTGGAAGCAGGCGCTCATATCACATAGTTTGGCTCCTAGAAGAACGGCGCAGTACTACCGGAACTAGAAGTTTACGGCCGTGGATCGTCTATTGAAAGAGTGACCGTCAAAGATCAACCGCAGTCAGCGGCCATGGATACCACGAAGATCTGTTCCGAACTACCGCTTAATCGTACGGGGCCAACTTATGACAAAAGTAAAGAAGCAGTTAGGTATTCATGTTGTGAGAAATGGGTGCGAGAGCGTTTCCACACAGGCCAGGCAGATTGAGTCATGCTAAGAATGTACATCTCTCAGATACATGGCAGTTTCCTAGGTAGTTATCCCTTACAATTGTGTTTTCGAACGCAAACGGCCCCTGGCCGTGCACATATGACAGCTCCATGGAAAGACTGATATCGGACTCGAAGTACCTGTCAAGGGTTGCACTACCAAATTCAGCTGCAAAGATGATTGCTGAACACACTATACTGAAGGGTATCACATGATACTAATACCTTGACGTGATAGTGACCGTCTAGAGACTTTCATGGCATCTATCCTTCCTGTCAGTTCATGGCTTGCTCGGTAACATGGGCTGATAGCAGGTTGCATAACTAGGGGAAGAACACATTCAGACATCCATTCTATAAGCATCCGTACTCCGTCTTGGGAGATCAGTTAAGCCATGCATAAAAAGAATTCATCATCTCACCCAAAATGGGCTAAAAAGTATCAAGTATCGAAAGAACTTACTCATTCAGACAAAACGGGGCAAACAGCATGTTTTAAAGGAGGCATCTTCATGGAACCAGGGCTACACGTGTGAGAATGTTTGTATAGATGGCGAGGAAGAACTTATGTTCACAAAGGAGCAACAGGAGGGAAGTATAGCATTTATAGCACCTTGAAGTTGTCAGGCATATCATTTCCCTTGGTCACAAAATCGCTGACTTGCGGGGTATCGCGTGACATTGTGTGATGTTGGTTGGGCCTCTATACAGCCAAGAGCTGCAATATCATGTAATAGTATCGCTGACCCCATGTCTCATATCCATGTACAAGTGTAGTGTGTTGGGCAAATGCCTGATGCTCTGCCAACAGCAACAGCCTGCCAGGACTACACAACTGGCTGATGGTTGTCAGTAAGTCACATTCACATCACTCGTTCCGAGAGTTACCGGTTAGACCCTGGTATCACGCTCAAGCACACGATGGCGCTGGATGAATCATTTCTTCATTAATCGACATAAAGAAAGCAAGGGGTAGCATCCTTGTAGTGTTTCCAGTGAAAGATCATGATCTAAATGCTGTGTCCAATGGTGCCGAGCTTTGCAATGAATAAAATTGCTTATTAACGTACATGCTGCTTTCTAAAGCTGCGCACTGTTCAATGTGATGCGATTCTGTTAGGTCTCTGCCGACCCAGCCTCATTCATTATCAACTTATGAAGAACTCTTGGGTTCCTTAAGATGCTCAAAAGATCCCCAATCGCACCAATCGTTGATGGGCTGTTCGAGGTTAGCCACTTTATCATCTTGAGCAGTAGTGTTGAGAAACTTACTAGGCAGTTGAGATACTTGCACCACTCACAGGTGTCGTGATACTTGTAAAAGTTGTTCAGGAGAACAATGAAAACGACAATGATCATGACGAGGAAGGCAGCTCGAACCAGCCACCAAGCCCACCAGAGTGGCTTGCGCCCCTTGAAGAAACCGACAGGGTTCTTGAAAAAGTGAGGGGGTGTCTCGCCAGTTTGAGGAGAAACGGCTGCGTACGACAGCTCTTGGCCCATCCGCCGTCGCAGTGAGTTGGGCGAGTGCAGGACACAGACGCCAAGAGAGAGTCCCATAAGAAAACCGCCAATATGGACAAAGTTGTCCAAGCCGGGAAGTAGTCCCAAGACAAATGCGATTACCATATCGAGAATGATGAAAAGAAGGTCTTTGACGGGGTTGCGTCTGTCCTTCCATGAGTACAGAAGATCGAGGAGGACCAAGGCAATGATACCAAAGAGGGCCCCAGAGGCACCCACAGATGGCTGTCCTGGCGGCGCATAATTTCCACCCATGATGTTGCCGAAAATCCCAGCACTCATGTAAACGAGTAGAAACCGCACTGGCCCAATGGCCATCTCCATCTCTTTCGCAATGGTAAGCTGCAGAAGAAGGTTGAAAATGATGTGAATGAGACCGGCGTGCATGAAAATTGAGGTGATGAATCGGTACCACTGGTTGGGCTCGGGACTCTGGTTGATATCGCCATTAAACTTAGGATCTGGAACGTCACCTCCGAAACCGCAGACCACGTGAAGAGGGCAGAAGCTGTCGTCCCTGGTAGCATTGGGACAAAGTAGACCTGGTAGAACGGCGCCCTTCGCATTTTTGTCCACACTTTGGATACCCTTCACGTTGCGCATACAGGGGGCATAACGTGCGCCCATGTTGATCAATAAAGCGGGAGATGGGCCAATAAATATGTTGAATTGCGGTTTGATCGCAATGGGAGTTCCTGTTAGTATGCCTGTGAACGAGTCAGCTGACAGTTTTCCTCCTGCATCAGTCTTCACATCTTACCGTTTCTTGCTATCTCGGCGATGAAGACGGCGATTTGGACAACAGAAAAGATATAGACAACCCAAGGAATCCTCTTCTTGTTGGAGCCAATCATACCCAATTCGCCCAAGCGAACCTTGCCCTTCTTGCCCTTCTTCTTAGGCCGTCCAGGGGCGTCATAGATATGATCATTCATCTCGGGATCGTCATTCTTAGCGGTCCGATCTTGAAGGGGAATGTCTTCCTGGCCGTAAGGTCGCGCAGCAGCAGCCCCTCCAGCATAGCTTGTATCTTGATAGAAGCCTTGTTGGCCAATGTCAGCCGTACTGGAGCTGGGAGTCGGTCCGGTGTTCGAGTTTGCCGGGTACACATGATCGTCAAAGACGGTGTCGAAAGGAGACTGACCAGTTTGGCCAGGCTGATTATGGCTTGAGCTCTGACCAGAAGGGCTAGCATAAGTGCCCGCTGGAGGATATTGTATATCGTTAGGCGAGTATGGTGTTTGCTTGGTCGGGACAATATGCGCGGCAGTATCGGCAGGATAGATTGAGGTGTCGGGAGCATAGTGTGAGTTGTACGAGTTAGGCTCGTATGGGGGTGCTGGTGTAGAATGCGGCGAAGGGGTATCGTGATTCTGATAGTAGGGAGAAGCGTTGGGGCCGGCGCCATAAGGAGCCTGTTGACTGCCACCGTTGTAGTAGTCGTGCGAAGCCATAGTTGACGAAAGCAAGAGATTCTCGAGTAACGGGGATGAGGTTACGTAGGCAGTTGATGGGAGTAAGCCGCCAAGCGGCAAAGAAAGGGGATGCAACTGCGACAAGCTGTTTCAGAGGGTCGAGACGGCGTCACAGATCAAGAATCGGTATTTTGCTACTCGGCGAATGATCCAAGCCCTTATCTTTATTGACAACAATGCGTGCGTGTATGTCAAATGGATACTTTGTCGATCCAAAGTGAAAGATGTTGAACCAGAAAATGTATCCCTCGCGCTAGGTCAAGCTTAGGTGGCTGGTCAGAATCCAAAGTCCTGAACTTCAGCTCAATGGGTTAGGTAGGCTTGAGCGGGTTGTTTCAAGGGTCGCCAGGGACGAAGAGACTGGTCTGGATTGCGTGGAAGCTCTCTTCTGATTGGACGACTGCCTTACGCGTGGAAGCTGTGGGCCCAATGAGTAGACTGTTCTATTTGCGTCGTCGTAAAAAATCGCCAAACGAGTGAAGCAAAAGAGTGAAGATGGGAGGGTCGAAAAAACAGGAGAGGAAATACTCGGGAACACAACAATTACGCAGCTTGGCTAGTTAGGTATCATTATTTTGAGGCAGCCTTCAGCTTAGGTAACAGTACTGTTTATTAGGTATTCAATAAGGGTATATTTGTTCTATTCTCGCTGATTTGTGCCCATGACGAAACAACTCACAGCCGAGTGACGTACAAACCGGGGCTGTGCTGACAGTTGTAAGCTGTGGATCCCTGCAACCAAAGGTCGATCACTGGGAAGAAGGGTTCTTGGGTGGTGCAGCTGTGCGATTAAACCATTTAGCCTCACTCTGATTAATGGATGTTTGAGCGCCACAGCTTCTTAATTTAGAACAGTAACCCTCTCTTCATGGCGGTTTTGTGGCGGCTAATGGGAGTCTTTGTTGATACCTATGGATCACAAGAACACTTCTAATCATGAAGCACTGGGAATACTGGCATTTTATTACGTATTACAAGCTGTCAACTTCGATCATTCCGGTGTCTGCAAAGGTAAAAACCGATTAAACTCAATAGCTACCGACCTAGTAAGAAAGACACCGCGGCATCTCTCATTTATAAGTAATACTACAACCCGTCAACATAAACACTTATTCTGGTACAGTAGTGTAGCACAAACTCATTGATTGCAATCTACTACCTATATTCTGGCTTTTCATATTGTATGCATTTAGATGCTGGGCCCAGTTGACGCATTTTCATCGTCTCAACCACATCGTCAATGCATTTATGGTGAAGCACCTGCCTTCCAGCCCGTGGCTGACGCTACAGTGCAACGGACCACAGCCACTGCTAAAGCTGACGAGTCTTCCCGTGTTCCTGGCACGCAGTGGAACTCGTTGATGGCGTGTGCCCATATCAATTAGTTGTACGGATTCCGATGAGATCTTTTGCAGTGGACAACAATTTACGCGTTGCGTTTTGTCCCATTCCACGCCAGGCTTCGGGAGGGAGAGATCCCTTGGGCAAGAAGGTACAGCTCCGAAGTCGATGCATATCAGGCAATCCACCTCAACCCTCACATCCGATGGCATAGCGAATCAGTTTGGTGGGATGATCACAACGCCAAGACCATTTGCAGGCAAAAGTCCCCAACATTCGCTCTCCCTTCTGTGTTGGAGGACCAGGACACGACAACGCTCAAGTTGTCAACAGTAGACACGACGGGTGTGGTATGAATGATGCAAGCACCAGTTCAATATCGTAGCGGCCAGCCCATTATCGAGAACGCAGCTAGCCTGCGTTGACTGAAAACTTCTTGACAACACTTTGCACTGCGGATTGCTAACTGCTCATGTGGCACTCCGGTCAGTGCCCCGATATGCTCCTGTCGAGTGACTGATGAGTTGGGTAGATGAGATAAGATCGTGATTATACAAACTGTTGTATCGTACATGACATGAGCTGCCCTATATACGTTGTCCTAGCCCTCTTCATTGCTCATTACAGTCATATTGCCCCGGCGGCCCTTCGCCTTTTCCGTTAATAGTGGTACAGTTCGGTCTTGTGCATGTCGCATTTTGTCGACAATGGGTATAGGACTAGATGATCCCCTCCAGTGTTGTTTGAACATCTATGTTGTCTCTCCTCGGTTGAGATAGTGTTATTTCTTCCCGATCGATGAAGGATCGCCCGTTGTGGTCTCGTCATCTTGTTTCTTGGCACCCTTTCCCCAATTTCCACTCCAGACATCTGCGATTTGCTCCATGATGATATCGCCGATACCCTTGCCCTCTTCCATCTTTTGTTGATGCTCTTTGGCACGCTGCTCTCGCCAATTCTTCTCCTCGCCTCCCATCCACACATCGTTGAGCGCCTTGGCCACACCTGTCTTCTCCTCTTCGCTTTGTGGATTCTGTTGGCCTAGCCTAGCTTTGAGTGCCGCCTCGCGCTCTCGGTGCTCACGTAGTAGTCGTTGGGTGCGCTGAGCGCCTTCGGGAAGTTCGGTTCCGAATATAGAGCCCACACGGTTGCCGAACCGTGAGTAGATTGACGAGCCCGTGTACTCGTAAGCGAGCTGGTTTGTGGCAAGAGAGAAGGCACTGGCGAGGACGAAGAATCGAAGATCTATCTTTCGTGGTGGGAGTAGCATGGCGAGAGGTGCAATGACTGCACCAGCAATGGCAGAGTTGTGAATAAATGCATTACGCTCGGGCAACGGAGGTTGCGCTTGGGGCTGATCCTGTGACATTGCGATGTTGGTGGTGTTTACACGGCAGTATCGGTTAGACTATCGCTGCAGCAGCACGATCGCGAACTGAGTTTGCGTGGGTTGGTAGAATTGAAGATGCGAAAATCCGCCACCAACTTTTTTTCGCAGTTTGGTTGGTCGCCTTGTCGCGGCTGATAGGTACTTGACTCACCAGCCAATCCTGGTAAGAAATCAGGTCCCTTCAACTTCCTCGTCATTATAGGGTAGTCACATCACAACACAGCATCATTCGAGGGCAAACAACCTTTTCATTTTTGGTTTTTGATTTCTGGTAACAGCAATAGGGAAAAAACCAAGTTCTTGGTTTGGCGACTTGTCTGTTTTAGAGTTTTCTGATCTTGCGTCTGTCGCGTCCTTGTCTGTCTAATTGGCTTTTAACGTTGCTGGAACCTTTTGATCCAATAGCCGTCAAGACTCCTAGCTTATGACCAGGATATTGTCGATTGACATCCATTACTACCCCATTTCTTCTCAATATATAGATATAATGAAACGCATGACTTTGTTGTTCATATAAGGCATAAGCAAGATATGCAGAAAGTGTGTTCACTGGGTTAAGACCGTGTGGAATTCAATTGCTTACAAGTTCGTTACGCCCTCCCACGACACGGCGAGAACTGCACAGCTTCGAAGCTGCATGATCATGGCTACTACCTCAACACCCTATTGCCACTTTAAAAAGACGTTACAGGACAGGTTAAGTTCATAAGTCGCATCGCGGGGTTCCCATTATGGACGTCGTTGATTTCCGCAGACAAACTTCGGTAATTCGTATAGTAACAGCCTAGCACCTCGGATCATATCATCGATCACAGCAAATCGATCACTGATGAGGAGTTACCCGACAGGTTAGAGTAATATGTCACAAAGCAAGAGAATAGTCAGATGCATAATATAATTATAAGTACCTAATGATGTTCAAGTCATATGTTAAACTCGTTGGTCGTCGTCGAACGCGTTGGGCCCAACGATTAAAAGCCTGTGAGGGATCACATCGCAAACATAGCTTCTTTGGGACAAAGTGCAGATAACTTACCGACAATACTTCAGCGAAGTGATCAACAACAACATCTGCCCACCAATAACCGAGGTAAGGGATGCGCTGTTGCCAACGACAGACTTCGACACTAGACCATCAAAGTCTCACCAAGACTCCTGAAAACCAAGCCACCGGTGCTCACTAGCTACATGTGAGAACTTAATGGTCCGAACTGCCGCTCCCAGCCGTGCCGTGTTTACTAACTCCACCTTGACTACCGGCATCAGATCCTGCCGAGCAAGCCTAAGGTAGAGCAATCTGGCCACATGGCTAAAACCTTATGAATATGTTATGATAGAAATCATCAGGCTGTTAATGAAAGAGTGTCCCGAGGCCGATGGGCGCATGCTACTATAAGGTTTCCATACCGAGACAAGCCCTTATACAGCACTTCTCGACAGGAGAAGTCTCAATCGGCAATCTGATTGAGATGCATGGCCAGATACTTTGTTATGAAAGACCTCGATGTAACGAACAGCCTCAGTGACTACAACACCACCAACGTGAAGACCAATCCAATAGAAAGCACGGTATTGTAACAGCCTTGTCGGGCCTTCACCCAGTGCTAGGTGGGCTTGACAGCGTTACGGAGCTAGGTGGACAGCTGATCCCCTGTACAGTCAAACACAATAGGAACTAGCTGGTCGAGTACAAGGTTCACTCAAACGAAACATATAAGTATGAATTTAGATATCACGGTACTTGATAATTTCATCTGATGGCGCAAGACAGTAGTGGCTGGGAGGAGGCTACCATGCTACCCGTTTCTTAGCCAATGAACCACCCTTAGATGTGAAATAACCCAAGGGGTAAGCGCATTTTAGATAACGTACCTTGTGAAAGATTAGCTTTCCGTGGCCATGACCTTGTGGAAAATGAGGCTTGAGGCTTCGATAAGCTCCATGCTAGTGGACTAAGTTTCCTAGATATTTTCCTGTACATGTGGGGATTTTCAGCTCATGTACATACAGCCTCTCGGCTGATCCTGTTTCTATTAGAAGCACTTAACTATAGTACCTAAGACTTGCAACAAGTGCCCTCCGTTGAGATTCTAATACCCATCACAGATCACTCAAACATCAGAGAACCAGAGGTTTAAAGGGGTGCGATCACCTACACATATACTCGCTGCTACGGAAACCCAGTGCCATTGGTCAAATTCCGGAATGGTTCCTTATATCCAATAGTACGAGAATTGTCGGTTGTGTGCATATTTACTTGTAGGTGTTACAACAAGAACCGACGTACTTTCTGTCAGACGGACTGCTTGCTTTACCGAGGATAACCTTGTATAGAAACGAAGGCCGTCTGACTGTGGGTACAGGAATAATGGATTATGAAATGCATTGTGTCAAATGTTGGCGGGCGCCGACTCACGCGTAAACTCTCTTCCTGTCTAGCAGAACAGTTTCGATCTCTAGTGATGAACGGAAGTTCCGAACTACCGGAGTGGCAGTAAAACTGTATCCTTTGATCTGACTTTTCCCTCCAACATCAGCTACTACTTGTTTAGCCGACCACTCGACGTTTATTGAGGCTGGGAACGAGACCCAAGACTGACTCTCTCATCCTTGGTCGTTTCAACACTGGTTTCATTTCTTCAATAGCTCGTGGCGTTTAGAAGGACTGACTTAGTAGGTACACAGTAGTTCGACACGAGTGTCAGTGCCACGCCCCATGCAGCCATGCAACTTTTTGTATGACTGAATCTACCTTGAAATAGACTAGCTATGCCATAAGAATACAGACCGTTGTATTTTGCACGTGGCGGATACATCTCTGAGCTATTTTAGACTTTGTTGAGATGAGATTATAGGCGCGTGGTAATCCCGGCTGCCGAGGCCACGGACTCAACTGCCAGATAAGGTTACATTGCCGATTCATTGTCAATCAATGTCTTGCTCGCATTTTCTACCGTTGTTAGCCTAGGGCGATACTCTGTGGTTCTCTCGGCTGGTTGTCGTATCAGTGACTGATTTTATTACTGGCTATGCGTCTACAGGCTTGATTCAAACCCTCGTCGGCGTTGGTGTACAATTTGTGAACTTTAAAGTGTCGGCTGAGTGAAAAGATGAACAAGAATGCTACCTAGACACGAGTCAGGAGGTCGCAGCAGTTGAGCTTGGACTTTGTCTTGATGATCGACTGAGAATGGAGTTCACGCAGACAGGCATATCCACATTGACTGCCGAATTGTAGAAGACGTTGACGCATGACTTAGGCAACTGTCTTAGCATATCGTTCACTGACACGAGCGCTTCTGGAAACAGAGGTTCTTGTGGGCCTTTTAGCGAGCCATCCAATTGCATTGTATAGGTAGGTGGCTGCTGTTTGTCATCGCCCTAGCAGTTTGGAAAAACAATCCGCACGGGTTTCAGTGACAGATACCGTGACAGCCCTTGCTTAGCCTACCAATCGGCCGTTTGTCCAATTCGGAGCCGACGCACTGTAACGCAACACAACGCAAAGCATCCAACTCGGGGGAGGACTGGTTCTTGGCAATTCCAATGTTACGGCTGGCAATGCCATGGATCTCCAGAAAGCAGAGGTGTTTCAATATCAGGACAAGTATTCGTTAATCAACCTGGGATGATTGGTCATTTCCCGACACAAGACTAGCTTTAGCATTGGATAAAGTAATTTTCAGTAGCTCAAGGGAACGAGGATTGGAAACTGAAACAGCAAACCGTCCGATATTGTCACGTTCCGGGGATGTTTGAGAACCCCTGAAGGATAACGTTATACGCCAGTGTGATCGTTGGATACAGCGATCAGCGGACCAATAACACGATCAGCAAATTCTGTTAATATGGAGAGACCGGCAAGGAGATCTGACTCGAATAGGAGAAAAAACTGTCCATAGCTATTAAGGGCAAGACTTGGAGAAAAATAGCTTGAGAGGCCAGGATAAGATAGAGCCTGGCACCGGGAGACGCCGTCGGCGGCCAACGTGGCCGAAATGTGATCTTCACGAGCTACTGTGCGGTCGACGTGCCCGGTGTGGAGAGCCGAACCGAGCATCAGGGGCATAATTATGAACCATGACTAGCATGGGTATGGGCTGATGCTCACATGGCCATACCGGCAGAAATGGGTTGCAATGTTGCTGTTACATGAAGATAACCTAGCCTAGGTCAACGGACCGGGCCCCGTGCCGCAAAGCATGTTGGCTGAGAGTGTTGCGAGATCTTAATGATCCCATAAGGCTGAAGATGGTAACGATTAGATTAATTGATACCAAAAGATGATAAAAATCATCACACTCTTTCCCGGAAGCCCTCAATCCTCAGCTTCGAATACTGGGCTCTCTGTCCCAGAACGTCGATACCGAATAGCTCAACCTACCCCGCCTCAACAAGCCAGAGTTACTCGTAAAATGAGACTAAAATTAAGACAAGTAATAATAGGTGTCTGACAAATTGTACCGTCCCACCGGGAAGTCTCTCCTAGGGGAGCTTGAGAGAGCCAGGTTTATCTCTTGGCGGGTTTGAGCACTGATACCTTCAGCGGAAGTTGCCGCCTGCCTGGGAACGAAGCTGGATGTACAGTACAGTATGTGTTGCAATCTGCAAGATGCCTGTAATGAGACACCGAACCTCCGGTAGCAGCTATTGGCTACGGTAGTGAGATTTACGAATACTCAACAATCAGTGCAAGCGCTGCAAGGGGTCACAGACTAATACGAATGATGAGACAGTCTAGTCTTCAACTGCGCCGCATGATGGGATAGCCAAGAAACTCTCCTCCCCAATAAAGGCTGAAAATCTCCTACTGCACAGCGAACGTGAATTGTGCAGACCATAAGGGTATGTAGCCCACCCGGATGATATGGGGTACCAACCCGAAGGAGAGGCTATTGAGATCTAGATTCTCGAGATTAGACGAGTACACAATAGTACAAGCTGGAGTATTCTTATGAAGGCTACTAAGCGCCTTACCAATTTGGTTTGCAGATATCCTAAGAATTGAGAAGGCTGCCACGCATTCTGAAAGTATCCATCAATCGGTATCACTATCTGTAATTCTCTCACGTATTCATAAACGTTTCTTGTCTTGGGACGTTCCCGATGTGGAGGGTATCTAACAGTCGAGATGTCCATGTGTAGAGGCTAGAGAGCTAGAGAGGGCACCCAGAAACAGTCGGTGGCTGAGGACAAGGAGCTCCACAAACGATAACGAGAAAGTGAAACATATTCTTGAGTTGCAGAACTGTGCTTTGCTGTGCTTTGCTGTGCTGTCATTTTTTGCTTTTTCCTTCTCGCAGAATCAATGTACTGTAAATCCTATACTTGAAAAACTACTTGCCAGCAGCCACGCTTGAGAACCCCACCAAATATCGGCCAAGTCAGCACCGGGCTGTCTGACGAGTTCAACGGAAAGAAACCGGCAATAATACCTTAGAGTACTGTCTGAAAAGGAGTTCAAGGAATCTTTGTATCGTGCCCACAGCGGACATGCATCGGAGATATTACATGTTGTTATGCCAAGATGTTCATCTTCCCTAGTGCTACAGCGCTGAACCAACTCACTGGGCCCCCCAAACACAGCTGGGAGGATCACATCAGTATCAACACGAGCATGGGTGCTTGCTCGATCAAGGAACACCCATGATGTACATGGAAAAGAAACAAAATGTCAGATGCCCTTGTCCCCCACCGCCACCGCGCTAAGTGCGCCCCTAACAGCCCTGCAACTGCAGAGTACTGAGCGTCAATCCGTCTTAGGACGGCTTAGCTATCCTTGTGCGACCAACAACAGGAACGCACAAGCGCCCCCCTGTCAAATGTCAAGTCCCTATTGGTCGAGCAAGTCTCGTTCCAAAGAAGAAGCAAGCTCTGGGGCGCCAAAAGGATGCACTAGAGCGGCGTTGGGGAGGGGAGGGCCCGAGGCTCATGATGGGACGGGTCCGGGCCTGTCCCCGGTGTCCCAAAGTCCAAGTCTAATCAGCCATCCATGTCCTGGAGTTGCTCAAAGGAGACAGGCACAGGCACAAACTAACAGGACTCGCGCTGCGTGTTCACTCAATGTCGCACTCATCTCGGGGAGTATGTCGATGTACCACCACCACAAGTTCCATTCATGGATCTTCACCACCCAACCCACTCACTATCACGGATTCTCAACTGGAAATGGTCAAAACTCCCACAAGCACCACTTATGTGCACTTCGGTACCTCTCTAACACCCTGGCGCCCGTGGCAATGCCTTGGAAAACAATACCCGCACCTCTACTCTAGTAGTCTAGTCACTGACAGTGGTACCTCCATGTGCTCGAGCGATGCGTTTTGCAGCGGCTGTCTCGCCTGTCCTGCAACGGCTTGATCTTAGCGATGGTTACACAGAGCGTGCTACTCCTAGTTTGGCAGAGCCCGGCCGTACCAGAGCAGTCGATATGGGTAATGCCTAGAAGAAGCCCACCGGCGATCCGTGGTCCGTCTCTGTTTCGACTCGTACAGTCAGTCAGTGTCTTTGTCTCACGAGGGAACCCTGGACTTCTCGTCCCATCCAATGCTCCGCCAAACTTCCATGGTATCTGCTGCCGAGCACATTGCCCCAGGCCCTTTGTCTCTATCCCCGGCAGTGAAACCGATGGCCTCAGCCTCTTTCCCTCCTCCAGGCTGGGAGTGGCGGTGATATCGGTATGAGCCCCATCTATGCCTGTTAATGTATGCTTTCGATGGATGCTTGACCTGCCCCTGGGATCACAATAGCATTGATGAAAAAGTGATGAGCTATAGAAAGACCTCATTGCGCCCGAGAACCGGGGCTGACACTGTCCGCCACAGTTGGGCTGCCCTTATGCGTTTCCATGCGTATCGACTTAGCCCTGTGCTCATCTCTGTGACGACTTACCTGACTTGCCTTACTTTAGTTTCTTTTGCTTGCTTGTCCACTCTTGGCTCCTAGTCCCTCCCAAATCCTTTTATTACCCCGGCTGCTTCGAGTCCTCTGCCACCTTTTTCTTGCAGAAACTTTGATTGTTGACTACCGCTAAAATTACCCTTTCCCTCCACCCTCCTCCGTTTTCTCGGCCGAGAAACGGTTCGATAGAAAACGTGTGGTCGTAGTGCTACCGCGAGGAGCCGCGGTGATCTGAACGGGGTGAAACGATACCTCAAGGTATCATTACTTGCTAGCTTTGCTGAGTTGCTGAGGAACCTTTACTGTCTAGGTGTACTTATGGCTCAGAGTTGGCTTAAAGAGGAATCCTCATCGTCTCATTCCGAGAGAGCGGGGGGAAGAGCACAAGCACATGCACACGCACAAGGGCAAGCAAACTCGCATGTATCCTTTACAAATATGAACCATGCGTCCTCTTCGTCGTCAAGGGACCAAGCAGCAGCAACGCCAACAACAGAATCACAAGCACAGGTGCAACTACCTGTTTCAACATCGACGACTACGATCTTCCCAATAACTGATCTGACCACTCATCCGTCTTCTATTCCCCACCCTACCAGCGTCAACACTTTCAATACCATCGATATTCCCTATACAGAGAGCTCTTACAGCAGCAGCAACGTCTCTCCTGCCTCAACGAGTACCCCGGCCACTCCCATTACAGGTGCCGGTAATACTGAACGCATCGCTACCACCAGAAGCCCATCTGTCTCTGCTGCTGGCACTTCAACTAAAACCGCTTCAGTCGCTTCGACTACCTCAGCTTCATCCGACCTCGTTGCACCATCAGCAGCCCCTCCAGCTAAAGCAAAGCGTGTCCGGACAAGTAAGCCAAAAGTCAAGACAGGATGTGCCAATTGCAAGTTCGTCTCCCCAATCCTTATCCCTTATTCCTTAACCTTGGTCGTATTTGGGTGTAATGGTAGCCAAAATCTCACCTTTGTGGTAATTATAGACAAAGGCGAATCAAATGCGACGAGGCTCGTCCAGCTTGTACGCAATGCGTTCGAAGCAACAAAACCTGCACAGGCTACCCGCCCCCTAGTCGCAGTTCCCGTCCGTTCGAGGAGATTCGGATCGCTCCAAAGCCGACGCCAGCATACGATGCCCAAGCATCTTCAAGCACTTCCATTGCTCCTCTCCACGGCGACTACCATCTCCTGCCACGTCGGGCCCACCAAAGATCAATTTTGAGGACCACATCCCCAGGGACTACTTCACCGTCACCCACTACCTACCATCCATCCTCCGCTATGCAGATTCAACCAAAGGAATCCTTCTACTTTGACATATTCCGCTCACATACTGCTAACGAGCTTTCTGGCTTCTTCAACAATCTCTTCTGGACGCACTATGTATTGCAGGCGTGCCACTCTGAAGATGCCATCAAATGCGCTGTTATTGCACTGGGTGCTCTGTATCAGACTCTCGAGCAGACAGCTGCCCTGAATATGCACAGTGGATCCGAGATGGGTGGTGATGCGCGTGTCGAGCTTGTCAGGGGTCATTGGCAAGTTGCCATTAGGAGATATGGTGATGCATGCAATGCTTTGGTGAAATTAAACACCCAAGACCAGAGATCACACAGGACCTCGATAATGGCGAATGTGCTTCTGGCCTGCTTTGATTCCTTTATTGGTGATCACAGGCAGGCCATTCACCAGATCCAGACGGGACTTGGCCTGCTCGACATCTTCCGCACTCAACAAAGACAAAGACTCCTTCCAGTTTCCGAAAATTCGCTGGAGGAGGAATTGGTTATCATTTTTACTCGCCTGGCGATTCAAGCAAAGTCCTACGATATGGCATTCCACTTCCCCCAGCCGTTCAGTATAAGGCTCAGCTCACAATCGCAAACACAATCTCCTGGTCCGAGTGGCACAACTACCCCTTCGCAAGAGGAGCCCTTCTCGATCCCTGAAACTTTTACATCTGTTGTCGAAGCTCGAGTGGCCTGTGATGCGTTAAACGCTAGAATTATGAGATACATCGAGGAGCTTTTCGCCATGAAGACCGACCTCAAGAGTACCCTACCCCAATCGTGGCTTGACTATGGTCTTCATTTCAAGGATTACCTGGACGCTTGGGGAAAAGCATTCGACAACCTATTTTTCACACGGCACAATCCTTCTGTCAGCCTTCAGGAGAAAGCAGGCATTGCTGCACTGAAAATGCTGTCCACGAATTCAAGAATCCTGTACCTCATGATGTTCAGTGATAAGGAGTCTGACTTCGACAACTTTCTTCCTCAGTTTCAAACAATAGTCGATCTTGGTACCGAAATAGTCGGTGACGAAGAGAGGCGAGCCGCCTCACGCGATTGCCCCGATCCTGAGCAATGCCAACATCGCCAGCGCGAAAATTGGCAAAGCCAGGACTTGTTCCCGGCCATGGGATTCTCAGCTCCGCATCTCAAGCCCAGGTTCGCAGCTGACATAGGGATTGTTGCTCCTCTGTTTGTCGTAGCAACCAAATGTCGCGATCCAGGAACAAGGCGCCGAGCTATTCAGCTTCTACGCAGCAGTGCCCGCCGTGAGGGCATGTGGGATAGCGAGATGGTTGCAAATATTAGTGCATGGGTCATGAATCTTGAGGAGTCAGAGGCGCTGTCCATGGGAGTCGAGTCGTATCATGTCGACGGCATCACGAGGCCCATACCACGAATAGTCCCTGAAGAAAAGCGCTTCACAATTCGTTTCGTTGACTTCGACCTTCGAACTCGAGTTGCGGACCTTCAAGTTGGCACTCGCGGTCTGCCACCTGGTATTCCTGATTCTAAATTTCGTCAAACTCGGCTGAACTGGTAGCGAGGCCAGAGGAGTATTGGCGCTCATATTCGTGCTGTATAAAATGGTTTACCAGCCGTGTATATAGACATGGTCTTTCGAGGAGGTGGTGTTTCGGACTCGGAGTTCAAGGAGGATGGGAAATGCGTTGAACTACCATATCAATGTTGCGTTATCAATGCAACAAAAACTTTCTTAAGAGACAGACTCTAATAGTACATCCAACGCCTATCATGCATGTCATTCTGGGACCTAAACATCTCAAATTCGCGCTAATACTGAACAGTGCCACCCATGTGTAAAAGTGCGCATGTCCATCTTGTGACGGTGTTACAGGGGTGGTAACTCCTCTCGACATATGGGACACTGAAGTCGAAATCTCATCCAACCTTCCAAGCAAGCACTATGAAATATATGCCTGCAAGGTGTGACCATATATAAACGACGAGCGAAGACGCCAGCAACGCCGGTGTCTTCGTCTTCGGCTGTGAGCACTGGCACCTCCAGGACTTCACGACAGATTGCGCAGTCGATACTCCTCGTCGTGCTCTGCTTCTTGCTGCCATCATCACCTGACGATCGGGCACGCTCGATACCAGGTGTGTCATCAGCAACCAGGCCAATTGGCAAACCACCAGCTTCGAGGCTATCCTCGCGAAGAACAGGATGGTAGTCCCAAGCATCAGGGGCCCAGCCAGCGGGAATGCCAAAGCGGGGACCGATAATGTCCTGTGCGGCAAGAATGATGAGCTGTATCCAAAGCCAGGCGCAAAAGACAAGGAACGCATGCCGATCCGAGCGGGCATAAAGAAAATTGTCCTCTTTGATCCAGAAATAGGCTACAGGGAGAAGACGTAAGATGGACTGGCCAACGACGAATGGCCAGCCAAGAGCTCGGCGGCAGTTTCGACGGGTATTACGGAGAATTTGAGGAATCCAAAAGGATAGATAGACGAGGACACACAGATTCAGGAACAATGACCTCAGATTGGGATACCATGTTGTAGAAGAAATGGCCAGGAATATAATACACAGGGAGGAGAGAATCATGCGGCCGATGATGCTCTGGAAGGACTGGGGGGCTTCCTCAGCACGTTGCGCAGTTGTGGCGCCAGGGACTGCAGCAGCAGCAATCTCGGCATCAATATCTTGATCGGAGGGGACAATCACAGGCTGTGGCTGAGATCGAGGCGGCGGAGGCCTGGCCGGTTGGTGTGCTGTCACAGGCTCCGGCAAGAGTGATCTGTCTGAAGTCGTCGCTGTCGGTAGTTCGGTACCATTGGTGTTATCAACCATGTTGTTCGCTTCCCGCTCACGTCGAGGCCGGGCTTCAGGGAGCTGAACTTCATGGACTTTGGCGAGAAAGCTTCCACCAATGGTCATGGACAGAAATGCGGCAAACAAGAGGGCCAATGTTGGCAGAAAGGTGGCGCCAGCAGATGATACCCAAGTTGCTGCAGCAGTGAAGGTCATACCGTCAACCATGAGCATAATGGCGATGGTCCAAAAGCTCACTCGACCCATGGTCGATGGGGTGCAGGACTCGCGCATCTGGTTCTTGAGGAGATTGACCTGGCCAAATACAACGATTGCGTAGACAAGAATCCATGTTTTGACCTGGTATAGTTGAACCTCTATCTTCATGCCTGTTAAGTGCTGGGCCTCACTTGGGCCAAAATCTGGCGGTCCTTTGGTCTCCAGAAAGAAGCCGCAGTCTGGAGAGTAGATGATAGCTGACATTTGGAGTTTGGGTATCTTTGGGATGGGTGCGCCAACAGGTGATTGTAACTCTGACTCGATAGCGTCGATAACAGACTCTAAAGTGTCCCGCGATGATTCCTGGGAATCTATGTTGAAATGGGTTCGACTTGGTGGAAAGACTTGCGCATACATAACATATTCGCAATGTGGCGATGGATTAGTAGTGTATAGAGGGTTTTCCAGATCTGAAGTCCATGGTACAGTTTGGTCTGCATATATGTTCTCCCTCTTCGTCGCAATGGTGTGGGCGATCGACTCGTTAAGTAACCTCTGACTAGACTGGAAGAAATCCTCACTTGGTGTAAGGTGTGGCAAGCCGAATATGCCCTCGAACTTCTCGCTGGTGGTGGTCATCAAAACCACACCCTGACGTGGCCAATGAACACCCCATAGCCTCATTTCCCAGTCATGGCCAGAGCCATGCGTATCCTCAATAGTAGTCGTTCCTTTGACACTCCGTATGAGACCTCCAGCGACGGGGACGCTACTTTGAGTTGGTAATTGCTCATACTCGTTGATGGTTTGATTCCCTTCTAGGCGAAGCATCATGCGACCAGTTCGACCAGTGATGTTACGCGCCCAAGGCACATTATCACCAATCCAGTCCATATCAGGAGCAATTTTGCTCAGATTGTAGCTGTTATATCCTCTAGAGATAGAGCCTTTTGGCTTGACCCATTCTCCGTGAACAGTCCCTGATGCATTCAACCAAATAGGCTCACCATGTCCAGTGTCCCACAGATTATGCTGTCCAACAGGTGGTATGGCATGTCGGCTGAAGGCCAAACTCCGCTCGCGAAACCTTTTCAAACCGCCCCAGGAGAGGTTGTCATCCGCACGAAAACCCGTAAGATTCAAAAAAGATGGCTTCACCTTGGAGTCTTTCCCTGGGACTGGTACGAAATCGCCCCATCGCGAAGCATTCAGCACGTCCAGAGCATCCTGAAAATGATCAAGTCTCTCGCCAGCGAGATCGGAAAGAGTAAGAGACTGACTTGAGTAGTCGCTATCGGGAAAGACGAGCCAAACAATGAAAACGATAAATATAAGTGTAGCGATTGGATGTTGGGCTTGAGGCATGATGGATGGATGACCCACGGTAGCGAGCGACTATCACTGTATCATGCTAGAATTGGTTTAGTCGTCGGTCCAAGACGACGTGGTGAAGATGGTAATAACTGAGAGATTGAGCGTGATGAGGAAATGAGTTCGTAGATGTAGGCGATGGCTGATACTTGGTGGTTGATTAGCCTCTCCTCATGAGATATTGTTTGGGTTATGAGACCTGGCGTTCATGGAAGTGGTACGTATCGCAACTCGGTGGTTGTTGGCTGCTGACGGTGCTAAAAAGAAATGCCGTATCCGTCTATTTTCCGGCACAGTATGAATAAGGGGCAGTTCAGCACCATCAAACAAACCAGGTACCGCCAGACACAACCACCAACGCACATATACACGCTCACAAGACAAACATTGCACTCAAGAAACCACTTTGAGTACCTCGGTGTCTCTCTCTATAGACTTTTTCTTCTTCAGTTTAGTTCATTTGACACGCCATCCTTTCGTCCTCCTATCCCAATATCATGATGGCTAGCAACGAGCCGCAACCAGATACCACAGCCAACAGCAAGCCTGAAAATGTATGTTTTATTCTTCCGCGGTTCAGGCAACCGTCTCTGGATTCATTTTATGTAGTGTCGCACTGAGAACGCTTAAGCTGGTTTGCAAGGCCTTCATGGATGGTTTCAACAGCACCGCTGACTCAATTATTCTTTTTCACAGCCTTCAGATGATGCTCGCGCCGATGTCACGGCTGCTGTTGAGGAGCTCCTAAACTCCTTGTCTAACAAATTTGCTGGTGTCTCGTCAGAAATCTTTGCGAAAAGTGAGTATCTACGGCCTCGTATTCCGCACCATCCCGTTAACATAGTGTGAAGTGGATGAGATGTCTCGGAGGCTGGATAATCTCGAGGCAGCTCTTCAAGAGAGCAAGGCCAAAGATGGAGGATCAACCAAGTCCTCGTAAGATTTGAGTTCAAATAAGGGATGTAGGGTGTTTAGGCTTTCTCTCAGATGTTTCGATTCATCACATGCAAATAGAAGTGCTAACATGTCTCGTTACGATTTCATCATGTCGACTAAGATCCAACTACATAAAACCCTTTGATTCGTGACTTCCTTTCCGCTCTCATTTATCATATGTGTGGTTCTTTACAGTTCATCCTTGATCTCTTCGACCTTCTCCTCGACCTTCTGCGTAAACTTCCGAAGAACGTTCGTCTTCTGCTGAATCTGGTCACGCTTGGCGGGGGCCAGTCCACCCTTAGTAAGGATGCCGTCCAAACGAGCGAGCTCCTTCGATACCCAGTCATTGTTCGAGCTCAGCTTGTCAAAGACGCGCACGTAGTACTCGGCGTATGTTTTCTGAGCAGAATCGGTGAGGGTCTCGACCTCCTTCTTGACCTCCTCGGCGACGTCGGCGATGGCAGCACCGCCTGTGATCTTGGCCACGAGCGTGTCAAGAGACTCAACGGTACCAGCAACGGTATCAAGACCACCACCGGTGACTCGGTGGGTTCCGGCATGCTCATTGATCCAGTCAACAAAGGCCTGCTCACTGCGTCCACTTTCGTAGGCTACAGCCTTCTTGCTGCCAGCAGGGAACCACTTAATGGTTGGGTAGGACTTGACACCTTGCTCCTCAGCCACTGCCTTGCTGTTGGGAGCTTCGGCATCGACCTTGGCGATCAGGACATTCTTCTCGTTAACGAATGTGTTGGCGAGGTCTTCCCAGGTAGGGGCAAGGCTCTTGCAGTCTGGAATATGTCAAGATTAGTCAGATTGAACGAAAGAATGGCGCAGGAAAAACTGACGTCCGCACCACGGAGCGGTAAAAGCGACGAGAACATGCTTGTCGCCACCAATGGCCTTGGGAAATGTCGCATCGTTGAGGTAGGTAACCTCGCTGGGCAGCTCAAGCTTCTTCTTGGGTTTTACACCGGTCTTCTCAACGATGAAATTGGTCAGGCTCTCAAGGTCGCGGCCAGACTTGTAATCCTGAGGTTTGCTGCTCTTGCCATCGAAGAACTTAAGGGTAGGGAAACCCTGGATACCAAATCGCTTACCGAGCTCACGCTGAGCGTCAGCGTCGACCTTGGCGATTTGGACCTTGTCCTTTGCGTACTCGTAGGTATTGGCTAGGTCCTCCCAAACGGGAGCAAGCGTCTTGCAGTGTCCACACCACGGAGCGAAGAACTCGACGAGTGTAGGTTTGCCGGACTTGAGAACGATATCGTCAAAATTGGAGGGAAGCAATTCGATGACGGCGGATTTGGCTGCGACGGTGGCGGCAAGGGCGCTCAGCACGAAGCTCTTGATTAGAACCATTTCTTATGATGAACTTGATTCGATTGTTTTTGGATGAAAGAGTAGTAAAAAGAAAGCAAGATGAAGCAAAGCACTGTCTGCAATCAGAGAGGTGCTTGTTTCTGGAGGGTTGCTTGGATATCCACCAGAGATGCCAGCTTGCATAGGAATGTCCGGTGTAGGTGGATATCCCTGTAGGTTAAAGCGGGACCTACAGCTAAGGCAAGCTCGAGCTGTATTGGTCAGCCATCATACCTACAACAGCCCATAGTTTGGACTACATTATTTTCGATGAAGTAGCCTTGGTGAAAGTGCTCTTTGTTTTTTTCGACTCATCATATTGGATGATCCCCTTCGAATCAACTATTTGCAGAAATTGACAGCTATCTACCTCGGGTGTGGGCTACTCAATGGCCTATACGCTACTGACAATGAGAAAGCACAACTATAACATAAATTCACTGAGGTAGCCATGTGAACGACACTTGGCGATTCGAAACTTGCGAGACAGACAAAGTCTATCTAACATCTCCATATAAACAGGACGTCAATGGGCATCTAAATTTAGAGCTTCTTGAAATACCATATTCACGACAAGACCGCTATGGTTCTTACAATGGCCCCCGCCGAGGCTCTTTTAGCTTCAACACCAGCTTCTAGATCTCTTACAGAAATTTAATAGTATTCTTGGCTGCCGCTTGAAATCTTTGCACAGATTCACAGGAAAGACCAGCGTTGTGCATATAGGCGGTCAAATGAAGTACAATCTTAGCGGATATTTCTTGAGAGCAACTCGCTATCAATAGCTCACGATCCTTGACAATCTTGCCGTGTAAAAGGGTTACCACCCCAGCAGCAGGATGGTACTGCCCTCACAATAATACACAGAACATTCGGGAATAGCATATTCAAGCTCATGCAGAAATCGAGTTTAAGCCAATGGTGCAAGATAGACGCTCATGTTCGTTTGCTCTTCAGTGGATGTCAGGTAACCTTGCTGGACAGCTCCACGTCAGTGGAGGAGAGCGGGTCCTTGTTTTACCCCGGGTCATTGATAGTCCGGGACCCGATGTGCCCTGCTCCAACCCGAACTGGGGCTGCGGAACCTAGTAGATCAGCGCACACAAAATTTCCAGCGGCAACCCAACTCGCGAAATCAAATCATCCCGCAACCCTTCGAGCTTTCGGCCTTCAATCATCACCGCAACGATGTCTCACGAAAGCGTCTGGAACTCCCGCCCCCGAAACTACGGCAAGGGCTCTCGCAGCTGGTACGAATCTATATCTCCTTTGCCCGAAATTCTATGCGCCTGATGGCGTCAAAATCATCGACCGAATATGATTGATGCTAACATCTCGCAGCCGCGTCTGCAAGCACAAGGCTGGTCTCATCCGAAAGTACGACCTCAACCTGTGCCGTCAGTGCTTCCGTGAGAAGGCCAAGGATATCGGCTTCAACAAGGTGAGTTTCAATCGAGCGGAACTACTATGGGCCCCAACACCCAGGACGACGTTCGGTCAAGTAGTGGGAACAACGAAACTGACCCGGGATTGCCTGCAGTACCGATAAACGATCATGACACCCGGTTTTCTCGGTTAAGGGATGGGGGGGGGGGGGGGGCTGCTAGAGAGCATAGTATTGTGTGGATGGGGAGAACTCTCAGCAGAACGTCAAAGGCCTCGCGGTAAAAAAAGAGCACTCGGAGGGCGGCCGCTTGGAACAGGAGTTTTATGGCTTGCTTGGGTCCCTCAGGAAGATCGTGCGTCTGACGAAAATCCTCCGAGGATAGACGAATACCATTGCATTGGACCTCGATCATGTCTATGTGTCCTGTCTTATCCTCCCACCTTTCCGCATGACCAGCCTGTGGCTATGGAGTGCATCGGGTCAATGTGATTAATGACAATCCTAAAGAAAAACTCCAAGTGCTGGCCCTCGCGCATCCTTGAAGACCCCGTTGTGCTCATCAAATGTTGATCCAGTCATCATGACTTATCACGGCCACAATGACCATCATACTGCCGCAATGAACAAGCGATTCAAGCCGAAATGGGTTTTCTAGTTTATAAGTCTTATTACTGCCTCCCCTAGATTTTATCTAATTCAGATCACCAAGAAGGTGGGAGGAAGCAGAGCGGAGATCTTTGAGCCCCAAGGCCAGCTAAATAAATGTACAGGAGCCAAAATGGACTCAAAAGACATTGCATGATTGTACATAAGCGTAATAATTCGTACACCGTCCCCGTTAACTTTTTCATTTCTTGTCTAAAGCGCCGCTTACTTGATGATGCGAGTGCAGAGACCAGTAGCGACAGTTCGGCCACCCTCACGGATGTTGAATCGCTGACCAACCTCGATGGCGTTGGGGTGACCCATGGTGACAACCATCTCGGTGTTGTCACCAGGCATGACCATCTTACTGGAGGCATCCTCAGTACCCTCGGGGAAAGTCAGGTCAATGGACTCATCTGCAGTTCGGAGATAGAGCTGGGGTCGGTAGTGCTCCTGGAAACCGGTGTGTCGGCCACCCTCCTCCTTGGTGAGGACGTAGAGGGAAGCGAGAAACTGGGTATGAGACTTGACGGTGCCAGGAGCGCAGACGACCATACCACGGCGGACATCCTCACGGCGAACACCTCGGATGAGGAGACCAGAGTTGTCACCAGCCTGGGACTGCTCACAAGACTTCTTGAAGGTCTCAATGTCGGTAACCTTGGTCTTGATAACCTCCTGACCCTTTCCGACAAGCTCGATCTCCTGATCACGCTTCAGAATACCACGCTCCACACGGCCAGACACGACGGTACCACGGCCGGCAATGGAGAAGACATCCTCGACGGACATAAGGAAGGGCTTGTCAAGGTCACGCTCGGGGGTTGGGATCCACTCGTCGACGGCAGCAAGGAGCTCATCGATCTTCTCGGTGCCAATCTCGGGGCGCTGGTTCTGGAGAGACATAAGAGCAGAGCCCATGATGACGGGAGTGTCGTCGCCTTCGAAGCCGTAGGTGTTAAGAAGCTCGCGCATCTCCATCTCGACGAGCTCAAGCATCTCGGGGTCATCAATGGCATCGACCTTGTTGACGAAGACGACAATTCGCTGGACACCGACCTGACGAGCGAGGAGCAAGTGTTCGCGGGTCTGGGGCATCTGTCCATCGGAGGCAGCAACGACGATGATAGCACCGTCCATGTTGGCTGCACCGGTAATCATGTTCTTGATGTAATCGGCGTGACCGGGGCAATCGACGTGGGAGTAGTGGCGGTTGTCGGTGGCGTACTCGATGTGTGCGGTCGAGATGGTAATACCACGCTTTCGCTCCTCAGGAGCCTTGTCAATGGCACCATACTCAAGGAAGTTGGCGAGGCCCTTGTCGGCCTGTCGCTTTGTGATGGCAGCAGAAAGAGTGGTCTATGATAAAGAGTCAGTTGGGTTTTGAGAGAGAAAGAGAGGGGTTGTAGGATATAGAGGACGCAGTCATACCTTGCCGTGATCGACGTGACCAATTGTACCGATGTTCACATGAGGCTTTGATCGCTCAAAAACAGCATATGTGCGGTAAAGGTTGAGGACACCGGAGGTGTTCTGCTTGCTAAAGGCGGACTGAAGAGGGTTGATGGGGTTAGCCCGTAGACCTTGTCGGGCGGTGCGCAGGAAAGGCGCAAGTGATCGGAAAGCGGTCGACATTGTGACGGCTCCCTCTAGATAGTATAAATGACAATTAAAAACGAGATGGAGCAGAGAGTAAGGGGAACAGAGGCGAGAAACACACGATGGTGCTGTCGGGGTGCACGATGGAGACGGAGATGGAGATGGAAAGCGGCTATAATGAGGCCTCGAAATTTTCTCGAGCTATCAAGCCAGGCCTCTGGTCTCGCTCCAAAGGTGTCTGTTCGGGAATGGATATCTGGTGGAGCCAACCAGCCAGGTTTACGCCCACTCAAACCACAAGGAAATAAAACAGGTAGATCACGTGGCGTTGATGAAACTTGGGTTCCATATCAAGTTCCTGTACTTATGACCTACCTAAGGTACCTAAGGTATGTAAGGTATACAATACCTAGGTAGTTTGTACGGAGCAGCTGAAGAGCTTTATAGTTTCAAAGGCGTATGAGTTGCACTTCTTTGTATTGGTGTAAATTGACTGCCTTTGGTCGGGCAATGGTACTTTTCTGGCTTCCAGATTTATACAATGTATCAACGACTCGGGACTATATAATGTACTTAGCCTACTATCCTTTCATGGCCCCAAGGGATTTCTAGATAACTCTCGGGATCAGTAGGAACTGAAGTACTGTAGTATATCCTAAGTGACTAGGAATTTTTTATCGGAGCGATTCGCGAAGCACTGCCAATCGTATGCCTTCAACAATAGCATAATAGCATGGAAGTATCCTGTACCCTCATCTTATTTGCGGGTTCTAGAATTTGACCAGTGAGCCGGGTCCATCGGAGAAGGCCAACTAAAAAGAACCTCCCAAGTCGCGCGCCATATAAAAATCTCAACCGCAGCACCTCAACTCACAAGCTCTGACATCTTTCCCTCTCCTCACTGAACCAAGCATTGCTCCTTATCCTATCCTGGGACCATTATTCCCGTCGCTTCAAACCTCAGCCCCTGGACATCTACACGAATACGATTATTAAACTCACCTGGTTTAAACGCGACCGTCTCTTCAGACCTTCAACAGCGAAAACAGCAACCTCCTATTAGAGCAGGTTCATTCACAAACCCGTAGCCCACTTCTAAAGTAACTGAAAACGTTTACAATGGATCCTGTTGGTCAACAACAGCAGCACCAGGGCGAGCAACCTGAACTCAATGCCTTTGGGAAACTCACTGCTCAGTTCCTGCAGTATGGAGCCAATGCATCCAACAACATTTCAAACGCCTTTGACAGCATGGACACAAAAGCATGGCTTCGTCTTACCGTCATTGTCGGTGGCTATATGCTGCTGCGGCCCTTGTTCCTCAAGTTCGTTACTAAGGGGGCTGTCCAAAAGATGGAGGATGAGGATGCCCGCGAAAAGCGCAAGGCACAGATTTCTCCCAATGAGCTACGTGGACTAGTTGAGGATGAGCCTGAGATTGACGAGGAGGGCGATGGCACCGGTGCCGATTGGGGTCAGAAGGCTAGAGTGAGGCAGAGGACTATGCTGAAGGATCTTCTCGAAGCTGAGGAACGACGGAGGGAAGAGGAGGAGGACGATAAGGATATTGCTGATCTTCTAGAGGACTAGACTCTTATCATCTGGGCTTCTTTGGGCGCATTGGTGGGGAGTTTCTGGTTTGGCTGATCGAAAGTGACAAGAGGGTCACATCACGGGCTGCAAGCACGTCTCCTGGACTGGCTACTGACTTGATTGAAAACTTGGGCACCTCCATTTCGGTTTCTTGTAAAACGCAGGTTTAAGCTGGTTTTCCCAGTGAGGCTGATTCTTCTGATTAGAAAGAATCCCACCAGACCATACCGATAGTCTGGGAAAGCGGAAAAAGACGTAGTCTGAGTCATAATATTATTACATATGTATAGTTTCGCCGTTGTTTGGGACGATAAACATTATTGAGTTGACCTAGGATGCCCATGCTTATTCCATAAACCATAAAATCCAACCAGAGCTTCCAGCCGAATGTGGTTCACGTTGACCAGGGAACAGGTTTGCCCACGACTTACAGGTCAAGTAGTTCAGCATTGTAGCGCTGAAACTACACGTATAAGAAAGCATTAAGGGAAACTTGATATTCTAACACTAGGAATATAATGATAAATTGTTTTCACGTGTGGATTCACAAGTATTTCTGACAGCTACAACTAGCGAGAGGATTCTGTCTTAATATCCTTGACTACCAGGCACTTATAGCAGGCCGCCTTTGACCAGATTTTGATAGCCTTGTAAGGCATGAAAACAAGTACTGGGTATGGTCGTTAGCTCTTAGCATAGCCGCGATTATCCCGCACGAAATATACGAGAGACATTATTATGTATTGATATTACTGGCAATCCTTCCAGCGTCAGAGAGTTAGTGAACAGAAGTGATTGTCTTGGGATTACCACTGGAGGTTATTTGAGGCACCTACTCTGGTGGCATGGGAAGATCCGCCTGCTGTATTACTCTGTGCAACCGTTCGATGCTGCATAAAGTTCTCTGTCCGGTTACCGAGACATGATATCCATGATCCATCTTGTGGTGATACGTTACCCTTGAGCAAATCGGTGATTTTTAAGGTGGCTTTAATGGCGTGCAAATCGAAACGTAGGAGGGGCAACCTGGCGGGGGTATTGGAGAGGGGTGGCAGGGTAGATGCCCAGCTGCCCACCAAGAGGTACTTCGATTTGCGTGATCCCACAGCCAATTATCAAGTACTTCAAGTGATTGATGCTATGTCATCTGGCTTCGTACTTCGATTTGGACCCAAACTGCGCCCCAAGGCATCTCCGACACCTTCTCGTTCCTTCTGACGTCGCCGCCTTGAAACCAAAACTATAACCGACCCGAAGAAGATCTTGTCTTTTTTCTGCATTTTTGTTTAGGCTACCAGGCTTGAACTTATAGTTTCGGCTTCAACATTCACTTAGAGCGTTTCTCAACGGGTGATAGACCTGGACTACGAACTATTTTGGAGCGCCCGCACCAACAACAACCTAACCTTCCCGTCTCCAGCAGGCCTGTGCGACAATAGAAAACAAACATCAGCAAACTGCCCGAACTGCGACTTGATCCAAGCAGATCTACTTGGTTGTCCTTCGTTTTGTAATTCGTGGTCGCATTTGCTGTTCTTGTTCCCTCGGTAGTGTATCATGATTTCGTGCCGATCAGACATATAGACGCTTGCATCATGGGCGAATCGTTTGACATACAGAACCTCCTCCAGGCGGGCTACTTCACAACTTCTCGAGCCAAGAGTCCGAAGCCGTATGGTCACCAAGATCCTACAAGAGAACTACTACTTACACAGAAAAATAGTCCATCATCGCCAAAGTTAGATGATCGTCCTTCCTCTCAACCCCCACCGTCGCAACAGCCGCCATATCAGCTACCTTACTACCCTTTAATACCACGACCACGGTCCGCCGCGCCGGCACGCGTACCAAGAGTTAGACCGCCGCCCCCATCTGTGGAAGATGAGGAAGTTTCTCTCAAGCGAGAGCATGGTGTGTGCCTCGCAAAGCATCAGGAAGAAGAGCCTCCATCTCGTGGAGATATTGAACAGAACCCTATGATAATGGAAGTTCATGAATATAACCCGGAGCGGCGGTTTGTCATTCTGACAGGATCATCAAGCGGCTCAGAGGGTGGTGAAACAGAAACGAGGGTTGGGTCGGACAGGAGACGTGAGACCGAGAGAAGAAGAGAAGAGGACCGACGCAATGAGCCAAGCAGGAGACCCGAACCTGAACGAAGGGCTGAACCTGAACGAAGGGCTGAACCGGAAAGGAGGAACGAAACAAAAACTCCTCGTACTGACCGGTTCGAGAAACCCCAAAGGAATGAGCGACTCGAGCGACAAGATCGGCCATCGGGTGACGCATACACGGACACAAGATCCAGCCGGAGATACGATACTACCCTCAAGGCTGATGCAACAACGAGCAGGGAACGTAGTCGACCACCGTTGGAAAAGAGACGCAGTAGGCAGGATCTACCTCGACTCGAAACCGAATTTAGAGACGACCAACTCCCCGAAAAATACCGTACTCGTCCTTCAGCCCCCGCCAGCGGACGACATGACCAGCCCCCTGCCCGACCCCCAAAGATTCCTCTTGATCCCCAGCTCGCACCTGAGGTTATTAAAAGTAGCGCCAGCGGACGGGATCAAGCGTACTATGGACAGTCTCAGAGTGCTTCTCGTAGGTCTCCTACTCGACCAGGGCATGTATCAAGCGCCCCGAATGAGCGACGATATGATAATGGACACACTCGTACTTCTTCAACCACTTCCACCACAAAGCGTACGAATGTCGAGACCGAGAAACCGACACGCCCCCTTTCAAAAGAGCGGGTTGGAGATGCATCAGCTCGCCCTCTGTCCAAGGACCGTGATGAGCAGCCTGCCCGTCCGCTTTCAAAGGAAAGAGTTGGAACTGAATCCTCTTACCGAGGCGAGTACTTACCAAGAAGTACCAAGAAAGATAGGTCCCCTTCCTATGGGAGGACTGATCGTGAAGATTATGGAAGATCATCGACATACCCTCGTGAGCCAACACGGGAACCAACAACCAGACGTGATGACCGTCGTGATGATCGAGGCGACGACAATCGCTCTGGTGACGATCATCCAAAGGGTCCACGAGAATTGCACCCAAGACGTAAGAAGTCTGTCGTGTTGCAGGATGAACGCGAATCTCAGCCAAAGCTGGAAAAGGTTGATGCACCAAGTGGCCCCCGATTGAGACCACGAGGACCTACGATGCCTATTCCAGTCGCTATCCCTACGGGTTCGGCAGTATCGGATGATTTTACTCAAAACTTACGACCTGCGTCAACCTTTCCAGTTGCTCGAGATGAGCATGTTCTTCCAGAGAGGCCTAAAAATGAGCTTCCATACCCCGTGGATGAGGACACTTTGATCGACCCCTTCGATACCCGCGGCAAGTCTGAAAGAATTGGTAGGCCACGATCCCAATACGAACCAGACCCAATCATATCAATGCCCGAGATGCCAACGCCTATTGCCATTGGCCCCGAAATACCACTTGAAGCCAGGCCAGCATCAGCTATTTCATCTGCCACTCGCTCTCCAGCTTCTTCGCAGTCATGGCAACCTCCAACATTTGACCCCAATCGAGATGGCGTTCGCCTTGAGAAACCGGTGGGGTCCGTTAGGCGTCACTCGGAGCATCAAGAAGCGACAGGTGTAACCACGTTTCCCGAATGCCGCCGCAAGCACCCCGTTGCAGGTTTGGTGGACTGGCTTACACTGCCTCGTACAGAGTTCAACATTTGTCCTGATTGTTATGGTTCCGTCTTCGCCAAAACCGAATACCGAAAGCCATTCCAGCCGATGCTTCGCCCCTCGGCTCAAGCGATTGCATGCGATTTTGGCGTTGGGCCATGGTATCGCATTGCTTGGCTCCTCACCTTGAAAAACGAACTGCCGGATTTACGACTCTTTCATGAGGTTGCCAAAGCCATATCTACCACTTACAGCCTCCCGTGCCCTGGTGATAGAGTCACCACACGTAATTGGCTGACGCTCTGGAACCCATACACTCGACAGCCTGTATATGATTTTACCATATGTCCCCAATGCGCTCAAATTATCCAGGCACTGTTTCCCAATCTGACTGGCATTTTCATTCCTCTGGACTCCCGCTCAGAACCTACCAGGGGGCTTTGCGCCATGCGTTTTAAGCCAAAAAGAAAGCGTTTCGTCATGTACTTTGACGCCATGGAAACGACTTCAGATCAAGCTCGACTGGAACAGGAAGAGCCAGACCTTGGCACTCTTGCACAAGAAGTTGAGAAGATGGCCGCAGTGAGCGAGTGTCAAGAGGACAAGCCAATCACCAACGGATACTGGCATATCATGCAATACCTTCGACAGTTCTCTGTCTGTGGCGAATGCTTTGATGAGGTTGTCAGGCCATTGATAAAAGACGATAATGTCATCGCTCGCAACTTTTATATGAAGCCACAAAAGCTGCCACTTGCAACCTGCCAGCTCTACTCTAATCGAATGAGAGAGATTTTTAGAAAGGCATGCCGGTGGAATGACCCTAAATACTTAGAGGCTAAGGTACTCGAGAGGATGGACGTCGAAGCCATGATTCACGAAAAGCTGGCCAAGCTGGATAGATCCAAACATGAAGACGAGGATTGGGTTGAGGAACAGGTAGATAAGTATATTCAAGAATGGAAGAGGTGGGAATAATGGGACATGACGCAAGGGACACGGTAAGGTGGGATATCTGCATCTTGGAGTATTTAGAAGGGCATAATGATGACATGTACTTATGCTAAGACGGAGCGACTCGAGTGAGCCTTTATGAGAATGACACGAACACTATGAACATTGTCTATGTTGTATCTACCTATCCAAGTGATAGTGCTCTCGGTGTAAGCCACAAAGATCCCCCCAGATGAGTACGAATAGTGCTACTCGCACTGTCCTATGGTGGGGTGCTTATGCAAAAGTCGCTACTTAAAGTGGAGCTTAGGGTCTCTCCGCCCACCAAATTTGATTGCCCGCAAAATATTCTAAGTGAAATTTCGTGAGCCTCGCAACCTCCCACTCCATCACCAATTTCGACGCCGCACGACCCGAGGTAAGAACTCAACGCCAGCTGTTGCAATTAATCTGGACCTTTTTCATACTAACTCAAGCATCATCAACAGGTCCAAGTCTCAACCTTCGCAATGGCTTCGCGACCTACCGTCTCTATCATCGGCAAAGATGGTGCTCCCACTGGAGCTACCCACGCCATTCCCGCCGTCTTCACCAGCCCGATCCGACCGGACATTGTCCAGCAGGTTCACACCGGTATCGCTAAGAACAAGCGACAGCCTTATGCTGTGAGCGAGAAGGCCGGTCACCAGACCTCTGCCGAGTCTTGGGGAACTGGTTAGTACACGATGTCTTTTTTCCCCTAGATTTATGGCTCTAGAGGGGAAATTTTCTGTGGGCGGGGAGAAAATCACGGAGGTGGACGAGGGAGAGACGAGAAATGTTTTGGGATTGCACGACGATGAGCAGAACAGCAGGCTAACCACATTGCAAACAGGTCGTGCTGTCGCCCGTATCCCCCGTGTCTCTGGTGGTGGTACTCACCGCGCTGGTCAGGCTGCCTTCGGTAACATGTGTCGCTCCGGTCGCATGTTCGCCCCTACCAAGATCTGGCGCAAGTGGCACGTCAAGGTCAACCAGGGCCAGAAGTAAGTTTATTTTCGACGACGAGGCTCGCAATTGCAAGGCTAACGTGCAACACCAGGCGATACGCCGTCGTCTCTGCTCTCGCTGCCTCCGCTGCCGTTCCCCTGCTCCAGGCCCGTGGCCACCAGGTCAACTCCGTCCCCGAGGTTCCTCTGGTTGTCGACTCCGCCGTCTTCGAGGGTGCTGCCATTGCCAAGACCGCTGCTGCTTTCGGCCTCTTGAAGGCTGTTGGCGCTGGTGCCGATATTGAGAAGGTCAAGAACTCCAAGAAGCTCCGTGCTGGTAAGGGCAAGCTCCGTGGCCGACGTCACCGCCAGCGACGTGGCCCTCTTGTCATCTACGACCCCGAGACCGACGGCAAGGAGCTCGTCACTGCTTTCCGCAACATCACTGGTGTCGAGACCTCTCCCGTCACCGCTCTTAACCTCCTCCAGCTCGCCCCTGGTGGTCACCTCGGCCGCTTCATCGTCTGGACCTCTGCTGCCTTCAAGGCCCTTGACGAGATCTACGGTTCCACCACCGAGGCCTCTGCCCACAAGCGTGACTTCCTCCTCCCCTCCAACGTTGTCTCTCAGGCCGATCTTACTCGTCTGATCAACAGCTCTGAAATCCAGAGCTCTCTCAACGCTCCCAAGGGCGAGGCTGTCACCCGCCGATCTGCTGTCCAGAAGAAGAACCCTCTTAAGAACAAGCAGGTCATGCTTCGCCTGAACCCTTATGCCTCCGTGTTTGCCCAGGAGGCTCAGAAGAAGCAGAACTAAAATAATTCTCGACTTGCTGGGTGTGCAGCGGGTTAAGACGGAACTAGATGACGGGTCTTGCATGGTTTGATATTGAGGCGTAATGGCTTCTTTGAAGGTTGAGCTCTCTTAAAAATGAATCAGAGATTTGATATGAATTACAGCCTGACTCGGCATTGGTTCCATAACTTGATGCTTGTTTGCCGTAACTGTGATCTCAGCTTGCTACGTTTGATTTCAGCGTGATTGTCGTAACACTAGTTGTTTTCGTTTTCATTTTTAATGCCCTACACACATGTGGCATCGAGGTTGACCTGTACAGTGACTATCTTACATGTTGGTAGCCTGGCTATTTTTCTTGTTCAATGCTCATCATTCAGTAACTCCTGTTCATTTATCTACTCTAGCTGGGTAACTCTTCGAGTAGCTTCTCAATCTGTGCCGTATCGTTAATCTTGAAGAATTCACCCACAGATCGTGCAAATCTGCTTGCGCCACCGTCAATATTCTCGTCGCTCTCTGCTGCGAAGCACAGTCGTATATACTGCCAGCCACGCTTTTCCCGAATCTCCGGGGTGGCACTGAACATGCTACCAGGGCTGCCCAGCACCAGATGAGGTGCATGAGTACTATGGATCAGAAATGCATTTGCCAATGCGGTGCCATCAATGACAGGGGCAATGTCGCCCCCTCTGGTCTGGTAGAGAGGGTGCTTCTCGAAGTGGACACGCACCCAGACAAACATCCCTCCACGGGGCCAGTCAAAATCGAACAAGCGTATCTTGCTGATGACGTCCCAGTCCAAGTCTGGGTTTTGGGACGTTGACTGCCTCAGAGAAAATGCATTCTCTTCAAGGATAGTGCACATTCGGGTCATGCGACGCTCATACTCGCCACGAAGGCCCTCAAGCCATCGCACCCAACCATCAAGCTGCCAGCCAGTAAACGAGGGTTTCTCTGATTCTGGGAGAGAGGAGAATGTCTCAAGAGTTGATGAGTGAGGGCCTAGAATGGCTTGAGCAATGAGTGCTTGGACGAAACCTGAGGGCTGGCCAGTGCTGGTCTCTGCGATCCTATTCATCAAAAGTCAGCTTTTACGATACCGATTACCGAGATACAGAGCAGCATACCTAGTAAGACGTTCGATGATTGCAGGTTGTGCAGTGGCATAACCCAATCGAGAACCAGGGGCAACTGTCTTGGAAAAGGTATCGAGACGAATGACACGGCCGTCAACATCAATGCTAAGATATGATGGAACAAGTGAATCTATGAAGTCGTAGCCAGATGACTTAACTGTCTTGTGTGAATCGGCCACTGGGGGGATAGCATAGCCCCTAGCTTTGGCTTCGTGTATCGCAGCGGAAGGGAACTGCAGATACCAATACGGGTCATCTTCAACAATGATGATGTCGTACTTGCTTGCCAGCGCGTAGATCTCCTTTCGTCTCTGAACGCCTACAACACCACTGGTAGGGTTATCTCCCATCCTGTAGTTAGCGGTTAGTATATAAATACGTTCTTAGTTAGGCCAAATTACTCACGTTACCGTGTATAAGAAATGTGGCAGTCGTCCGTTTTGAGGATTCCAGTTCTCGAGCACCTCTCGCAAACCACCAGATCCTTCGACTATCATACCTTCCTCGTCAATCTCAACTGGAACAACATTGACTCCAAGAGGCCGAGCTTGAGTAAGGATGTTACCAAAAACAAAGGTCTCACAGAGCATGCCCGGCCGCTCTACCACGGGATGCAACCCCTCATACCAGGGGTCAACCAGGAGCTGAAGGACCTTTGAGAACCCATCCGTGCCGCCATTGTTGAGAATGACATCCACGCCACCTTGGTATGGAACGCTTGGGTGAAGTACTTGGTTCGTGAACTGCCTAATGAAAGAATGCAGCGGCGGGTAGCCAGTCACCTGTCCATACTGAAGGGCAGTGGCAAGGTCAACTTTCTTAGTGATGTCTGGTTCGTTTAGAATCTTCGGTATAGAGATCCTAGACGATGTTTTGTTGTAATCTGGATTTCTAGGGGCGTTTTTGTCCGGACTGTTGCTGTATCCAATAACACTGCCTGACAGAGACTCGGTTGATGGATCAACCTTGTCAGGGTGATTCGGTGAGGGCTCCCAACGGTCCGCGTTGGATATCTGAGCTTCCAAGGTATCGAAGGGGAAATATTTGACATTGGGCATTCCTACCGGCGCCGTGTTAGTGCGGACCGTGTAATACGGAGGCTAACAATCAAAGTTTCGGTGCCTCGGTGCCGGGATCGTCGATCACCGACCGAATCCTACTCACCTCCAGCAAAATTGCTGATGCCCGGAATCTGCATGAATTTGTAAAAGGCCTTGATATTGCTTGGCTTGCGATTTCTAGTCACTTTTGAGAACAGGTGCGACAGGTCTTTGGGTGGAGGTAAAGCTTGGAGAGCCGTCGCAGCTGGCGAAGCCTGGGCTGTAGCATCAGTTGCGGATGGTGCCATTGCCAAGATCAAGACCAGTTGACTTTTCAGAAATTGTTGTGTTTTCAATCAAGGCCTGAGAGGATGCAAAGGTAATCGATATGTAAGAATGAAAGAACACAAGCAAGATAAGAATGAACGTTCTTTTCCCCTCTTCAAGTACCCTTGACGTTTCTTCGCGTATCTCTAACCGGATGTTCTATTGATAAGGCAATCCAACTATTGCCCTGACTGGGTTGGACCGGACCTGTTCACTCGCATTCCCGATGGCCGAATTGCCCCAAAACGTTGGATCCATGGTCCTTCCAACTGCATTACAAATCCAACCCCGACTCCCGCCATTCTAACCCACCATCACAACATCACTGCACTCGCACCATCCCCAAAGACCCCATAGTTTGCCGAATCGGATATGGACTGAGTGGGAACCACCACCAACGGTTTGCTTGACAGTCTGAAGCCCCTGTCCTAAGCATCCTATCACATCATCTGGGGTCAAGACGATATTGAATCGCAACGTCCTAGACAAATGGCGAAATTGTATTGCGAATTTCTGTAATATCTCGTCTTTCAGTCTTGATCAGAGCTCATATCTCCCCTTCTCCACATCAGGTCGAGCTCCAGGCTCATAGTGAAATCCAATCTCCTCAAAGGTCTGAGCCTTGCAACCCAGTTGTTCGAATCTCGCCTTGGCTTCGAGGAACATGCTGCGCTGCCACATAAGCTCGTCATTCCAGTAAGGTGGCTCTTTTCTTGGCCGCTTGGCCTTCATAATCCAATCGTGCAATTTGTTGATGTAGTGGCCATCTCCGTTGGGACCAAACACATGTAAAGCGTCGCCTTCCTGCTTCTCCAATGCCTGGCTCCAAGCTTCCATGGCGCCTCGAGCTGGAAGCTCAATGTTGTTGGACCACACAGCTGAAAACAGAGCTGCTTGGCTCTCACTCAACGGCCAAGGGGCTGCTTTCATGTTGAGGCCTGGGAAAACGAGGGTTGGATGCTCAATATTGAAAATGTGTTGGTACAATCCGTGCACACCTCGGCCTGTGGTAATGAGCTGGTGGCCTAGATCCCCAAGAAATGGGAAGCTAAAGAGGAAGCCGGTGCAGAAGACGATGGCGTCAATATCCGTCTCAACTCGGCCATCCTTGAAACGGATTCCCTTTTCCTCAACCAGGAACTCATCAACCTCTGCTGTTTCCGTACACCCAGAGTGAGCTAGTCGATCTGGGGGTGTAGGGTGTCGCACAGACAAGATAGCAGGCTTTCTACACTCCTGATTGATCTGCAAAGCAATGTCGAGGCCAGACGGGCCATTACCAATCACGACTACCTTGCTATCTCTAAAAGGATAGGGAGTGCGATACTGTTTGGAGTGCGTAATTACTCCGGGGTATGCCTCGTTAAACTCTTTCAAGTTCTTCATATTGGGTACAAATGGTATCGAGTAGTGACCGTTTGCAACGACCACGGCATCAAAGGTATTCGTGGTTATGTTGCCGCTATTGATAGTTGATTGTGTTTCAACCTCCCACCTGTCCCGACCATCTCGCACTTTCAGATTCACCCGCTCGACACGTTGACAAAAACGAATCAGGGGTTTGACATCCTCTGCATACTTGACCAGATAGTCCTCGATCATAGGCCTCTCAGGGAAGAGCTTGGAATCCTCGGGAAAGGCTTGGTCGGAAAAGTTCATGACTTCCTTTGGGATATTGGCGTGCAGGTTCTCGTACATCGGCGAAGTGAACATCGGAGCTGATGTCGAATTCCATCTGATGGGGTTTTCAGGAGGGCAATGAGGATCTTCTTGAGGCACAGGACAAGTTCCTGGGGCTAACCCATAGTATCGCCAAATGCCGCCAACATGGTCCTGCTGCTCAAAGATAGTAATGTCCTCAAAACCCTGCGCAATGAGATATTTCGCTGCCGCAAGTCCAGTAGGACCAGCCCCGATGATTGCGATTTTGCGGACGTCGAAAGGCGTCGGCTGAGTCAGAGAGCCCATATTGTGCCTACAAGAGGTGAAGCAACTAATAAGGCAGCGTCCAGTCCCAGGCACGAACCGCTTCTTCACTGGTGTACCGTTGCGAAGCAGGAAAGATAAATCAGCAAATCAATGAGTTGCCTAGGTAATCAAATTCTTCTATGGACAAGCCTGGGAAAAGTCATCAGCTTTCCCTTGCCATCGAGATACGCCTAAACCTGAGTGGGGGTAGGAACCATTTCGACTTTGTCCCGACTCTTTTTACTGCTTCTGTTAAGTCACGGTAGTTCGGTGCTTCCCATTGGAAGTCCTGGCCTGTTGTCGGCCCCAGAGCCGCATAAGAGTGGCCGCCGTCTAACACCCGGCGATTTTCAACGGTAGTGATAGACTGATAGGCTAGACCCAGTGATTCCTTCACCGCCTTCTACTTTCGGACAGATCCCCACCACAGCTTGCTTTCGGCCTTCCTCCTTGCTCGGAAGCTTGCATATCGATTTCATTGTTCCAACAACAATTCACACGTCCACGAACGAATCAGCGCCTCGAACGCGGTTAACAGCAGCTTGACCAACGGAAAAGACATACGAGATGCGACAACCATAAAATCATAGAAACAACAAATAAAAGCTGTCGCACATGATTTAACACAGCAACACAGTCCCTCTGGCTTTTCAGGTCCCGCCGACGCGACTGACATTGCGACCAAACCACGATGAACAACTCGCAACCCACAACATCATTACTTGACCATGGCGAACCCATATCAATCGCCCAGCTCAGTCCGGATGTCCCAAGTCAAGATCCACGAGTTATAATTGGCACCGTAACTATCACATGGCCATTTAGCATCCTCAACAAATCTATCGCATTTCTTTTAGCTGAGCGAGACTTTCGACTCCGACGCGAGAATGGCCAGGTGCGGATCCGTTTCCATGGTGCAGCCGCTAGGGCGATCGCAGATGCATCGCTGGGAGCAGGGGACGAGGTTCGTGTGAGCCTGCAGGGCGTCAAGTGGGAGAAGAACGAGACACAGACTCAAGTCGCAGGAAGCACTCTTGCATGGCAGCTCGAATTTTCAAATCGCTTGGTACTTGGTATCCGTCGACCCGGAGAAGAACGAGACACATTGCTCACTATCGACGCCCCAGACGCAGAGACGGAAGTTGTTACCACCAACGGCCAAATTGAGAATACTGACCAAGTCGACACCCTCGCATCCGTGCCCGAGCGACCTGCCACACCTACGCCTTTATCTCCAGAAGTCACCTTGCCTCTGAAACGAACTGCTTCATCGACTTTGGATCCTCTTGAATTCACTTCGCCTGCTTTCCTCAAACGAGCGCGTGTCTCTTACGGGGCATTGTTCGAAGGAGATATAGACATGTTAGATGACGAAGTTGGCAGGACCAAATCGAAAAAGCGCACGCGGTTCAGTCTACCTGCCAACTCTTGGCGTTACACTAGCCGATCCCCTAGCCCTGAGCCTGAGAATGATCATGAAGAGGAAGATAAAGAGGAGTCCTATATGAGTAGTGTCTCGCAGCGCCATGGCGAGACAGAAGATACTACCACGAACACACCACCGCGACCGGCGATGGTTGATCAAGGTAGTCAAACAGTATATGTTGACTTTACTCCAATGGCCAGTGTGCAGGTTTTGGCTGAAGCAAGACCAGCGTTTGGGTTGACACAGACGACTCCCACACCATTTACCCGAACGAGACCGTTTGAAAGGGATGACTCTCTTGTGAACCAGTCTTTGCCACTCACAGAAGACTCGACAACACCTCAAGGGATGCCACAGGGGTCAGACGAATATTTACTGGGTCATACCCCAAGCAACATGAACACCGATATGACTTTCAGCTTCCCCCCACAGACCGTACTCTTTCCTCAGGCTACGGGTTACTTTTCGGAAGAAAATGCTCGAAATATTGTAACGAATTCGCCCAGTCTCGTTCCAAGAGAGGTAGATTATCCAGCTGAGTTCCTGGAGACCGAAAATCCCCCTCAGAATGCTGTAGAAGCTCTTGCGGGTCTCGCTGGTCATGAACCACAGTCCTCTTTACCCCCTCAAACTCCTTTTGGTGCTGAACCAGCGTTTCACTCTACATTCGCTGCGACTTCGCAACCGCCTGAGACTGCTTGGGCTGTGGGACTATCCCCTGGACCCCGCTCTGTAGTTGCTAGTAGCGACGCTGAGAATCCAGTCGAAATCTTGAGCTCTTCGCCATTCAGAGAACAAGGGTCGCGGGGGTCTAGTAGAGACCGCCAGTTATCTCCCTCACGAGAGAACACGGATATGAACACAACCGCAAACGTATCTCCAGAACCCACACTTGAGGAACCGGCAAGTGAAGCAGAGTATTATCGCGATGGTGGTGATGAGCCTGGCGATGATTACGACTTAAGGAAGTACTCCCGCACGCACGATGACGATGACGACATAGAGACATCTGAAGAGGAACCCGATCTAAATACCAATGACCCTGATACACAAACCATGAACCCCGATGAAGATGACGCGGATGGCGATGAAGATGTCGTAAATCAAGAAGAATACCTCGACGACGAATATCCTGACACGTATGAGCAACGATCCGACATCGAAGCAGAAGAGTACGAAGGGTCGGAAGGTGATGCGGAAGGTGAATATGACTCGGATGAATATTATTACTACGATGAAGATGGTGCAGAAGAGGAAGCAGACACCCGCCCTTCCGCTACCCTTGCTTCTAGGGAACCTATTATCATCGACCTGCTTTCAGATTCCGAAGATGAGGAAGCGCCAGAACCAGAACCAGAACCAGAGACAACAATGGATGCAGAGGTCAAAAATAAAGGCGGCAAATCAGCACTTGGCGCAGAAGAGGCAAAAACAACACCAATGTCCAAGATAGAAGGAGATTCTGAAGTCCCCAAAGCAGATGAGATTATGGCTGAAGAGGAAAACCAGCGTCTGTCGCGGTTCGATACGGACGAAGAGCCCCTGTCTTCATTAAGCAAGGGGGAGGGGGAGGGGGAGGAAATAGAGACACAAAGGGTTGACAGCGGCCAAATGGGTCCAATGAATGAGGGCCAAGTTCCTACATCTCATATTGAAGGCTCAACCAAAAATGAAGCTCAAGTTGCCGAGGCCACCATTTGTGCAAACAAGGTTCGGGGTGACAGCGAGATCATAGACAAAGCAAAGTCGCCTGTCTCTTCAACTACCCCGCGGGAGTTTCCCATCGCAGAAGAATTGCAACGTCATGGTTACGAAGCTGGAAAGAAATCAAATCCAATGGAAACGGAAGCATGCGATATCGACATGGGGAATGCCCCTCCACTGCAAGGAGAAGCAAAAGCGCACGAGACAAAGGACATTGCCTCTGCTCAATCTGCTGAGACGAAACCGCTAGACGAGACAGCAGTTGAGCCTGAAGTGACAGTCGAAGCCATGGACATTGATGAACCGCCTCGCAGGCCTACTCCAACAACGGAAATTCTTGAGGCCAACGTTGATACTAGCGAACAAGTATACGCCGCGACCACGGAAGCTCCTTACGAAGCATTAACACATTCCCAAGAACCATCTCAACAGCCACAAGAGACCCTATACGATGATGCGAGATCGTCGAATTTTCGCAAAACGGTGCCGTTGTCCGGCGAGGGTCAATCTGTGACTTTCGAGATTCAGGAAAATATCGAATCTCAGACATCCCAAGATCTTGAACATTCTGAAACGCATGAAAACATATCGGACCGCTTGTCAGAGGTGACAACTAAACCAGCTTCTCAAATGGTGAATGCCTTGTACCAAGCCGACAGGGATGAAGTTGAGAAGGCAAGCGATGAGGCACAGCCTGAAAATGGTGGCCAAATTTCCCCTCCACCAACACAGAACCCAGAAGTCCAGACCCCACCGGAAGACAGCATCAAATTCTCGCATGACAGTTCTGTCGAACATCTTCCCACTCCCGGTGGCACACAACAGGTGATTGAGGTCGAAACAGTCGACACACTGAGTGTCGTCACTCATGCCCACCAGATGACGGAGGAGGAGGATGAAGGCCCAGAGGATCAGATCATGGCCGAAATATTACAACAATCTCCCATGCGATCTGAAACACACCTTCCTACGGATCCTGCTTTGTCCACAGTATTGTCGCAAACCAGATCGCCTGACCACACCGGACCGGCTGATAGGTCGCTTATAGGATCTCCCCAAGACGCTGAGGCAGCATCTGAGATCATTGTCGCCAAGTCTTTGCGACCTCGGCGACACAGGCCAACTAAATCATCAGGTGGGAATGGCCACGACGATCCTAGCTTGGCGTTTATCACAGCCACACCCACCTTGAAGACCACGGACCGTGGCAGCAAGCCTAGCAGTCCAGCCACATCAAGCAGCAAGACACGAAGTAAAACGCACCACGACGATCCCAGCATCCAATTGGCAGGTGGCTCGGTGCAGGCAGATACAAAGAACAAAGGGAAGAGAAAAGCAACCGACGATGAGAGTATTCACAGCGTGGACAACAATTCGCCAGGATCCCAGCGAGTGCTGCGTCCGAGAAATGACCACGGTGACCCTAGCATATTGCTTGCTAAGGGGTCAAGTCCGTCGACTCGACAGACTAGAAGTCAAAAGACTCCAGATCCAAAGCGAGAGACCCCTAGGCGTGAAACTCGCTCGGTATCGCGAAGTTTTCACCGGCAGGATGAGTCCCCGAACCTGTCGTTCGCCTCGCTTAAATCACCTTCCATTGCTGGCTCTACAGCGACTGTGCCTGAAGAAGAGGATGTCAAAACTCTGAAAATACAGCTGGTCAAAAGCCTGCGAACGAATTTGCCCGACTTTCTGTCGCTTAAAATGCTCAGCAGAAACTCAATCGACAAGATGACGGATATTCTTGCTGTAATAACACAATCACCACCACCTCCACACCGACCGAAGCACGGCCCTCGGGATTTCATGGTCACTTTGTGTCTCACGGATCCGTCGACCGCGCCGACCCAGGTCCGAGTGGCCCATATTTTCCGGCCCCACCTAACATCACTACCGGATGTCGAGAGCGGGGATGTTATCCTCCTCCGGCGGGTCAAGGTGGTGTCAATGAAAGGCCGTGGCTTCGGCGTCCGTTCAGAAGATGGCTCATCCTGGGCAGTCTCGAAATACAACGAACGAGAGATTCTTACACAGGTCAAGGGTCCACCTATAGAAATTACCCCAGAGGAGATCGAATACGCCAAGGGTCTGCGGCATTGGTGGAGCCTCCAGGATGACAACGCTATGGGCAAGATCGAGACGGCGTCCCGGAAGGTGACCGAGGCAGGTAAAGAGAACGCCAAATGAGTGGACGGGCATGAGAAGAAATATCGTGGATTGGAGAACGTGGCAGGGATCTCACGGCTCACAGAAAAAGGGCATAAATGCATTGCTTTCGTGTACGTATTTTGGAGATTTATAACTGACGGTGTTCTGGGAGCAAACGACGTCAACAAGCAACATTTGACATAAGGAAGGTTGCTAAAAGAATCACAGCATTCTATAGCTAATTATGCCCGATGGCTGATGTTGTAATTATTTGTGTAATTCGATTTTTTTTTATTGGTTTTTTTTGTGTATCAATACCCAATGCAGTCACAAGCAAACAAGTGTATCAAATCTACTTATGCCGAGGATATGTTCACCACGTGTAGGCTGCGAGCAAGCTTAAGTTTAAGGTACGAGCAGAGCTGATGGCCCGATATCGGGATGCTGTGACTCTTTTGCGAGTTCTCCAGGCACTTATGGCTTGTGACAATGAATATTCGTGTAATTGCAAGTAGGCAAATAATTGTAGGAGTCATAAGGTGGCGTCAGGGACAAGGTTTGGTGGAGCAAGATAATCTGGGGGAACGGAGGCTTCACACCAGACAGCTGGATGGGAGCTAGGACGAACGGCAACGGGACTTCCCCAGATGTCAGACGGATATGTTGCGTCAATGGTAGCACTGGATTCTCAAGGTAAGGCAAGGTCAGGTAGTTCTATGGAGTAGACATATTTAGCACGGAGCCGCACGCTCGGTACCTGTCCGTGAGTGGGCACGGGGTAGGCACGAGCTAACTTATAAAAGGAACACGCCTCAGACATTCTCTGGGGTTTAAATTGAACTTGTTAGACTCTACCCGTAGAGGGGTGTATTCGTTTATGCTAAGCGAAGCCGTTTTGAAGAATGTGGTTGCAAGTGACGTTTGTTTTTACTCATTAGAGCAATAGTTGCCCATGTCTTGGTTCCTGAAGTTAAAGACATGTGAGGCGGGGTAGCTCTTCGTTCTAAAGGGAGCTCGGGGAGTGTGAGGAGGGTCGGAGAAACGGAACATGATGAATGTCCAAATATTGATTGATGTCGAAAGAAGCTCGGGGTGTGCAGTGAACGAGCTATCCCAGTCTGGCTGGTATCTAGCCGTCCAACAACCATGATGTTTCTTCGGCAAAGATTTAGTGATATACTTGGAGCTAGGCTTACGCATCACATGAACTATCGGTTTATTCTTGCAATCCAACCTCCTGAGATGGTGTAAGTCCTGATGCGGGGACGGGAATTTTCTTTTGCTTGCTTGGATGACCTCCTAAGCTGTACAGCTAAGTCAGACGAGGACAATTCTCAGCTTGGCCGAGGCAAGCCGATCTATAATTTGAGAGCATATGAAACCAAGAGGGTGCTGCTCTTCAAACACCAGGCAGATCAACAGGGGTTGTAGTTCCCAACAGAAATATGTCGGATTCCTAGGCCGAAGTGAACCAGGGTCAGGCACTTGCTGATATGATGTGGTTGATATCTCGGATACCAGTGGCTTATTTCCAGCCATTGTTAGGCTTGTTAACGCTGAAGATACTCAAAGCTGCCATAATGGATTGGCTTTCTATTGGACATGTCCATTTCGGCAAGACTAGCCATTACTTGCTACCCTGTGAATTTAGTTTGTCGATCCTCGTCCATCGAGTAGCTGATTTGATATGCCACAACGGTCCAGATACCGTGATACCGACATATATCCCGCGAAACATGTATGCTAGGAAAGCATAGTAGGTAACTCGGCGTTGCGGAGGGTTGCCCGTGAACATCAAAGGTGAATGCTTGCTAGTGCCGAAATACTCCAGGGTAACACCAACAACGTCCGGATGGATGTAAAGTCACGATCCTACAGAGGCCGAAGCTTGTCCGAGAACACAAACATCATATGCCGTGGCTTGGACTTGTGATTATATGTGTCATCACATGCATGGAGGCTTATTGTGCTGGGGAGTTATTGAGTTTCAGTTCAGTAACATAAATTTTTGTTGACGTTTTGACAAAGCCCCGATCCAGACAAGTCAACAAGATCCTGGAGAGGATAGACGAATGCGGGGTGACGGCATGGCACCCAATAGGCGGGCTGTCTGGATGATTCAAGGCTAACTTTCTATCAATCGTCTCATCTTGTGTGAGCTGAATGACTCAATTTGAGTTGGGAAAGAAAGTCACGAGTTGTAGTAGCGAATACTGTTGAGAAACTGTCGACAGTTTTGGCACAGCAATGGTAACTCGATGATTACCAATGCTTCCAGGCCAAAAGAGAAAACCCCTTGGAATCAATTGACCTAACTCAATTTTAGCCAGGGACCGAGTGGAACTCAGGTGAAGGGAAGAAGAAAAAAAAAAAAGGTCAGGCATGGTGAGAGAGAAGTGGGGTCACCTTCCTGGAGATTCCGTGGTGAGACGCGCGAGACCTTGAACCTCTAGAGGTTAGGCGTACCCGAGCATGCCCCTGTCTCGCACCTTCCCCGCTGGATCCATTTGTCGATCTCCACTATCCACATGTACATCAGCAAAGTATCCGCTAAACTCTGATAAATGCATGGAATTAGGCTCTGCGATGCCTTCCCGGACAGGTCTCCTGCAGCCTGGGGAGCCAGTGGATCACATTTCGGGAAGACGGCCTGAGGCCGGGGTGGTTCAGCGCTTCCTGCCTGACCCGCGGGATTGCTTCTGGGCTGGATGGGCGCTAGTGAGGGCATCCACTCGGGCAAAGTCGGAAGACTTTTGATAGAAACTGAGTTATTGAAGTCGGGAGACATTCCCTAGTTTTCGTCTGACCCAGGGAGGCGGAGCCCAAGACGTGCATGCGGAATAGCAAATGAAACAGTATCTGAGCCCAAGGAGGTTTGTTGAAATGATTTGTGATTTGAGTCTGAGGTGAAATCAGGTATCACCATCAGGAGGAATCAACAAAACTTGATACCTGGGTAGAGGATGAGGGATGCGCATGAGCTATTGCCTCTTTGGAACAAATTTTCACTAAATGACTGATGGCAGTAAGTTTCCAGGGTTGCAGAGTGTATCTGATACGTAATGCCACTTCTCCTACAACAAACCGTTGGGGAAACGGCAGCACTCTGAGCACACACTGCCAGACACTCATTTCCCGTCAATTTCAGGCCAGAGTGAATTTCGGTGAGTTCGGCCTGTGAGAACCCCATTTACGAGATGCGTTGGTAAGCATCTAAAGATAGGTATCTGTTGTGGTCATGGCGCTGCAGGCACATGAACTTTGCTGACCGTATCTTACGTACGACGCAAAATGAGAATAACAATGCAGCTCACCGTATGCCTAAGCATGGGGGAGACGCGAGATGATGGCAATCGATCCAATCTCAGCAAAAGCAAGCAAAACGGCAGCGCATGCAGGTCTAGTGTGCGTGGATCAGTCGCACTTCTTTCCAACGGCATTACTTCTTACTGATAACTGCAGCACAGTAAAGAGCGGAATGAGACTCTAGAGTCTGTGCTGTCAATGATACGAACATTGAGACAAGTCAGTTCATAGATAGATGTATCAATAATTGTCAGACCCTGAACCCAGTAAGGGACAATATCGTCCCGATTACTAGGGTTTCTCTTCGCATTTCACATGGCCGCATGATATCCTCCCAACTCCGTACCCCTTTCTCGGCCTCGAAGGGTCGGGCCGTTGACGAGTGGTATGATTTGTATCTAGAGAGTTGCCTGTACTGCCTTGCCTGTGAGCAACAAGAGAAACAATCGAAATTGGAACAACGAGATTCTCATATGTACACAACTATTGCAGGACAGATGTTGCCGTTGTAAATTGCTACGTTTACCAGCTTGAGATAGTGCCCCACAAGTCTCCGCAACCTTAGCACAAAGCTCGAAAACATATTGCAAGAGGAGGCAAGAAAACTGGCGTGGATTCTTCTTCTGTTGCTGATAGCAACAGAGAAACACTTCGATATTGCGCTTTCGCGGAGAACATGTATAGAAACGATAAGTAAAAATCATATAAAACGGTAGGAAACAAAGGAAAATCACCAAAAAGTCCTGATTATACTGTAATAGCGTAACAGCGCCTAATGTGAATTGTACTATACTACTAGTCAGATCAGTGGACGCGTAAGAGTTTACCCTGGATAGACAAACTGAGCAAGGTACTTTAGCTCTCAAGCAGCAAAATGAAGTGCCACTTATTAGCAGGACAAGTGAAAACACATAGAACACAAATATCAGATTCTTTCAGACTTGCAGAGCTTGCAAATTCAGTCTCAAAGGTCCAATCACAACCTCACCAACAGATGTAGCGTCCACAATGCCCCGTCAACCGGAGGAGCTCCAGAGAGGGGCCTCCAAGAGTGGATAATATCGGGTGTCTGGTGGGGCACTCGCCGGGGCCTTGTGCGCCGAGTTTGATGATTGCGAACCGAGACCTTGTTCCGAAAGCACGACATCGGGTCGCAAAGCGAGACGTTGTGTCCATAAGGTCAGTCAAAAGATCAATGCAAACCCAGGTATGGGCTATTGTTCGGTTAAAGACAACGCAGGGATTCTTTGGCCTCTTTCTTGTTTTGGTTATTGCAATCTCTTTAAACTTGAGCTTTGAGGCTCAATGCTTTCTTCACGTCCTTGATTATCCATTTATCCACATTAACACAGAAATTGCCGTCCACTCGGCACCCGTACCTTGCCCTCTGATGACATCCGTAGAAGTAAAGCCCTGCCAGTCTCATGTTTTTCATGATCCCTCCCGGTTGAATCTCATCTTGTCAATTATGTCTGACATTTTTTCCTTTGCGTGTTCTAGGTTCTAACCAGGGCCTGGACGAACAATGTGGAACCACCTGAGTTAGCCCCCGTAGTCGGCGCCGTTGTCCTTTACTGTACCTCCGTTTTCCGTCCTCAAATGGTCGTCGTGACTCTGCCAAAGGTTATTTTCCTCACCGTTCTATGACTGAGCACGGCAGTCGTCGGCCTGTACCCTGGCTTGTGAGAACATCGGTAGAGATACCGGCGCCGATTGAATCAAAATATGGCCGACGGTAGATTTTTATCTGTAGGCAATAGATGGATGGAGTGACTCGTTTTAGGGCTATTGCATTACAGACAGTTGCAAGTGAAATAACCAACCTTGAAGTCCTGGAAATTACACCACCTCGTCTCTCTGGCCAATACAGTATTTACTCGATTATCAATATCGGATATCATCTTGCTCTTGGGAAAGTCCCAGCGCCTATGATTCTTGACAACACGACTTGACCCCCACCATCACCCCATCTGGACCATCGTCAAGTGGTTTCTGCGCCCATTTACACATACCTACACCGGTGTCCTTACTGAGCCTCACCAAGGTAAATCGACCTATAACCCACGAGAGATTGATTTTATGGATTGTTTCGCCGAGTGTCTGCATCTGGTTTCTTTTGACCGAGATGCGCATGTGGAATGCTCTTGAAAGTGGTCATATCACTGATCGTCTAAGGACTCGACAACATCTCACATCCCAGCGCAACGCATCGTGAAGCGGACGTTCACCCGCACGTCCATAGGGGCACACAGGCTCTGCTTCTCCACAGTCAAAGCCACCGAGCAGAGGACGTAATTCAAAAAGTCGAGTGACTCATAGACACGGAAAGATAGAGGTAAGTTTGAATAAGTCATGTTCGGGAGTCTTTCTAATACCGAAACAGTTGCCAAGCTCCCCCAGTATTTGGCGAGTTAGAGTCCTGCCTCAAGAGGAAAGAAGACAGAAGCTCAACCTGTAGCTTCCGCAGCCAGGGTCCTCGTCTCAGTTCCATCTCCCCAGCAAGGTACGTATCAGCCAGATTTCTGTCACAGCCAAAGAGGACTAGGTGAAAGATACATCTTCCCACAAGTCACCCGCTAGTTCCCCCGATACATGAATATCCCCAATCCTCCTGCGTTCCACGCGGGATCCCAGCTAGTGCTCCCACTGGTCCCACCCTCTACTCACCTTTCAGCCCCAATGCCCAAGAAAGAAAATCCCCCCATGCGGTTATCCCCATCCATAACAGCTCAGGTGTTCTGTACTGCAGTTGATCTGTTGACCTCAAGTCAAGCTCAATTCATCCAGTTCAGTTCGAGTTCTCATTGGGAATTCGAATTGTGAGAGGGATGTTACTTGCTACACGCCCATGCTATTTCTCACACCCACGATCTATCCTCATCATGTCTCCCGTATTTCAGAGGTTACCTCATCCCCTCCCTATCCTTCTCATCGAATGAAAAGCTGCAAGGATCTGCTACGTTTACTCGGTCGCGCCGTAGACTTTTCGTTGGCGCCCTAGTAGTGTACCGGTACCGAATTACATGGCTAACAGTCCACTCTCAAGGTGACAAGGGCGTATTTCTGGAGAAAAAAAGTGAAACCGCTTTTTGTCCGTCCGTTGCCATCCGTCTTGCTCCGTCATTGTCATCGCTTGTCGTCCTCAACCTCCCAAAAATTTTGGGTTTGGTTTCGCAAAAAATTGGCTGGTGCTGCGCCTGTTGCAGTTAATATCCCCTTCCTACGAGGACAAGACACGCCAAGCAGCAGTATTTGCATAAACGCACTCACGATCTCATTCTTACACACCTCACAGCATCAGATAAGCATCGGCCGCAACATTTGTTGCATCACAATCCCTTGATTCATTTACTGATTTCCCTGCCCTGTCCTGTCTGCCCTACACCACCCAACAAGACGCACCCCCGTTCCCCGAGCTTACCCCTGCTCTCTCTCCCCCATACTCCGGTATCTCTTCGAGTTTCTCATCTGAGGTACGTTACCATTGCCATACCCAAACCCAAACATGGGCCAAACGCTCTCGACCATGACGGTGGCCTCGCCTTCGGGACCCGGTTCCGCCCAAAACGTCTTAAACCGACTTTTCTTCGCTAGTGGCCCCTTGCGCTCCGCGACATCGTCTACTTTGACCCGTGCTTCCACCCGCTCGTCTACTGTTCCCCCAGCCGCTGTTCTCACGGCGACTACTAATAATCGCCGCCCTCGACCCTCAAACCCCAGGCTCTCCTATTCATCCTTCTTTCCGTTCTCATCACCCCATCTCCCATTGTCTATGTCCATGGCGTCTTCGTCCCCTCATAGTACCGCCAGCTCTGAAATTGCCACGCCTCGCTCTAGATCATCAACAACATCATCCCCGTGTGTACCCCCCTCCCGTCCCTCCGACCCCTCCTTCCCGTTGCCTATAACTATATCTAACCTCCCCATGTCTTTCTAGACGAAGACTTACAGATTCCAATCCAATGTCCCCCGTCGACCTTTCCAAGATCGAACAAGAAATCAAGATGGCCGCCCTTGATCAACACCGTGGCTACGTCCAAGACCACTATGCCGAGGTCAAGCAGGACCGAACACCTGAATATGTTGACGAGTCCAATGCTGCCGGCTACCAGATTGTCCGAGAACCTCTCTGGAATAAGGGTAAGCCGTCCCATTCCACCTTGTCAATTGCGACAACACTTGTTGTCACCACCATGGCGCCAGTGGCCTTGCTACCACTTGTAGTCATGGAAGGTCTCCGTCGCTCTTCACGAATTCCTTCCTCACCAGCTATCATACTTTCCCTTGAAGTATGCTAACAATTCTTTGTGCAGGACTTGCCTTCACACCTGAGGAACGCGCCTCTAAGAACCTCACTGGTCTCCTCCCCCACACTATGGAGAGCTTCGAGACCCAGTGCGCCCGAGCCATGAAGATGATTCAGACCCGCCAGACACCTATCGACAAGTACCTTTACCTGTCCACTCTCAAGGACCAAAACACCGACCTTTTCTATCGTCTCCTCATCGACAACATCCGAGAGCTCATGCCCCTCGTCTATACCCCCACAATCGGTGATGTCTGCTTGCAATACTCTAGCATTTACACTCGCCCCGAGGCTCTGTACATCTCCATCAAGCAGCGAAAGTCCATCCGTGCTATGCTCCGAAACTGGCCTTGCCAGGATCCTGAGATTTGTGTCGTCACCGATGGCTCTCGCATTCTTGGTCTGGGCGATCTCGGTATCAACGGTGTCGGTATCTCTGTAAGTCGATCGTAAAACCGCATTTGAAAATACTTCTAACCAGGAACACCAGATCGGAAAGCTTGCTCTTTACACCGGCGCTGCTGGTATCCACCCATCCAAGACCCTTCCCATTGTCCTTGACTGCGGTACCAACAACGAGGAGAACCTGAAGGACCCCTTCTACCTGGGTCTGCGACAAAAGCGACCTTCGTACCCTGAGCAGCAGGCTTTCATGGATGAGTTTATGGAAGCTGCCCGCGAGGTTTTCCCCAGCATGGTTGTCCAATTCGAGGACTTCGACAGTGAGAAGGCCTTTGGTTATCTCGACCGTTACCGAGACCAATACCGATGCTTCGTAAGTGAACCGATGAACTTGATGAAAGTTCGGTGCTGACATTATTTTGATAGAACGACGATATCCAGGGAACTGGTGCCGTTGTGTTGGGTGGATATATTGGCGCTGTTGAGCAGTCTGGTGTTCCAATCGAGGAACAGCGGCTTGTCTTCATGGGCGCCGGCTCTGCTGGTGTCGGTGTTGCCAAACAGCTCGTTGAGTACTATACACGCCGTGGATTGAGCGAAGCTGCCGCCCGCGACAAGTTCTGGCTCGTCGATACCAAGGGTCTTGTTACTAAAGACCGTGGTGATCGCCTGGCTGAGCACAAGAAGTACTTCGCTCGAACTGACAACAATGGTCAGCAGTACCGTACTCTTGAGGAAGTCATCGAGTATGTCAAGCCCAGTGCCCTGGTTGGTCTTACTGCGACCTTCGGCGTCTTCACCGAGCCTGTTGTCCGTGCTCTCAAGCACTCTGTTCAGGAGGGTGGCCTTGAGCGCCGTCCCATTCTCTTCCCTCTCAGCAACCCTCTCACCAAGGCTGAGTGCACCTTTGAGCAGGCTATTGAGTGGACCGAGGGCACTGTCCTCTTCGCTTCTGGCTCTCCCTTCAACCCCGTCAAGGCCAAGTTTGGTGACGAAACTCACCACACGGTCTACCACCCCAACCAAGGCAACAATGTTTACATTTTCCCTGGTCTGGGTCTCGGTGCCATCCTGGCCAAGGCTTCTCGTGTTACCGACGAGATGGTTTACACCTCTGCCGCTGCTCTGGCTGGCTCCCTAAATGCCGATGAGGTTCACAAGGGCCTCATATACCCCCGCATTGAGCGTGTCCGTGATGCTAGTGTCATTGTCGCTCGCGAGGTCATGAAGGCCGCTCGACGTGGTGGTGTCTCTGAGCTTCCTGAGTCTCAATGGGCTGAGTGGGAGGAGTGGGGTGATGTTGCCCTGACCACCTACATCAAGCAGCGTATCTATAACCCTCTTTGCTTTGCTGATGCTAAGACGCATCTGTAATCATTTGCACACTTGTGTATGATTTGCAAGCATTGCCATTTGAGGGTTTGGAATAGGCTAAGATGCGTATCTCGACCATGAAGTGCTCGTCGTCGGGATTGCACTTGCAAATGATTGCGGTATTTGAGTGACTTGAGTATACTAACTCAGCTGCTTTGTGCAGACTTCAACGCCAAAGATCAGCTGTGGTAACTCTTGTTATGTCATGTTATGCCACACGCTTTAGTCGGTGGCCTCTGGTACTCTGTTGAGCGAGCCTCCGTGATGAGGCTTTTTTGTTTTCCATAATCTGCTTGACGTGTTAACGGCTATTAATTTTGTTTACATCTGGCATGAACCAGACAGGATGGGAATAGAGGCGAGGTTAAAAAGAGATGGAAGAAGACTTTACATACCAGTCAATGAGATATTTGAAACAAGCCTTGCTGTGCCTTGCCTTGCCCTTTTACTATCGCGACTTCTGATGTGTTGACTGTGATGAGATTGTTGGATATATCGATTCAACTAGTGATGAAGTATTGCGAGGTGAGGTGCTGGGTTGGCCACAAAATGCCATGGATGTATCGGCGACTTGTCTTCTATTGCGATCAAAATGGGGCTGCAAGTAGTTGCTTGATAGAACTCTTGCCCGAGACTGACTGTCCTGGGACTTCGCGAACCGGCACTGGAAAGCAACCTATGAAGGTGCTAAAGACCCGGTCATTTTGGGAAGCACCACGACATGCCCAAAGCCCAGGCATGCTTTGCTTGTCTCAACATGAAGGGCCAAGTTCTGGCGAGATTGCGCTGAGTGACTCCAATGCCCCTCCACGCTGTTCACGTTGGTCAAGGTCTGGGCTCTTGATGACTCTGACTGAAGGCGCATCTGTTATCGTGGAGGTGGCCAGTGATCAGGTTTTAACATGATTGCCATGTCCTGGATTGCCAGTCGGTGTTTGGATGGTGTCGATCCAACTTGTTGTTGTTAAGTAGAGTAATGAATGACGATGCGAGATACAAGAGGATCTGCGAAACTTAGTTGTCAGGCCGCCGCAAATTGATGTCCGAGAGCATAAATAGAAACTGAGGCTGTTGAATGTCCAAAGCGAGGCATTGATGTCTGTAAGAAGAGTTGAGGCAAGCCGAGGGTACCACTTGGACCCAGAGCAATGCGACAGGATCATGATCGTAACAAACAGGCAGGTGAATGTGAGGGAGGGTTACAACTTGTTGGGGGTAGGTGGTTTTTGTCCCTCGCACAACCTAAGTCAAGTCGTAAGATGGGAGGACGTCAAGGCCGGTTGATAGCCGCAGCCGCTTCAGGACGTCGGTAGCCGAGCCAAAGCTCGCCTGGAGGTTCGGGGATGGCGTTTGCCAAAGCCGAGCAGGGGGAGCCTACATATGCAGTGCGACGGCGCATGGCTGCGGCAGAGGGCATAGGGCAAAAGATGAGACATATTCCTGTCATAGAAAACGTACCCTATGCCATTGGGCAAGGGAGAATGTTGGTGGAGGGGTTTTGTATTTGAACCAGGCTTGGTGTTGATACCATGCAGCGATTTTTTCTTCAACGGTATTATATCTGCGGTGGTGGGCACGCCCCAGGTACCTTGGGATCGTTGTATGTGGAGTCCGTCTCGGGCCCGGGCTCCAGCTTTCGATAATGACGGCGGAGGGCGCGGAAGGTTGGCGGATGGGTGCAGCTGAGATGTTTTCTTTTTACACAAATTATCATACTGAAAGGTGTGCTAAACTATGTGTCAAAGAAATTATGTTGTTGTCTTGATTTCATGCCTCTTGTACTCAGGGACACCTGACGGGTTGAAACACAATTTCGAGAATTAATAAGTTGGCCATAACTGAGCATCTACCGAACAGTGTAACAAAATACTGGCCAGTGCTTTATCACCTCTCGCTTCACTAATCATTTACGTCCAGATGGTGTAATCGATGACCAGACCAACTCTCAGCTTCGATTAAGAAGCCTGTTCCTGGTTCGTATCACGCATGAACCGCCCGAGAGAAAACCCCCGTAGTGGGGATTTCTTCACAGACAAACACGACATTTGACGTGGATTGCGGTAAATCACTTCTAGAATATGGACGAGTTGTTGGGGAGTGTCAAGAGAATGCCCGAGGGTCCCGAGAATTCTACGAGACCGACCGACGTTATTTCCCTACGGTCATCGGTCAGAAGTGATGTGCTTAGACAATGCTGTCAGTCATTGTTTATCTCGGACCTGAATTCGACGTCCTTCGCTCATTACACATCTGTGCGTAGTGAATACAGCGAATGGTGGCATGATCGTCAACCTTTGGTTTACGGAACTTGTCCAGGGCGGGAGATCGGCCACACCACCACCCCAGCTCGTTTACTACAGATTCCTGGAATAATGCGGAGGGTAGAAATGCTAAAGTCCTACGGAGGAATACCGATATCGAGGGTGAGGGTGAATTCCATCTATCAAACCCGGTCCAGAGCTCAACCATCAGGGCCGGTCATGTCAAAAAGGTAGCCCCTGTATGGGCTGGGCTGGGCTGGACTGCATCTGCATCAAGATGGCTTTGACCGGCACGAGACGACACGATGCACGACGAGGCTCATGGCCCACTTACACCCCATGGAGAAGCACAAGTAACCTGCTGAAGAATTAAAAAGCGGACAATGCCTGCTCTCATTGGAGTTTGATCTCTCCTGCCTTCATGGCTCAAACCTCGAGGGGCTCTCAACTTGACCAGGCAGGGTTAGCCGGATGTCTTTTCCCGCCCCCCTTCGAGCTTAGGCTTACAGTAGCCCTCCGCAGTGGTAACCGGTGGGCTCGGGTTGTGGCCGATGGGGGAGGTGATCTCAGCGCCGGAGGCACCGGGGCCGGAAGGGGATCCACTGCGGGTTCAACTCCGCTTCAGGCTGGCGACTAACTTGACCTTCGGTGATTGATTTGCATCGCGATGATGTGGAGATCCCCCGACGTCTCACCTTTACTAGCTTGTTCCCAAACTGGATGTTCACCTTGGAATCCGAGGCGGTCACAAGAATAATACTCAATAGTTAATGCTCCGTACCCACAGAGCACAATACACCCACATGACCTTTGACGAAACGGTGAAGAAAAACACACTGCAGTCAAGGTGTGGGAAAAGGAGCGTGAGAATTAGATGAGGTGAGGTGGTGTAGTGAGGAATTTTCGTTCCGTGTCTCCCATCAGCCCTCTTTAATTTTAGATAGATCACCTTGCTGGCCATCACAATCCATGCAAATCTGCAAGAAGACATAAACCTGCAGCATCGGGTAATTTGTTGAGGGATGGAAAGTTGTATTTGCTTTTTTCTTCTTCTTTATCTGTACATGAAGAAACATGATTATGAAAGATCTGAAAAGATTCACGTTCAAATCACAAAACACTACTGAGTATATTGAGCGAGTTTGCTATCTTGCTCCTACACCGACTATTACATTACAAGCCTGTTAGAACAAGAAGAACGCATTCAAATATTAAGCTTCAGCAACCCGGAGCGACCCGTCAACTTGCACCGTTAAGAACCTGTAGCGGTGTTGGTCTTCCGTGGATGCTCACGCTCACACCCTCAGACGTTTTGGCCTGCCATTGCTTCCATGCAAGTGGAAATGTAGTTTCGACAGAGATTTCACAGCCTCATGATTCGTCAACAGAGTTACCGATCCAGGATCTTGGTTGTTTTTGGATAGCCGAACGTTGCCGACTATTCTCCGTTATTGGCCAGTCTGTCTGACGTAATTCGTGTCAACACAAATTGATTGGTTCAGAGAATGCCCAGTTTCATCCCTGCCGTACCGGACCAAAGGGACAAGCACCATCTGATATTCTTGGGTTTAACAAGAGCGTCATAGTTTTTGACTTCATATCAGTTGAATAGTCTCTCGCACCTCGTTGTGTACCGCTACCAGATCTGAGGACGCATTTATAAAATAGCAATTCCAAGAAGGTGGGGTCTCTAGAGAAAAGCTTTGATAAACTTCATGATGGCCCAGGGCAAGGCTTTGGAGAGCGGATAATTCAGGTCCGGAAGTGGGCCAGCTCCAAAAGAAGAGGACTTGGCAAGGACTACGGCATGCTGTTCGTGAACCATGAAGACCCTAGTAACTCTGGGGTACCCTCCTCCGCACGGGTAGAAGCCCGACGTTGAGAGGGCTGATTCCATCGAAGACTGCAATGGAAGGATGACGAGGAGAAATAGCCCTTGCTCGAATGTTGAGTCGATGCACAGTATCGATACCGTACTGTAGGTTTGGTTATTTTCTTGTTCTTTAACAGGCCGCATTTCTGCGTTTGCAGCGCCTCGTGATGTCTGCGCCGATTCGATTCGACCTTTCCGATTCCGAAGCTCACGCCCACCCCTGTCGATACTGGAGCGGCTGACTCGATTAGGATGGTCAAGGACTATCGGTGATTGGCTTCTCCACACTACACTGACAAACTGTGGGGAGAGGAACGCTGTTGGGATCGGGAAGGACACATTGGGCAGTTAGCACGGATACTGGGGACGGCAGCTCAGGTCAGTTCTGGTCAATTATTTCTCAGGGAGAGCTATTGGACTAACTTAGCTCGTCCAAAATGTGGAATCAGCATCTGGAAACATTGGACCTGTGGTACCTATTGGCTTACTTACGTGGCCAGTTTCTTGAGTCTCATTGTGGGGAGAACGGGGAAAAAGACAGTCATATCATGAAGATGAGGGACAGCATGTGGGTACTACCGTACTTACATATCTCTCCAAGTCGGGGTAAAGTTTGGGGAAGTTTTATTAATACGTGATGAGGTTTCTGTAGCTGAAGGCCTTTCGAGTTAGAATACCACAAAAAAAACTTACGGTGGCTTGGGAAATGTGCCAATTGAATTTCTTGTTTCTTTTGCTTGGCACATAATAACAACATGTGATGTGAATGTGTCGCTCTCAGACTAAATGTCGTCAATATCACCTTACCATATCCTCGGATCTCGAATTATTGCTGAATCTAGAGAACCCCAATACATGGTAACGCAAAAAGCTATACTGGCGATCTCTCCGCCATTCGTATTAGCTGCTCATCTAATGTGTATTGTTGCCAGCTTTAGAGTTATCAGCCTCTTCAATGCCGGTGTTGCAGCGCCCGTGCTTGCGTGGGGCCGGCATCTCACAAGGTGGGAGGTGTTGTGGACGTTCAATCTTGAGCTAAGTCCCTGGGTGATCCAGCGCAGCACATTGAGAGAAGCTGGATTGCCTTTGATAGGTTTCCAAACATAGTTGAGGATAATGGCAGGAATCAATCGCGAGCTGCAGGTCTCGCCGGTCGTGTCCGCCCATACCCGGCAAGATTTTAAACGCTAACCCCGGACCAAGAGAGCATGGCTCAAGAAAGAGACTTGCATCTGGTCCCGCAAACGCCAAGAGGTGGTCTTGACGCCCTGGTGGCTGATTAGAGTGAAAATAAAAATGAAAGGAGGGGAAGAAAAGACCAGACTCAAGGGATGGATTGTGGCGGACAAAGAATTATACATGAACCAAAACGTCTCCTGATTAATTAAAACTTTCTATCCACTATTGAAGCTCCCAGAGCAAACCTCTTTTGTCAGATTAGCATACTATGGTAGGACATTGCTAAGCATGAACGCAATTCCAAGTCCAGTTTATTAGCTGCTAACAACAAGTCAAGTGACAAGTGCCCAGACAGATGACAGGATTTCGTCAATGCCCAGATATGAGATGCTTGGCTGTGTAAGAAGTTGATAATTTACATGAAGTCTTCGTAGTTAACGATTACATGGTTACATCTCGCTCCCTTGGCTTATCGCACAAACGTAAATTCAACACACTGACGTTGATTTTCACTTCTATTTTCTTGTCCTTTGCTAATGTGTAGTTATTAGCTCTGCCGTTGTATCGTCACCGATAAATCCCCACATCCAGGCGCACCCCAATGTCACGGCGAAGGGTGCCACCTCCAGACTTGCCCCCTGCCAGAAGGGCCTTGCCAGCTTGGGAGTAGCTCTCCGCTTACAGTAGGAACAACCAGCGCTAAATTACCCATCATCCAGGTTCCTCTTGTGGACTCGTTAGGCCCACCCTCGATGAGCCCTGTCCTGGGCGCTCAAACGCCATCGACACCCTCGCCCAAAGACCCTCAAATGCCTCGTACACGCCCTCCTCCACTTGGCTACCTTCGTGCTTGTGCTTTCTCTCATCGATCAAACTGCTTCTTGTCCCCTCCGTGACTAACATGGCTCTGCCAGACTAGTGATGAGAATATAATAACCTTCCGCACCCCCCACCTACCATCCCCCGGATTTCCATCCCCTTGGCTTCAAACTTCCATTTGCACCAGACCTGTTGGTGTGCCTCTGTTCCTCTTTGATCGTGAATCATCCCGGATTATCTCATTCTGACGGGGATTAGGCATTCGCTCTAATTCAGATTGAGGTCGACATTTGAGCCTCAGCCTGTCCCTGTCATCACTCTTCCAGCCTCGTCTACCTTACTTCCCACCAGTCTCTGGGTAAACAAAAGACAACAACCACGCTACGATAGACATATTGAATCTCGACGACAAACGACTGAAATTAATCTGAACTCTCCACTCTACCGCTTGTATCTGGCCAAATCGAACCTTTCAATGATTTATCACAACGACGACTACTGCCCTCTTTCACCAATTTAATTTTTGCAAGACCTAGTACCGCCACATCGAAGATATCCAGACAGCATTACGCACTTATTGGATTGTCAGTTACAAGCTCATACCAGGAATTACCATAACTGGAGTTGTCAATCGACAACCACTAAGCCTGTACGAGATCAAACATCACAACAACTATAGCCATGCAAACAGAAGCTTCACAGGGCTCGGCTGCCCCGCCATCGCCAACAGCTACCTCAGTAAAAGCTTCCAATGAAAAGAACAGCAAGAAGAGAGCCTCACCTTCTGGCGATTCGGAGCAACCGGAAAAGATCACAAAGCGACGCGCTGCCCGTGCTTGCGTGTCCTGCCGGGCACGAAAGGTCCGATGCGACGTAGTCGAAGGAGCCCCTTGTGGAAATTGTCGCTGGGACAATGTTGAGGTACGCTTCTAACTCTTGGATTCTGGACAAAACAGTCAATCTCCGCCCTGAATTTTAGAGCATGACTGACATCTGAGCAGTGCGTTGTCCAAGAAAGCCGCAGGCGAAAGTAAGTTATCCCAACGTTTTCCGGGCATCGTGTTCCGATCGACTCCATTCCGGCCCCTTGTACCGGCTGCCGGTACGAATGGAGCTCATTCGAAAGCGTCATGTCACGCAAAACGCCCCAGAGAAAAAATTACGTTGAGTTTACGTTGCTAACCGCCGCCGCAGGAAGAATCTTTATACGGCCAGCACAGCGGGCCAGTCTGTCTCCACAGAAGCCCAGCTGCGTTGCAAAACAACGGCCAGCAACGGGAATCCCACAGGTCCCAGCAAGAGTGCGACTGTGGGCATGAGCACAGCCGACCTTCGACGTCCCAGCAGCGGCTCAGCCATTTCGACCAGCAGCATTGACGCACCCAGTACTTTTCTGAACAGTTCCGCCCTTGATAGCCATGTGCCTCACATGATATGTAAGTTTTTGCGCTACTTTCCACCTCCAACTTCAACCCTCATTTTGTGCGCCGTAGCCAGCCCTCTCGATTGGCTAGTGGCTTTCTTTTTTGGGGGAACAACTCCGTTCTCCGCATTTTCAGCCGCCCCTGGCCCGCTTTCTTCATGTACTCCACAGTGCTTACATGCCTGATCACATGGAAATTTGACGACGGTTGATGATGGAATGCGCGGGAACCGAACTATGGCTGACCACAAGACCCAGATCAACGCTCTGGCTACCGCCGAGATTCCAGCTCACTCAATAAGATCCAGTCAATAGAATCTAACGCACACCGGTCGTCATGGGGTAGCATCATCCCGGACCCTGCGTTCTTCGATAACTTGCGTACCACTCAATTGCTCGGTTCTCTCGAGGAGAAGGACACCCCGGCACCTCAGTTCCCTGCATTTTTACGACCTCTGCCAAATAAGATCGCGCCTGAAGATGTCGATTATCTCAAGATTAAGGGCGCACTATCGGTGCCCACCCTGCCACTACAAAATGCACTCCTTCAGGCTTATGTCGAATACGTGCACCCGTATATGCCGCTTATGGACCTGAACAACTTTCTCGGTATCATCAACAGTCGTGATGGAAAGAATGGTCAGACAAGTCTCTTCCTCTACCAGGCTGTAATGTTCGCAGCGTCAGCCTTTGTAGACATGAAATACCTTCGTGAGGGTGGTTACACCACTCGAAAAGCAGCTCGCAAGTCCTTCTTTCAAAAGACAAGGGTAAGTAAGGCTCCGAACACGTGGAACTTGCTGAACTAATCCGCCAATAGTTACTATACGACTTCGATTACGAGTCAGATCGCCTTGTCCTCGTACAAGCTTTGCTTTTGATGACGTATTGGTATGAGACGCCAGATGACCAGAAAGACACATGGCACTGGATGGGCGTGGCCATCTCACTGGCACACACTATTGGCCTTCATCGAAATCCCGGGTCCACAAGCATGGCTCCAGCAAAACAAAAGCTCTGGAAGCGAATATGGTGGTCTTGCTTTATGCGAGATCGCCTCATCGCCCTCGGCATGAGACGGCCCACACGTATTAAGGACGAAGATTTCGATGTGCCCATGCTCGAGGAGAGCGACTTTGAGATCGAGGTCCTCCCTGAGAACAATACCATTATCCCAGCTAGCTGTGCATTGGTTCGCAATCTCGACATGCAGCGAGAGCTGGCTATCATGTGCATTGCCAAGGCTCAGCTGTGCGTGTGCATTAGCCGCATGCTGAAGGCGCAGTATTCAGTTTTGATCCGGGATAAGATGAAGCCCGAAAATACTACTAACAGCACTATGATGCTTTTCCCTAATAAGCAGTTAGATAACGTTGAGAGCGTCACTGAGGTGGATCACGAACTTATGGCATGGGCCGAGTCGCTACCAGCCTGCTGCCAGTACCGCACCCTGACACCCTTGGATGTCAAAGACGGACGATCAACAATTGCTGTTCAGAGGACACTCCTGCACATGGTATACTACACTACCATATCGGCTCTGCACCGACCCCAGTTCCTGCCATCGTCGCCTCTCCAGGCCCCGACAACATCCCGACAAGTACAAGATATGTCTCGACTACGGGTTCGTGATGCTGCGATGCATATTACCCGAATGGCTACGGAGCTTCACCAATATCGGTTAGAGCGATTCTTACCTACGACTGGTGTGACGGTTATTCTTCCTGCAATGATCATTCACCTCCTTGAGATGAAGAACCCCACGCCCCAGGCTCGGGAGCGTGCCACACGAGGATTCCGCCAGTGTATGCGGGTTATGGAGAAGCTCCGAGAGGTCTATGCTGCAGCAGATTACGCAACCGGGTTCCTTGATGCTGCTCTGCGGAAGGCTGCGATTGATATCAACTCCAGCGTTGCCCCTTCAACCCTAGCCATGATGAAACGGGTACCAATCGAGTTCAGCGCTCAAACACCACCTCCCGAGAATGCGCCGTACATGACTGCTTCCGAGTCGCTATTTAATGAGAAGCCGAAGGAGCCTCAGCCTGTGGCAGCACCAACCATGATGCCACCAAATACTGTCAACGCTGCAGCTTTGGAGATGCCCACAAACTCACCTCCCCAGACGGAGATGGAGTCTCCTGCCGCTGGCTTGACACCGAGCGTCAGTGCTGGATCAGAGGAAATTCAACTGGATGTTGGCAACATGGATCTCGATTTCATGCAAGGCCACGACGAGTTCGACTGGAATGCTGTGGCCGGAACCGATTTTGACGTTGACCAGTGGCTGCAATTCCCCCCGGAGGGAGTGAACAATCAAGACGATAATTTGATCGCCGGGGTATTGGGCGTTGAGGAACCTACTATGTCGGCAGAACAGGCGCTGACCTGGGCTATTAATGCCGAGGTCGATGCAGCCCGGCAAACCGAGAACCGCGAGATTTCTGCCCCGGCGTAGTTTCAAGACGCTTCAACTTCCGTATTGCAACACAATTCTGGATAAATGATCTTTTGGACGGAGCCTTGCATTTGTTTCATTTTTGCATTACCTGTTGTATGTGTCTGCATTCGAGACGGGGCGTTTGGGCTGTTGCTCCAGGCGGCGCATTATGTTTTGGAATGGGACGTCGGATATATTTTTGTTCGACAGGGATATGACTTAATGTTTTTAAGGACATCAAAAAGCAACGCTTGGGACGACTGTTTATGAAGACATTGATTTTGGCGTTTGATATCACCTACAGACAGGAAAGGGACGCCTCCAGGGGCTCAAACTTGTTGCTGTTTGTTTTTCTTGTCAACTTGAAGATGTATTTTGTAGTTGAATGGTAACGAAACCCAACTTGAACCATGAATATTTGATGTGACGTCTGTTATAGCATCCGTAGTTCTATTTTGGTGAGTTATGGAAACCCTCGGATGCCCTGAATAGCGGCAAGATTCTTGTGTTGTACTTAATATTAGCGAAAGCATGTGGTTCCGTTATCCTGTCCTCTTAGCTCAAGATGACCAACACTTGCAGGGGAGCACATTGAGACTTTGGAGAACAAGAAGTAGCAAGGTTGAACCAACGAACCTCACCGTGCGATGTTACTATAGGTGTCAGCTACATGAAGCGAGAAGTTTGGGATGGAGTATGTAATTTAATGTGGCAGGTAATGAATTGCAGGACGATTGGGTATGGCGCAATCTATTTGTTGACATTGACAACTAGCATCATGATGGCTGACAGGGTGACGGTTAACAGGGGCAGATAGGTACGAACGAGACGGGGGTCTTGTGATCATGACTGATAGGCAAGACATGAACAGATGGGATGGATGTAAAAAAGCCATCAGAGGAATGTATAGCTAACTTCGAATGTCTCTGCCTATTCAAACCACCCCCTTTTTTTGTCTTGGTGCTCACGATGGTGTTTAGTGATATGCAGGAACAGAAGCTACGGATACGATGGATCAAGATATTGAAAACTGACAAGGGCCAAATCGACCTAATTCGATGCCCTGGCTTGGTCGTACAGGGCAATCGAGCTAATAATATCACCGTTGACGGTTGATGGGCCAGCCTGTGATGGAATAAAGAAGATCTCCTTTCCGTCAACGTTACCAGGTGGTCAAGTTCGTTAGCCGGGTCTTGGCCTCATATTAGAGAGTGGAGGAAAGGGAGGCGAATATGGGGCGCAACCGAGACCAGGCGAGAAGAAGGGTTTTCCTCTTTGATTACCTCTAGGTACTTGATACTTTAGCAGCTGTACCTACCTTACTGTGCCTACTTGAACGGAAGACATGGATGTCTCTAGCATCCGCCAGGTTGATACCTGGAGGGAAAACACTACCTTAGGTGCACAGCACTCTATGTATCCTATAGTGAGGGTCCCGAGCTCATTTTCTCTTCCTTACAACGTAGGCCTCTCAACAATCACCACTCCAACATATCTTCTTTTCCTTGACTAAATCTTGCGACTATGGTTATTATTCTTTGTATTCTTGGCATCTTTGCATTATACCTGATCCGTCAATTGTCGTTGTACCTTTCGTTGCCGCTTCATCTTCCCTGAGTTTGCTCTTTCATTGACTGATATCCCTCCCTTCAAGCAAAGTGGTCGCAGCTCCGAAGCTCATCGTCCAACGTCATTAAAGCTGATTCTTCAACGCATTTATCATAATTATTGTTTTTATCTCTGTACCTCAGCTGTGCATACTGTTTGCATCCTTTTGTTCACTCGGTACTCAGACTCTTACCGGTTTCTCTAAACAAGATCTTGTCCAGATCCGGCCATTCCATCGTGCCAACCAACAGCCTAGCTCTTGCAAAGTTCCAACGACGTCAAATTGACGATACTCTGTTTGAGCAGCGTTTCTATTTCACTACATTGCGCACAGGGCATCCGGTCAATCGAACCGACTTTCTTTTTCCTTCTTATCCATGGTCACGAATCGTGGGTGACGAACCAGTGGTTTTGGATTCATTTGACCAGGGCGCTAAATACGACAAGCTATTTACGCAAGCCCCATCCTTGCCGCCAATTCAGTGTAAACCTCATTTATTACAGGCCTCCGCAACGAAACGCAACGCGACCGTGGCCCACACAGGAACCTCACACGTCAACCCAAACCACGTCAAACTCAACTCTTCTTTGCGCAACTCTTTGACCGCCATCTCCCATCGGCGATTGCTTCGTTCCCTTTCAGCTCCCAGAGTGGCCTTCCAAAGGCCCTCTTTGTCGCTCCTTACCTCTTCGGATCCACTTTCAACTTGCTTTTTTCCCTTTCCCTTAAGCCCAAGAGCTTCTTCAGTTGCGCGACTCTGTGCCACACAGCTTCACTTCTTTAATTCGTAACTGAGCGGTCTTCCAACCTGCATGAAACCTTGCACCCTTTGAACAAAGAAGCTCCACCTGATCGCATTAACTAGCAAACACCACAAGGACTTTTCCGACCTGACAGCGACCTATCTGACGACACAATTTCTGACATATCTTCTTCGATATGGGCATCAAAACCTCCACTCATCCCCGCCCCATCGACATGTCCCCAGGTTCCTAAACAGATCATGATTCTACGATCCATCCACCCGATTCGAGCCTGTCTGTCTGCTGGATAATAACCATGACCGATCTCAACGCCCAAGTCGCCAAGCAGGCGCGCGATCCCGCCGCCACTTCACCGGCTCCGAAGAACAAACTTACTGAAGATATTATTGTGAATCTCGGTCCTGCTACTGTCGTCGATGCGCTGAACACAGCCACTGGCGCCCTTCGCACGTCCTTGGACAATGCCTCCTCTAAGGAGCGAGATTTCATCAATCGCACCGCTCTTGCGTCATACAAAATCTGGGGATGGTTTGAGGAACTTCAGTCTTGGCCGTGGCCCTCCGAACCGGGGTCTGCTGGGTTTCTAATGCCCAGCAACGAAGAGCGCAAACGAAGATCAATGCAACTTACCGTCCCAGGAGACGACGAGGATCAGTGGATGGGGAGTTTGCTTGCTCGAGATGTGTCAAAATATGAGCAGAGGCTGGCTCAAATTCAGCGTGATTTGTCAGACCTTGATCTCGAAGACATTAAAGTCCATGTCCTCAACCATCATATCCTTCCCTTATCCAGACCAGGTACACCACTTGCTGAATTCACTGGAGCTGGTCAGTTATCGCGTTCCAGCTATAATCGCATGGAGGACCACACTGCAGTGATTACTGCGATTGTTCTGAAGGCGCTGCCCGTCTTGGATAGGTTGACTCGTTTACTACACACTTGGAACCTACGACTTTGCGCTCTGCGTCGCATACCAACTGTTCTACTTGCCCTTGAGGACGCTGAAGTTGCGCTTAAATCTGCTTTTAAGGCCATTTCTATTCCCACAAAAGACACACCCAAGAAAGACGACAACACTCCGTTGCAAGATTCAGCACTTACGAGAAATACATTTGATGTGATGAAAGGGCATCTCGGCGAACTAATCGTCCGTCCTGGCCGGTCGCTTGATTATATGCTAGACTGCTTGGAAGGACTACCTGACACGCTCCCCGGTGATTGGTTGGATCGAATGGAAGCTGTAGAGTCGAGCTACGGTGAATGGGTTGTGGTATGTGAGAGGAAGATCAGACACACTGAAAGGACTGCTCCTCCCGAACCATCGTGGCCTCCTCGCTCTCCATCACCAGTGAAATACAACACTGCATCTGACAAGTCTACTACACTCGTTGACAGTTTGACTGACGATGAATCTGATAACGATGATGAGAGCTCTGTCAAAGCTGGGGCTGTTGTTGTGCCCATCCCGTTGCTTCTACCGCCCAAGAAAGTGGCAGTCACTGGCTCCGACAACTCAGCTATGGAACCCACGAAAGCTAGGGTGCCTTCTGGCGTTTCGGAGTCCGAGACAGTTGTACCAGAGTGGTATAGGAGAGATCAGTCATCAGAGAGTGAGCCCGAAAGCCCTTCGTTTCTCCCCATCGAAGAAGTCGACGAATCCTACGAGGATGAGAACCACACCTTTGACGGTACCAGAGACGTAATGCCAGTCCAGTCCCAATTACCAACACCAAGCATCGAGCAAGACTCTAACTCCTCAATAATGTCAACTCAGTACCCCGAAACACCTGACCACAGCTTCACACACCATTTCGATCGAGATATCTCTCCTGAATTACCACCACTTCGACCTCTTCCTCTTCCAAGGCAGAAAATTGATCCATCCCGGACTCTTACTGTCACTCAGCCTTCGTCGAGCTATTTCGGCGGCCTATCTAGTGATCCACTTGAGGTATCTGCTTCTCCTGACATTCCTCGAACCCGAATTCGTGAAGCAGAGTACACTCAGGCTAGCCCTCCCAGTACTCCGCCCATGTTACCTATGGATTCACGGGAATCCTCTTTGGCACCTCTGGATAGCCCTCTATTGCCAGATCGGAACATCGATGATCTAGATATGTCCAATATGCGAATTGAGGATTCGTTCAACGAAGACTTTGACGATTCATTCTCAATCGCTGAGTACTCCACTACTTTCGACCGCCGCAGCAGCGTTGGCGATCAGCACCTGCAACAACAAATCAGTCAGATCATTGACTCGATACCTGCCAAGATCAAGCTAACTAATGACTCTTCTTCGAGAGTCAACCTGAATCCCCCGGATGTGCAGCTGCCACGTATCAGAAAGAGGCCTTCCATCGAGCCTTTCCGAAGAAGCGCTTCGAATCTTTCATCCCGTGCTGGCACGCCCTCATTCACCCTTTCGCCTGCCAAGAACACGAGGGTACGAAACCGTGGCCACCACGAGATCAAGGTCTACCATCTTTCTCGTTCGTCCGGTGAGGCTCCAATTAAACTGTTCATTCGCTGTGTTGGCGAACAGGGGGAACGCGTCATGGTTCGTGTGGGTGGCGGCTGGGCAGATCTAGGCGAATATCTCAAGGAGTATGCTAGCCACCACAAACGCCGATCTGCTACAGCCAACGCCAAAGTCGAGGTTCTTCCAGAATCTCCTGGGGCATCAAGGTCTAATATGGGCTCAAGTCCAAATGGACGACCCCAATCTGCGGTTGAATTATCTCCTATGTCCCCTTTGTCTGTCCGTAAGACGCGACGGAGCATTGGTGCCGTGGGTAGTGAAGCACCTAAGCTGAATACCAAAACGTACGCCTTTGGCCCTGCGCTTGGTGAGGAGGATCCCTCAGAAGTGTTCAACCGGTCGCGGTCCAACTCTCACCTTGATTGGAATGAAGACGAGAGCTCTTTCCTTGGACTTGCGGGGCCTACAGGCAAGAAAGTTGAGATGAGTGAGGAGAACAAAGCATGGGTCGCAAGTGTCAAGGAAAAGGTCAGAATCGCTAGCGGCGAGCGAAGTCGGCTGCCATCAACGAGCAGCCAGTTTGGTGAGCTCGGTAGAATTGGTGGCACAAAGCGACTGTTCCTCAAATCCGAGGACCGTCGGGAATCGAAAGGCGGTCGAGAATCGAGAGGAGGCAGAGAGTCACGGGGAAGTGTCAGATGAAGCTGGTATACCAGCACGAGCAACGAAGCCTTTACTCTTGTGTTAACATACTTGCACTTGACCACGAACCTATGAACCTGAGCATTGAACACACCACAACGACTATCATGGGGGCAAATTTTTGCTTTGTGGAGTTGGGGAACCACTGGGACTCATCATACATGGACTTAGCATTTGAATTTTTCCTTTTGTTTCGACGATACGGTCTTTCCTTGGGCGAACTGCGGACAGTGTAGACAGTCAATACCCATATTTCCTATTTGTTATGAGATCTTAGCGTAGTACTTATTTAGATATGTGAGTCAGAAGAAACGTGAAATATCAATCAAACCATCCAGGTAATTTTGGTAATCACTGATGCTGAGCCGTAATCTAACAATGATTCCAAGCCTAAAAAGCAAAAGTTCATTTCGATTCCATAACTGACCGTCATGGTCAAAACATGTGTAGTATCATAGCTTGTCCTAAACCCTACCCATAACAAGATCCTTTTCTGCCAGACCCAATGCACCCGGTTTCCGAAGCCCACCTTTTGTTCCTCTTCAATGCCAGTGTATCCGATTTTCAGTTCCCGTTTTCTCTTTTCCCTTCGCTTTAGCTCAATCATCATCGTCTCCTGCTCTGCGGGCAGCGCGACGTTTACCCTTTCCACCCTTAGGGTTACCCTTAAAGTGCTTCTTGCTTGACGCCATCTGAACCTCCTTGGGGTCAAGGCCATTCTCGAGAGCGACCGCTGTACGTGCTTTGCGGCCGGACAGGTGTTTACCCGCCAGAGGATCTTCCTTACCCTGCTCCGAATACTGGTAGTTGAAAGGTCGGCTTACGTGACCTTGAGAAGTAGAAGGACCGAAGAAACCCTTGTCGATCTTCTTGGACTTTGGGCCTGCAGGTAGGGGAACATCGATGGTAGAGGCAAGGTCAACAGCATCGTCGTCCATGGCAAGGAAAGGTTCGCTGCTGGCTGGGTCGATGACTGAGAGCTGATCCATAGCGGCACTTAGGGCAGCTCGTCGTTTCTCAGGGAGGTGCTCTTCATCATAGAGCCCTCGGTTGAAGTCGGCCGCATCCTCAATTCCAGGAGGGGGTGAAACGAATAGCAGCTTGCCATTTACATAGTCCTTGAGGATATATCGAGCAGCGCGGGACTCATCTGGCTGACCAAGACCCTGGGTTTGGAAACCACGGGCGCGGGCATATGCACGGAGCAGCTCAGCAGCTGTAGGAATTCCTGTACCGCCCTCCTCGATGGCTCGGGTGCGGATATGAATACCATAGATTGCCTCAAGGAAAGGTTGAGGGATTCGCTGAGTGACGAGGCCCACGGGTCCCTGGAACTCGCGAAGCTGGTCGATGGGGAGAACACCGTTACAAACAAGATCAGCCTTGGTGGTAGCAAAGTTGGGGAAGACAAGACCAGGACAATCGCAGAGGATGACACGTTCGCTGAGGTGAATGGTCTGGAAGTGCTTGGTCTTTCCCGGAGTTGAAGAGACTGAAACTTTCTTTGCACCAATGAGAGCATTGATAGTAGAGGATTTGCCAACGTTGGGGTAACCAACTAGGCCAACCTGCAGCTTGTGATCCGAACCTGTTGATGCATTAGCTGAATTGTTTGTGGAGTTTTATTTTCTTGGTATATCTCACCTGCGTCTGCGGGAGAATGCTTCAGGAAGATGTCTTCCAGCTCTTGAACTGTAAGAATCTGTGTATCAATATCGTCGGCTTCCTCTGCCGCGTTTGCTTTTTTATCAATTTGGCTCTGTTGCACAAAGTCTTGAGTCAATGGAGCACCTTCTTGTTCTTTTTGGTCGCTACCCTCGCCCTGTTCCTCCTGGGCGGATTCTGACGAAGGCCCAGCAGGCGACTCATCTTCTGAATCGTCGAGTTCCCTCGCCTCGTTCTCTGCCTTAGCCAGCTCGGCGGAGAAAAAGCGATACGCAATGCCAGCCTCCTTTAGGTGCTTTGCCCAAGCCTTTCTCTGTTTGGGTGTCATCATGTCTGCCTTGTTGATGAGAAGAAGGTTCTCTTTCTTGGGATCAACAGCCTTGACATATGACTCAAGATCCTCAGAACGGAATAGGAGAGGGTTTCTGGCATCGACGATCTGGACAATAAGATCCGATCGTTCGATAACTCGCCACAGCTGCCGCCAAACCTCTAAGTTTCGCTCAAAAGGTGTCATAAGAAGATCATTATTCTCTTGCAGCTCGGCCAAGCCACGTCTCCAGTTAAGGAAGCTCTCTCGCTCTCGTGCGTCCAGTTCTTCAGGTGTTGTTGTAGAATCCCACTTGGGCCTTCGGGGGACAGTCAAACGACCTTTATGCTGCTTGTGCTTTCCAAGAACGTCTCTCTCCTCATGCGCTGAAAGAAGATACGGGTTCTTTTGGTCTGTATGGATAATCTTGACATTGTTGGTCTTTTCGGCTGTGAAATCGGTACCAGCCAACTCGGCGGTGGCCAGGAACTCATCCAGATCGCCTTGCTCCGTAACGGAGCGCATCTTGACCCAAGCAGCATCCTTCTTCTCGTTGACAAGATATTGTTCGCCTGTGGCGTGGTTTGTTCTGGTGATGGCAGAAGTTCGCTTCCTGTCGGTTCCCTTGCCTTTACCGAAGCGATCGTTCATGAGGGCGTTGCCCAAACCGACCGAGTTCTTGGACTTTGCCAGAACCATTTTGACGTCGATATAGAGTGTAGTATTCGGTTGGTGTGCTTCGGCAGCTAATATACGAGGAACGGCTGCTCCAAGTCGCAATACCTCTCAAGATATTATTGATGTTGTGTAAAAACTGAGTTGGATTGATCTGAGAGGGCTGTCTACTGATCAACTCTGTGCCCCGCTGAATAATGACTGTTCTTGGAGGGGCAAATGGATTTTTCGGGGTCCGTAACGGTGTTTCAATTACTGTTTCCGCACTATAGACCTCTGCGATGATATAGGGCTTTATACTGTGCGAATGATCTGACAGGGTCTGGGATAACTGTGGAGTATATGATAAGGATTTTTTTCCCACCCCGCTAGATTTTCTGTACCCGGATGAGTGTTGTCTAAGCCCAACATCCACGCCCACCTAACAACTAAATTCTTGTTGCTTCAAACCGCCAAGATGCCTCGAAAGTGGATGTAAGTACTCCGTGGTAGATACGAGACCATAGTATGCTGAAACAGATCATGTAGCGACAAAAAGTCTGCTCAGCACTTTACGCTGGTGCACCGACCGCAAAATGACCCTCTCATCCACGACGAGAATGCACCTGCAATGGTGCTCAACCCTACCCAGACCAAGAAGGGATCATCTAAATCGAAGGATCTCGATGATCTGGCTTCTGAACTAGGTTATGAGGCCGAAGATGTCCGCGCGAACGAGGGCGAGGCAGCTAGTTATGGTGTTTACTTTGATGATTCTGAATACGATTACATGCAACATCTGCGCGATCTCAACACTGGTGGCGGAGAGGTTGTTTTTGTGGAGTCGACGGCTACTGCAAACAAGGGCAAAGGAAAGCAGAAACAGTCACTTGAGGATGCACTCAAGAAGCTGGACATTGAGCAGAACGCAGGCGATATTCTCGATGACGAAATTCTTCCATCCAAGAATCTTACAAGGGTGACCTACGAGGCCCAACAGGATATTCCTGATTCTATCAAGGGATTTCAACCCGATATGGATCCTCGTCTTCGAGAAGTCCTTGAGGCCTTGGAAGACGACGCATATGTTGACGATGGTGACGACGATATTTTCAAGGAGCTTGCCAAGGACGGTCGCGAACTGGAAGATTATGAGTTTGACGGCGCAGATTTTGACGAGGATGACGGCTGGGAATCAGATGCTACAGCCAAGCCAAACAAAGAGTACAAAGATGACAACATCCCTCAACTCGTACCGACAGAGCAACCCGAGGAGGGGCCCTCTCAAGATTGGCTTGAGGATTTCAAGCAATTCAAGAAGGAGCAAAAGGGCGGCAAGGTCCCCGTTGCCCCATCACAGTCTGAAATGCAATCTAATTGGACGACAACTACTCACGGCGGCCGACGCAAGAAGAGAAAGGGAGCCCTGACGGATAACTCGAGCTATTCCATGACCTCTTCATCTTTAGTACGAACTGAACAGATGACTCTCTTGGACGCGAGGTTTGACAAAATTGAGGAGCGATACAACGAGGATATGGAGGACGACATGCAGTCGATGTCTGCCGTTTCAACCATGTCTACTGTTCAAGGGCCCGTTCGTGGTGATTTTGATAACATCATGGATGATTTCCTCGGAAACTTCACAAAACCTGGAAAGAGGACATCCAAGAAGACTAAGGCTCAAACAGGCCTTGAGCAACTGGAAGAGATTCGAAAAGGTTTGGGGCCTGCTCGAATCCGCGGCAGGATAAAATAATTGAGGATTTGGCACATGAGAGATCAACCAGATTTGAGATTGTTGGACTGGAATAAAAGAACGGAGTTCAAGGAGTAAGGGATTTTAATGAGACATGTGTTCTTGCTGGCGTGGAGATGGGATGAGACTCGATTTACATTCTGTCATGGTACGAACATTCATGTACCTTTGTCATCACGTGAGAGTGGATCCAGTGTAACAAAGCAAAGCATAGCTCTCCAGAATAGGAACTAGCTCAATGGATTAATTCTATCTCCATCACTCAACCACAGCTTGTCATAATATCCACGTCACGCCACGCATAGAGAGGGCTTCAACTCATCCTCATGTCCAGACGATTTCCTAGATGAGTGCGACGCTTGTTGCATCATCAAATCAGATGTTTTCAACTTTCGGCCAGCCAACGCGGAGTCCGTCTCCAGCGTTCAATCCTTTTGCGACGAACTCCGAGAACAAAGGCAGCGCATTCGGAATTGATAGTGCAGGCGACTCGTCAAAGACGAAGCGAACCAAGCGATCATCAGCATTTGGCGACCAGAGCGACAATGAAGCAAAGCGCAAGGCGAATAACCGGTTCAAAAACAAGGATGCCAATCTGAGTGACGGAGGCGGCAGGAACAAGAACCGGAAAAGTGACGAAAAAAAGAATAATACTGATCCGAAGAAAAACCCATTCAATACTGCCACCTTCTCCAGGAAGCAAGCAGGACAAAACACGCGGGGCAATGGATCAACTCCTTTTGTGGCGACGCGTAACGAGTCGCGACCAACTTCATCATCAAGCGCCAACTCCGACGATGAGCCTATCCCCGATACCTATCATTCCGACGATCCGCAAGCGAAAAGGGTGTACGAGCAACTGCGTAAAGATGGCATTCACCCTCCTCAGTGGCCTTCTCAACCTGGGAATCCCAAGAATAAGGCTGAAGTGACAAAGTTCCGCGAGAAATACGAAACCTACCGCAATAAGGCGCGCGCATCTCTGACGAAGGCCGGACTCATCGATGACCCAGATAAGCGCAAAACTCTCCAGGATGCTATCGATTTCAAAGGCATCTGCGAGGATATGTGCCCTGAGTACGAGAAGATCACGCGAATTAATGAAATGGACGTTCATCAGCCCGAAAAGAACCCCAAGACTACATACGCGAATACTCGTCGCATGGTCAAGAAGCTCGCTCGCTCCGCCGCTGGTCAAGAAGCGCCATTGCCCATGGACGTTCGATCCGTGCCGGCCCTCAAAAGGACATTGGACTATTTGATTGACGACCTGTTACGTGACGACGGCAACCTACCAGTCTTGCATGGGTTTTTATGGGACAGAACACGCGCAATCCGCAGAGATTTCACCTTCTTTTCGTCACTCACTCCCGACGAAATGAAGATCCAGGTCTATGTTTTGGAGAACATCGCGCGATTTCATGTTACGGCACTTCATCTTCTCACTCGAGACGGCAAAACACCCGAGGACTTCGTGGAACAGCAGGAATTAGAACAGCTTGGGAAAGCCCTCTTGTCCCTCCGCGACGCTTACGATGATTGTAATGATCAGGGCATAAGATGTGAGAATGAGCCTGAATTCCGGGCATACTACCTTATCTTCCATGCCTACGATTCGAACATCATAGAAACGTTGCAGCGTCAATGGAAACCTGCCCTCTGGAAGGACTCCAATGAGATCCGTACAGCCGTCCTACTCGTTGAGGCTCTGCAAAATACCCAAGACTTTCACGGGCCTCTGAAGGATGCGCCGTCATTAGCCGCATCAGCTGCATATCAATCATATTTCAGAATAGTTGAGGATCCTAAAGTTTCCTACACAATGGCTTGCTTCGCAGAATGCCACTTTCCCAGGCTTCGTCGCGCTATCTTGGCCGCCATCAATAGAGGTCTCGCTCGGCCTAGGGAGACGTCCAAGGACGTTACTGCCGCTGTTTTGAACAAGTTTCTTCGCTTCGATACCATCGAGCAAGCTATTGAATTTGCGGAGCTTCACAATATCGAATTTAGCCAATGCGATGAGGACCCCTCCGATGCCAGTCGCCAATACGCGAAACTGGACAGTCGTGGTTCTTTACCTCACCTTCGTCTTCAACACCAATTCTCTTACTCTCTTGTCGAAAAGAAGCGTGGCTCAAAATCCCTACCAGAACTGATACATCAAACAACCTATCAAAGCGCAAATCCTCCTAAGGCTGCAGTTAACGGTTCATCCCAAGAAAGCCTTTTTGTTCCAGAAACAAAACCTACTACCGACAAACCAACAATCCCCACTGGACCCAAAGCTACAACGTCAAACCCATTTTCATCATTTGGCAAGCCTAGTGAATCTGGAGGGGACAACAAGCCCATCAATGGCAACTCAGGTAAGACCCCATTCCCACTGTTTAATTTGCGCCAAAGATTCTGCATCCCATGGTTCTCTGCATGTTCGATTACATGTAAAGACCTTTACTTTGCAGGCGAATAGGAAATCGCATTCAGCCGGAGACTCGACAGGCCAAAGTTCTTGAGGTTTATCAAGGACAACGCATTGGCTCGAGACGAACCACTGGAAATCTGGCAAAGACACGCCTAAACCACTGGTTCTGACGTTTGTATTCGCTTAGGGACTACAATCAACGGAACCGCCTTGATTAGTGCTTCTGGTTCGCAACAAACACCACCTCAGAAAACCCCATTCGCATCTGGCTTGGCTTCGACAGCCAAGCGGCCTGCTGTCAACCCCTTCGCACCCACAACATCTGCATTTACGCCATCCTCCGTTGGCAATGTTTCTCATCTGCCGGCACTTACCCCTGAGCAGCTGCCTGGATCTGGAAACAGGCCAGTACTGAACCCGTTTGCCTCTTCTTTCAAGCCACCAACCACTTCGGGTGAGCAGGCACAGAGCAGTCCATTCAGTCGGTTTTCTGCCTCCAGTGAGAAAGATACGGCAACAGGAACGACCTTCTCCTCTCTACCAGCCACTCCGGCGGCTGCCTCAACAGAGAACACTTCTAGCAAAGGGATAACAGCAGACAAGCCACAGCTCCATGCTCCCACCATCTCCTCAGCACAACCCGCGAAGCAACCTAGCATCAACATATTGCCACCAACGCCTCAACTGTCCTCAAGTCCCTTTACTACCGTAACACAACCTCAAAAACCAACTACACCAAGCGACAGCAGTGCCACATCGCAAGCGACGATACCTTCAACACCTTTCAACCTGGACAAAACACCTACGTTAACTGGAGAACAAAGCAAGCCAGCGACGGGCATTTTTGACACACAACCCCCGACCACATCAACACCTCAATTCTCGTTCCCGTCGATTGGAACTTCATCTTTGTCCCATCCTGCATCAAACGGTGATGGTTTCCAACTCTCAACAACCCCAGCAACTACCCAAATAGCAAAGGAGCCCATCCCCTCTCCTGAACCACCATCGCCACCTCGTGACCTCTTGGGTGACTTTACCAGATGGTTCGTAACTGGCGATGGCGGACTCATGGACGAATTCCAAGCATTTATGTTGGATAATATACTACAAGGCGTGTATCGAAAATACGTCAAGGATGAAGAAGCCAGGAGACAAAAGGAGGAAGAAGACCAAGCACTCGCAGAAGCACAAAAGTTTCGCGTCTACAGTTTATCAGTCAGATACTTCTACCGCTGGAAAGAGATTGCGCGTGATCGTCGCTTGAGCCAGCTTCGTCGTAGCGGCCGAGAGCAGATGAGAGCTTACTATCAAGCACAGCGTGTAGCGCAAGCTAAGGCTCAGAGAGAAGCTGCTCGCCAAGCTGCGCGAGAGCAGGCTGAAATCGCCGAGTTGAATCGACCAGAGGAGCTGAAGGATTTACTTAAACACAAGAAGCCAAGTAAGCGCCATCAAGCAGCAGAAGAGGACGCACTGCTTGCTTCCGGTGTTCTGTCTGGAATCAACAACGAGCAGGAAGCTGTGGCCAGGATTGTGCGTAGGGTGCCATCCGCCACCAGCTCCATCTCCAGCAAACAATCGAGCTCATCTCTCGCAAGAAGTGGCTCCAAGACTAGAGCTCTTCGGCAACAGTTTGGTGATCAACCGGCCACTTTCAGACGCTCGCTGCCTCCTCTTGTTTCTCGAAATACCGAAAGTCCAGAGCCCAGTAATCGGGTCAGCAGAGTATCCGAACGCTGGCGACTCAAGGCTATGGGAATTGTGCAGATGCCTGATGGAACTGCTGTTCCGGAAAGGCTGGCGAACGAGATGCAGTATGGAAAGAAACAGTCAGCGGGCAGTATGGGCCCGCCTAGTAGTGGCTTCAATCGCCGGGCCTCTATAAGTGGCCTTGGTCATTCTGAGGAACGCCATCGATTATCTGGGTCGCACGGCACCGTCGACACCACCGAATCTGATAGTTCTGCGAAGAACAAGAGAAAGCGGGCCACCGACGATGACGGCGAGCCAGCTCAGGATGACCTGGCCAAAATCAGCTCGCATAAACGAGTAATGAGCGATGCGCAAACCCTGATCGACGAACTCCGTGCTATGAGGGAGGAGATGGAAGAGGGAGCCACTTGGTTCAAAGACCAGAATGATAGAATGCAGAGTGAACTGATCAGCAGAGGCTCGACACCCTGGGATCAAGATATATGAGAAATTGTAGATAAAGAAGCAAAGACTGCTGATAATGAGGATGAACGTACCATCCAAAGTATATACTCCTGTGGTTGGATGGAAGCGAGTTGTATACTTATTGCAACACTTGAGTCTTGACGGTTACTCCGGGTACCTGTGTCGATATGAGGTGATGGCATGATTTAGAGCTGGTTGGGAAAGGCATTGCATTATATGGAGAAATGGTCAAGCAAATATACACGTCTGCATTTAAAGTCACATCACGCATTCGCTGCCTTTTGACTCATCTCTCATTACAGTGTCTTGCCACTAAAACCCTATATGCAAAGGCCCGTATCCATAAGCACCGCGTTTGTTTACCCATGAAACTCCTCCGCTCAGAAAAGAGCAACGCAAATAAGCATCAGTACATAAGCTTACGATCGTCTGGCCTTTTTGGGTGGTGGATCAAAGACAATCCGAATATTTCGTGTTTCGCTAGGAGCTTGTGAGTCTCTGGACTGCTTTTTCCTCAGAAAGCCTTTGCCCGAACCATTACTTGGTTGTTGCACCCAAGGATTGTTGCTATCGTGGCATTCGCGTGGGAATGTAGCTGAACGGGGCGTTGTGATAGAGAAGCCGGGGCTAAACAGCGGGGATGTGATACCTGGTGTACTGCATTGTGGCCCAGCTGAGTTTGACAACAGGGGAGCGTTCGTGCAGCTTGATACACTTTCTGCTGGAGATGCATCCTCGCGATAGGGTGTGTGCAGAGGAGCTTTTGTCGGAGGCGGGTGCGGGATAGCGGTGGTGACAATGCCGAGTTTGTGGGTATCGTGCAGATTTCTGACTGCACTACTTGGGTTCCAAAGTGCAGATTTTGACAAGTTTCGTTCTTCATCCATATAGGGGGGGACGTCGTGGAAGCCAGGAGTCCTTGGTGTAACATGTGTCTGGCAACGGAACGAGAGAGAAGAGCGTCTGTTGCGTACAGAAAGCTTTTTGCGCTTCCGATGTTGCATGAAGATACATCCCGCAGAAATGAGAAGGAAAGCGGCGGCACCAACAGCAATGGCAGCAATTGAGGTGTTGGGAAGGTCATGGTTATCTCCTGGTGCAACCGAGGCAGATGGATCTACAATCGAGATGGTCCCCTCGCTGAAAACAGTGTCATTGAGTCCTATAGGGGTTCCTGGTTTGGGACGCTGTTGGCATCCAGCATTGAGAGCAACAAGGACTACACAAAGAGATGGTTAGATGAATCAAACAGCTGGGTCAAGGAACGGCTCACAATTCGATATGATTGTCTGCGAGCTATCCGCCTTGACACATGCCTGGCATTTATCAACTGCGTCGCCGAGCATGGCTTTGTCATCAGTGTCACAGTAATCATACTGTTCTCTATCGTTGGGTTCGGTGATGCCTTTCTTCAGAGCATTCCCAATCGGGCCACAAGCTTCAGATGTGACACAGGGGCCGGAACTGATGCCGGTTGCATTTGGGTAGCCAAAGATACAGTAGTCGAAAGAGTAGCGCATATTGTCTAATGGCGCAAAAGTCAGATGATGTCGAACAATTGAGTCCTTGGCATGACTTACACAAGAACCAATCCTGGTCACTTTCGTCGCCCTGCTTGAAAGCACTGTCCTGCAAACAAGCCAAGCATCTTTGGAACTTCTGGCCTGCTGCCTTCCTCTTGAAGTCATCATCGTCGCAGACAATCTCGTCGCCACGGGTTTCGTAGGAATTGGGATCGGACCGGCCAAGGCAGAACTGGGAACAGGGAGAGTTGGGTGTGACTTGTAGAGCCGAGACCGGCGTCCAGAACAAAAAGAAAGGGACAATAGATAAGAGAAACATCATGGAGGTCCGCTGTGATGTTTAATGTTTCGAAAGGAAGGTCGCTGTTTCGATAAGCGACATGAATGTTTTGATGGGTATCAAGGTCGATCTGAGGCCAGGCCAGCTGTGAAACAGCTCGATTTGGAAGATGAAGAAACGGTATCAAAGAAAATGAATATGGCGGGCTGGTATACCAGATGCCCTTGTTACAACATGTTGGTATCGGTCGTTAAATAGAAGGACATCACAACACAACACAAGTAGTAAATTAAAGGCGCCGTTTGAATGAGTGAACGGGCGAGGAGTAGAAAGGAATGAGAAGTGGACACCAAAGGCAAGAGAACTTTTGAGAACAGAGGGAAAGAGAAGAAGCGAGTTGCAGCCCCTTCTGCATATTAATTACCGTACCTAGTATACCTGGTTTCCCTACGGATAGTGTGAAGAGAGAACGAGAACGTGGGTGTCGTTCTCCATCACTCGATCAAGAACTGCAGATGCAACGCCACGCACCACATTTCACCGCACTAAGATGCATGCTCTGCCCTGTATTGCACCTTGCAAGACTCAGCTGGAGTAGTTGCCGCGATGTGGCTCCCAATCACCCAATTCTCGGTTGAGAAGTGCCGCCAACTCGTCTGTGCCGCATCGATCCATGCTTGTGATGGGAAACAACCATTCCCCAGGCGGTATCGAGGCGGCCCCAAGCAGCGAACAAGGATCGAGAGTTAGGTAGTTGGGTGGTGAAATTGGGTACGGGCGCTTAAGTTGTATGTATGAGACATAGAAAGAAAGGGTGGTGAACTGAGACGAACCAGACAGAGCCTGTTTGCGGAAGATTTTCTGGAGCCTCATTGGTTCGTGCCTGGAAAGGCCAGAAGATGGCTTTTACAAGCAGCGAATCAGAAGCAAGGAAAGTGGCAGTGTAGTTCAGGGCGGTTATCAACTTCAGGGGCCCCGACAGCCCCAGCGCTTAGTTAAGGCTGGCCCTGGGCTGTAGCCGTCATCACCAAGTCAATTCATCATCATCACATCACACCTACGAACGTGCCTGGAAACGACTACGAAGAAAAGCGCATATGAAATGAATCAATTTGAAATCTAGTCTATGAGCTCAACCAGAAAACCGTCCCATAAACACCAAAACTGCCAAAGATTCCCTTCCTGTCGAGGTATCACAACTCTCGTCTCTCGTTGCCGGTTCTTTTTTATTCTACTCGTAATCAAGCCCATATCCAATGGCATACATGCATCTCTTCCCCTTCCCGCACCACGCATGAAACACCATGAACTGTCCATTTTCCGAACTTGTGCCTCCACCAGGACCTTTCAGGCCTAGAGCTGGTGTCTTGAGAAATGGAGATGATCCCCGGGTGTAAGGGCCCTCGACCCGGTCACTCATAGCCCATTTGACATCATAGGCATCGCCTGTGTACATGTGGCTACTGAAGAAGAGCAGATACTTGCCCTGCTCTGTTCGTACCAGACTCGGAGCCTCAACCAGGGGCCCATCCTCGGAGGCGATCCGGTCCAGGATGTCCACAGGTTTGCCGATCGGTGTGGAGCCGTCCTCTGTCGAGACCTCTTGGAGTCGGATGGGAGTTCCCGAGCCGTTGTTGAGAGCGTTGCCGTCGACTTTATAGACGACATATCGTTTGTTTGTGGACTCGTCAAAGAAACCCGCCGGGTCGATCGCGCCGCCTTCGTCACGTGGGCAGGCGAATGGCTTGGGATCCATCGTATACGGACCGGTGCTGTTGTGGGATCGTGCAACTCCGATACAATGTCCACCTTCAGGAAGTTCTCCAGAAAAGTACATTATATACGAGTCATCCTCCAGCTTCCGCACGTCAGGGGCCCAATAATTTCTGCCACTCGTCCATCCGTCTCCCGGGAGGGCATCTTGCTGGAGATGAGTCCACTCGCCAAAGAGATCATCTGCCACAGCGACCTGGATGTGGTAGCCACCACCACTTGTTGCAAAAGACACCCAGTGGTCGTCTTGGTCTTGAACAAGGCATGGGTCGGGGAAGTTGACATCTAGTCGTGGGGAGAAAGACTTGCCGCGACCTTTATGTCTTCGACTCAAGTGCTGCTTTGGCGGTGGCAATACGAAAGGTCGAAGAACAGGAGACGATATGTTTGCTGGTAGGGCTGATGCAGTGTCGAAAAGAGAGACGGAGAGAATGAAGAAGATGATTCGCCCCCAGAGGCTCGATGAAACGGGCATGACGGGCATGTCCTCTGAACTCAAAACTTTCTGGCACGCTGGCACCGCAGCATATAAATCGTTCAGCTGAGCCTCAATCTCGGTATCAGTTAATCTCGATGTCATGTATAGTCGATCACTGGGTCCGAGTAAAGCTGAAGGCTAAGTGATCAACAAGCTCTGACGTTGAGTTGTGAATCCTTGACCCAGATGAGAACTTGGCAAGTATTTATACCCCAAGAAAAAACAGACTTTGCAGAACAAGGTTCGAGGAGAATACGCCTGCAAAGTGTAGATAGGCGCCTCATTCAATGACTGGTCTTGTTGGGGGTATTTTTCATGTATGAGCGACTCTAGTTGATCTCAGGGAGAAGAGGCTTTGATATCAGAACCTTAGACGAGCAAACGCACAACTAACCTCCGCGTTTTCCTCACTTTATACTTCTACTCTTACAGCCACAGGCCAAGCCATGGGACCTACTTCCACCACCTACTACGTGACCCTCTTTGCTATCACGCCAATACACTCTCAAGCAGGACAGAAACGGTCAACTAGACGCTCTCTTGACAACGGTCTAATCTTAAGGCTATCCCTGGTCTTAATACGAGCAGGCAAAGGAAGGGACCAAAAATCCAGCCAGTCCAAGTAAACGCCCAAGCCGGGATATCCCTCATCACTATGCTGTGTCATGCGCTGGCTAACAGAGTTGTAGCGACTTGAATCCTCTGCTTAGCGAACAGGCTGCTGCGGTGGAAGTCCACTCCTTCAACTATGAAACAGGGACAGCTGTTACTCGAGATGCGTTGCTGGAGCCTGATTCGTCCAATGTTTCCACCCAGGTCCAATGTTTTGTTTGGCCAAGACTGGTTCCTTTTTGATCTGCGACTAATACGACAACGGTTGGATTGTTACTCGGCCGTACGTATCAGGGACTTTCCAGTGTTCCTCCTGTGGAACCCTGACTCTCAACTAGACTACCTTATGCTCTCACTTATTTCGTGCCCAGAAAATGTGTTATCATACTTACAGTAGCCTCATGACAACACATGCATTGCCCAGACTTGATGGACGTTTCATGACGATGGGACCTCAGATCGGATTTCAACAATACCGTAACACCAAGAGCCACCGTATTACGTGACCGCTACATTATGTGTCATGTGTCAGTGTACCCCAACCACGCATCAGTCCTTACACACAGCGGTCACAAGCATAAACTACGGCAGATAGGCATGATCCAACCTCATACATTCACACATCCTAGACAGAAGGTTACCACAGAGACATGCGGTAGTTTTATCGTGCTTTGCATTGAGTGCCTTGCATCTACTCCTACCAGGATTTTCGAACCAAAAACGCCATGATAACCCCAAAAACAATTTCAAGCAGCCAAAAACGGCACGAGAGCAAGAATATGGTACAGCAAACAGACCACTCCTTGCCAGCAGACCCTACGTCTCGGGTATCAAGATCTGCCTTCAGGTTTCGGCCCATACCCAAACTTGGCCTGGATTCCATTAGTCGCTGTCGCTGTCCATAGCCTCGCCCTTGGCAGCCTTCTTAGCAGCCTTTGCCGCCTTTTTCTCCGCCTTTCTTCGTTTGCGCTCAGCCTTCTCTTCAGCAGTCTCGCCATCGTGCTTCTTGCGCTTCTTGTCCTTGCTGTCGTCAGCAGCAGGTGAAGAGGGAGTGGCAGCCTCCTCCATAGGAGTATCCTCAGCCTCGGAGGCCTTGGCAGGAGCGGCAGCAGCGGCGGCGGCAGAGGCATCGCTGGTGCTGAAATCCTTGTATTCGGAGCTCCACTTGGCAGGAGTGGCATCGTTAGGGCGGCCGTACTTGTCGAGTTTGCCGTCAGCCTTGAGCTTCTTCTTCTCAAGAGCAACAGGGCCAAGACCCCAGCGGCGGGGGTAGAGGTCGCGCTCCATGATGCAGCGCTTGACCTTGGCAACGACGCCGTGATCGCAGGTGGACATCTCGACAGTGGACATCTGAGCGATACCTAGAGCAATGGCTTCGCCCTTGGTGGTCATAAGAACGACTTCCTCATGATGCTCAATGGCAGACTCTGTCAATGAATTAGTGAATTGCGACATGAATTATCGTTTGAGGACTTACCGTATCGAAGAAGACCGGGAAGCATGAGCTTGGCACCATAGCAGACAGCGTTGACAGCACTGTCCTTGACGACAAGTCGCTTGTAAGAAGTCAGGAGAGTCTCAAGAGGAGAGATAACCTTGCGAAGGTAAGACTCGTCGCGGGTGTTGTCCATTTGCCACTGGGCGTCGAGAACATCGTGGAGAGTGACCAGGCCCTTGGACTCATCCATGGCACCACTGCGGACACGTCGAAGCTCCTGCATGTGGCCACCGACACCGAGAAGGAGACCCAAGTGGACACAGAGGGTTCGGATATAAGTACCAGCCTCGCAGCTGACCCAGAAGACACCGAGGTGTCGGTCGTTGTCGAACTCGATAAGCTTGCTCTCGTGAATGGTTCGGATACGGAGCTGACGCTTGACGGCAGAGATCAGAGGGGGGCGCTGGAAGAGCGCACCGGTAAGGGTCTCGAGAGCGCGGGCGAACTGGGCCTGACCGCCGGGCAGCTTGTCGTGAAGGCGGATGACAGCCACATACTCCTTTCCGGCACCCTGCTGGGACTTGACAAGACGAGTGGCGCGGTCAATGCAAACGATCAAACAACCAGTGACCTTGGGATCGAGGGTACCACTGTGTCCAGTCTTTTCGCATCTGTAGGCAATATCGTTAGCAGATAGTTCGACTTGGACGCGCACTTTGACGCGATACTCTTGGTTTGAAAATTTTCGTACCGTAGAATGCGCTTGACCCAAGCGACGACCTCGTGAGAAGAAGGGTTAGAGGGCTTGTCGAGGTTGATGACACCAGAGCTGATGTATTGCTTAAGATCGCGCTTCAGAGGAGAGCAGCCGTTGGGGATGGGAGTGAAGTGGCCTGTTCGGACAAGAACTGCAAGTTTTGAAGATTACCAGTTAGTCTTTGAATTTTGAAGAAGGTATCAATTGAGGCTCCACAAGCCACCAGAAAATATCAAAAACGCGCTTCAATCATCGAATTGCACCAGGAAACTCACGCTTGTCGTAGTTCTTGAGCAGCAGAGGCCACTGGCTGGTGTCGAGAGAAGGAGTGGTCGCCTGGGGCTTGATGGTGTACTCCTCCTCCTCTGTTGTCGTCTTCTTGACGACCGCGACGTCCTTGGACATTGTGAACGGAATGTAGTTTCCCTTTTGGAAATTGTGTGATATACCGGGTGAAGCGCGGCAGGTGCTTCTTTGCGACAGGAGGGAAGAAACGGAAGGTGCGAGTCGTTGGTTTCCTCAGTGTCTTGCCCGGTGTTGTTGGAAGCTTCCAAATTTTTTTTTCTCTGGTCGGATTTCATTGTGGGGACCGAAGGAAGCTGCGACCGGTGTGTGGCGGCAATTGAACACTAATCCTGTTTTGGTTACCTCGGCTGCTTTTAGCCACAGCAGCCACCACTGGGATCTACCAAGTTCTGTCCTCACTTTTACTCATTCGACAGAGACATCACAACAGCGAAGACTTCAACGATATGCCTCAAGATACCGGTTGACTTTCAGTGGGAACTTTCAAGATTAGGTGGCTCTAGCTAGACTGTCCCGTGCATCATGCTGCAAGTGCAAGTTCACAGTGGAGCTATATATATATTTCATTCAGTTCAAATCGTGACATATCAATAGTGGTATCCCAACCTTCAACGCCAAGCTAACAGGAGGAAAAAACAGAGCGACAACTATGTTATCAGGCTCGTAGCACAGTCGAGCCTACGGGTCACGATCCATTCGGCCATTATCTTCGTGATGTCCATACGGGTTATGGTATCCGTATGACTGATTCATATGGGTGATCCCTTCTGGAAAGTAACCTGGCTGCGGAGCAGTCGTCCGACTTGACTCTCCATAGGGATTGATGCCGGTCTGATATATTCCTATGCCCGCATGAGGGTTTTCCACGGGTGTCATCTCATACTCTTCCCCTTGGAGGCCCTTGCCTTTTGAGTTGACTGAGTTGACAGAAGAGTCATCTCCACCCAAAGCAACCCCTATCTGAGAGCTGCTTGGATCTGGTTGATACATTGAAGGGAACATCTGGGGAAATTGTGATTGGCTGTTCATCGCCGGAGTCATCTGCTGGTTGGGAGCCATGACTGGCCAGTGAGCGAGCTTGAGTTCAGTTGCGCTGACGGGACTGTTATACTGCGAGGCGTATGGTGACACATGGTGCGGAAACAGATGCTCGGATCGAACACTGACTGGCGATTCGTCCCAGCTTCTCAGTGGCTTCTGGCTGAGAGGAGTGTCGCGAGTTTCGCGAGGGATAGTTAGTGGAGTGGGCCAGGAATTGTTGTGTTTCGTTTCCAGCATGCTGAGGAATGCCCTTCTTCGTCTCCTACCGCGCCAGATGATACAAAATCCAAGGATAAATAAGATGAAGGCCACACCTCCAGCGGCGATGCCCACCTTGGCACCGAGACTAATAGGACCCTGGTCGAGCCAGTCTGGGTTCACAGAAGCAACTGGCGTTGGCTCTGTGACATTGACGTCGTCTCTAGAGAATATGCCTCCTTCTGTAGAGACCAAGGTACCAGGCTGTGGTTTCTGTTCACACCCAGCTTGAAGAACAGTGATAACTGTTTATGGTTAGTATATGAGCCAGCAGGAGAATTGATTATCAGCAGACATACAATTGGCAAGGAAATGGTTGTCGCCTGCTTGGAGGCACTCGGTGCATCCAATAAAATCAGCCGTGTCGTGAATAGGCCAATTATCGCAATAGTCGTAGCTTTCGACGTCTAAGGATAAGTTGCGGTATATTATAGCGTCGCGGAACGGCCCACAGGCTTTTCTGTCGAGTATTAGACGAAAGTCGGGTACAAAAGAAGGATATCACTGACGAGGTCAAACAAGGTGTGTCTATTGTGTTCTTATTGTCAGGAATTCCGAAGAGGCAATACGAGGTTGCGTAACGCAAGTTGTCTAGAGATGATCAGTCCTCGGTTTTCATGATGAAACGTAAAATCTCAACCTACAGAGGTAGTATTGCTGGTCTGTTTGATTGTTCTTAGTAGTGTAGTCGCTGCTTTGCTCACACGTCAGGCACTGTTGAAATACGATGCCTGCGCCACTGGTATAATCGCCTTCCTGGCAGACGACATCATCGTTTGTAGTCGCATCGAGAACATTGCCACATACTGTTCCACAGGGAGAATTGTCTGCAACGAGAATTGCAGCAGCTGGACCGAGCAGGCTCAGGCCTGTTGTTATCAATGTTAAACCACGCATCGCTGATGAAGCCGGCGGTAAGTTGTAAGGCCGAGTTGTGGATGACCTTCAGTGGCAGGACCAGCTTTACCAGTTTGGCCGCCGATAAGAAACCAAGCTGAAGAGGACGGTGCCCAATGGAGGGGATGGGTCCGATGTGTTACACCAGATGATAGGTAAAGCAGAGTTTTATCTGCGCGCGCAGTAGGACGAAGTTTGCCGCCTTTGAGGGATCCTTGAGGGCCGGTTGACTATCGGCCGCGTCTTACTCTTATATCAGACCCGGTCGATTCTAAGGGCTCAGAGACGTCGTGACATGTGTGACACATGCCATGTGCCAACCGCGCTTCTTGTGTCTGGCGCGAAAAATGAAGCGATTGTGGGGGAATCTGCTGTTCCAGCGCGGCTGTAGGTATGCAGAACTTGTGTCAGAGAGCAAGTCAATGTGAACGATGCAAGTGATGAGTTGAAATGGCGTGGTGATGAAAAGCCTAGAAAGCGTCAACTGCACCGCTATGGTTGCAGAGGCGCATATGTAAAACTACATGCCGTTCATGTCTGATTGGGGCCAAAGTTCCACCTCTCTTCTCCCAGCCTCCACATCCTCGAGAGGTGATAGCTGCTTTGTGGTAAGAATCGACCATGATCCTCGCTAGGATTGGTCGGCATCGACGGGCGCGGTCTGTTCTTTATCCCAGTCTCAAATTGTGATGGTGTTGAGAGAGGATGGTATATGAGGGGAACCAGCCACTCACAATCGCTATCACGACAACCGCCAACCCCATCGAAGCGGTGCTGCAAGGCCCCCGGTTCTTTCACACTAGCCCCGGCGGCTACAGGCTCAAATGATTGACTATCCAAGCCCCATCCACCCAAATCGCCCTGTCTAGCGCCCCTCTAACGGCCTTTCGGATACTGCTCTCCACGGCACCTATCGTTGCACATTGGTGATGACTTGAAGCTTTGATTTCTCAAGAATGAGCCACAAGTGCTTATAGACTCTGTTTTTTCATGTCACCGGCATTGCATGATTTCCTTTTCGGTATTACGGATTGAATGTGGCTATTTGCAAATATGTACTAGATTTCTGCGAGGTTGGGCAAGTTTGTGGTGCAAGCATAGATATCTTATTGGTTTTTGTGGCCATCACATGGATACGGAGGTGAAAGGAAGCCATACAAGCCTTATCATTTCTCTCTAAAGTGTTCGTTCTTAATAAACTCCTGCCTTGGGCATTGCACCACTTACTCCAACTGTCTTGCTTACCTAAACATGGAACCTCGGGAAATGTGTAAATTCCCACAATTCGGCGGCCTCGTCGCAATCTCGGCCCCACCTCGTTCCGAAGCTGTCTTCACTGGTATTTGTACATAGGCCGTGAGTATTAAGATAAGAATGCTTTTAGAGCTCTTTTGCTCATTCAGGTATATACAAAGGTCCAGTGTTATTAGTTGATAAGTATCTGACGCTCACGCAATCCAAATACGCCTTGAATCCTGATCGCTGCCTCATTTTCTCAGTTAGATATCCACAAATAAGGTATGGTAAGAAGCTTGATGGATACTGATCAGCTTTCCATATAAAGCTTCAAACAGGGACAACCCTTGGTTGATGTTTACGAGCAATGAACATTCAGTGGCCTAAAGGTTTCAATTCCGATGTTCTGTCTTCTTTATTGAATTGCCATCCAGGGTCATTATCTACATACTGCGTAACTGCTAAATGCCTACTTCATAGCTCGCCCACCAATCCATCGCCGCGAAACAAATAAAATGTTATGAGGGGCAAAGCCTCCAGTGAACATAAGAATACAATATCCAAAAAAAAACGTATATGAACATGTTATCAAAGGCCAGTGGGTTGCTATATAAGTCCTTCATCCCGCCTCAAGACGGTTGTTATGGCCATCCACTGTTCAGAATCTCCGTTGAGTCAACAGCATCCGTAATAAGACTACCAACTGTGCCTCCACTACCATTGAGTTCATTGCAAAGTACGAACAAGGCTGACATGTGTATTGTGAGGTAGAGAAAGTGAGCGAGAAAAGAGTATCAAAATAAAAGCCAAAAAGGGCTTTGAGCTGCGTTGGAGACCCAAGCAGATGATTATGCCACTTGGACAGTGTCTGCTTCAGGCAGAGAAGCTGAAGCTATGTCAAAGTTGTTGAGATTGTTGATAAGTAATAGGTCCACTTCCAAATCCTCACTTTTGAAAACCATAGCTTTGGGAGTGCTGGGATTAAAGAACGAAGGTGTGGCGGGAGACCGTCCTGGAGTCGAAATAGTTTGCAACGTCTCCGCAAATGACCCTGAGTCGCTAGCCTCTCCAACTTCATTGGTTACATATTCGTGGTTTTTGTCCTGTAGTTTTTCGCCGGGTCCGGGAGTGATCAAAGGCGTATAATCTAGTTGTGGAATTGGCTCATTGGTCGAATTATTGCTTCGTTCAACGATGGCACTCGCAGTAGATACAGATGCAGGAGCGGAGTCAGTCCTGCCTGGTGGCGATGACGTTACTGGCCTGACAGTAACAGGTCTCGAAGCAGGATGGTTCATTGGAGGTGCACTTTCAGTGTGGCGGTTCCCACTTGCAGAAGGGTTTCGTCCATGAACAGGGCAATTGGGACAAACAACGGATTCTACTCGCTCAAACTCACGTGGGAGATTATCGTGGGATGACATGCGACCATGCTGGCCCGACGAGGTTCTCCTTGTTCGGGATTGTCGTCCTCGTGACCGGTGCTGGCTCGTTCTGCTGTGCAGCAGCTCGTTGCGAGTCGAGTCTCGAGATGAGGAACGTTCCACGGCTGGCATCGTCGAATCATAAGCTCCATTTGTTGCCAGAGGCTTGGGCTGTGGCATTCGGCCACGGCTTGCTGCGCGTTGAGTCGTATTGACTGAATCACCATAATCAGCCGCTGTTTCAGCCCGCTCGCCGCTGATGCATTGAAGAACACCCTCAAGGTTATTCAGTGGCTCACCGCGGGTTTGGTGGTCTCCTCGTGAAGGCGGTCGATCTACACTATAGTTGTTGTTCCTGAATAAACTCGGGCTTGCGGCTATTGGTATCATATGATCTTCTGTCTGTGGAATGATGGCAGACCTAGGGCGAGTGTTGCTGCGATCTCTCAGATGAGGCCAGTCGTGAACACGCAAGCCGTTTGCAGACTCCGATCTTAATCTGCTGGCAGACTCGGCACGCTGAGAGATGCCCTCAAGATGCTGTGTAATAGCATTGCTGATATCACGAGCCTCAAGTGCTGAGTCGGATCTTTCCCTTGCTCCCGTCCGGCTTGCGTTTCGGGACTTTGGGGATGGTGGTCTGGCAAAACTGGTATCTTGCTTTGCCGGTGATTTCGCTGTCCCCCTTGATGCCCGTGACGATCTGGAGGCTCTGGATGCCTCAGATGATTCGGATATAATTGTTTCATTGGTTCTGTTCGACGAAGTATTTGATAGGGGACTGAATGCTCTCAGATCCTTTGGAGTTGCATTGCTCTGGCTGCGGTTTTGCAATGTTCCAGTACTGAGGGGACGTATTTCGCCTGTGATTTCTGGCCAGGGAAATGGCTCTGGCTTCCTACCCACCGCAGTAGCGGGTGTCCAGCCAGCGGAAAGCGGTGTTGGACCAGCGGAATCGGAAGGCATCCAAAACCACCGAGCATCTGATGGGGATATTCCATCAAGAGACAGGGGTGTTCTTCCATCATCTGGAGCAGCAACGGTAAATCGGTGATTATATGGATGATCTTTCAGCTTGAAAGTGTTCGTCGGGTAGCCGCTGAGAGGAGCTGCACTATTAGGGTACGGCGTACTATCTTCCGGTGGGCGTGTCTGTACAGTTGCATTGGATGCCTGAGACATATTAGATCGCACTGATCTTTCTGATCTCAGAGATGCAGCGCTGATGGGATGGTCCGGCGGATACTGATGAGGGAGAATAGGAGGCGATTCGGGAATGATGAGCCTGGGTCGAACAGACATGGGTGTTGGACTAGGCGCCGACGGTGTAGGGATGTTGAGACTATCTGTGCCAGGAGAACGAGCCGAGTTGCTCATAACGAGCCCTGGGGCAGGAGGAATAGTAATCGTTGGCGCCTGTCGTCTTCTCGTAAAGTCATGAGATCCGTCTTTTGGAAGAGTACAGCGTTGTGACATAGAGGAGATGTGATGCCGTGGTGCGGTTGAGCCTGAAGGATGTGGGCTGGTCACGCTATTCAAGGAACTTTTTGTCTGGCCGTCTTTCTTAGAATCCTCTGAGGAACGCTGAACCTCATTGGACCGGGGATTGTTGGTCTCGTCGTTTCGTTGCAATCTTCCCGGTGCCTCCATGCCAGCGCCTCGTGGGTCCGGGCGATAGACAAGTTTTGCGTACGGTGAGTTATTGGTGTCGACGACCAGCAACTCTTTTTCCCCGCGTCCCAAAAGACCGTAAACTCTAACCTCGCCGTCCTGGATACCAATGACTGCACTGGTACCGGCATATAGAGCCTCATCCTCATTTCCTGTGCGATTACAGAATACAACAATAATCTCATCTTCATTCTCCGCGCGAATGAGAGGCTCAAGTCGAGTAACCCAATAAGTAAGTGTTTCCATGTCAGGTTCGTTGGGCATGCGGGTAAACCGGCGAGGATCCTCTCTGGTATTCCAGGCCATAGACACAATAACGAGATTTGACTCAACTTCGAGGATATGATAGGCAAATTCAAAGGCATGCCATGGCGCTTCAAACTTATAGGGACTGCTCAACGGTCAGTAAGTCACGTAAACCATCCCACGCTTCTTCTTGCCACATACTTTAAGTCCATGCCTATTCAAAGTGGTTAGTATAGCTCGAAGGTAGGAAACAGAGAAGAACTCACAGATTCCTATTGAGGTGTTTCCCAGTCCAGGAATAAAGCCCTCATAAAATCCTTGTCCTCCTTCTAGTGCCCATGTTTCATCTGTATGGTATAAAAAGGATTTCCGGTAGTTCGCTATTGTCTCGCCATCCCCATTGACGACAATAACAGAGTTATAATATTCTGGACCTGTGGGCCACTTTGGTGTAACGTCGACTTTCTCAGGGTATCCAACCGTTACGGTACAGTTGTATTTGAGGGCGATGGTCCTGGCCCAGAGAGACGTGATGCCGGAGCCAGAGGGTTCAAGAAATGGAGCAATATCTTGCAGTGATTTGAAGTTGTACCCTTCTCAAAGTATTAGCATCGCATAATCAAGAGTTCGTAGAACAGGATGGTGAAGAAAAGTCAACAGAAATCAATCAACTTCATCCACTCCAAATAAATTACCAGAGAAAGCCAGCTCGGGCAGAACAAGGAGATCCAGATCATCTGGGTTTGCCCTCGATAATACTGAATCCGCGCGGTTCAAGTTGTTATCGACATCTCCCACCTGGGGCGCAAACTGCAAGCACCCAATTCTCATGATTGCGATTGCGCTGAATTGTCGTTTGTGAATAGATGCGGCGCTGAAATAAATGAAGACCCCGCAATGGTGACACGTCGCTCCTGCCGAACAAGGCCTTGGGCTAGTGAGGCCCGGAGCTGTAATAAGCTCAACGAGCAAAGCGACCGAGAATACCACAACAAGAGAGAAAATACAGATGACGAAAGAACCAAATTATAGAAATCAACAACTAAAGGGGAGGAAGAGAAGAAGGATGGCAAAAACAATCGTGGAGAACGCCCACCCTGTTTGGCACAGGTCGAGGAACCAACGGGTATATCTAGTGACAGTTGGGGGCTGGGCAAGTCCTTGACAACCAAAGGGAAGGCCGCAAGACCGGTGCCGCATGTAAGCTCAGAAATCACCCGTCACTCCCATGGGCTCAGCCTTAACAAGAGTATTCGGAGCTATTGAGTGACATGGGTTGTAGGTTGGCGCTGAGAGGAGCCTCGATGATCCTCCCTGTCTACTTTGTGCCAGTTCAGGGCCTCAGCAGAGCTTCGCGACTGCTAAACACACATCGCGTGGTGATTTAATTGCTCCTTGAAGCGCTCGACCCCCGCCAGCTGCCAGCTGCCAGCAACGGGCGCATCTACCAGAAAACGGGGCCCAATGAACGGTAAGCGTTAAGCGCTCAACAACCCCGCGACAAGGGTTCGGGCCTGGCCCTCCCGCATTCCCGGCACCTCTATACCATATCTGGGTTTCGCTTGCTTGGTCTCGAATTGATGTCACTGGTCAGTGTTGTCTTCGTGACAACCATTTCTGGCCATGGGTAGATTTCTTCTAAATTGTGGAGCAGATGATTCGATGCTTCGTTTTTGACCAGTAAGAGCCTGGGCACTTAATGCATCTTTAAGAGCCAACACGGATTGTACAGCACATTGCTTTCAATCACCTTTGAGAAACGAGCAAGGGAGTGCGAGTGATTACCATCAGCTTCAGCTTAGAGCCATCTAGCCTCCTTAGACCTCATAGTGATAATTCCGGAGTACATTGCGGTTCAGCCGTCCAATTTATCTGCAGGTCAGGTATGTGTTGGAGTGAAAACTTCGAGTTGATCTCCCCAAAAACACTGAAGGCAGTTGTGACTGATTACCTTTCTACTCACCTCTCCTGACAACTGCTTCTATTTTCTTCCTGGTAATTTCCTTATGTATTGGCGATTAGAAATTATCATTCTGTATTTCGAAAATATTCAGAAGTTAATATCAATTTATTTCGGTATCTTTATTTCGTACTCAATTCTAAGGACACTAATGGTTTCTCTTCTGTTACTGCAACGGCCATCATCTGATGCCTAGCAACTAAGACCAATCAACATACGGAAATACTTGTTTCATCGTCGCCTTGAACTTCAAAATCCCGGAACCAACGAACGTGTACTATTGGTTATCGGCTTCCAGACTGTACCGTCTGTGATAAACGTTGCATTATATCCACCCATGACGACAGCCAGTCATGATAAAACTCAGTACACCAGAATGTTGACCGCGACTTTGGCTCCTTCATCCACCAACCAGTGGAATCTATGGACAGGCATTCTTCCCCCAGCTATGAAAACCATGCTTTATCCCTCGACGCCCTTGTTTCTCGGTCATAAATTCACCCTTCACCGCCCAACAATGGGACGACATCACAGGAGGGAATAGTCACGTGAGCATTCCATTCATCTTTACGTCGAATCTCATGATTCGATACTCACGGGAGCCTGTCAAGTTCTATGCATCTAAGGCGACAGCCGCGCGCCAAACTCTGTCGTCATCTCAACAGCCGATTTAGGAGCTTGTTGGTTGTTACTGCTCTCATTTGTTTCATGTTCCTTCGCCGCCAGTAAGATATAAAAGCCATATCAAACACTGCAGTCGGTTCCGCAGTAATTTTAGGGAGACTCTCTTCGCTGATCATCATGTCAGCGGTTGATCCTGTTGGCGAGGTTGGATGATCAAAACTTAGTTTCAGGTTCGAGTGATACAAAGGTCATGAATTCTGGAGGCTGAGATCGTATCTAAGTTTTGAGTCACGCACATGCAAGTTTGCATTTGGTCTTTGAACGGTTCGATGCTGAGGATATGGCTGTCATATCGAGTGTTCCGTGTTCTCTAGACCTAGACGAAATTCCTAGCAGACAGATATTACTTTTGGAGGTCTAGAATGATCAGGCAATAGTTGTACACCCAATTTGCAGGGTTATCTACTGTCTGAGCAGATAGTCATGACGAAGTATACCAATGGACAGAACCAATATGATCAAGATTGATGCACATAACTAGGTAGGTACCTTGGGTAGGTTATCACTCGGAAATACATCTTGCTCTTTGTCAGCTCAATAAGATCAACTGTAACCAGCAGGGGTGATCTAGTCTACACGAATAGCTTACCCTATACCTTTAACCTGTCATGGTAGTCCCAGTCTCGGCAGTAAGATTATGTTGTTTGTATCAACCATATTTAAAAAACCTATTACCATGGTATGTTCTTTTTTCATGTGTCCCTTTTTTTATGCAAAGAATTCAAGTTAGGCGATCAAACTTTGGAGAGGGTGTCATGTTACAGTATCAAAGGCCAACGACATTGATGAATTAGGTAGAGCTTGTAGTGTAAATTGGTCATTACAAAACTGTGAAACAGATCCATGGGAATGGCGTTCATTTTAAAAGCCTCATCGACAGCTGGCACGATAATGACATAATAGCGAGATGGGCTTTTTGAGATTCGACGACTCAGAACAAGACGATGGCGCTTCGTCCGATGAATCAACATCCTTACCGCACCGACTTAATTTAGACGAGCTGGCTGGACATGCAGGTTTAATCACTATCACATGAATCTTATTGGCTAATGCTGTCTCAGATTACAAGGAACAAATGGCAGCAGGGTTTAGCGCGTCTGCGGCAATCTGAGCGCTTGTACCTCGCGTGGAATGAGAGCAATATACCCGAAATAGCGAGGCAAAAGATTGACGCAGGGTGGTTGGTGAGTGAACACGCGCGCTAAAATGATAATTGAGAGGGAGGACAAGAGAAGACGAAATAATGTGTTGGGAGCAGCCTTGGCAGGAATATTGGATGGAAGAGTCGAGAGAAGATCACTGATATATTCAGCTTGGAACATCGCTTATCTGTTTATTGCCCCCAGCCAAGAATAATGCCAGCATGGCCGGGAACCGGCCTCAACGGTCGATCAATCTGCCAGTCAGTCACTACGGTAGTGTTGTGGATAGCCTGACATCTACTGCCTGACTGCTTACACAGTAGGTGTTGGCCACGCAAGTTGGCCGGCGTTTGCGACGCTTCGCAGAAGAGTCTTGATTGGCTTGTGGTGCTCACCAAGACCATCACCCCTGCCCACGCATAGCCTTAACCGCCAGAGAGCATGCACAGAGGTGCTGATTGGCCAGCTACCAGGGTTTCCGGGGGGTTAGCTCTTAATTCGGTTTCTATTCTGAGCTGGCACACTCTTACACCTTGTTCCCCTCAGTCTAGCGATTGTCCATCCTATTATAGGACACTTGGAGATCCAGTCCATCCCGAAGCTACCACATAGATGAGAGCTGACAACTGAATGCGGCAAGCTAACCTTTGAATCCCAGCGATTGTCGGGTTGTTCAAACCACACAGATAATGCTGTACCAAGGATGTCTTGCGCGGCACCTGCTTGATAAATCAATCATGATGCCCACATGCCTTTTTCGAAGCCTGCCTTCCCACTCCATTTTATTTGATGTATGTACCTATGTTGGTTCACAGTGAACTTTCGGGCCTGCATTGGTAAATTGAAGATCAGTTGCTCTACCCATTTGCCTCACCACTGCGTTCGAGGATTTGAGGTTGTCACCACGGCCTGCCATGCTGGGGGTCGTTCCGTGACCAGTTGTCATCCACCCACTTCGAGTCTCAGCCTTCGTCTTTCATACCAAGCCGTTCAACTCGAAACGAAGACCTCATAATGCGGGGTCTTTTTCTTGGGCTGAGCACAATAGCTCTCCTCTCTTCCTCTAGCTTTGCCCTTCATTTCACAACAGAGTCAGAATGTGCCGCTCTATGTTCGGATGGCTCAAATTCAACAACTTCCAACTTCAAAACCTCCACAACAAATTCTACAGACGTTGTATGCGAGGACAATGAATATTCAGGCTCAGGGAATGGCATCAGGTTTAAAAACTGTCTCAATTGTCTCCAGAAGAGCGATGCTACATGGAAAGAACAAAGTGATGTGTATTGGTTTCTGTGTAAGTCTCAGTATGTTACAGGCTCTGGTCTCGCTAACATGGTCATGGTACAGACAACGTGCGATATGCGTTTGATGTTTGCCTATACTCTTACCCAGATGCGGCAGACTCGGGTACTATTAATTCCCCTTGCAACATTGAAAGCTCATGCGGCTCTCTCGAGGATGCTCTGACGGCATCACTATTGAAGACAACCCCCGATAACCAGTTCGACTATTGCGAAGCCGAAGAGTCAGTCATCAAGAGTTCCAGTTACAACCAGTGTATTGGCTGTCTGCAGTCAACATCGAATCAAAAGTATCTGGCCAACTGTAAGTTCTCTGTTTGCTGGTTCTTCGAAATACCGCATTAACAAATCCCTAGTTCTGGTGGCATTGAAAGCTGGCTGTATTCAAGAGCCTAAGAAAGGCGATATACTTGGCCTTAGTGGCACAATTTTCACTCACACACTCATTAACATTACTGATCCTAACACCAACGAAACTCTACCTGGTGACGATGGTGCTCCTGTTGGCTCTATGACCACTGGCACAATCGTCGGTATCGCTGTGGGATGCGGCCTAGGCATAGCTGGCATGGTGTGGCTTATCTTCATGTACTGTCGACGAAGTCGACAACGCCGCGGTGCAGCAATCAAGATTGAATCACCGCCTCCCGATGCACCAATGAATGACCCTTCTATGTACGGCATTCACAAGTCTTCTTACTTCACTGACAATGCTGGATATCCCGGGCGCTCGGCGCAGCCTCATAACCATGCTGGAAGCCACATCCGCACAATGTCTAACGCAGAGTATTACGACAGTTTCGAACAAGATGACAGCGGTATCAATGGCAAGGTCAGCTATCACTATGCACCGCACTCGAAGAGTAATGGTCCCAATGCTGCACTGCCTGCACACCCAGCCTACATCCCTAGGGTCGTGAGCCGCCTTCCTGATGCTAAGGCACCGAGTTCCGTCCGGCATACCATGAGATCCAATGTTCCCGATTCATATGCTCTCCAGACATATCTCAGTGCTGCTGAGCCTGCAGGTACTGACACCCAGCGGATCGCAGAGGTGGCATCTCTGAGTACTTCGAGCTCGCGTGCTGCGAGCCGCAACCCTTCTCCTGTACCACATCATCCAACCACTAGACCACCAGCATCAGCGGCGGCTCCAATTCCTGTCCCTGAAGCCGCCAAAACCAAGCCATCCTTCGCATTCCCTTCTCTATCAAAACTCATCATTCCCAAGAAGCAGGGGACCCCACAGCTAAATCTGTTATCAGCAACCCCTATATCGGCGATCGATAATGATCCAAGACATGAGCTAAGGATCTCCAGGCCGTTGGCTGTGTTGGATCCAAGGTTTCAAGACCGACCGTTAGGAGGTGGTACAGTCCTAGCAACTGAGGTGCCGGCGGGGTTCAGTGACGACTATCTCAAGAGGCGGGAAGCAAACAAGTCTCCCATGTTAAGCGGCAACAGTCGCGTCTATGGATGATGATAAATACTATATATTCACATAAAGAGTGTGCGTATTTCAGTAATTACGGTATTACAGAAACTTTTGGTTTGGCTCAGGCTTGGAGTTATTTGGTTGACACATCCGGGCACGACGTGCCCTAGATCGCTACGATACAGATGGTGGGCACAGGAGTTCTATAGTGATAATTCTTTCATTCATCCTATTGCATACCCTGCAAGTGACAACAGAAAGTGGGCTTGTTTTAGCCCAGTCGCTGACCTGGGCCACGAGATCGCCACGAATCTGGTAAAGGACCTGCGTTGACACCAGTGCTACGTCCAGAAGACGGGGAATTTCCAGGTCGGACGGCGGTACCGAAACCTCTGGCAGAGACTCTTGGTGTCTGTACAAGACGCTCAAGCCAGGCAGGGGTTCTCAAAAGTCGAGGACCGTTCCCGAACTCAGGCCAGATTCTTGTGAGAAAATCGAATAGATGGGCAGCGAGTAGACCCTCAATTTCGACCAATGCCTTCTGTGGTCCTGCCATGAGCGCGGTGACAACTATCATGCAGATTGGCAGGGCCTGTGCGGGGATGGTAAGAACGAGATACTGTGTCTTCTGGCCACGCTGGTCTTGAGTAGTGGTGTAAACCATGGCAAGAATGAGGCCGTTCATGTACATGAAGCTCGTCAGGCCGGCAAGGTAGTCAATCATCTAGCGACGTCGTTAACCTCGGTACAGGCACATGACATACGGGTACGTGTTTGGGATATTTGATGTTTTATTGCTATGATATAAAAATGTAGGGAGCTAAAAAACCACTCGAGTGAATTGAGGATCACACGAGCCATCCATATAGACATCCCACCATGCCTGCACCGCAGACCAACCCGGAAATGCGAATGATGGGTGATCCGAAGTGCAGGGGTGATCTTCCTCATTTCCAGGAACCGTGATAGCTGAAGAGGCAAAGCACTATCCGGGCAGATATATGAGGGGGGTTTTGAAAGGAACACATGGGAGAGTAGCAAAGCACGAGTGTGTAGACGCAGGCTTACCAGAATTACGGTGCAGACAAATAATATGTAGAACACAAGATCGACCTTGCGTGGGAAACGTGGGTTTCCCATCTCCAACTGAACGCTATAGCGATACAGGAAGAACGAGTTGAAGAGCAAGTTGATCGGCTGCATTTCGATTAAGAAACATGTTACGAGTCGCCAGATTTGAGGTGGAAACATCCAAAGATAGGATGGGTGATATATCAGACGCATGGCAGGTAATAACCCGACGATGCAACCAATGGAGGTCAACACTGTAGCAGTAATCAGGTTCCTATGACATAGTTAGCGAGTGCTATCGAGAGCACGAATGAACATGAGTGACTTACCGAGAAACGGGTGGCAGGGCCCAGTAGGCGGCCATCACATTGTCAGCCATGGTTGGCAGCTTTGCTCAATGCGACAAATGCGACAGTGGTAGTAGCAGGTCAACGATAGCTGAGTTAAGAGTACTTTTTCTGCACAAGAGAGAAAAAGAAAACAAGTGAAGGTTCAGCTGATGTGTTATGTAGAAAGAGAAGAAACGTGGGACTTCGCAAAACCAGGCAACCAGGGACTCATGGTTATTGCTTGCGTGTCATCTTTGTTTCCGAGATCCTTTGCCCTTGGAAGAGTATGGAAGGAGAGAAGATGACAGCTTAAGAAAATTCTAATAAATGCGCAATCCGCTATAGCGGGGCGCCAAATCAGGACCGACATTCCGCCGAGATTTGCGGCCCTAGGTGTGGCTAGTAGGAGCTCGCGCCACACTTGGTGAAGTGTGTGTCATGGAAGCGGAAGTGACCGGGCTCGGGATTCTCAAGCTCACGAACATATCGTCTGATGTTGCTGTAAAACTTTTTATTATATTCACTGTTCAATTGTTTCTAGAGCCATACGATCTACGGAGCCTAGAAACCTGGGCCCGGAAGCATCAACATCACAAAGATAAGATCAAACCATCATCATGCGTGCTCACGATGCTATGCAGAGCGACGAGGCCAATGATGCTGCTTGGGAAGCTGCCAGAGGAGGTGTTGCAGGTGCAGTCAAGTGGGGAATAGGTGCCGCAGTGTTGGGTGCTGCCGGATATATCTGGTCGCCGTTGTATCGATCCATGACGATTCAATTCAAAGTGTAGGGCTCATTCTCACAGCTGATCCGTCCTGGTACTGACCTTGTCAAGGTATTTACAAATGTGTGGCATGGTGCCTGGAGCCATGATCGAGGCAGACTCACGGCTCAGAGCATACGAGCACCGAGTGAGAATGCAGCGGCGGTTGATGGGAGACAGGGCTAAATGGGAACGATATGAGGAAGAATTCATCAAAGGTGATGGCAAGTGATCGCCTCTGGCGCGGAAACAGAGTCCCTATGATCTCAATCTCTCACTGAAAAGTCTTGACTGTAACTGCTTGGGGTATAAAGGCGTACATATGTCACATTAGAGATGACCATCGAGTCGTCTGTGTAAATCACATTGCTTTAGCATCTTTCCTTCGCTTTCTCAGTCGAATACCAACTCCAACGCCAATGATGCACCCATGCCTAGATTCATCTCCATATTCTATACCCGAAATCGCTTAGGATCCATGTTGATTTTGCATAGCCGAACGACGCATCCGCTGAGCTGGAGTAGTGTCTGCACACCTTCTAGAACCTTCATATGTGTAAAGCCAATCTCTTTGATAAACTCCAGCTTTGCATGTTCGCTCAACGTAGGGATTGTTTTCGTAACCTTGAACATAGTGCTGATAATGTCGTGGCTTGAATAACCTAGATCCCAAAGTTCTCGGAGTGTTTCCAGTGCGGAATCAACATTGCCTTCATAGCAAGCCTTTAGCATCGCCTGCACCTTGATTGGATGAGGCGAGTCAACAACCTTGAAGACATTGTCTCCCGAGACGAAGCCAAAACCGGCAAAGGTAGATTGAAGGTTGTTGATGGCTTGTCGCATATCTCCCTCGGCGCTGAAAACCAAGGCTGCAAGTCCATCATCACTGTATTCGACCTTTTCCGCCTCAATAATTTGCATGAGTCGCTTTACGACTTGAGCGTCTGTTAACTTGGCGTATCGTAGGATGGCGCATCGTGATTGGAGGGGTTCGATGATCTTGTTGGACTGGTTGCAGGCAAAAGCGAATCGTGTAGTGTTGGAGTAGATCTCCATAGTTCGTCTAAGGGCTTGCTGAGCACCCGAAGTCATGCTGTCGGCTTCATCGAGGATAACAAGTTTATGGCGCCCTGCAGGTAGAGTGACCTTCTTTTGGGCGAAGCCCTTGATCCTGTTTCGGACAACATCGATACCTAGGTGTGTCAGTGAATTCATTCATTCACATAAGGGGATCCAAGTACCTCGCTCGTCACTGGCATTGAGCTCCAAGACCGCTTCCTTGTACGATTCACCTAAGAGTTGCCGGGCCAGACATAGAACACTGGTGGTCTTTCCAATACCAGGCATACCCGAGATGATTACATGGGGCATGTTGCCTTCTCTAGCAATGATCTTTAGTCTTTCAATCGTTTCTGTGTTGCCGACGACATCGTCAAGGAACACTGGTCGATACTTTTCCACCCTAGGAACAATCAGTGAGCAATTCTTCAATGGGCATAAAGGGCATACCAGGGAAGCTCATAATTTGTGGTTCCATTGGAAGAAGCTTTGAGGGCCGCCTTTGAGGCAGAGTTCGACGATTCGCCACGCTCTTCGGGTTTTTGGGAAGACATTCTGGGTATGCTGTTGCGGTGAAATCGTTGATCCTACAACTGAAGCCTGAAATGGTATGTCAATCAATCACTTTACGCGACTGAGAGAATAGAGACGCGTCGAGTGAATGGTCTGTGCGCCGGAACCTGGAGCCAAGGTAGTGCCCCACTCCCGCCACCGCTTTCTAACTTTCTATGGCAAAATCTTGTCAGTGCGATAACTTTTTTGAGTCTGTCAAACAGCAGAGATATCACCAACGATACCTTGAATCCACAGCTTCTGGACGATCCACGACGACAATACCACTGCAAAACCACGGAAACAACAGTAACTTCAATTCCCAAGCTTCACACAGTATCAAGCAGCCATGGGTGTTCAGAAAAAGACTCGCAAATTCGCAGAGGTATGCATCCTTATCGATAAGCCGCGCAAAAGTTGCCCAAATTTCAACATATCCACGACGATGAAGATGGGGCGCGCAAACGTCAAAAGCACTTCAAATGCTGACCACAATACGCAACAGGTGAAACGAGTTATCGGTCGTCGCGATGCCAGACTAAAGGAAAACAAACTCAAGGCTGAGCTCGCTCAGAAGGAGAAGGAAAAGAAGACCATCAACGGCGAGCTTATCCGAGAAGCGCCTCAGATGCCCAGCAACATGTTCTTTCAACACAACACAGCTCTCGTTCCTCCCTACAACGTCCTCGTAGATACCAACTTTCTCAGTCACTCGGTTCAGCGAAAGCTCTCTCTTCTCGACTCCATGATGGACTGCCTCTATGCGAAGTGTAACCCTATCATCACATCCTGTGTGGTAAGCCTCCAGCTCCAAGCTTGAACCCTTTGTACCGTGACTAACAGGTGTTTCCACTCTTAGATGAGCGAACTTGAGAAGCTCGGACCCAAGTATCGACTGGCCCTAAGGGTTGCAAGAGACGAACGATGGACACGGCTTGAATGCGACCACAAGGGCACCTATGCAGACGATTGTTTAGTAGACAGGGTGCAGAAATCCAGGATCTATATCGTGGGTACAAATGATAAGGCACTCAAGCAACGGCTACGAAAGATTCCTGGTGTGCCAATCATGAGTGTGGCGAGGGCCAAGTACGTGATAGAGAGGTTGCCAGGTGCGCCTGACTCCTAGGTGTTCTTTTTGTTGTTTGGGAATGGGGAATTTGCATTTACGAGTTTACGACGCATCGCATAGCTGGGTTCTGGCCAGCACTAATGTCGTTGAGCCTGGTTACTATTTGACAGGGTTGTTATGCGATGTTCTAGGGTAGCTAGGCACAAAATTCAACGGATATTCACCCTCATTCATAGTAGATTGGCAAGCTACCTATTCAATTAGATGTCTGGTGTTCACTTAGGCCATGCCTCTTTTGTTTCGAAGTCGGTTTAGTTGAGTATATAACTCACTTAGCCCAACGACCGTTGTTGAACTCACCCAGTGTACCCCGGATATAAGTGGCCATGAATCCTGTAGTGACATGTGATTGGGTGTTCATCAGTACCTCACTCCTAGGTATGTATTGGCGTCTGACATACATCTTAAGATACGCACTCACTTTCAAACCTCTGTATCAAACCGTCAAAAACAACTTACATTAAGTCAATATTACCCACTGTCTAGTATTGTTGACAATAGAAGCGTTCCTCGACCTTCGGATACCTCTCACACCAGCGCATTATCTGACGCAGATGGATTCCAGCCCAAATGATAATGATCAGTCATCAACATCTGAAGCCCGCCAGAAGCGCTCACGCGTTCTTCTTTCATGCGCACCATGCCGCAACTCAAAGTTGAAGTGTGATAGAGAGCAACCATGTGGGCAATGCTCCAAAAAGGGACGCGCATCTCAGTGTGCCTATGCCCCAAAACCTGAACGGAAACGGCCTGCCAAAGGCATGTCCGCACGTTTGAAGCGTCTCGAGGGCATGGTGCGGGAGATGATGGACTCTGAAGGTACAGCCCCAGGAACCCATGCAAGTGCTGGAGCCAGGGCAGGATTGGCGAACGGTACTGCTACAGGACCGGACGTCCAAGGCCATGTCGTACACAGCGAGAAAGGGGCAACCTACGTGGGCGCAACGCATTGCATGGCGATGCTGGAGGATGTACGTATTCATATAGGAGTCTGCGATGAACATATGGAGCTGAGACTAACAGTGAGTTAGATTGAGGACTTGAAAGACTACTTTGAGCAACCTGAAGAAGCGGGAGAGGATCAAATCCTAGACGATGAGATTGATCCCACAGAAGTCATGTTGAACACAAGAGCTGGACCAAGGAACCGAGAGGAGCTGCTAAGTCGCCTACCAGAGAGAAAGGTCGCAGACAGACTTCTTTCGCGTTACTTTGCATCGATGAGTCCTTCGCAACGTTAGTATGTCCCGCTAAACACCCAGTGCTTTTACTAACAATTGCCAGATATTGTTCACCGGCCAGTTTTTACCAGGCAGTATTCTAAGTTCTGGCAAGACCCTAACGAAGCATCATTGCATTGGATAGCGCAATTATTCATGATGCTCAGCCTTGGCGTCTTTTTCAATAACTTTATCAACTCGAGTGAGCTCGAGGGTGACTCTCCTCTCCCAGCTCAGGACAGGATCCGTCACTACAAGGCTTGTGCTGGATGGGCTCTCGTCTGGGGCAAATACACACAACCATCTTCGGCGACGCTCCCAGCGTTCTTGCTCTACGTCGAGTCATCTTTCCTCTTTAACCGTGCAGCTCAAATGAACTGCTACGTACTCTCAGGCGTGTGTATCCGTCTGATGCTCAAGATGGGTCTCCATAGAGACCCAAGCAAACTGGCGAACATCTCACCTTATGAGGGCGAGATGCGGAGGCGCATGTGGAACATGGCTATTCAAGTCGAGCTTCTCGTTTCTTTCCACATGGGCCTCCCGAGCATGCTACAAGGTATAGAAACTGATACTGCAGTACCACGAAATCTAGACGACCATGACTTTGACGAAGACTCGACGGAATTGCCGCTTAGTCGACCACCTACAGACTGGACCTCCATGACATATCCAATCCATAAGACACAGATTCTTCGGGTGTTTGGACAGATCGCGAGACAAGCTCATGCTCTGACACCGCCAAGTTATGCTGAGGTCGCCAAGCTCGACAACTTGCTGCACGAGACCTGGAAGAGTGTCCCATCTTTCATGATGGTACGGCCACTAGATGAGTGTGTTGGTGATCCGCCCGTTCTGCTCATCCAACGTTTCGGGTTGACAGCCCTATACAACAAATGCCGTATTGTATTGCATCGTCGGTATCTCGCAGAGGCAATACCGCAACGTGAGCATGATTACTCACGCAGGCAATGTCTGGAGGGTGCTTTGTCGCTGCTCAATTACCAACACATTATCTGGGAAGCTTGCAAGCCAGGTCACGTATTGAGCCAGCATGGTTGGTTTGTCTCGTCCCTCGCGGTTCATGACTTTCTCATGGCCGCAATGGTGCTTTACCTCGTCGTCAAGAACGAAAATTACTCAGAGGTTGGAAGTGACTATGACTGGATGTCGCAGACTGCACCAACGCCGACTAAAGACGAACTAATTTGCATAATCAAGAGGTCTTGGCTCATCTGGGCAGATGTGTCACGAGACGCAGTGGAAGTCAAGAAGACAGCAGATACACTGGCTACAATGTTGGCCAAGCTCGGAGCTCCAGTCGAAGAGCCGGCGAATGCCCTTGAGCAAGCTGTTCCCAGTGTTAATGGTGATAAGGAATACTCTTCGCTTGGGGCTCCATCTGTAGACCCTAGCACACTGGGGTCGATCGGAGGTGATCCGGCACTGCTATCGACTCTGGGGTTGGGTAAGACGTCCCAAGAAAATACGATAGATAAGAGATATGCTGACAAGGATAGGCTCATCAACGGGATCTACATCAGATCAGACACCCCTGGATCTTAATCTGGCAGGAGATGCAGGAACTAGCATGAACTTTACGAATATGGGGACGGAAGGTCTTCAGTTCGATCCGGCTTGGATGGATACTGCAGCTAGCAACATGGACTGGGTAAGTTGCGTCGTAGTCGTTATCATGAAAGCTGTGCATTTGGTAAACTAACAATCTCGGCAGCGTTACCTCGACATATCGCTGGCTCACAGTCATGATGCTGGACGCAACGAGGACACTGGTCAGACGTGGATAGAGAGGGCACCACCTTTGGAACAAATGGATATCATGGGTTCAGGAATCTGGATTCCAGATCATCCTGAATCCACTTGAGGATGATCAATCAACATCTTTAGAAGTGTAGTTATGGTTATACTAGAGTCGATCATATTGCCAATCTGAAACCAGGCTTTGACCACGACAGCTTATCGTATCTCTTGTTGATAACTTGTTGAGTCAGATAGCAAGGTGAGAATGCTGATAACGTTGGAGACAGATCGCCCTCGGGATATGTCACCGCTTCAACAAACGAAAGGGTGGTGTGGCCCTCACGAACCGTTACAACCATCGGGCCATGCAATGCATACACAACATTCCGAGCTAGGTCCGCTTTCTGGGGAAACAAGATCCGGGGAACTAGCTAGCAATCCCCGCAGAGCATTTAGATGTTGATGATCTGGATGAAGCTCATATCAGGGAACATATAATTCGAAGTGGGAGAGGATTCAGGCTTCTCATGCTTGACCTTTGTTTCTTCTTTTTGCCAACAGGCAATATTGCCGCAGTATTTGGTGATTGAACAGTCGGCACAAGATCATCATTGTGACAGTATCACCAATATTGCGAAATGGCTGACGTGTTCGCCTTGAAACACCCACCGATAAGCATGTCAATACACGATATGATAACAACTGAACCCAATCCAAAGGATCACGGTGATTACAGGGATGTATGACGTCGATCCGGGGAATTGGTTGATAAAATTAGTGGCGTCGTATGCTCCGCGGAGATGGTCATATCAGTTGCGGCGTCGGGATCCCATCCGTCGACACCACATACACTTGCACAACACCATATAAACAGCACGGAACTCCGGCCGAAGTATATTGTACGTTTGAGAATGTCGGCTTGCAGTGCAATCCAATATTGAAAGTAATATCTATTGATCAGGTCGTGTGATTGCGTTTGATAGACCGCCAATTCGCAATCTGAACCTTCTAGAACAAAACCAGGGTTCTAGAGCATGACGCCCGGGTCCGTACGCCGTGTATTGAGCAGGTGACCGGCAAACCACCCCTGAGCCGATTAACCCTGGAGGACCAAAAGGTATTCATGCAAATCAAAGTTGCACAAGAGCAACATCAATCATTGTTGGCAGCGTGAAGTCCCAGCGATGGACTGTTTCGACCGTCTTCTAGACTGGTTCGTAATGAAAAACATCAGTGATTTGTATTGAATAAAGTAAAAATACCCCAAGGAATTCTGAAAATGCCTTCAAGCATCCAATCTATTAAGAAACTGCACAGTCCACTATAAGTCAAGTCAACAATGCTTCCGCCACAGTAATAACCATGACAGTACCGCACACTAGGGGAAGCCATCCGCCACGATGGAGAGCTCTCAACAGGTATAGCATAGAATCGTTTCGTTTCATTTCATTTCGTTTGCGAGTCTGGTGACCAACAAGGGCTTCATCGCCATCCCACGACGCCGCTATCAGTTGCACGAACAAATAGGCAGCTTGATGTTGGACGTGTTGTCAAGTCGATGAGAAATGGATTCGGGTTGAAAAATTTTGACTGGAGAGTCGTGGTACTGCCTGGATACTTTTACCTAATTTGAACGCTACTTCGGCACTTCCTCAACCACCTCCACTTCTATCGTGGGCAGCTTTCTGCCCTGGTCTTTGTCTTTTTGGGGTTGAATACCACCAAATATCTGGCCGCCGGCCAACTGGGTCTCCAGCTCCAAAGGAGAAAGAGACCAAGACCTGGATCATGGACCTGGGACCCGGACCTCAATTTAGTAGCGGGAGCGTGCGTTCCTAGTCGCTTCGCTCCCGCGGGGATGCGAAGATCTGTTTCGTTCGTAGAGGGCAGGTAAAGTCATGGATCGTTTGTTGACCTCCCAGTAGTACCGGTATACTGTTCCTCTGCTGGTTGGTGCGACCGGCTGCCCGCTTAGATTGATTAACACTCTAATAAGGTTGATCACGGGCAGAGCCTCAGGGTGGTTTTAATGGGCTTGGCAATGGTTGGTAACATTGTGGTTTGATCGTTCATGATGGTGAAGGTGGAAGAAGGGTAGAGAAGAGGTTGAGAAATTGAGGGAAGGTTTGTAAGTCAATACATTAGATAGGTGTATTCTGAAGTGAAAAACAACTGCCATTTACGGGTAATATTGCTGGGACTGATAACTAATAAGCGCCTGCCCTATCAAAGTTCGGCCTGTCGGCGACAAAGCTGAAGTAAGTGCAACTGACCTGTCCAATATGCAAGCCTGATGCTTCAGCTCGTGCGGCAACCTATAACTGTCTTGTGTATTCCGTGCCCAGACAGAGATCATGAGTTAGACCATCCTCCTCTCCGACCAACTCATGCCAGTATGCCTCGGCTGCATTGCAGTCACCATCATGAAATGAGGAGAAGTGAGGAGTGATGAGGTACATGAGACATCGGCTCCCCTCTCCGACCTGATATTGGATTGATGATAGTGTGGAGGAGGTAGTATCGCGCCATACGTGCCAATCGTGGGGGAATCACTGCGCCGCAGAGGCCAAAAATGGAGAGGTCAATTCCATCATGGTCTTGTCTGCTTAATGTGCGCCGTACTGTTAGGTGGTGATGAGGGGTTGATTTAGCAAACAGGTACTAGACCAGGTCAATATCAAGGGACGGACCAGCCGTGGTCTTGTGATACATTCATCAGGCTAACATGAACCGAAAAGGAGAAAGCAAATTACTCTAATTCTCTATCTATATGTCCCGACAACAACATTGTAGATGGAATCGAGTAAAAGCTATGTAATGGGAATGAGGACCGGCGCCTATTGGCGAATGATGGTGTTGGGGTATGGCCGATTCCGCAATCTGGAACCTGGAGCATCCCCGTCGTTTGTCAAATTGTCTCTCATGTCATGACATGGGTGGCACTGCATTTGTCTGGTTGTTGGACCTGGACCTGGAATTCCTTGTTGGACACCGACACCCTCATGGTTAAAATGACAATTCAACTCGACGACAGATATGCAAGAGCTGCCGAGATGTTACCCAGATCGGCCGCTCACGAGTCGAATCTCCAACTCACTTATTATGCAGGGAAATATTAACCTACACCTATCCGACAGTAGGCTGACTTCATGGCTGATACAAACATGGGGCGCTAAATAAGCTTCCATGTCAGTTGACTCCGAGACACCGACCTGGAGATAGCAATACATCAGTGAGTTCTGGGCGATAAGCCCAGCGGCCTGGATCGCCGATTCAGAGACAAGCTTGAACTAATCTCGGTGTGATTGGCCATCCCCGGACTTTCAATCTGTGCTGGTTTTAGTCGAAGAGAGGGTCTTCTTTGAAGTTTTTAACAATTACGAAGTGGGAGACCGAAAAGAAGATGAGCCTTTTCACAGCCAGATGCGAGTGAAATGAGGCCTTCGATGGCATTGCCGGAGGGGCAAATGGGAACACGAGTTTCGGTGGCATTGCGTCCAAACCTTCGCCTTCTAACGACATCCAGCAGGCTCTCGAGAGGTCAGCTCGTGGTGTAAGATTGATAGCGATAACCTGGAAACAAGGAGGCTCATACCACGAGCAATCAATTTTTGCCCCGATTGGTCCAAGCTTGACCATCTTGGCCGATCCTCTATCCACCTTGACGGCTCCAGAAGCTTTTTCAAGGCGTAGCCGGCCGATTTGAATTTTTTTACCCTTGGTGACCCTGTTGCCGTGCGCGTCTGGCATTGGCTCCAGCTTTCATGTTGGGTGGTGAGTTAACGTAACGCCTCTGAGTTCCCGGAAACCATTATTTCCATCATCATCACGAGGGTAAGGTAACCTGTACTTGGGTGGTCTGTTTTGACGTCTGTAAATGGCCCACCGAACAACTACGTCCGACACCCATGGGAATGCAGCCCTGGTGCAGGGGCGCCTGTAGGCGTCACCTGGGGTCGAAAAGGCAACATCAGGTCTCTTTATCTTTCGTATCTTGCCCTGTCCTGAGTAAGTGAGGAAAATCTCTTCATTTAAAAGGACGGTCAAGAGTTAAACCCGTTTCATCCGGAAAGGTACTTGGTGGAAGTACTGATAAGAAGACTCGGAGTGGTTCCGTCTAGGTTCAAGAAGGTTAGAGGAGAGGCAAGGCGAGACAGGTGACTTGCTGACCGAAATCCTAATGGACAAAAAGGGCAACTGTTAATGTACTCCCATCATGCCACGATACCTGTGCCTTGGCTTGAGTCGAACCATCAACAAAGGTACCTTGATAGTGCAGGGTACTTCTGTAGTGACGTTGAATTAAAGATGGCGTTTCTTTTCAATTCTCTTATCAGTCGGTCGAGTCGGTCTCTGCTTGCCGGTCCGGGTGTGGTTATGGAACTTCTGGTCACTTTACTTTCCCATTGTGACGATGAATCCGGTCTTCGTTATCGCTTGGTGCTCCCCCTCTATCCTCTTGCTTCCTCTAGTTTTCTATCATCGAACAAGCCAAGTTGGCGAGCATCCATCCCCAGTTTCCAACCCGCAATCTTGAATCTTGTTCCCCATTTCCCCATTCTTTCCATGCTGTTCTACTGCGCTTCTGCACGCATAGTCAGCCCTGGCACCCTATTTGTGTAAGCTCTTGAGTGTTGCTGTTATTGCGATACCCCGCCAAATCAGGAACCGTCTTTGGATGAGACAAAAGTAAAATACCCGCAGGATGAATGATAAGAAAGCAGGCAAACAATTTCATTCGCTGCCTTATGCTACGCGGTTAATCGTCACGCAGACAGGCAAACTGAACTGCAGCGTATGCTTGACGCCAAGCTTGAACTAATACTTAAATAAAAGTTGAAAGTAGATTTTCCAGTGCAAGTTAATAAGTGGCCAGCTTAGCTCAGACCCCTCATTCATCGTCAAGGTTGTTCTTGATCCCTTCATTCTTTTCGAGCTACTTGCAGCATTTGTCTTGGCCCTCTCTAGCTACAACCTTTTTGGACTTCATCGACGCCGTCATATTTTTGGTGTCGGCCCCAGATCGTACCCACGAGGGCCCTTCGTGTGTGGCTTCATTCAGTGATATCCATACCTGTACCCACCGACTGAGTGTGAGTGTGAGGTTAGTTTCAAGGACTCGGCGCTATCTCTACACCTTGGTTGTGATGTCGCATACACCCCCTCGCTATCAACCTGCAACCGCACGCCATAAACCGATACCACCCATACCATACCTTACCATACCATCCATACCTACATTTGAATACCTTACATAGGTATAGATTCTGCTCCTGCTTGGGTTTGCTGCGCTGCTCTACTTACACACACCGACCGAAGTCGCAGCCGACCTATCTTATACTTGTACAGAGCCCGGCTCTCGTGTCTATTCGTGAACGACGACTTGACCATATATCTCTTGCAGGAGATCGACCTTGACCGGTGCAACGGAACCCCTTGTTACAGCTGCAAGTCGAATCATCCTCTCGACTCAACCCATCTCAACCTGACTTCATCATCTGAGTTCTCGGCTCTCTTCGCTACGCATCCGAACCCTTTGAAGCTGCGTCGTCGCTTACAGGACCCTGAAAGCACCACGCTAGAACCTTTTCCAATTCCACTTTCACCCACAATCGCACATTGGGTCAGGGTTGTTTGTTGGATTACCATTGCCTTACCTATTTAAATCCACCTAGGAACTGGGGCGCGCACACTGCACTGCACGCTGAGCGCAAGCCTGGCCTGGCGCAACGCCGCGACGGAGCATCGTGACCTCTTTTTTATTTCTTTTACTGGGGTTTCGAGTTTACTAGTCGACAGTCGCTTTGTTGTGTCCTGTCTGGGTTTCTCTATATTTTCCTCCCCCTCTTCTCTCTCTTCTTGACTTTTCTCACGATCTCCTACTTCTCCCTCCTCAGCTTCGAGCAGACCACCAATACCCTGCTGTCTGCTGGTGGTTTGGCTTCCGCACCTGCATTGGCTCACCCTCTGATCCACCACCACACTTGAGTTTTCACGTACAGACTGTCGCCTGTACCTTTCAACTTTACCTTTCACTTGGTGCTCATATCTTGTTTTGCCCCCCAAACCGGCATTCCGAGGACCACCCCCGACATAATACCGGCTGTGGCTCTGTTCCGACCCGGCTAATAAAGGCCTTTCTGCCTCCGCTCCGTGGCCGGTGGCTTCAGCCCTCGAGTCAAGTTCCGATCGCGACGTGATATTTTCTTTTTCTTCCCGCTCACACAGAGAGTGCATCAGCGCACTGCTATAGCATGCCCGCTCAACTAAACGGGTCCATGACCGCCAGCATCCCCATTAGAATACCCGGCGACCAGGCCCAGGCTCAAACTCAACCTGCTGTTTTTTACAAGCAGCACAAGCATTCCAGATCTTCTTATTCCGATTCTTCTCCGCTCGCAAATTCAAGGAACAATTCTTTAACTTTCCGTCCTTATAAGAGGCTCATGTCAAACCCAGACAAGACGATCGCTGTCATCAACGCCAGCGGGCGACAGGCTGCGTCTTTCATTCGCGTCGCTACTGCTGTTGGTTATCATGTGCGCGCTCAGTTGAGAAATCTCGACGGTGTCGTCGCTGCTGAAGTTTCGGGGAATCCTAATGTTACCGTATTTGTTGGCGAGCTCTACACAAGACATCAGCCCTCTGAAGCAAATCGTGATGTTACCAAGCACGGCCCGCTGGCCGGTGTCGGCGTCAACTACGACTTGATCGCAAGTCTGTTCCGCGGCGCACAACTCGCCTTCATAAATACAACTTTTTACGGCGACGAGATTCAAATCGGAAAGGCCCTAGCCGACGCCGCTAAGCGCGCAGGAATCCAACACTACGTGTACTCATCCATGCCTGACCATGGTGCTTACAACCCCGAATGGCCCTCGTTGCCCCTCTGGGCTGCCAAGCATGAGGTCGAGCAGTATGTGCGCAAACTGAGAATACCAGCCACTTTTGTGTACACTGGTATCTACAACAACAATTTCACCTCCCTTCAGTATCCCCTTTTCTGCATGGATCTTCAAAAGGACGGCTCGTTCAAATGGCAAGCACCTTTTCATCCTGACGCCAAGCTACCCTGGTTAGATGCCGAGCACGATGTTGGTCCCGCGGTCTTGCAAATCTTCAAGGATGGACCAAGCAAATGGAACGGAGAGCGCATCGCACTTGCATACGAATACTTGACACCCAAGGAGGTGTGTCGACTCTTCTCTAAAGGAGTTGGCCGTCCTGTGCGCTATGTGCAAGGTCCCATTGAAATCAAGGTTCGAATCCCTGAAGGCTACCGGGAACAGCTCGTCGGTCTGGAGAAACTGTTCGACCCGAATCAGAAAGATCCTCGAAAGCAACCGCCTTACTTCGGTGACCCCAAGGTCGAAGTCAGTTGCCCAAGCGAAGCCTTGGAGTTATGGGAAGGCCCTCGAGGTATCGAAGAATACGCACGTGAGATGTTCCCCATAGAAGAGGAAGCAAATGGTCTCACATGGATGCTGGACGATGATGCGAGTGACGATGAGGAGGTGCACAACACAGCAACCCACGTCGAGCAACTGAGAATCCACGACGGTGATGATGATAGCGACGACGATAATGACGACGGCCTTGTCATAAAAGGTCGCAAGCGGGACGAGGAAGAGTGGTTAGCATAATGGAAACCCATGGCGTCTGGATCTTGGCTAAAATACGACATCAAAAGCAGGAAAGGGGTTAAAAAAGAAGAGTTAGTCCATGGGAATCTAGAAGCCCAGTCCTGAGGCGATTAAGGAACGGAGCAGACCTGGCGACGCGGTATTGCATTTCGGCAGGAGTTGTGTTTTTGGAGAGGCGTCCCTACCGGCGTAGGTTTGGTCTAGGAACCTAAACGATTTTATTATGACTTGTCAATGGATGAAATAAAAGTAACGAATTACCTCTGCCCTCAATTTGTTGTGCGATTAGCCTGTGGTGTGCGTTGAAGGTAGCATTTATTTGTGGCCTGGTGATGCTCGTGCAACTCGGCGAGACTGAGATCCGATACTAGCAGACTTGTTGGAAGTCTCTTGCTTGAAGGTCACCATCAATCTAAATGAAAGATGCTTGGCTCAAATGTCTGAGTGCTCTTAAGTAAGACACACCCAACAACGAGCCGGCAAAAGAGTGCGTGTCGATAAAGTGAACATGACGAGGGATGGCTGCCTCGACGAAGCTGAAATGAAACAGGGAATTCAGCTGCTTCTTATATGTGATTATGTTAGAGCCAGGAATAATAGATTAATAAACGGCCACCTCGTCATGCATAACACCACTATGTTTATCTGCCCCCTTACATCAAGATGCTGGTTTGTCATAACAAGGTTTAACAGTATATCATGGCAACACCATTCACCACCCCCGCGTATCCGCCCCCCGTACCGTTGAATGTGGCTCCCATGTAAGAGCGCGTGGGGTTATGTTTATTCTCGAGAGATTTGCTTTGTGAATGGTTATCATATGTGGCACTTCTATGCTTTCTTGGTGAAGTTCAGATCACATCGCAAGAATCACACAAGGACGAGAATTGCTACATTAACTACCCCGGAATCAAAGACTCGCCAAGATTATCGCCACGGCGGTCGAGTTACACGCCGCGTGGGGGAGAAATCTGGGGTGACAAGGGGATGAACTCTCCGTTATCTAGCATGATTAGGGGCAATGCAAGAGAGGGTGGTCAGGGTGTTTATCTGTGATGCCTCTCCTTATCTATCAGGACTCTAGATCCAAGATCAAACGAAGCTCTTCAACAACGAAACAATTAAAGCCAACTTATTAAGAGTTAAAATATAGTCAACAGCGAGTTCCATTCTGTGCATGCTAAACAATTATGGCAGAGATCAACCCAAAGAATTGTTCTATCCGCTCTAATCATGACTCCAGGTGCTCGAACACAGGGATATCACATGCCTCACCTGCAACTGATAAGATACACAATTTGGTACAATATTTCCTATCAAGGCCGCGGAGTTGAAGCCGGATATCCACAGGTTCGAGAAGATATTCAAGGCTTGATCAAAAGTGCCCTGGGTCGTTGAAGGCTAATCGAGCCTCTATGATATAACTCAGGCGAGGGGATAACTGCAGCAAATGTTGTAAGACTCTTGTCACCGGCATACCTTGAATATCAAGGATATTGATCCTTGCTGGCTATCCACGATAATGAGACTACTGTTCTGTTTGAGTCAAGCTTATGTCTCCCAAAACTATATGTCCCATGTCTACACCATAGTCAATTTCACATATCATACATATCACACATATTACACATTTCACAAAGGAAAAGACAAGTTAAAGTCAAAATTATATCACCTGCTGCTCCTATGAGCCAAGCTTGATCTGGTATTGGTATATCCCTTGCCCATGTTCTTGTCATAATAGAGATAAAAACAAAAAAAAAAACTAGAGAGCAAACAACTTGATAGCAATGATATAGCGAACACCTCCTAATCTGCCTCCATTTCCCGTCCTGCTCAATATGCCTTTTTTCGTGTCTGCATCATGTGGTTGGGAGCGCCGAGCTTGCTGCGGCTAAGGCCCTCATGAACAGCCTTCATCATTTGGAAAAACTCATCAAACTCATCAGTGATGAGTTTGCATTGGATCGTTCTGTTATTGACCCGAAGGTCTTGAGGGATATAAGGGAAAGCATGAGTTCCCGCCTTGGCAAATCGAATGATTCGCATTCGGGCGAGCGCGATAATGAGTTTTGTGTTATACTCCTCCACCCTAGCCCTCTCGTTTCGGTCCCAGTTCATGATGGCTCCTTCGATTGCCTTAGCTTTGGTCATCCCGTCTATAAGCTTGACATATTCAACAGGGACCTTCGTGCTTCCCCCGTCTTTCCAGACGAGGCGGAACTCTCTCCCCTCTGCCTCAGAACTGAACTCGACACTCAAGAAAGCGGGAGCGCTGGCCATTCGGTGATCATTGTCCTGCTTGGTTGTTCCGCGCTTGCGCTTCGATGGGGTGACAGGTAGGTTGGCCTTGAAAAGTCCGGCTTCGTAGGAGGTCTGGCGTAACTTTTTCGGGAGCAGCTCAGGTAGGGATACGAAAGTCTCATTAGAGTCCCAAAGTTGGAAGACTCGCTCAAAGAACGACTTTCGTAGTGCGGATGAAATAACTTGTGTGTGGCGCACAGTTGCTGGCCGTGCGTTACACCATTCTTGCAGGAGCTCATTAAAGCTCATCTTCTCAAGGAGTGTAAAACCAGATTCAGAAAGAATTGGTCCATCAACAGCTCGACTTGCAACCACCGCTTGGGTCAGCTGCCATTTGCTCTGCGGTGATGAGATCAAGGGGTGAAGAAGCGTTGGACATAGTGACGGTGTTTCGTTTAAGGGTAGTTATTGACCTGTTACTTGAACATGAGTTTGGCGCTTGAATTATTTCACAGGAGGTGTAAACTTACTGAAGAGTATTGGGTATGCGTTTGTATAAGGAGGAGTTTGAGATTGTATAATTCAACTGGTAGCGTTACTACAAAGTAGAAATGTATGCGCATGTATCTGGATGATGTTGAGGATAGAAAGAAGAGAGAGGAGAGTGAATAGTTCCATTTTATCCTATCTATTACAGTAACCTAGGCCTATGTCAAGCTTCGCATATGCATTTGCTATTGTTCAAGTGGTTTGTATTGTTGTGCAAATTTCCAATAGTAACAATAGAATAATTGTGGGACTGCTGCACCTCATGAAGATGTGTGTAACTGTGTAACACTTGTCTTCAGCGCTGGTGCTCATTCTCGCGGCTAATCCTTGGAGCTTCCTCTGGTGGCTCATGGAAGTTCCATGGATGTATTGACCTTGATTCGTTTCGGTCAATGATTTCAATGTCGGTGTAAGAATACCTCACCTTCGTCAAATCCGGGGCTAGCCTGGTTATGTGCAAAATGTGGGGCCGTAAAGTGACTGTAAGTTGCTGTAAGAGGAAGGAACGACCATCGAGTTCTCAAAGACAAATAGTACTATAAGTTCGAATTGATATAATCGACAGCGAGATCGACAGACAGCGTTAAGGGGCTTGAAACCATTGATAAAATTTGTTCAACAAACCCTCGTCACAAAATGCCAAAGACAAGGACTCAACCTCGCAAGAGCAGGCGTATAGCCCTCCAAGAGTTGTCAACCAATGCGTCCAGGCCATCCACCCAACGTAAGCTCAAGTTTCCGAAGTTCTATGTATGGACACAGGACTAATAAATATTATATTAGATACTGCCGACGAGTCAGATGACTCCTTCTCGACTTCAAGTTCCGATGACAGAGAGGACGACTTGTTTGAACTACCAACAGATGAAGTGGATGAGCTTGATGAGGTGCTTATCAACTCCTGGAAGAGCCGACAGATCAGTCTGATATCCTCGAAATTGACGATCAAGAAACCATTAACCCAAGTGTTAATCTCAATGGCGGATGGGTCACCAGACTCCGGCAATTTGCCGGAAAGCCCCCTATGGACATGAGACCATTTATGCCAAATGGCCAGATACCTGTTGATCAGGAAAACAAGAAACAATTCGAGGCCTTCTTGCTGCCAAGGCTGCCTAGTTTACCAGAGGCTTGTGGAGGATCAGATTCTTGAGAGCCCGAAAAAGGGTACAAACGCAGGTTACCTGGTTAGATGCCAAATCGCTTGTGGAATAACTGATAGCTAACCTGTGTGTCAAGCACTATCGCTGACTTCACCCCCACATTCAGATTTTCAAACACACACACCACTTTGCAGCAAGTAGTTGCCGACACAGATGTCGTTCCGAGCCGTGCCACCAGGCTATCACCCCATGGGAGAAAGACTATACAGGAGTTGAGAAAGCAACTCGTCAAGAGTTGCTTCAGAAATACTTAGTGTTCGACCAGCAACAGAGGACACACGCAAAGTATCTTGTTCATACTTTGATTCCCTTTTTTCAAATGTGTCTTCAAGTGTTAGAGCCGATGAAGTATCATTTGGAATGTCGGCGTGTACCGTTCTATAACAAAAGATGGCTTACACACATCCCGAATGATAAGTCTTTGTGGTTGAGGCGACTTGTTTTCCGGAAATGTAGAGGCGAATGATAGGTTGCGGTCTTTTTGATAACGCACAGGCTGGTCTCTTTTTGGGTCTTTGTTGGTGTGTGACAACTTGTACGAAAGAATATATGGCACAACTTTGAGGCTATCTTTTTCTGCATTCTAGACCAGCCATGAGTTTCTTATGTCATCTTAATTGCGGCATGCAGTCGAATGAGAGTGTGCTTCTGGTGGAATAGAGAGTGAATCTCGGGTTGAGTTAACTTCTCACTCAGAGACTCGCCTTGTGGTGTTGAAGATTTGAGACTGCACGTTGAGGTGCAAACATGAACTGGTCAAGAATCTACTAAATTTATACTAAACTATTCTAAGTTATCCTAAAATTTAATAAGACAATCTAAATCGATCTAATGTTCTTATCACTTTGGATTCAAGTCTCGAGTTATCTGCCATCTCCTAGATAAGTATAAGTGGAGATGACTAACATTTCACATCGCGAGCAGAGGTGGTACTCTGCAGTTGCTGCTATTCATTACAACAAACCCATACCAATTTAATTCACGGATACATGATATAGAGTCTTAATAACCTAACAGACACCCCAAACTAATATAAACAAGCATCTGCTGGGCATCCCCTGCGGCTGCTCTTACTCATCAACTCGCTTGCTCCCCAAAGGAGCCTCCTCATCAGCAGCTGCACCAGCATGGCCCTCAGGGAGGGCATTGAGATCATCCTCATGAATATCAAGGCTTCTAAATTGAAACCAGAAACAGCAACCGGCAATTACGGCGAGGATAGCAACGACACCATAGTTCCAAACAAGAAGAGGATCGGCTGCAAGACCAACGAGAGCCTGTCCAAGGGCAGCTGAGAAAGCTGTCATGAAAAGCGCAACAGCCTGAACCATGGAACGCATGTTCTTGGGTGCCTTCGAGAAGGCATACTCAAGAGAAGTAATAGAAGCAAACACTTCAGAGAGAGCAATGAGAACATAGCTACCGGTTTGAGCCCAAACATTGATTTCCACGGCTGCGCAATCTTCACCAGAAGCATACTTACCGCACTCGGACTTCTGGTAGATGTAGTGCTGGACAACTGCAGCCCAGATCATGGCAGCAGCTCCGGTGAAGAAACCGGCCGTGATCTTCTTGATGGGGGTGAAGCGGAAACCAGCTTTTCTGAGGGCAGGGTAAATGAAGAAATCATTAAGTGGAATGAAGATCAAGAGAGCGAAAGGATTGAGATTCGAAAGAATGTCGTTGGGAACGCCATGGCGCTGCATCACGGCCGCCTGGGAGATGAGGTTATTGTTGACTAGTTACCTTAGTTAGTCTTCACACAATTCATCTCAACAGAATGATTAACTTACTCTGATTATAGCAGAGCCAGAAAATTGGGTACCAGCAGAAGACAGCGCATGCATTGAATCCTCGGCTGAGCTCGTCGACCCAGGCGTCGTCAAAGGTCATCCATTTAGGACGGGTCTCGTGGCTGAAGTTTGAGGGCTTTACTTTCTCCCAAAAGTCATCTTTATGAAGATTCTTCCATGTAGCAACTGGATTGATACTCCAGCAACCCTTCTGGGCGAGGAACCAAGTCTTAAGTGCCTGTCCCAGGACGGAGCCGCCAGGAGGCCTTCGTTCATACTTGTGGCGGTTCAACCACATTACGAGCGGACACAGACAGAGCATGAACGTTGGCAGCGTATAAGATAGCCAGAAGCCAATTTCCTTCTCCGCAAACACCATCTGCGTCGTGCGTTAGTATTAATTGTGACATCTGGAATCTTGGACATCAACACCAAACCTCACCACCTAACACCAACAACCTCATTTTCGGGATGAAGAACACATTTTACTCACCGTCACTTGCCCTACCAAAGCCCCTACATTGATACAGAAGTAAAACCAACTGTTTTAATTAGTTTTGAAGTGTTTGTTGTGCCGGAAATACTCACAGATACACCCTTTCGATCGTCACAGCAGGGTCGACGATAACGCGTTCACCAGACTTGAGAGTCTTAACATGCATGTACTGCTCGCCAAGCTGCTCAACAATGAGAGGATTGACGTTAGGTTTGAATCCACCAGTACCGAAACCAATGACAATGATAGCAATGATCATGGCGCCAAGGGCACCACCTTGATTGCCAATAACAGGGGGGATGGCAGACATAATCAGGATGATATGACCGATGATATCGATCCCGAGAGCCCAGCTGATGGTCTTATAGCGACCCCAGTACTGATCAGCAATATAGGCACCGAGAAGGGGCATAAAGTATTGCCAGAACTGGTTGAAGGTGGTGATTCCGGTCGAGGCGCGCTGACCCATGCCGAGAGCACCAGGCTGTTCCGGGTCAGCACCCGTGGTAGAGCCTTCGGGGAGCTTCTGCTGAATGAAATTGGTGACTTGATGGGTTAATATGACTGAACTTCTGTTATTGAGGCTGAGTAAAAACTTACACACAACGGTACAGCCATAGTATGAGAAACTATTAGATGAGTCAGTCAAGAACACCTTGCCAAAGGCTCGGGAAACCCCTTACCGTTCACACAGCTCGATAAAGGCAATACTGAATAGCTTCATAGGAATCTTATTTGGGACTCGGCGCAAAGTGTCTAGTTCCTCAGCAGTCGGAAACTGACCATCTGGTGTGACACCACCAGCGGGGGTAACAGCTCCCGCATCTGCAGTGGCTGGACGAGGGTCGGTGGCGATAGAGGCCCTCTTCTCGGCAGAGATAGAAGCTCGCTTCTCGTCAAGGACTTCAGCTCGGAGACCGGCCACGGTGATGGGCTCGGCGAGACTGTCTCCTGCAGGCGCCATGGTCGTAGGTGTGCTGATCTTTGAGACCGCAAGAATGAGACAAGATAGATGCCAATGCAACAGTAATCTGTAAGACACTAGACAGAGACGTCCGTTACGGGCAGAGGTGTTTTATATCTTCTGGAGTGTCGGACAATGCTACCATAATGGACCTTGTACACCGGATAGCACCGAGTATGATCGGCATCGAATAAGAAGCCAGAGGGAGGCAATTAGACAAAGCCAAGACGCCAGATCTGACGAGAAAACGCGAGATATGCATCTTGGAAGTCAGGAGGATGTATCAACTGCAAGGATGCAGTGAAAGAAGAAGGTCGTAATTGCTACCTACTATAAAAGGCTTGATACCAGGAGCCTCACGACAAGGGTGGATTCCTTCTCATCCTGCCAAGATATCTCATGCAGTTTGATAGTCGAGACAGGATTTTACGGTCATCAAGGAAGCGATGTGCATACTGTTGGTTGGGCATCTTATACCACTGTATGTACAATCTAAACGCTCCATGTTAGGATGAGGTTGATTATACTAGTCTCACATTTACTTGGCAAAGGAAAAAAAAGTTCTTAGTAGCGCCCTTAAGCTTGCCAATGCAAGCCAATGTTCGGGAAATTTATTTCTGCATCTGGGCGATAGGGTCTGTGTGAGACTTCAGATCGCCACCTATGTTATGTACATAAGCTAACACTTTGAAGCTCTACAGTCGCGATATTGCATCAATGAACTCACAAAGAGTTGTGCGACTTTCGCCTCTGGTCGCAAGAAGCTTTTTGATAAGGACCAGAGTATCGAGGTATTGATGCCTTCGACCTGGCAAACCGTATAGTCCTTATCTGTGGGAATCCAAGTTAGGATATGACTCCGACAATGCGACACAAAGGTTACGGAGCTAAACTCAGTATGCATCTGAAGCAGTCAAAACGTTCCTGATTAGCCAGCCTGCAGCCGTACCGTGATAACGAGGATGCCAAGACAGACACTTGGGGGGGCTAGGTGCTGGTGGTCGTTGCTGGATCTTGGCATAAGAAGATCCATGGAACTTTAAGAACTTTTGTAAGTCTGGGCATGATAAATGGGGAACAGATAAGTAGGGGATGGTATGGGATTTGCGTGTTGCAGTCGGTTTAAGGTTGTCTGGTCGGCCATGATAAGGGTTCGTACCAATGGGATACGAAAATTGCTCCAGGGCATATTACTGTACTATGACTTATACTCAAAGATTTACTAGTCGATGGTCCTTCTTGTCTTCATGCTACCAGGAGGTGACAGAATCTTCCTCGAAGGACCACTGTAGGCCAGTATCGTTGAATCAAGATATCCCTTGAAAGATACAATGACATTTTTGCGCCCGTCACCAAGGACATCTACCGTATTATCTACCAGACCACCACACGAGACCATCTCCAGCTCTCTGTTCTGTGGACTGCCACCTTCCTATTCCCGCCTAATCGCCCCGCACTACAATAATCCTTGAATGCAGCTTAATTTAAGCTTCTTTCAACGAGCAATGATCCGCAGCAATTCGATTGGACAGGATCAGTACACTCACCCATACAGAACTTTCTGATTGCCAAGTCGCCGCTTCCGACAACATGATCAGAGAGACAGTCCGGAGTAGTACTTTGTTTAGCAAATGTGATTTGCTGTATATGGCAGTTGTGATATAGAAACTATGGTAAAGCGGATATCATCGGATAATTGATGCATCGACAGCCTGGTGATGTTTTAACACAACAGCGGTTGGTTCTGGCAGCTTCGTCACAGGTATCGTACTCTCGAATTATTGCAAATATCATGAACCCCAAAAGTCCGCATATCTCGCCAGGTTCGGTAGTCAGGACTGGACGTACTAGATGTTACATCTCTTTTTTATGTTCCCCTGTCTTGAAGAACGATCCCGTAAAATCAGTGGTTTCAAGCGTCTTGAGCATACGGTGGATGACCATCGGTTTCCCGAATTAGCTGTTTGTGCCCAATGAGGTCTGACTTGCCCGATCCTTTATACTTCAAAGAATATCAAAAATTCTCCGGGAATCTTGTTTTGTTGTCGTTATAAATAGGGATATAGTTTTGCATTAATGACCTGATCTCTGTGTCGGAGTCTAGCTGTAAGCTGTTTTCTGTTCCTCCTCCTGTCGATAGTAACCGACAAGTCTGACGTTAGATATAGTGATTGCCATCGTAAAGTTTAGACTTAGGGAACAACAGCAAGTATTGCATAACACAATTCGCATTGCCGAACGCAAGCTCCGGACTCGTGGAGCCAACCAAAAGGCACTTTGCCAGCTATAATTCTAGATCATAAAGAATGGTCAGATATAGCATATAGTGTACATCTATGTCTTCGTACAGAACTAACATGTTGTAACAATAATGCCAATGAGTCAGGTGATCACTTCTTGTCTTGGAGTTCTGTTGACGCAGACTGTTTTACTTGAGGATGACACTATGAACTTGATGGGGTTACCGATCGACCAACTCTTCGATGACCCGGGAAACGACCTCATATGATGAACAACGAAGAAAAAGAAGAAGAGTTGGTACACCCAAACAGCAATACAACAACAGATAATGGGCCACCAGACTCCACCAATTTGTTGGCAAGCCGTCAATGGACATGCAGCTGTTGATAGCGAGATACCAGTTGACAAAGAAGTCGACACTCGACTCAAAACAGGTGTCTTCTTTTGATACTACCAAACAATAGGCGAGCCTGAGCGACATAGCCACCAATATTGTTTTACCAATAGCCATGGTCCCAGGAATCCACCAACCTATTCAACGACTCGAAACTCTGAACATCGCGAGGGTCTTCTCCACCAACATTCTGTAGGTCGTAAAAAGCATTTTTGGGAAGGCCAAGCCGCAGCCAGTCGATCTTCTCGACCTACGGGTTGCTGACGAAAGCTTCTGTTTCTGGGGTGCGTATAATTGTATATTGATGTCAATATCAAAGATGATCGAGAATGAATGGTGAGTTCTGCAGACGTCACGCAGAATACTTGCACAGCACTGATGGTCGCATAATCGAGAATGATGTCTGAAACAATTTTAGGATCCCCACGTGAATCCATTCTAACGGGTATCTTTCCGAGTAGAAAAATCTAATGATACAGCCGTGACAGAAAGCCCTTTTGAATATCCAACTCTATTGCATTTCTTTTAAGCTCCCGGATTGGTAAACACACAATTCCCCTTGATCTGCAGGTCATTCCATTTTCACAGGACCTAAGCATTTCCTTACAGCTTGCCCTTGATCAAGTTGTTGATCATCTCGCGACCAGTGATGCGAGTGGTATCCCAGAGTGTGGGGAAGTCGAGCGTGCTGGAAAGGCCATCGGCGAAGCCAAAGAAGAGCATGGGAGGGATCCAGCCGCGAGCGTACTCGAGCGCAAAGCAGCCCTCGGGCATCTTGTATTGCTTGACATCGCCGCGGCGAAGGTGGTGGATGCTGCCGGCGGGGTACACCTCGGCCTTGTACTCGCCAGGGACGTAAGCCAGCTGGGTTCCAGAAAGGATGTGGAAGTAGTCGTCGGCGGTGTGGCGACCAGTGTGGCCCTCGGTACCAATGGCAGTGCCTGTTTGACAGAATGTTAGCGATTGATATGCAATTGCAGCAGGCAAACATACCAAAGATGATGAGGTACTCGGTAACACTGGCGTGGATGATGTACATGGCACCCATAGCACCGCCAGCGTTGTTAAAGACCCATTCCTCCTTGAGGTTGATGTGCTCAGGAACCTTCTCGTTAAGCTCCGTGACGATGTACTGCACAACCGATCGGGTGTCCTCTCCGTGCTTAGCGATGGCTCGCTTAGAAAGATCGTCAAGGTGATCGAGGTCGAAGATGTAGAACTGGTTCAGGTTCTGCTCGACAAAGTAGACTACGGAGCTCAGGAGAGCTGTGAGGAGACCGAGAACCAGGAGGAGCTTGTTGAGGCCGCTGCCCTGCGACGCGGCGGCCGCAGAGGACTTTGACTTTGACTTGTTCTTTGCCATTGTGTTGACCGACCAAGTTGAACAAGTTGAAAGGAACAAGTCGCGTGAAGAAGGGGGCTATTAGTTCACAATTTCTGTTGAGCCCCGGAAATTAACTTAATAAGCCGTTCGGAGCTGGACCCTGGAGCCGCCCGGCCCCGGGATTAGCCCATCAACATATTGACCGTTCCGCATCGCGTTTCCGACCGCAATTTTCTAGTCTTGGCACCCATGTGAAATCTATCTGCCAGCTCATAGTTTCGTTTTCGTATTTGTATTCGCGATTATAAATATCTTCAGCCTCGTCAAATATATAAATCTATTGGCTATCTTTGCAAACCATCAAAGAAAAAAAGCATTGCTTTTCCCCATTGTTCCTCACCGCAACCTCTGTGTATGCGTGGTTCTTCAACGCCGTACAATTACACCTCAAAACTGGGGAAGAAATAGCAAAGAAGACCAACTCCAATCCCAATCCCAATCCCGCCGCGATAGCTTCTGTAAATCGCTAAACATTCCTTCATGCCTTCCAAGTAGAGTTACACATACCGCCTTCTTCCTGTTGGTTTCTAATCCACGTCTGAATCTCCCATGACCTCTGTCCTATCGGCATCATCCACGTCTTCGTCGTCGTGAAGAACTGTCTGATCTTCAATCTCGGCATCATCCATTGTGACATCTCCCATGGTTATGTCACCAGCCGTCATGTCTCCCACTGTGACATCCCCAAGTGTAACATCACCGTTCAGATCACCGTTCTGCTTATCCATATCGTCATCCAGATCAAGATCTGCATCGTCCTCTTCCGGCTTCTTTGGTCTGGGTCGCTTGACTGGCGCAATGACACCAAGTTCCGATGACCGTGGCCCCCAACGAGCTAGACGTCTTGTCGCCCGTCTCAACGCCCCCGCGTAGGCACTAACTTCTTCGCCAAAGTCATCCTTCTCCTTTGTAAGAAGACAAAGACCACCTACGCCCTTTTCTCTAAATGGCCCTGGAGTCTTGTCTCCATATGTTAGGTTCCGGGGAGTTGAAGTTTCATCATCGCTATCTTCAAAGGGATCTTCTTGGACCTGTAGTCTTTGATAGGCTCTGAAAACGGCACCGTCTTGTCGCCTGAGTTTTCGACTCTTGTGGTGTTGGCGCCGAAGACCACGGTCAAGAATGTACTCGACCCTTTGGCTCCTGTTTCGCTCAACAGCGAGTTGATGGGCTGTTGGGGGGCGGGGTTTTCTTGCAACAACACCCTCATTGACATTATGTGCCGGAGATGAGCCCTCAAAGATCTGATACTTGAGGGGTGCGCCTCTGCGATTCGAGGTAAGACCGCGACCAAGCCCCCTAGGCGGAGGTGTTGATCGCGTGCTATCCATGTCAGACTCATGTTTCGAGGGCCTGATGCGGGGGAGGATGGCTGGACCCTCATCAGCGAAAGATGGCCGCATTTTGCCTCTCTTGGTGTCTCTTTCATTGAGGAGAGCCTGGTCCATCTCAAGAATCTTCGCCCTCATCTTCTGTTTGGAGCGTCCAAATTCAATCTCTTCTTCAGTGTCTACGTTTTCTTTTGCTTTCTCTTCTGGGGTCATCTCCACGAGCTCAGGCACGCCCTGGTTTGCAACATCTAGCCCGTAGTCGACCCCAGGCCCGAAAGGGTTCTCCTCACAGCCTTCTTCCGTGAAATCGGATTCAAGATAGAACCACATAAGCCAGAGGAATGCATTCGCTCTCGACTTGCTCGTGTATTCAGTCCTCATGATCAGGTCGTGGAGTTCGCGGTGGCGAGGAAAGTGAAGCTCGGCGATTTTCTGAGCTGTGTTGCACATGACAAATATAAGATTGACAGGATTTGTGCGAGGAGTGTCCAACTGCTTAATTTTGTCGAGAGAGTTGGGTTCCTCTCGATCTTCTGCGCCACCTTTTAGAATAGACTTAAGACGAGGTGCATCCTGAAGCTGCTTGTAGGCATGAGGATCCTGGCGAGCTTGAAGTGACGGGATGGCATGGTATGTACGGAGCTGAGCTCTCATCTCAGGAAAGACTGGAAATGTTAGCGGTGGTTTCAAGGGTGAGAAGATTGACCTTACAATTCAGGGTGGTATTCATTCGGCCCATGTTGACAAGAAGACACACCATAGCCATTCCCTTTGCGGCTTCTCTATCACTTAGCAGTTTGTCGCGAAGCACCTTGCTAGTCTTTGAGCTGCGGGACATTGTATCGATATACAGGTCGGCAAAGCATTGACGCTGGAGTCGTTTGGGCTCATATGAATTGGTAAAAACACACTGCTCATTGTCGAACACGGCCTTGAGGAAGTCATATTGAATGTCTTCTCTCCAGAGAGGCTCGCCATCTTCCTTCTTTAGATGGCGTATCTTGCCAATCGTCGGTTGATTTGCGACGTCCTTATTTTGTGATGATTTCGTTTTACCTCGCGACGATTTTTCTTGAGGATCGGGAGTGGCATTGGCCATCTGAGTATCGTCATCCTCGGTCATGGCTCGCGAGACAAAGGACTTGGCTTCGGGCTGGCCGGGTGAGCTGGGAGGATCGACCTCAGACGTCGCGGCAAGAGAAGCAGGAGACGCCATTGTAGGTGGTTGTGGCTTTTGCCAAAAACGAGGGTGTTCGCAAGGGGTCGCGAGAAATTGAGGTTCAAGGTCAAGTCGTCTGGATTGATCAACGGCGCATCGCGAAAGGACAATTCGGCTGGACTATCAATGTTTGGCAGGGAGATGGAGGTGGGGATTGATGACTGTGCCGAAAACCAGATTGCGCGCAGATTGTTTGCGGGTTGCGTATGCGAGGGTGATGATAGTATTAGTGTTGGTGTTTTAGAATAAAATAGAACGAGTAATGGTTCTGGGGCTTGTTGATACGTTGGGAAGAAATGGAGATGGGAATGGAAGTGAGAAGCGAAGTTGCCAGTTCCTCTCCTCAGCCTTTTCCTTGTCTTGCGTTAGTTTGCCTGGGGCAGCAGATACGCCCACGAGCCGGGAAGTTGCTGAGCGCGTCACGGTACATTACCACAGGAGCCCGTCGTACCTGATTCACGACTAGGGACTCCGTACTCTAGGTAAGGCAGGGAGGTGTTCAGTGGAGCAAGGAGGCTGAAAGAGCTGTGGCTTGAGGTAATATTGTGGCGTTATTCTACCTGAAGCATGGTCCGTGCTGGTCGCGCTGCAACGACCCGAGCTAATAAGCTGTAGCAGTGGCCTAGGCATTGTGTTTTCTAGCAGGGGATCGCACTCCCTCATCTCTTTACATCAACAAATCTCATACCAAAGGGAGCAACCAAGCCCACCACGGCTTCGGCCAGGACGATATACATACTAACCAACAGGGACATTGTAGACGGGAAATTTTCTCTTTTGAAGTTTCGAGACATCGCAGAGAACTGGCCAGTCTTGCAGAACAGAACGTTCAAGAGACTGAAGGACATTCGACAAACAACAGAACCAAACTCAAAATCACTATTGTCGGCAGCGGTTCACGTCTTTTAAACTCCAGACACCCAACATGGCCACTCCCGTCAGAACGACTACCATTGGCGGTCCTCCAGTGACCGACAGCCCAGGTACTTGGCGTCACCCACGACTCAACGAGATCGCCAGGCGTCGTAATGCGACGACCTTCTCCGAGAAGAATGTGCGCCAGATCGCCTATAATGTCATTGCGCTGCTAGGATTCTGGTCTGCGCAGCTCTTAGCCAAGCTTAACATTGGCTCTCAAGTGTGAGTTTTCGCGGACGTCTTTTGCGACCGACCAGCCGTTAACTCCAGTCTTTAGTGTTCCTAGCTCTTTTAGGATATACTTGAGCTGGGCATGGTTCATTCTCAACCTCATACCATTTATCAACATTGGCATCGCGTGTCTGCCCTTGATTCGACCGAAAGACGATCTCTCCGATATCCCTCTGACACCTGCTCAGCGCAAGCTGCTGGGCCTGGACCCCTCCTCGGCCGCCCCGACCCCCGATGCGAAGTTCAGCACGCCTCCTCGATACTCACGCACACCTTCCATAGGTGGCTCTGTTGGAAGCCGAGGAAGCTATGGCAGCTCACCCCTTTCTGGGCGAGGAAGTCCTCTCGTACAGGGAGCGGCTGGCTCACCGTTGGGCAGCCCTCTTTTCCAGAAGAGCGTCAACAGTTTCGGCAATGGAAGAAGGTCTTCTTTTGGATCAACGAGCCCATTTGCGGCTAGCTCTTCTGCCAACCTCTTCTCAGATCCTACCTCTCCCGGTTCCGCTGGAGGCAAGCGAACAAGTGTCGGGTTGAACAGCAAGTGGTTATACGAGAAGGGACGGCGACCGTCAGGTAATGCCTGGAACTTGTGATTCAGGGTTGAATAATGAAGGTAGACATTTTGGACAAGCACGTTCGTGATACAGGAAGGGCTCAAGCTATGTGAGTCTTGCCATTCGGCCGGGAGACACTGTGTTCAATGTGCATGGAATCTGGCCTATTAGAAACCCAATGTTGATATTCTTGTGAAGGGTTCGCAGCGGGAGTCAGAAAACTCCTCAATAACAAAACTAATGATTTACATGCACCACCCGACCAGTGATTCAAGAAGATCGCTGCGGAGATACCAAACTGGGTATTCGATAAGCTCGAAACTGCACGGTTGTCTCATGCCAACATGCGTAGGGAGGCAGATATTCTTGAGAACATAGCATTTCTCATGCCTCTGCAGCCGCACTCGACCAGCAGAGGAACTGACAAAGATCCCAGGCCAAATTCATTCAGTGCATTCCAATCTTGACAACAGGACGACCCGTGAAAGCGTGAGCTTCTGACTTGGCCGCGATATCTTCTGCCTCCTCCATCGTGAGCAAAGTCAAATGACTGCGTATTCCATGCTGAACTACAAATTCCATCATCTCTCTAGTCTCATCCATACTACCATGGACTGTTCCCTTGACGAAAATCTCTCTCAAGATGAGATTCATAGGGTCGAATTTAAGACCATGCTCAGGAAAGCCAGCGGCGACTAATACTCCTCTTGGTTGCAAGCGTTGAGCAGCCCAGTCGTTGGCAGCATCGTCGCTGGTGCATACAATGGTAGCTTTGAGACCAATTCCATCGGTAAAATCAGAGATCTTCTGAATAGTTTCTGGGTCATCAAGCTTGAGTATGAGATCCGGTTGGAGGTGAGAGGGAACTCCAGAAGCGAGCTTCAAACCAACCTCATGGTTGTCAATAGCCATCACCCTATAGCCTCGAGCCTTTGCGAATTGAATGCCCAAAATCCCAAGGCCACCTATACCGATGATGCCAATGGTCTCGCCCTTTATTATATCTGCCTGGTTAATGGCATGCCACACAGTTGCCTGAGATTGGTTGTCAGCATAGCACGGGCAATAGAACACTTTCAGCTCTGGGAAACACACCCCGGCACACATCAAAGGGGCCGCCTGCTCAAAACCTATGCTGCCAGGCAAGGACACCACAGCACCATGCCAGGAAGCCATGTATTCGGCAAAGGCCCCATCACGACGAATGATGCCACACATAGTCCTATTATCACAGAAACGTGGATCGAGCGACCCAAGACTCTGCATAGCCCATTTGCATCCGTTACAGCCTTGGCAAGGATCCATAAAGTTTGTGACTCCCACACGATCCCCTATATGCCATATCTCAGGTACATCAGAGCCAAGACCGACTATTGTTCCGGCTGGTTCATGAGAGCCGATGAAAGGCAACGATACCTGGGTTATGCCATGATAAACCATGAGATCGGTGTGACAAAAGCCAGCGGCTGCTACACGGATGAGAACTTCATCGGGCTTTGGCTTTGGCACAGGGACATCATGGAGAAGGGTGTAGTTCTTATGAAACTAGATACGTCAACGGGTGCGAAAAGCACAAGGTCTAGGTAGACAACTTTACCTCAACTAGTCTTAATGCCTTCATCGTCTGAGGTACAGTAACATGGGCCGACATTTTTCCAATATTCTTGATACAAAGTAATGGATGACAATGGTTGCAGGAGAATAGTCGTAGGGTTTATTTTGCGAACAGCCAGACGAATTCTCCAGGTTAGGTGCAATCACAGTGACAGATAAATGAAAGTAGCTTACAATAGAGACAGAATCGGAGCGGTGCGAACACAACAAAGTAGTGAGACAGCACATTGCGTGATTCTCACGCTGACATGTCTTGGCTCTTCTTAATCAAGTCAGTCGCCAGCATTCGTTATTTTGACCAGTTCAGTAATTCCCACGACGCATCATTTATGAACTCATATTGAGATTTCATTCATTGAACCAAGGATTACCCAGAGCGATCATATGTATAATTATCTAGCCTGTTTCGTGTTTATAATTTAGTCATGAAGCCACTCTTCTCATCCTCAAAGATGTTGGTGAGTGTTCCAATATGAGGCAGAATCTCAACCGCAAATTCGTCGCCGTGCCGGAGCGCATCCTTGGGGGTTCGGCCCATTCCAACACCTGCGGGGGTGCCAGTGACAATGACAGTTCCCGGAGGAAGTGTAGTGCCTTGAGACAGCCAGCTGATAATCTTAGGGACAGAAAAGATGAGGTCACTGAGTGAAGTCAGTGGGGAAGTTCGCATAACTGTGTGGTGCTACTTACTCAGTGCCGCTCTCCTGATACACTTCGCCGTTCTTTAACCCTCGCATGTGAAGCTTAGTAGGGTCTGTAATAAGAGATTTGAGAACCAGTGTTGGGCCTATAAAGGGAAATTGTTAGCTCAATCAACCATAACCTCAGATGAACTTACCTAATGGACAAGCCCCATCAAAGCTCTTTGAGAAGGACCATTGAGATTGGTTTAGCTGTTGAGTACGGCTGGAAACATCGTTGGCGGCAGTGTATCCAAGAACGTAGTCCAAAGCTTCGGCCTCGCTGACGTTCTTAGCCGTCTTACCAATTACCACAGCCAATTCTGCCTCGTAATCACCAGACTCGTCCACCTGGCTCAGCTTGGGAATGGTCCCACGAGCTGGCCAAGGATCCACGATTGTTGTCGCTGGTTTCCTATCTACAGGTCAACTCAAAGCCTAGTCTTGTATTACTGATCAGGCAGACTTACATGAAGATGACCGGGATTGCTGGGGGATCAAGTCCACATTCGGCAGCGTGCTTTCTGTACTAATGGCGAGTCAGATCCTGCGATTTCCAGAAGTAGCTTGACATACATTCAAACCGACACACCGAATAGTACCGATCTCATTTTGGGCAAGAGGGGACAGGACGCGGTCAATGGTTTCGGTAGTACCAGTCGAGGATCCTGGGGATAGGACTGATGAACCTGACCAAACATTGACAGCAACCTCTTGACCCTTGCGTAAGGCAGCACCAACATCAATATCCTTGTCTGCGGGCTGACCGATAAGGACCTTGGAAGGACTAGATCTTGGTACAAAGCGTACGAGACCTACAAGAGTTGTTAGGGTGATGCTTTAACGAACTTCAGATGATCTGCTTACGCTGGAGGGCAGATGAGGCCATAATATCTTCTGCGTATGACGTGGTTGGGGAAGTACTTAAGATCAAAACAAATGAAGACAGGAACCAAGAGATCGAGGCCTTGGGCTCTTTATAAATGGCGGACTTAAGCCTAGCGACATTGAATGGACAAGTATCAAGGCCGGCTTCGGCATGTTGATGTCCATGTAACAACGTGCGGGAACTGGGGTCCTGGCGGGGAGATGCCGAACTGCTATCGGTTCGGGTAGAAGCCCCGGAGGGAACTACTGGAAAGTCAAGAACATACATAACCACATATAAATTGTATGCATATAGTCGCCTATCGACATACTGGCAGGTAGCTAGGCAATTGACAGTTTAAAATCGGACGAACCGGAGTTTTTCTACAAGATATTAAATATAAAGTAATTAAAGCAAACGCTCTCTTCTATTTCATCCTCTATATTTGCTAGTCTTAAGGCAGCATACCTATATCAGAAGATGGAACGCGGCAACACAAGCAAACCACCTGCATTTTGGTCAGGGACAGTACTATATTAAGCACTACTGCCATGACTGATATTGGTCGAGGGCCAAAAAAGACATGAACCCGCAAGACGCAAAAGACAATGCGTGATCCGAGAATCGAACTCGGGACCCTCCCATGGGAGAGGAGGATTTTGCCACTAAACTAATCACGCTTCTATTTGTTAATAGATGCGAGAGTTGATAGCCTTTGTAGGAAATGGATGCTGAACTGTATTCTGTGTAACGAGAAATTGCTATCTGCCTACCTATGTTGAAGAGTTGAGACGGAGCAAATAGGTGATTGCGAGCTTCTTATATCATTCGAAGCTGATAGGATCCGCCTATGACTTGCTTAGGGTCGTCTTGCGGGGCAGAAACGAACCTTACTGTATTAGTTTTAACTCTCTTCTCCGCCACAACGCTGACTTTAGCCCAATATAAGCAATATGGATCGAAGCTCAAAGTACCGTGTTTGCATGCAAGTTCGGTATATAATCTAATCAGTTGCTACAAGCAGGAGGGATGGGGGACAGCATAACAGTCCAAGTTTTGGCATACCGGTACTGGATGTTGACACGGCACCAAAGAGGGTAAAGGCCAGCTGGGACTTACGCTGTCTACGTCTGGGAAGTTGATACAATTCCAGTAGACAATATGTCCTGCAGTGGTACAGCCTTTGATAGTATAAAGCTGGCCCAGGGTAGAGTTTGGATTCCAAGAGCGAGGTTCGTGTGGTTCTCACGTCAAGGCAAGGAGAGAAAAGTCCTTACGGAGGGGCTTCTATCTAGCCTGAGCCATTACCAAAGTGGACCTTTCTTGTGGACCTTCACTGTTTCTGACGGAGCCCAGCTTGAAGCTTCGGGTACGTACTGGCCATGGTCAACCTGAGCCCCTCCACCAACAGTCGCCCACCTGAGCTGCAACACCTCGCCTCAATATCGTTAGGTATTCTACGTCACTATATTTCTTCTGGTCACATCGCCGCCAATCCACAAAGCTTTCCTCAAGTCACCCACCCTACAAACGCCTTACCATGGCCAGCAAGGTTGACCGCATCGTTGCCCGGCTACAGGCCAAGATCGAAGAGGGCGATTATTACGAAGCTCAACAGCAGACCCGTGTCGCGGCATCTCGTTATATCAAGACCTCCAACTGGCCTGCCGCGATCGATATCCTCTCGAATGTATCCCAAGCTTTGCTGCGCGCGGGGCAGGGTGGTAGTGGAGGAGATCTGTGTGCTATGCTGGTTGACGTCTACAAGCAGGCAGAACTCAAACCTGATGCTACCGCCAAGGGTAGACTATTGACTTGTCTGCGACTATTTGAGGCTGGCGAGCCTACGAGGAAGAAGTTTATCGGTGAAATCATAGCGTAAGTGCTACATCGTTGTCTTGACGAGATATCGCGAACGAGCATACTGACATTATTGGGGAAAGTTGGTCAGCAAAATTTGGCGAATATCCAGCTGGAGATCCTGAGCTTCACCATGTCGCTGGCTCACTATATGCTGAGGAGCACGATACATACGAGGCCGAGAAACATTTGATATTGGGGACCAAGGACTCGCCCGAGATTCTGACAAAGATGGAATATAATTGGTACAAGGAGAGCGAGCCTCATCAAGCGGCTCTCTTCGCCGGCCGCGCAGTTCTCCCATATCTCCTCGTTGGCAATGTTCGTGCTGCCAATACCTGCTACCGCCTCTTCACCAGCTCCCTCTCCAACGATAACCCGAACCTTGGTGTCCAAGACGTATCGAGCTCCGCTGGTGACATCCGCATCTTCCCAAGCCTGCCTCTACTCAACTTTCTTGGCTTTCTCCTTCTTGCTATTCAACGCGGCGCACCCGAACTCTACCGTGCTTTGGTGTCCAAGTATGCCACACAAATCAACGAGGCGGGATCATGGGCCGAGGCGCTTGAGATGGTTGGAGAGATGTACTTCGGCCTGTCCAAGCCTCGACAAAGCAACCCCCTTATGGATATGATGAGCGGTTTCTTTGGCGGTGGTGGTGGCCAACCAGAAAAGCCAAAGCGTAAGCAGGTTACGCAACGGCAAGATGCCCCCGCAGCGGAAGGTCTAGACTAGATGATTTGATCTGTGGGGTTGGATGCTGGTATACCATATTGCCTTGAGAAAAACATAGACAGCAGGCGTTGTAAGGTAAAGAAAAGACTGGGCTAACCACGGGGCTGTTCTTCTGGTTCAAACATCCAATTATCTTCGGCAAGGGCTGCCACTTTGGCTCGTAGACTTGCTCTCACAGCTTCAAGAAGTTCTAATGCGGCGTTAATACGATGAGAATAACAAAGACAAGCCCATGTCGCACCTTCAGGTTGTTCGGTCATAGCATGACGATGCATCTGGTGATGTTTAACTGCTTCTGCCAGACGTTGTCTTTCCTCTACTCGCATTTTAGCATTGTTAGATCTCTAGTCCTGCGTATGTCTTACTCTCACACTCTTGCCTATGATCTAGGGGCAACTCATCCTCGTCTTCCATTATCGGTGTCGGAAGGTCTCCGAGCTCAATTTCTCCGTGCTTATCGCGAACTACGATCTCAGATGTATCAGATAAAATATCGACGTCTGAATGCAGTGTTTCGGCAGACGTAGAAGTCGATCCAGCGGTAGGTCGCCGGGTCAACTGGCTCTGGAATAGATTACGACGAACGCCTGCTGAAGAGGCGCCGTTGCGAGAGCGGGGAACCCCCGTGCCATTCGTTGTTGTCCGTGTTCGATCTGCCATCGCGAAATCTTCAATTTTGTTGGCCGTTGTGATATGAAAGGAATGTAACTATCCAAGAAGTTGAAGGTGATCAAAACTTGGTTATGTAAAGTCAGATGTTATGTCACCTTCTGTTGACTTTCTGTGGGGTGTCCCGGGGTGTCTTCGTCTAGTCATCTTAGCTGCTTCAGCCTATCTGGCCAGGGCAATTGCACAAACATTTGTGCCTACCTCCAACAAGCATGCAAAGAGCTCAGTATCACTCGCACGACTACCGAGTAGGCAATTAATAAGCTCCTCACTTTGGGTATCTGCTCATATTCACGTAGTCTCATGCTTCTGGACACCCGCTGCCTCCAAGCTCAAAAGTCAGGATTGCATTCAACGTGTAATAGCCCCCCTAACTCCGTCCTTACAAACGTTAACTCTGAACCATGCTTATTTCAGAAAAAGGTATATACTCGACATGTACCAATGATAGTCGAGTTGTGTTCAGGTTTGTTGTCGCCAGTACTATTTGCCATGTGCTCCTAGATGTGGAACATCAGTAGGGCGACCATGTGCCATTGGTGTAATATGCTGTAAGCTCTGTCTCTTAATCGCACAGCTTGTCTTCATCTCCAAGAATGCAGCCTAACCCATCAATACGCCCCAGCATCATCCGAATTCGAAAGTTTCTTCCGGTCGATTTGCGGTGTTCCTACAGGGAGAGGTTGTAAGAGTACTCGTCTTCCATGTTCTGGCTGATCCAAAGGACGACGGAGCTGTGCGGAATTAGTGAAAACAATCGATTTCCTGGGGTAAGATTCTTTCTTACCTAACGCCAACAAGAGCGTTACTGAGCACATTCTCAATTCCCATACCCAGAGCAGGCATGGCGACGCTGGGCACAACAAACTTGAGAACAAAGACAGTGACACCACCAGCCATTCCACCAGCGAGAGCAGCAAAACCTAAGAACAGGACCACGCGAGCCTTCCACGCTACCCCATTTCCGCTGTAGCTGAAGGAATCGGCGCTTAGGCGTTGCTTTTCGACTGAATTGATGATAAGCATGCCCAAGCTAGAGAAAATAAAGGGCAGCCAGTCAACAAACTTGACATGGATATCGGAGCCGTTGCGTGATGACTTGGACCAAACTGCGGAATCGAGCATGATGTAAAAGGCGATTGAGAACTAAATCGCACCAGGTGGTGAGTACCAAAACTATTGACAAAGCGGGCGCATGAAGCCGCGCATGATGCATTGAGAGAGCCATGCAACGAAGAAGAAACGCCAAATACTCAAACAGGGGACACTTTTATAGGTTCAACGTACAATAGCTCCGGCGCTGTAGACACCAGCATTTCGGGCCCAAACCGTGTTAAGCCACTCAGGCCGTCGAAACTTCCAAAGGCGCTCTTCCTCCATGGCTATGGATTATGTGCGTTGCGAAAGGCTTGATTCTTGTAGTGCAAGTGTCTGATGTTGCAGGATCACTGATCGTTGGCGAATGATAGTGTTGACGATGCTTGGGACTGGAGGCTGACAATGACGAGGCTCACGCGTGGACGGGACCGGCCTTGCTTTAGCGCCGGTGGAGATCACGTGATCTATTGCTGAGCAGACCCACACAACCTGGAAGTGCGACTTCGTGAAGTGGGTCGTGGTCGTGGAGACATCCGCGTGGCTGGGTGTCATAAACTGCAAAACACAAAAATCCACTCGCGGAGACGCAAAAGATCCCCGTTGTAGAGAGCCATGTCACATTGATTACCCCGCTGGTCGGTGCGATGCTCACTCCGCTCACGCGGGACCCTGAAAACAATGGAGTTGAGCTGCGGATAGTGACGAGTATCACCTTGGGTTATGTACACAGGGTCTTGTAAATATTCAGGGCATATGTAAGGGACCGAAATATGATGTTGTGGCGTACATGATATTGATGACAGCCAAACTCTATTCAAATAAATATTGTAGGGAGCAGCATTCTCGCCGTTGAAACATTTCACTTTGTATGCCGTTTCAACGGTGTCCAACGGTTCGGATACAGCATCTCTATCTGCAAGATAACGCATCAAGAAAGGGTAGCGACAGGAAGCCACTCTAACGATGCCCAACCGTCGCGAATCAGGCATACACCTAAGTATTCGTCAAATGTAACAGGATATTGACAATCAATCGTGCCTGTTACGTTCATAGCCGGACAAGGAGAGATGCTGGGTACCTGTCATGTATTTACTTGCATGTACGGATACACACCATGCTTTGGAGCAACCATTAGACTAGGCTCTCAGGCACAACACCAAGAGCCATCGAGGTTCGTGGGCCAAAACAGCCAGCCGCTGGGGATTCAAAGCTGACCACCATACCAGCGTGGCGGCGAGCCGTGTCTGCCACCAAATGAATCTTGAGTGTTAATAGCCGCTGGACACTCAAAACAATTGCCGCATCAGCCTCTATTAATAAAGACCGCGGTTCTCCTAACATTTGCAGTGTTGCTAATGTTTTTCAGACAGACGCTATCGAACATGGGCGAATGAGATCCTCCCAACAACACCTGGTCTAGACCTATTCGATCTTAAACATCAGGTGCACCATTCTCCTTTTTACTGGCCTGCCCTTCGCAAACACCTGGCCCACGCATTGACAGGCAGGCATTAGGAAGGTGCAGCAGGCCCCAGTCCCTGCCCGCTTCTGCCTCTGTCGTGCGACCCCGTCTTTTCAGTCCCTTCCCCGTCCCATCGCTTCAACCCGATCTTCACTCTATCATACAATTGCTAACGCGATTTTTGGTAGTGCGTCTCGCCCACTCGCTCGCTCACCTATGCAGTTATTACATTCTTTATTTCTTTCTTAGTGCTTGTTGTATTCTTTCGTTCGAGTTACAGGAGGCCGGCACAGATAACCGCCGCTTCACTAATTACCCATCTCTCGCTTGCTATCTTCACTCCGCGCCCCCCTTGCCAGGACAGGACGCGGTATATCCCTTCAGACGTACTCATAACTATCGAGCAATAAGTCGCCTCCTACTTCCAGGTTCTCGAAGAAAACACGCCTGTTTTTCTAAGCGCTATTTCATAACGGGAGCATACATCTGCTAAATCAAGGCTCGACCTCCCCCTTTGACATTCCTAAGCATCCTCGATATACGCAACTTATCTCACCCGCCCTTGATCGATCTCAAAACGAAATTTCACACAATCATTCGGTTTTTCCCAACGCCTGTCTCACGAGAGATCCTTCTCCAACAATACTTGACATCGATTTCAAGGACGTATTTTGTTTGGACAACCATTCTTAGAGATAGCCGTTTGAAACGACTAGTTCAGCATGAGACCGATCAACTACCTACCGAGACCGGACCTTTTGGTCTCGGTGTTTGCCTCCGTTTCACTGTATGGTGGCCTGGCTATGGCCCAAGATACCAAGGATGACCCCAAGAATAATGACCCATCTGCTGTTCCTGAGGCGACCGATTCGAAGAATAGCGATGCCAATAAACCCACCAATACAGCTGCTGAGCCAGCTAGTACTGAGACGAAGGATAACGCGAAGCCTGCGTCAACAAAAGACGAGCAGCCTTCGAAAACGGAGGAAAAAGAAAAGTCCAAGTCTACTGCGGAAGAGGATCAGGCCAGTACTGCGACAGGAGAGGGTCCAACCAAAACCAAAGACGTTCAGTCCACAATCACATCCATCGCCTCTTCTGGCACGGAAGAAGCTATGCCTACCTTGACAAGATACAAGCCAATTCCTACTTATCCAGCTCCTTCTGTTCCCCCTACTAACAACGCTCCTTTCATGCGGCACTCGAGTGCCCCTGACGGAACCGTATTTATTGCAGTTGGGGCTATCCTTGGCGCTCTTGGGCTCGCCATCCTACTCTGGCGTCTTATCGTTGGCATCCTCCTTCATCGGTCTGTTGAGCGAGCAGCCAAGGCCCAACATGACGAGAACGCAAAGACAGGCTTTCCTGCGCCCCCTGCGCCCTTCTATAAATACACTGATACCGGATCGACAATGTCTCTCTCTGCTGGTCGCGGCGTGCGACGAACCACCCGTGGACCTGTTCTATCGTCAACCCCTAGCGCCTCCAACCTGTTTTTCTCCCCAACTGCCGCAGCATCAGGCAATGGGGCTGGCAATCGTGGCTCTGCATTTTTACCATCTGGCTTTTATGCGGCTGGCACCAGCTCTCCCGGTGGCCAGCATGATAATAACATCAGCATGACCAACTTACGCCCTGATTCTCGCGGTCACTTTGGCACTCCTTCACGACATACCTTAAATCCAAGTCCTCCAGAGTCACCTTCATTCCAAGGCCGAAGGGACATCAGCAACTCGACCCTCAATCTCAATCGACCACCAAGCCAACGCGCCCCTAGTGCGTTCCTCGAAGATCTTCTCGCTGACGATCCTTCGAGTCTGCCGCCTCCACATATGCCTGCTTCGACTGCCAGGCGCTCATCGTATGGCAGTGGCTCCCCTGGCGCGCACAACCGAATCTAAACCGGTATCAAGCGACTTCTATCATGGAAAACTTTACATGTGAGCGATATTATGCTTAATCGTCCTTGTTACCAGAGAAAACATTTGGTGTTACAGGAGGGGCGTCACCTTCGAATCATTTTACAACAGCGGCGTCAAGAGACTGGCATTTTTCTCATCAGGATATGGCTTGCGGATAATTCGATACTTAGTCATGAGAGGACACAGGTGTAATGATCCTCGGTAATGTGTACGTGGGGGTTACGGGTAGAGTTTTGGGTTATTGTCGACGATGGAATAGTTCAGCATGGCTGTAGGCAATGGCGTAGCTTCGAGCCCTGACCCCGTCCGCTATCAGACCACCAAAGTTCTACTCTATGTTTGGATAACTTGGGGGAGTTAACGGTTTTGATCCATACTCCAGAAATATCTTCTGGCTTTCTTAGTACATAATCCTCTTCAACATGATATATTCATCTCCATCTGTCTTCGAGCCAACCGAGTTTGTTTCTGTGACTAATGGCAACCAAACCTGGGAGATTACCATGAATTTGATAGGTGACGGTACACCAATCGTGGTAATTCTGGAAGTTCCGGTATGAAAGAGCAACGTTGAACAAGTGCGATGTTTTCTTTTTACGAGAATACGTTTGTCCCATCGTTAAACACCTACCTTTACGGGTTTGCTCTCACGACTGAGCGAAGTTAGACATATTGCAATCAAAATCAGTAGTTGCCAATATAACATAGCTTTAAGTATGTGATAAATCACTCCTGTATTTCACAGGGAGAGGCTACAGGTAAGGAGCGCCATGTCTATGAACTGACTGTACTCACATTACGCCGTATGTTGTATGTTAAAGGTAGACCGTTCATACTATTATATGCTCACCATCGTACACTCTATTGCATTCTTCGCCCCGTACCACGTAACGCCCCATTCCTAATATTCCACTTTAGCCGACTCCATGCTCCATGGCTGTTGGTCCCACAAGATGTATCGTTCTTCATTATGCATTAATAAGGTATTTCATCCTCGAATCCTGCCCTGCCTGCGCCTTGGCCAACCGAGGGGCATAAACAATCTAAGCTCGGGAGGTCATTGTAGCCCTTTCTCCTCTGATATTGTCATTCAGCTGTTCTTTGTTACTGTGCCCTTCCAGAGACCGTCTTTCCGGATGCTCATCAACAGATACGCTGTAAACCGAATCACGGTTGTCATACCGAGGCTGTTTCGGCTTTGATTGCTCCTTTTCTTTTCGTTCTTCCTCTTCCTGCTGCCTTTCTAGCTCCTCGATCTCTTTGACAGTCTTTTTGCTTGACTCGACATCCTCTTCCGCCTCTGCCAGTAGTAATCTTACTCTTTCGATCCTCGTCATGGCGCCTTCTAGTTTATCCAGACGTCTTCGTTTCTCTTGATCTCGTCGCTCCAGCTCATCCACGCGCTGTTCTAGCTTTGCTCGTGCCCGCCTCTCTTCGGCGACCATTTCATTTGCCTGCTCGAAGAGAGCAGCGCTAAGCTCCTCAACCTCCTGGCTGGTAGCTGCAACCTTGCCTTCGGCTTCCTTGCGCAAGCATTGTTCTCGATTGAGCGCCTCCAGAAGATCTTCAGCTGATGGAGATGGCGGGGGTTGCAACTGTTGTGGGCGGTGCGATTGGCTGCTTATGGAACGCTGGTTGGAAGGTCGGGAGGGGTTGGTGTCGATATGGGGAAGTTCGTGTGACTTGCGCGGGGAGAGGAAAGATGATAGCCGACTGGTGCCGCTTTGTAGGAATGACATGCGAGGGTTTGTAGGCGTCGCAGGAAGTTGCTTCTGAGTTGGAGATGAGGGTAGCTGAGCGCGCAAATTGGCAAGTTCATCTTCGTAATCGGCCCAGCGATCGACGGCGGCAGTGGCCTTCTCATTGAGAAGACGGACCTGGTTTTCGAGGTCTTCGATACGGGCCTGGGCCTCAAGTAGTTGAACTTGGCTGTGATCGAGAGGTAATGAGTAGCCACAGCCCGGGCAGCACGGCGTAGAATCAGCAGAGAGAGTGGGCGCTGCCATTGTCATGACCATTGTCGTTGACATGGCCGGCGCATATATGATGTTGTATGTGAGCCGTCGGCGGTTACTGAAGATGCAGGGCGGACGTTAGGAGAGGTTTATAGTTGCAATAAGCCATACAATCACTGAGAATATGCCAGCGAAGCAATTATTACCACCAAGGGATGAATATAAAAGTCGTGGGTGTTGTTTCAAAAAGAAAGGTTTCAATGAATACAGGGATAGTCAGCTCAAGTGTCCCTATTTTTGTCGCTGAACCGAATGCGGGCAGTGGCTTTGGCGCCTTGGACACGCGATAGCATGAGGGGCGGGGAGGCGCTTGGGCGGCTGAGCAGGCGATTTCAGTGGCGCGTGTCTTGGTGATCAGGGTCCAGTCGTGGCAGGGTATTTTAGACTACGAAACAAATGGTGTTTCTTGTATCCCAACGCATGTTACAGTAGTTAATCGAGACATTGCGAGTTGATGTTATTTACGTTGATTTCTTCACGTACCAAGACCAGGCAGTTGATTTACCTATCTGCTTTGTTTAGGTAGTCATTTGTTCCACTAATGGAGCAAAGACATAGACAATCAAGTGTTAAAGAACAACAAACGACATTGCATGACTCAATCTCGTAACAAATTGCTGTTGGAATGAATAAACAGGGTCACGTCACGTCACCATATCTGATCATGTTACATCGCATGCAATAACTCTGGGAACGCGCTTCTCAGGTGGTATGAGCTTTAGATCAAGTTTCTAAGTTGATTCTAGGGCAGGCCCAACTCATTATCGTCCGGCGGTCCTGGGCTCAATTCTCGTCATTGTGGATTCTTCTTCGAGTCCCGTCTGTTTTATCGGATTTGAGCAACGAGTCCAGCCAGACGAATTGGCATTTATGCGAGAAGCCTCGCGTCATGAGATGACGACTGAAAGCCATAGTATGAATGGAATCCTGTGGCTACAATGACGAACGAGTGCCTTGTTTCCTGTAGAATATAGAGTTTGTGTGTGCTCTTGTTCCACGGCGGACAGGCCTCCTAGCCAGATTATTCTGAGACAAGCGATGTCGGGTGTCCTTGTTGTATCAGGGCAGCTCTCAAACAAAACTGCAAGCTCAGCTTGGCTTTGCAACCTTTCGAGGCTCGCAAATGCCTGTTTCGGGATCTCTGTATTCTTTCCAACTGATAGGGACCATATCATTACCCGCCTCACTCGTAGCCATAACAACGCCCAGCTCGTTTGAAGCCGTCGATAGGTAGTAGTTGGCCTGGTCTCCGAGAGAAATCTAGCACGAATATGTCAACACCACCACCCTATACGAAGGAGTAGGGAAACTCACCACTTGCGCGCGGACGATGTCGCCAGGCTTAAAGGACTCGTAAATCTTAACCTTATCCTTTTCTGTTGCCCTCACGTCTTGCACTCTGATCACACCCTGCCACTCTGTCTGCAAAACTGTGTCGCCAACTTGCTGAATCACCACAATGGCTTGCTTTGGCATCAGGCGCAGGACACGCGCGAGGACAATATTCTCGACGTCGGGCAGTATCTCGCGCTTGCGGCCATGGCGGGAAACGGAAATAGTAGCAAGCTCCTCTGTCGTAGGTGCAGTGATCTTGTTGAGACGCTTTTGAGGGCCGGGGTTCTTTGTCGGGGGTGTCACGGTGACTCGGCCAAGCAGAGAAGAAACAACATTGCCTTCGTAAACATGTGTACCGGCCCCGGGCGCAAATTTGGTGACCGGGCCTAGGACATTGCCGGGCAGGGCAACGGAGGGAATGTCGTCGACAGCCATAACCTTCGATTTAGGTGCTTAGGTGAGCTTGCGGTGAAGGGTGTGAAGGCTTTGCTTTATTCAGCTCCCGCGTGGGTGAATATGCTTATTCACCGGAAGTCGTCAGCTCAATCTTTGCGGAATATCGGAGTTGGGTTTTGGATGACGAAAGCTCAATTCAGCCTTGCAGTAATGCAGTCTCATTGTATCCAGACTTTGCTGAAATTCTCCCATCCATCGGGACGGCTTTCAATTGCGGGGCCGACATTGGAGCTTGTGTGTTATGTAAGCGCCAAAGTGGTGCTTAAGTCCCTGCCGACTAACTCCGTCCTACACATAACTGAGTCCGCCGAATCGGAGCCGAGCTTTCATGCAAGAACACTATTCGACGACGAGTCTATCGGATCTTTATGTTCCTCCTCGCTTACACGATGCAATGCAGTAGTCCGGCTACTAAGAGATGCATGGGCGGGGAAGCGGTAAGGTCTTTTGGGCATGGAGAGATAGGCTTTGTCATGGAAGCAGGACAAGGCAAATGCTGAGCTACCATACCTCGGATTCGAGGTCACCAGACCAAAGAGCCGTTATGTTGTGCATGGCATGACAAGGAGGTTATGCTGAGTGACTGCCCAGACTCCCCAAAGACTCTGGTCCTAAGTCGGTTGTCAACTCGTCTCGAATGAGTTGGTCTAGATTCTAGCCATAGTTTTGGGTACAGTCACAACGTGTTTACCGTTCATCGACCGCGCTGAGCAACCAAAGTCGAAGGATTCAGCTTGTAGCATTCGACTTGTTCAACCGCCAGTGCTCGACAACCTCAGCTTGTACGATGCGTATTACGCCCGTTTAAACGGGCTGAACTGGCAACATCTCCCAGCAACAGTTGCCAACCCAGGTAACTTGGCACAATGGCACGTCCTAAAATCTATAAAACGCAGATGTATGGTGCCTCCTGGAGTTCGAGGAATGGCTTCTAGTGCAAATAGTGGAGGAGGTGGTTCCGCGCGGGATCTCCACACCCACGCCCACACCCCTTGGCAAAAACTGGCTAATGAGAGGCACTTCGTTTTCGTTCAAAGATCCTAAAAGGATGTTTTGCTGGTCAGAGCTTACCTAGTATACGTGGAAACTGCACGAGTTCCAGAGCGAGAGGCCGAGCCGAAGAGCATCCATCATGATGTTATTCTCGACGAACCGAGCCACTTTCGGCCCAGGTCTCTGTTTCCGTTCAGTCGCTTTGTGTCTTCTCTGTTGTTACAACCACCATTTACAGAGTTGTCAGAGTCAATCCGGTGACTCATTGCTTGTTATTCCATCATGAGACTCTCATAGCCGTCATCGAAACTGTAACGAATCCATCCTTCACGTCACAGGCACCGGCCCCCCTTGGCGCTATCTCCGCGTGGTAGGCACCCAGGTTTATTGCCGTAATCCGAATCTGTTGAGAGTCGGTTCAAAAGGTCTCTAGTAAAGGGATGATTTTACAGTGCTTTGTAATCCATTGGGTCCTTTGTTTGCTCTCTTCATCGACCATACAGCCGATGCAGCCACACCCAACCCACTCACACACCCCCCTGTAGACGGAATCTACTTGCTACTGTCATTTTGACGAGATTCTATTACTTTTCTAATTCGCCTTTATTTCCTTTCCCTTCGTCTTAAATTCCCATCTATCTCTTGTGTCTTTTCTCATTTCATCACGCCAAGATCGACCTGTGGGCCGTCCATCGATCGTTTTTGTTTCTTGGCAACCCATTGCGAGGTTGTATTGCGATCTCAGAGACGAAAGTCTATTGTTTCCGGCTCAATTCCGTCGCCTTTCACTCCTCATAGTGTCATTGGTCTCACGGCGGCCTTGTACAAAGTTGATATTGCTTGTGAGACTGTCTCTGGGTATCATTCGATATAGGCTTTAGTGGCTAGCCTCAGAGTTATTCCACAACCCATATCTGTTATCCAACATTCACAGGATATACGAGATTGATACAACGCAAATATGCCTGATCCTGTGGACAAGGAGCTTCAGCCCTCTAATACCCAAGCAGCTTCTCTCTCCCCAACAAATTTCGAAAAGTCCAGCGACTCAGATGAGGACAAGATAAGGGAGTTTGGAGAAAAGGACGCCGAAAGAAGCGAGAAAATTGATGAAATCAGTGAGAAAGATGAATCAAGGATTGCAGATCTCGAGGAAATCAAGACTGGCGCGACTGAAGCTTCAGCAATTACACCGACAACATCAGGAACTCAAGCTCAACAGAAGAAGCCATGGCATAAGAAATTGAATCCTCTCCGCTGGGGCTCGCCACCTCCAGTTCCTGAAAAGCCAGTGCAGAGCAGGGAACATGATGCTGGCTTCCTCAGCAAGTTAACATTCCAATGGATGGGGCCGTTGATGCATGTGAGTTTTAGCACTTTCTCAAATTCTATCTCGCTGGTTATATTGCAGATCTGCAAGCCACCAATTTCTGATATGCGGCGCGGCCCGTCTTACAACGCTTTTGCTGACTCGATGATATCAATAGGCTGGCTACCGAAGACCCCTGGAAGAGAATGACATCTGGACTGTCAATCCGGACAGAGCCGTGGAGCCACTGACTCTGCAAATGAAAGCATCGTTCCAGAAACGGGTTGAAAGAGGTGACAAGCACCCCCTATTCTGGGCTATGCACGAGACTTTTAAGGGTGAGTTTTGGACGGGAGGCGCATGTGCCCTCTACACCAGCATCATTCAAGTCATAAGTCCATTCACCCTTCGATACCTAATTCAATTCGCTGCCGACGCCTATGTAGCGAACAAGACTGGTGGGCCTCCGCCCCATCTTGGTAAGGGTATTGGGCTGGCCTTTGGCATCACACTGATGCAAATCACCCAGAGTCTGGGAACGAACCACTACATCTACCGAGGCATGACAGTTGGCGGTCAGAGCAGAGGAGTTTTGATTGGACTTATCTACGAAAAGTCGCTGGTCATTTCAGGCCGCGCCAAAGCTGAGGGTGCTTTGCAGAGCAACGCACCTGGTGCAAAAGACGATGCTGAAGATAAGAAGAAGGCCAAGAAAGCCAAAAAGGCGAAGCCGGATGCGTCAGATGGTACAGGCTGGGGAAACGGTCGTATCACTGCTCTGCAGAGTGTTGACACGTATCGTGTCGATCAGGCATCTGCCCTCTTCCATATGGTATGGACGTCTCCTATTTTATGTCTCCTCACTTTAGCACTCCTGCTCGTCAATATCACCTACAGCGCCCTGGCTGGTTACGGTTTGCTTGTTATTGGAATGCCGTTCTTGACGAAGGCTATTCGAAGTTTGTTTCACCGGCGACGAGCGATCAATCAAATTACCGATCAACGTGTGTCTCTTACCCAGGAAATCTTGCAGTCAGTCCGCTTTGTCAAGTTTTTTGGATGGGAGAAGGCTTTCCTCGAACGTCTCGGTGATTTCAGAAATAAAGAAATCCACGCCATTCAGATCTTGCTTGCTATTAGAAACGCACTCAATGCCGTTAGCATGTCACTCCCCATCTTCGCCTCCATGCTGTCCTTCATCTGCTACTCCCTCACGCATAGCGGTCTTACGGCTGCCGAGGTCTTCTCCTCACTGGCTTTGTTCAACGGTCTCAGAATTCCTCTGAATTTGTTGCCGATGGTTCTGGGTCAGGTAATTGATGCGTGGGGCTCTGTTCAGCGAATTCAAGAGTTTCTGCTTCAGGAAGAGATGGTCGAAGATATGACAATTGACACCACAGGTGATGATGCGATTCGACTGGAAGGCGCCTCTTTTACTTGGGAAAAGTCCCACAAGGAAGAGTCTGAGAAGAGCGAGAAGGACAAGAAGCACAGCCAGGTCCAAACTCCTCAACACGAACCTTCAGGTGATGACACAAGCACTTTGGTCGAGGAGCGAGAGCCTTTCAAGCTTCAAGATCTCAGCTTTGGTGTAAAGAGGAACGAGCTTGTTGCTGTCATCGGATCAGTCGGTAGTGGGAAGAGTTCTCTACTGTCTGCACTTGCTGGCGACATGAGGAAGACAGATGGCCACGTTACCTTCGGCGCATCCAGAGCCTTCTGTCCTCAATATGCTTGGATTCAGAACACCACTCTCAAGAACAACATCATATTTGGTAAAGATATGGACAAGAATTGGTACAAAGAGGTCATTCAAGCGTAAGTTCCCTCCGTTGTCTCGCTTCAATTATCGCTAACATACTTTCTAGCTGCGCGCTCCAGGCAGATCTCGATATGCTTCCCAATGGCGATATGACGGAAATCGGTGAGCGTGGTATTACCATCTCTGGAGGTCAGAAGCAGCGTCTCAATATCGCTCGAGCCATCTACTTCGACGCCGATATCGTTCTTATGGACGACCCCCTCAGCGCTGTTGACGCTCATGTTGGCCGTCATATCTTCGATAATGCCATTCTTGGCCTCCTCAAGGATAAGTGTCGCATCCTAGCCACCCACCAGCTCTGGGTACTCAGCCGCTGTGATCGCATCATTTGGATGGAGAACGGCAAGATTCAAGCCGTCGATACGTTCGAGAACCTTATGAAGGACCATAAAGGGTTCCAGTCTCTTATGGAGACAACTGCTGTTGAGGAAAAGCGAGAAGAAGCCAAGAAACCCGACGATGGCGAGCAACCCACGGCGGACGAGAAAAAGAAGAAAAAGAAGAAGGGAGCTGCCTTGATGACCCAAGAAGAAAAGGCCAGTTCGAGTGTCTCGTGGTCTGTCTATGCTGCCTACGTCAGGGCATCTGGTTCCATTTTGAACGCTCCGTTGGTGCTATTCCTCCTTATTGTCTCTCAGGGAGCCAATATCGTGACAAGCCTTTGGTTGTCATATTGGACTTCAAACAAGTTCAACCTCTCTACGGGTGTCTACATCGCGATCTACGCAGCACTTGGCGTTGTGCAGGCTCTCCTCATGTTCGCCTTCTCTGTGGTCTTGTCCATTTTGGGAACGAAATCGAGTAAAGTCATGCTTAGAATCGCTGTAACTCGCGTCCTTCGCGCACCTATGTCCTTCTTTGATACGACACCACTTGGGCGCATCACGAACCGCTTTTCACGGGACGTTGATGTTATGGACAACAATCTTTCGGACGCACTCCGCATGTTTTTGTTGACCGTGGGTATGATCACATCTGTGTTCATCCTCATCATTGCGTTCTACTACTATTTTGTGATCGCCTTGGTCCCTCTGTACATTGCATTCGTCACAGCAGCGATGTACTACCGTGCTTCGGCACGAGAGGTCAAGCGTTTCGAATCCGTCCTCAGATCGCACGTCTTTGCTAAGTTTGGCGAGGGCCTCACAGGTGTCGCGTCGATTCGAGCCTACGGGCTGCAGGATCGCTTCGTTAATGAACTACGTGAATCTATCGACAACATGAACGGCGCTTACTACATTACCTTCGCTAATCAGCGATGGCTCTCAATGCGAATCGATCTTATCGGTGTACTTCTTGTCTTTGTGACAGCCATCCTTGTTGTTACGTCCCGTTTCTCGATCAATCCTTCCACTGGTGGCCTTGTTCTGAGTTACATCCTCTCGATTGTTGGCATGATGCAATTTTCTGTCCGTCAACTTGCTGAAGTCGAGAATGCTATGAATGCCGTGGAGAGACTTTACTACTATGGTACTGAACTTGAGGAGGAGGCTCCTTCACATACCGTCGAAGTTCGGAAAACGTGGCCCGAGAAGGGTGAGATTGTCTTCGATAATGTCGAGATGCGATATCGTGCTGGTCTCCCACTTGTCCTTTCAGGATTGACGATGCATGTCAAGGGCGGCGAGCGCATTGGTATCGTTGGGCGTACTGGTGCTGGAAAGAGTTCTATCATGAGCACTTTGTTCCGTCTGGTTGAGATCTCTGGTGGCAAGATTACCATCGATGGCCTCGATATTTCCACCCTTGGACTTCACGATCTCCGATCCCGACTCGCGATTATCCCACAGGATCCCACTCTCTTCCGAGGGACTGTCCGCAGCAACCTCGATCCTTTCCATGAACATACTGATCTCGCACTCTGGTCTGCTCTCCGCCAAGCAGATCTTGTTCCTGCCAACGCTGCGTCGCCCGAAGAAGCACGCCGTACAAACGATCCCTCACGTATACATCTAGACACCCCTGTCGAGGAAGACGGCCTCAACTTCTCGCTCGGCCAAAGACAGCTCATGGCACTCGCGCGAGCTCTTGTCCGAGGCGCCCAGATCATCGTTTGCGATGAAGCCACTTCCTCGGTGGATATGGAGACAGACGATAAGATCCAGGCTACCATGGCAGTTGGTTTCCGCGGCAAAACGCTTCTGTGCATCGCTCATCGACTGCGAACCATCATTGGCTACGATCGTATCTGTGTCATGGATGCAGGGCGTATCGCTGAGCTGGATACACCGATGGAACTGTGGAAAAGAGGCGGTATCTTTCGCAGCATGTGTGATCGCAGTGGTATCAGGGTCGAAGATATACATGGTGCAAAAGAAGAGATGGGTGTGGTGACAGGAGAGAGCAGTCAACAGTGAGATGCTGATAGCACATGACCATGAAAATGGTGTTCAAGCATATAGATTTAATACAGTCAATCATATACGAAAAGTCCAATGACCCCGAAAGATGCGGCAGCTCAGTTTATAGATCAGAGTCCAGTTATTTCCATATGCTGTGGATTTGTATGTATTATGTGCTTAATTTCCAAACTCGTAATTACTCTGCTTAGACTCATAGAATGTAGGTAAGCTCCGTGTGTCCTAAGTGAGATACTGCAAGGCATGTCGGAGCTTTGACACCTAATTGCACATAGGAACATTTAGGATAACATGCAAAGCACTTGATGGGCCTGCCCAGATCGTCTGAAAGTCGGGAGATGAGGACACTGTTGGAACCCGAGCGCTCCTTGACAAAACGGTGCACTTAAGACTGCTCTTGATACATATAAAAGTATATATTCTTCGTAGCTCGCAAAACGCGGAACGCCTGGCATAACATATGACGCTTTAGAAATCTTCTAGTCTAGCCACTCTTTTATAGGCTTTGCCATTTAACTCAGAAACGCCATCTCGTGACGTCAGCTGGCCTGGCTATATGTACTTCTTGCAACGAGCAACATCCCACAGCTCAGTCCTCAATGCCGTTCCATGACTTCTCATCCTCAGACCGATTTGCAGTTTCGGACTTTGGCGTCTCTGACTTGGGTTCCTTCACAGGCTTGGAGTCCTCCTGGGACTCAAGAGCTATCGCCTTTCGAGGCGGCGATTCTGTCTCGTTTGGAGAATTCGATCGTCTTCGCTTTTCTCCCTTGTTGTGGCTTTGTTGCTTGTCTTGTTTCCATTTAGGTGAGCCATTGCCCTTCGCCTCGTTTTTCTTCTTATTCGACTTGTTACCAGCGGGGGGTTGTGGCTTGTTCTGGCTCCAACTCTCGAGCATACGAGCGACTTGAGGCCCCCAAACCTCTTCACCCTTGGCCAGATCTTCATATTCGAGACAGTTGTCGTTCCCGACTTCGAAATCGCTCTGGCGTGTTCGAGCGAGCTCTGCCATAAGGGCAGCTGAATCCAGCTTGGCCCCTAGATCATGGCAGAAGCTCCTGACGTAGAATCCAGATGTTACAGTTAACCGCACCTTCACGGCGGGAGGTCCTTGGTCACTCCACGGGGGGGGTGTGCTTGTGTCGGGCGACTCGGGAACCAGGTTCGACCCCTTATTAGAGTATGTCGGCTGTGGTAGCTGTCCAAGAGCGCCAGACATCATGGGAGGCTCTTTGGACTTCCGTGATCGCTTCGATGGTGCATCCTTGATAAGCGCATCCTGGCGCTCCTCAAAGCTGCGCTTGAACGATTCGTGCGCCGCTATCGCTTTATCGTCCTGTTGCTTCTCCTCCGGGCTCAACTTCTTGTTGGTCTCCTGTTGCTTCTTAACCCTCCAGACCTGCTCCGCCAGGTTGCGCTCTGCAGCCTCAGCTTCCTCGGTTGGCCATCGGTGATTGTGCTTCCCAGGCTCGTACCATTCCACCAGCTCGATATCCTTAACCTCGACTTCTCGACCCTCGATCTGTCGCGGGATGGGCTTGCCTTCACGTGCATACTCATACAGAGGTTTCCCGTTCATCTTCAACGCAGAGTATAGGGGCGGGATCTGCATCTGACGGCCCCTGAACGTTTCGAGTTCCTTCTCGACTTTTTCACGAGTGATATGCTCATATGGCCGCTTGGTCAGAATGCGACCTACTCGATCGTAGGTATCGGTCGCGGCGCCAAATACAACAATGGTCTCGTACGTCTTAGTGCATTCCAGAAACTGGGGAAGAGACTTGGTGGCGGATCCAATGCCCAAGATAAGAACACCCGTAGCAAGAGGATCTAAAGTTCCTCCATGGCCAATCTTGACCTGCGAAGCTTTCTTGATGAGCTTGCGACGGGCGAACTCTTTGCCGGATTCGCTAATGCGCTTTGCGACCTCGGAATCGATCAATGGTTTGAAGAAGCTAGAGGGATTGAATGCTTGCTGGCATTCGCGAATGACTTGCGCTGAGCTTTGGCCGCAAGGCTTGTTGATGGCTAAAAGCGATCATGTTAATACCATGATAAAGAGAGAGCAAAGTTCGCAACGAAACAGAGTCAGCAATTCACCTACCAAAGACGCCTTCTCGGACCTTGTCCGCTGCCATCTTCAAAGTCTTTCGGGGAAGTCGCATAAGCTCTCCAAAGGACTGGATATGGCCAAGAGAAGAGGAGAAAAGGGAGAAATGGAAAGTTTTGAACTTTAGACCGTGGTGGAGCTTGTTAAGAAGATCCAGCGCCCGCCACCAAACGCACCACTCACTTACTTTGACCTCAGAGCTCGATTCATTGTCTCCGGCGCAGCAAAAAAAAAGTCTTATCAGCAGCATTCCCCGCTAAAAAATTACTTGGAACAATTAAAGTAATCTAAGCTACAATAAGTCATGTTAAATATACGAACAATAGAAACAGGAGAAGCTTGGAGAATGCTTTAAGCACAATTGTACAAGCGATTTGTAAGTTCGGGGAGCACTTAAGATTTAATTGCCTTAAATCCAAAATAATCGTTTGGAAGTTCCAGGCCTCACCGATTCCTTGTAATACGAAACGGGAATACACACACTGCTCGAGTAATTATTTCAGCTCTAGAACCTGACGAGCCATTATCGGCAATCCTTGATTGGAGCGAAGGCACTTTAGGAAACGCGTTCTAGTGGGGCACCCAAGAACACCTCTACCTTGCCCCAAGGAGCAAGAAAACTTGGAGGCTCAAGTCAGGAGGTCAAAAATAACAAGCCAAACGGCTCAGGGAAGTCATGCTAAGTGTCCTGAGTCTTTTTGTCTTGCTGGATAGAGGTTCTAAGCTTTCTTACCTCCCCTCCCTAGCTCACGCAGGTCCTCTGGAAAACAAATGCCCCTGTAACTTTAGTGGGCTATCAGTGGTCTGCCCCGCCATCTTGCCATTTGAAGCGCGACCGCGTTTCTGTAAGCCTGGTGGAAAGTGCCCGACTGAATGCTAAGTTAGCTCTCGACATCCACTGCACATTCACTGTATTCGCAATCTTTCTGCACCACTTTCACATCACCAACACCTCCCATTCTTGCCACGAACAAATCACTTCTCGCTACTCCATCAACCGGTGCTTTCAACGCAGGTTGATATTTATCAACATCTCTGCTCCCTGCCTACCGAGGCCAACTTCATTTTGTCAACGTTTCGTGCGCTCTCAAATCAACAACCAGCCAACGTCTAACGCCCATTTCGATGAGCGCTCTCGAGGCCTGAATATTGCAAACATGGTCGGGCGCCCCCGCCGGGCGTCTACTTCTAGTGTCGATACGGAAGATGAGAGTCAAAGATCATGGAAGCAGGAGAAATCGGTGCTGCGGTTTGACCCCGGTGGTGTAGACCCAGATACGACCTTCGAGATCAAAGATGCCGTCGTTCTCAACAAAGATGGTCACACTCTTGAAAACGCCCTCGATGTCGCTACCCGCGGTCCCTATATCATCCGCGGATTGCTCCATATTGAGGAGCAGTCGCAGAGAGCACGCCGTTGGTTCTTCCACACCATGATTATGATGTAATGAGATCTAACCGTACGTCACAGTTATAATGAAAGTCCGTTCTTTGACACCTTTCGAGGTCAGAAAATGCGGCCAATTCTCTATCGGAGAATCTGACAGCGGTTCTCCAGTCATATGGATGCTGGGCACTTGTGGATGGTTCGAATTAAACCCTGCGCCAGCATACCTCCCCATATACAGAAAGATGCAGGAGGCTATACGGCTCTACTATAGATTGATGGCAATTTACAGGGATAAGAAACCCAAGAAGGCGAAGAAAAGCAAAAAAGATGCGTTGAAGGAACTCTACCAGGTATTCCATGAGGTACGTATCACGGTCCCTGGTATAGCTGCTTAGCTATGCAACGATCCTGACTCTTTATCCAAGTATGCTGCCAGTATCGGAGATGGTTCAACGCTCGAGGAAGTGATTGCAAGATGTGATGATCATGCTTCATTTCTGATTGCTCAATGCATCCAGGACCAGAGCGAGGTCGAGTGGTTCGTGACCCCTTTCTACAAATGGTTGATAAATAGACATCAAGTGAGTACAAGATTGTTTTTCGTCCGGGCAACTGAATCTAATCAATCTTTTCAGGATCTCTACAACAAAGAACTTGAGAGAATGAACAACCCTCCGCAGCCCCAGAGATCCCCATCTGTTGAGGCCAGCAACCCCCCTGTCTCACAGATATTGCCCTCCCGAACTCGCAATGGTTCTTCGGCTCCGTCGACAGCTCGCGACGCAACCCCAGGTATCATTGAGCCTGAGGACAGTCCTCCCCGACGACGATACTCAAGATCGCGGTCCGCTACTCACAGGCCCGAAAATAGTGTCGTTGACTTGTTCAGCTCTACACAAATTTCGAGAGATGGATCAACAAGGCCAGTCAGCGTTCATTCCTCAGCTAGTATACCAAGTGTCCGTATGAGCCAGGCACCTATTTCGGTGGACGCCAAGGACGATGCTTTCCGGAGCGTTCTTGATGCCCTTGAGTGGATTCGCGTAGAGATCAGCAACTCCAAGGGCGGTCGTCTAAACATCTCAGCTGTGGCTAACAAATTCTGGTCAAATTTCAGGTTCCCCACCTACAAAGGCGATATAAAGCCATCGTATAGGGTGCCTATCCAGGAAGTTCTCCATTACAATGTGCACGCTCTCTTACAGGTTCTTGACAAGGATAAGTATGATGGCGAATTCTATTCCTGGCTACAAGAGCTCGCCGAAATGCCATTCAACCCTGTCGCCATTAAACCATCAGAATTTCCGTTCTACGTTATACGACGTAAACCATCTAGCAATAACAACCCAAGCAAACCAGCACCCCCTTCGCAAGCTGGAGCCGCCTCAAGGAACCTTGATGAAGGGTTTTCAACTCCTCCCCGCTCTTCACCTGCAGGTAAGAGCCTCATGCGGCCAGGTCGTCCATCTGGTATCAAGTCCAGTCTTCGTCTGGCAACCACTTCTAAAAAGCGGCCTCACTCTGAAGTTGATAGTGATTCTGAGGATGAGGGGTCAGAGCTGAAGCGATCTCACTACTTTTCTGGCGAGGAAGAGACTATGGGTAATACCAGTCACATGAGTCTGTCCGAGGATGAAGATGCTCAAGAAACATCTGAAGGACCAGTCAAGATTTTTCTAAGGGCAGACAACATCCCTACAACCGTTCCACGTGGCCCTGGCGAGACATGGGTCTGTGAAGAAGAGGATTGTGGATATGTGGTTCGTGGCGGTGATATTCAAAACTGCCGAGACCGTATCAGACGCCATTTTAACGAGCACGAACAGCAAATGGATCGTGTGAACCTCGCCAGGACCGAAGCCACTCGCGGTCATTTGCCTGTAAAGTATGCTTATTTCCCGCCTTTTCTGATTCTCGTTGAGTTACACCCCCCTTGCATTACCCAGCAATGGCAAAGCCCCCCCGTAGACCAAGTTGCTACGGCAGCCTCAACTCCAACACTTGCGAACAGCCCTGTTGCACCCTCTCTTCAGCCACGAACACCAGAGTCGTCTCCAACCAAGACTCCTGCTCTTGCGACGAGGCGCGGTTTTAGGTCCATTGTAGATGGATTCCGAAGGCGCGCCCATCCCGTGTCGGATAACATCGATAAACTGACATTTTGATAATAGTCACCTAATGGACAAGCTCAAAAAGCTGGGTGAGAAGTCCCAGTCCGCCGAACAGCTTATGGTCAACGAAATCGTGTTACCCCAGCGCATCAAACGAAACCTGCTTGTTTAATGATATCAGACGACACTTCACGGCTCTCGGGCTAGATTATACTTTTCGCATCAGCCCTGTATTTTGTTTCAAAGGAGATACCCCCAGCAATGGCTCAGCGTCGCCTAGGACGAGACCAGTATTCAATGGTCATGTAAGCATTGCAATATCTTGGGAATGGTGCAAGCCACAAAGCTCAACCACCTCTTGCGGATACTTCTGCATGAGTGAGCTTAGAATGCACGATATTGTAAACCAACTCAAGTCATGAATTATGTATCAATGCTACCAATCCACTTATACATGTGTATGAGATACCAGGTCACCCAACAACGATCATCAAATCCGTGATAGATAGCTTAACGGTGCTGTGTCGTAAGAACAACATCTCCTTTGAAATTATGTAAATTACCTGAATTCCGTACCCTATAGTTTCAGAAATGACACTCCGAGTAAGCTCCATTTTAGCTCCTGTTCGTTTCTACTGTACACGCATATCTACCGCTCCACGTTCGAAACTTTGCAGTTCGGTCGTCTAATTTTCTACTCCATCCGTAGCCATCTTGTCTTTACCCAAATTCTTGCTCACCTCGAGAACAAATGCCTCCTCGATGGCACCCATCCTCTTAAAGACACGCAACCATCGTTGTCCCCATCGTCGGATCATGGCTTCGCGATCGCTTGATCCGTCACCTCCCTCCATCAGCTCATCCTTGCTTCCACCAGCCCAGCTAACGAGAGCGTCATTCATGGCACGGAAAAGATCCCGAGTCGATTTTATCTCCTTGATGCGTGTCTCGTCGGTTTCGGGTGCAGCGACAACATCACGGCTGCGACGCGTGACTTTGAAAATCGTATTAAAAACAAGCTCAAAGATGTGAGGTTCAGTGAGACTATCACCGCCATCAGTGCCGTTTGCTGGCGTGCTTGCCACAAGAGCCCAGTCTACCACGGTAAAGGGGGTCAAGATGGAGTAGTTGAGAAGTTTCTCGATGATTGAGAGAGCGACACCAGGGTGTGCGTGCCAGTAACTCATGACGGCAGAGATAATTTGGGCGCGCGCCGCCTCGGAGGAATTACCGGCTTCAAGTAATCGACCTTTGGTCCGGTCGATACAGGCAAGGACGTGGCTTAACGACTTGGAACCAACCCAGCAAACGGCGGTCATAAAGACATCTGTGCTAGCAACTATAGGGTCCAATGATTGTTCTGAAGCTTGGGTTTGAATGCTCTCGAAAAGAGGCTGGAACTCCTCATCTGGTGCTTTCCGTCTCAGGAGACTGGCGATTTCCTGGCCCTCTTTAGAGAACGGTGTTTCTGAAGCATTTGTCAGTAAGCTGCGCTGGGCAATAGAACTTGATACATACCAGAATTCTGAAACTTGAAGTCGGGAACATCTTTCTCTTTCTCAGGGCCTACCAAGGGTAGATAGGGTTCAGGGAGGGTCTTCTGAATTCTCTGGGCAAAACTCAGTCTCACCTCCTTATCCAGGGCACCCTTCAAGAACCACTTGCTGGGATGGGCATCCGGCAGTTGCGCATCATCAACCCATTCGGCCCACTTCCAGGTGAAGCCAAAGTTACTGAGATGGTGGGAAAACCAATCCATGAACCGATAGCTCAGCTCCAGGTCCATCTGAGGGCTGTTCCGGTAGAGATATCTTATAGCCCTACCAAGACTAGGGGCAATAGCGGCTGGTGCCAACTTGCAGGCCTCAGTGAGTACTGAATGGTAGTACACAAGCTTTCGCTCGGGTGTGGGCAGTTGGAACAACTGCGAGAACACTGTATCGACAGCAACATCCTCTGGCTTCCATGTATTTTTCCCATCGGGAAAGTTCTTCAATTCATCAAAAGGAGTGGCACGCTTAACAAAAGTGCCGTCGGCGAAATAGCAATCCAGGTCCATCAAATAGCGAGCCGTCACATTACGGTTGAAGTCCAAGATGTTGATCGTGTCAAGAAGGCCATCGCGAATAAGGGATGCAGCGATGTCAGTCACAGCTGGGACAGAAGGGACCTCCTGTTGAGAGTAGACTGAAAAGTAGATCTCTGGGAACAGAGGTCGAGGCCCTGCAATGACAGCCGCGGGGATGGCGATAGCGGGAAGCGCGTGTTTGGGCGCATTCGAGAGTTTGTCTTGAGCCTCGATATCTTCCAGTGGCATCTCCCAAGGTCGTGGCAAGCATGATAGTTCCCAGTTCTTGGCTGCTTCAGACTGGAGCTGCTGTTGGAGCAGCATACAAACACTAAGTGACGTGCCAGGACTCTCTTCTTTGCCCTCGGGGTGATAAGGATCAACAAGTGCCTGGAGGGCATGAGGTTCGGAAGCAATAATGTCTGTCTTCTCCATCAACTCCGCGGCCTTTTGCTGAAATTGTCCAGGGGCGGACACCATGATGTAAGGGATGGTGAGGAGAATTATCTTGACAATTTCGGTACCAATAGTCTGCCATAAGTCAGTAAACAGATTCAGGTTGCCACATCGCTAAACTCACGTCGTCCGAACTGGCCGTTTGGAGGTCCGCAGCTCGACTGAAGAGCTCCTCTAGGATGGGAAAGAGGCCATCCCCTTCCATCAAAGACTGCAGACAGGCCAGAAACTTAAGCAGCAACTTTACATCACGCCACTCGCCCTGAGCGATCTTGTCTGCTGTGATTTGCCCAATGCGAGCGAGGATCTCGTCAACGAACTCGGGCTTCAGGGTATTGATGATGTGAACAACAGCGGCAACGAAGGGCGTCTTGAGAGGCTGCTCGAGCAGAATTTGCGTCACCAAGTCGAGAAATGTCTTGCGAAGATTTTCGTCGTCATGATTTTCGGCCACCATATGTGCAATGGATTGAACTTCTTCAGCCCATCGGCGCAAAGGAGAGTCTGCGATGCTGAGAAGCTGCCGTCGGACGCGCACAGGAAGAGGTGCCGAGTCAACTCGTCTTCTCTGGTTTCGGCGATCGTAATGGTCGTCATCGTCTACGTGACAATATATTAGCAGGTGAATTGAAGGGAACGCGACAGCTTCGCGTAGCTTGCTTCGATTTAAGCTCAGTGCAACACACCTCGATATCTTCGCTTGCGGTAGCCGCCTGGTCGTCTATCGTAGTCGGCCATGATGCGCTTCTCGTATTTGAAAACGTAGCTGCTTGTCGAATCTTAATGGTGGCTCGTACTGATGATAAGTAAAAGTTTGTGAGGTCGAATGCGAGGCTGCGTCACTGCTAAAAGTTTGGGGGGAGGACATCCACTAAGGGACGGAATTAAGTAGAGTGATATTGGCTCGAATACCTAGCTGCCCTGAGGTGCATGAACTAGCGTGGGATTGGAGCATTATGGTACGAAGCCAAAAGTATCGCGAGGCTAACACGCTAACACCTGAGCTTAGTGTGAATGCCTGAGGCAGGTATATGCAACCGCTGACTTCAGCCTGCTTGCGTTCCTAGGTTTCTCCCAACATAGCAGTCATATTACTATGTATTATTCAGAATCATCAAATAACGGATTAAATGAGGCCCTTTGGCGGTATTGCGAGGCTACAAAGCATGCGGCCAATTTACAGGCTATCACATGATTTCGAGCTTGACATAATATAGCAGACTCAAGACTCAACTTTTAATTCTCGATATTGGTAATCACTCAAGCAAAATGATCTTCGAAGAGTACTACGTAGAAACCAGAAAAACGTGCATTTTGTCAACTTGCGCGTTTGAAGTCTATACATAAAAGCTGTATGCTTTCCAGAGACGTCAAACCCTGAGCTCCCCACGTGCTTCAATGCGTCACGTCATTCATTCTTCTGCCTTTTATTTGTGATTCATAAGCAGTCCCTTATTCTTTATATCGTCTTGGACCATTGACGACTAGACCAAATAATGCCAAACTCCTCCACGTCTGCGGGAAAGCGAGAGTAAAATGCCACAGGGCCGTCCATGGCCAGCTTCAACTGATAAATTCGTTGCAGCGTCGAGGACAATATCGGGTGCCGGATTATGTTCACCGCAGGTCATACCAGACCAAACCTTTTCAATCACTCAGGCGTCTCCAACCAATCCCAGGGTCGGAACCCTCTGGGCAACCATGGCAAAGGCATAACGCGGTACCAAAAGAAGAATTCAACAAATGTCATCATCGCCATTCGCAAAGCCAACCATAGCCGAATAATTGGGTTCCTCCCTTGAGACGCATACAATGAAAAAAGAGCACCGATCATCCTCATGCATCGAAACGTGGTCTAAAAACGTAATTCCCTGTGATATGCATCAATGGGGTTATCCCTCGTCGTGACTAGCCTTAAGGCAAAACTGAGAGCGGGTTCATATAAAGGGCACGCACAACGCCCAATCCCCTCCCTGCCGGGAAAGACTCCAACGCTCGCCAGAACACACATGCCTTCTCATCTGGCCCTCGACGCCTATACACCGTGCCTTGTATCAAAGACCGACGCTATTAGCTTCAGGACCATGTAGCGCCTGCCCGCCATCTGACCCGGCCTTAGCCTGGGCCATTGCTCCCAACCACTTTTACTCAGCTCGGTACTGGGAGTGGACGAGGCAGGACTCTTCCACAGCCGCGGAGAGCCTGAGAAGGGTGTAAGCAAATGCAAACTACCCTTCGCCTCGACGCGAGGCCGGCTCAATCGAGTTTCGCCATCATCTCCTGCTCCGTCAAGGGTGTGAAGTGGTCGATATCAAGGCCTTGAGATGCTAGCACGGGTCGAATGTGTGCTGGAACAAGCTTTTGGTTCAGGCTGGGGGCGATTGAGAGTTCTGGATCATTGTTAGCTATATTACTGATGCAGAGCTCTATCGAATCTCATCATACCATGACGTGTGAAATCGAAAAGCGCAGGGAGTTCACGAAGCTGGCCAGTGCCGTGTCGCGAATCAGGAAGCTTTGTATTGGGGTCCCGAAGCTCGTCAAAGAAAGGGTGAACCATAGCATCGATAGCTGACTGTCGCTCGGTTGGGGTATACTCAAGGAGGCGGGCGATGAGGTCAATAGCATTGGCATCCGCCTTTCGGAAGACCTTGTTAAATGGATGAGGCTTGATCTGGGGGAACTTGTGCTCCATGTAGTTGGGGTTCATGGTTCGAATTTGTTCTCGAGTAGGAGTGCCAAGGACCTTGATAATTTCGACGAGCTGATCAATGCCGGACTCGCCAGGGAAGAGAGGTTGACCAAGCATCAGTTCAGCCATCACACAGCCAGTAGACCACACATCTAAACCAGTCAGCAACGAGGTATGATCAGTATTCATCCAGCAATCTTACCGATCTTTGTGGTATAATTTGTCGCACCAAAGATAAGTTCAGGTGCACGGTAGTACCGGGAACAGATGTACGAAACGTTGGGCTCATTAGGGACCAAAATTTTCGCACTTCCGAAATCGCAAAGCTTAAGGATGCCGCTGTTGGGATCCAGGAGAAGGTTCTGAGGTTTGATGTCTCGGTGGCAGATGCCCTGAGAGTGGATGTATGCCAAGGCTCTGAATAACTGGTAGATGTACAACTTGACCTCCAGGATGGGCATAGTAGTCTTCATCTTGTTGAAAAATCGAGAGGCTCGGTAGACGGTCTCGGGCACGAACTCTTGGACGAGGTTCAAGTAAACCTCATCTTTCTATGAGGGAATTAGCGGATTGGGTGAAGTAACTGGATGAGCAAGATCACATACACGTTCTCCATTGGAATAATAGAAAGCTTTCAGCTGAACAATGTTGGGGTGGCGGACAATGCGCATGATCTGGAGCTCACGGTTCTGTGTTAAAGAGAAAAATTAGTAAATAGCCCGGACAAGCTGGGTTGGTATCTAGTACCTTGAATCGCTTGTCCTGAAGGACTCGCTTGATGGCAGCATCCTCTCCAGATGGGGACAGCTTGGTCTGGAAAACAACACCGAAGGAGCCATTTCCGACAATCTTGCATTGCGTGTATTGCAGATCCCGAGTTTCTCCAGTCACTCCATCTTGGACCTTCTCGCGGATCACCTCTGCAATTGTGTCAGTTAAGCGGTCATCTATCAAACCGGGCACAAAGGTTCAGGCCCAATGGCAGGGTTGGTATACTAACCTCCCATCCGGAGGCTGTTGAAAGCGTTTGGCCGATGAGCCGACATTGTTTGGATGCGTATGTCCTATTCGAAGCAAAAATGCAAGCAAAGTGGGCAAAGTCGCCGGGGCGGTTCAATGCAAGAGGAATGCTTTGTGTAGTGGGAGCCGTGATGGGCAAAAAGAGCGGGCCTATGTTGGTGACCTGATTGAAAGAAGCTGAATCGCAAGCAGAAGCTCGGCCGACGATGATTTCTTAGCAAAGGTCTGTATTTGCGCAAGAGACGAGTACAGGACACTTGAATGACGATGGACGAGTAATGTCTCGGTCGAACAGGGTATCGGCACGGGCGCAGAGGGGCGACTCGTGAGGTTAATTCTGCACGCAAAGTTTAGCAACCGGTGAATTTATGGCTAGTAAAACGTCTACCGGCTGTCGGAATAGACTATAGACCGTATGTGAGCTGGAGACAGTGACTGGGACGATGCGCAAAGAATTGGCAAGGCCAAGGGTATCTGGGGAAACAAAGAGAAAACCGAGGGGGAGAATCGGTGGTGTTTTTGGTGGCACGGGACAGGCTGGAGGGGGGGCGGGGCAGAGGGGAAGGGAGGGGAGGAAAGGGAACGGTGGGCGCGAGAAAGTGGGCAAGAGACGGGGTATAAAAAGCTGTTGGTAACGAGGGAAAAAGGACGCTGGGGACAGGGCCTAAAGATAGATCGAGTACTAATGGAGAGGTAGAGCCTTAGGTGGCGACGCAGGTGAGGGACGGGCAGGCCGTGTTGGGTCAGGTCTCTCTTTTCCAATCCCAAGGACAACTTTTCGCTGACTGAGCGCGTGGGTACAAGTCCAAATTGATAAGTTTTGAAGCAAGGCAGAGTGGGAAGAAGAGCGAAGAGGTTGAGATGAGGAATATGCGGTGCATGCGTGCGGCAGGATGCGCTATGCTACCTACGCATGCATTCAGTGGCATGGATTTGTTTGGGTAGGTTTTGGATTGAATTTTTTTCCCTCTTCTCTGCTGTCACCTGTTTCTGCACTGGCTGCTGAGGCTTATGCCAGGGGTAAATAGTGAAGTAGCTGCTGCAGTCACATTGACCTTGATTGAAAGAAGCCCGCAATTCACGCTGGCAAGTTTGAAAGTCAAGCACTTTGCTTTGGCGACCTTGAAAAAGCGCTGAGCACAAAGTGATGGATAGCCAGGCGTGTACTTGGTGCTAGGGGAGTGCGGGCATGGAGGCTGGCGCAAGGCGGGTCGGGGCGGGGTGCTGGCTAGATGGAACACACTCGTGACAGCCCGTTGACAGAATGCAGCCAGAGGTCAAGGATAATATGACGAAAAGTTGTTGCAAACCCAATGTTGAGGGAGTATAATACAGCAAAAGGAAAGGGAATAGATGCATGAGGAATAGAAGGGCCAGTGATGTAGTTCACGTGAAAGATATGTACTTACTGTAGTCCGTAATGCAGTCGACACGGGCAGTGATGACGATGATGCGCAGTTGGGACTCGTGGAGCTGGTGACCTCTAGATCTGGTTACGGCTGCTAGCACTGAGCGATCGTGAGATGCGTCAGATTTTCGACTAATAAGGAACAAAGTGACAAGGGCCTCTGATGTTTGTTGGAGAAGGGAAAGACGTAATCAGAACGACTTGACACGAGGCAGGGTGGTTGCTTGTGTTCATGTGAGTGCAATCGGGTGCGGTGCAGTACTGTGCTTTTGGCGGCGTATGTGGTGGTGCAGCGGCTAGGTACTGTGGCAGGGCCAGGCAGGCAAGAAGCAAGTCAACTTGAAATGCGGCGAACGATGGTATGAGGCAGCGTAGACACGATGAGGCTCTTGTTTCTGGATTTTCGAGTTTGACGAAGGTTTGCAGAAAGCGTCGAAGAACGGATGAGTGCACTGCAGCAGCAGAAGGCAGCGGCGCGAGCGAAGAGTTAGGTTGAGAAGCGGCTCGAGCGGACAGACGTAACGCGGATGCGGCTTGCGATGTGGCCCAGAACGGAAATTGTCAAGCCAGTATGAAGTCTGAGAGCCCGTGAGGCATGCCAAGGGCGATAGTTGAGAATAATGGAATATGATGGCAGAGGAGGAATGCTTGACGTCCAGTGAAATGAGCTGAGCTGGGCTGGACTGAGCTTCTCTGCGATTGTGCTGAGCTCTGCTGGGCTGAGGAGCTGTTCTGAATGGGGCTTGGGCGTGAGGACCTAGTCTAATGTTGCGGAACCTGACTGGGAGAGCTTGGGTGGATCCGACCTAGGCGAACGACGGGTAGGAACCTGAGATGACACCCAAAAATCAGTATCTCGGATAGTACTCTTCGACTTAGGCACCTGTACCGCTGCAGCTCGAGGTGGTGCTTGAAAGAGTAACTCGCTGGGACTTGCGGGGCGTTTTCTGCTTAATCAATACAGAGTGACGACATGGGCAAGGGTAGAGGCAAAGGTCAACAAGAACCTCTAGAGTTAAAGATTAACGTCTATCGTTAGCCCGAGACGGTTGTTTGTGTTGAGCAAGACGTGTAATGAAGTGGTTTGGGAAAGAGGGGGAATACTGTTGGTGTGTGAGGGGTCAACCAACAAAGCTGGAGCAGAGAGCGACAGCAATATAGGTTCTGCCATTCGTCTCATTGCCAGGCAGACATGGATGTCTCTTGATACACTGCAGTTTCCAGACACGAGAAGCGAAAGATGCAAGCTATTCAGGACATGGGGCCTTGAGTCGTGAGGAATACGGATGTTATGTGGGATTGCATGTAGGTACCTTGGGTTGGGTGCGAAATGGCGGGGAATAGGGAGTATCACCAGTTAGTTGGTAACTGCAGGTTAATTGAGTAGGCCTGGTAAGCTTTCGACATGGGAAGCTATGGTATTGACTTTTGGGGAAAGTAGTCACCAGCGAATGGCTCCAGCAGCACAAAAGATCGGGCAAGTACAGTTGTGCTGAATTAAGACAGCCATCCTGGATTACAAATTTGATATTATTTGGGAATCAATACCACCTGCTAGGCGTTGAGATGGGTTCAATTGGTACGAAAAAAAAAAAAACCATGAATGTCTTGTGAGCAATTTGACGCCCATTCAAGGAAGACCCGCAGTGTTGGGCTTGCTCATGTGCCCATCTTGAGACTGGTCTGGAGGCATAATTGGAAGGAAGGCCAGGTACCCAGGCGCTAAAGTCCGGCAGGCGAGAGTCTCCCTTGTCTTGCATCAATGAACCTGGCTCTAGCTCACTGAGCACCAGACTGCAGAGTTACCTAAGGTAGATGAGGTGCCGCAGGGTAAGGTACCAACGCGGTAGTCTGTACCTGATCAGACGGGGATTCAATGGCGCTGATGTATACTTGGGTACCTAAGGTGCACAAGCAGAACACCTTCATGTTGAGGCCATGATATTCAGTAAATGTATTTATTATTATTATTCACATATATTTGTCACTCCTTTGTACTTTGACAACCAGATGCAGCCAATACTCTGTACATCTGCCATACACCTTGACCTTGGAGTAAGGTATAGGTACAGGTCGTGCTGAACAGAAGGATCGATTTTGTCCCCCGTGCCAAAGCAAGGGATATATGCACTCCTCACGAAGGACAGGACAAGCTGAAATCATTTTGAGAATATCGTGAACCATCATATTCGATTGGTAGTCATCATAAAAGACTCAGTATACCGCAAGAAATTAGAGAAGAAAGACCGCCTCAATCTGAGTTGAAATAAGTCGATTCTTACCCTACCTATTTGCATCATAAGGTAGCGGAAGCGGCCAGGAATTCAACGATAAACGGATACAAGTAACAGAAACAATAGGAACAAAAGCATGTACTGCATGCACACCTAGGTATCTAGGTAGATTCATAGGTCCCCCGGTGGGCTCGGCAATGTAATAAAGCACTGATCATTAACTGGCACCTAGTATCCTGAAGATACATGGGGGGTGCTGTCTTCAACAAACGACGCAGTGATCGATATACTGCAACTTGATAGTATTAGAAATACTCGCGGAATCCTGGGTGAAATTGAGAAGTCAAACTCGGATCGACATACAATAGGCATTCGAATGTTCTTGGAGATGATATACACCCGGTTTCAAGTATAACCGATAGCCCAGCGAGCATTTTTAGTTCACATGATTTCCAAAGTGGTCTGGCCCAACTGAACTTCAATTCGCCAACAACCAGCAGATGTAATGTCACCTCACCTCACCCTACGTACAGCAAGTTGCCTCTTCCATCCCGTCTCATCTGAAACCTCCTTGACTTGAGGTCCTTTATCCATGCACGACGAAGCTAACAAGACAGCCTAGCAAGCGTGTTGAGGTGTCTGCTTGCCGAAGCATGTCTGTTTGTTGAGCCAGCAGCGCAAGTACAACAACATTCCCGTACTTGGCAACAAATATCCAGGGATTATCACGTCGCCAGATCTTTAGATGCCCCAATGTTACCAGTGTTCAATCTATCGATCAAAAAGCAACGTTAGCGACAAGGGTGATGTCGGGCAGAGCAGATAGTTAACAGCCCCTGCAACTCCCCTGGCATTGGCCCGAACCGACTGGGTTTTCCTTCATGGTCGGTTCCCATCTGATGTTGAAAGTCGAGATGACGACGGACGCTTTATTACACTGAGCACATGCACCTGCGGGGCCGTGGCACGGTGAGGCTGGGTGGATCCCTGACGTCTGAAACTTTGGAACCTCAATAGATATCCAATGAAGCAGTGGTTAAAGGTTGTTGTTGTTGTGCCCTAACGGTTCATCCACAGGAGCCACCCGAATCCTGATTGATATTGGATTTTCGAAGGAGCTGAGGCCTGACTTAGATAGTTTGGGGGGCATGCCGTTGGATGAACCTTAAGTGGACGCACAGCATGGATATCCGCTTGCCTTCGGATCTTTTTATCCCAGTGCAACCGCAACAGACATTCCCGTCCCTCATGAGCTATAGAGTCGTCAGCGGCCAGTGGCTGGATAGTAGGATGGCTGGGCGGCGATTGGTGGTGTCGAGGCTTGATTAAATGGTGGTCAATGTGGATACAGGGTTACTAAGTGTCAACGCCAACGGTGATCTGCCTAAGGCCAATCAATGGGCCAGACGCCATGCTGATGACGTCAATCTAGAAAGACTAACCGTACGGATACAGTGCCGAAGTGCTTTATGCCCGTGGGTTCGGTTTAAATACAACAACCAAGCCATTCGGTGTCGAAACGGAAGATAAATCTTGCACAGACGGGCGGATATACCGTTTTGGAATGACAGGCGAGGTCACGCCAAAAGCCGATGCGGCCACGGCACATGGATGGCTAGCACCTCACCACGAGACCGTGATCTTGATGACGCTCGTCAAATAGCCTCCAAAGGACTCGAACACTAACAACGCCCTAGTCTCCCAGAGCCCATCAAAGCCCCTGGGGACGTCTCCACTTAGAGCATGCTGACCACAGAACCGATGGCGGCTCTGGACCACTCAGACGCTCCTGGCAGTCGCGGAACCTGGCGAGGCATGCGAGCACCGTAGGAGGGGAGTTTCCCAGGTGGTGGGCAATCATGCTAGGTGGGTGGACTGCGGAATGCAGACGGTCATGAGACCCCTCGTATACAACGCTAATGGCCATGGTTGAGTTTAGGTTTGTGAAAAGTGCAAGGTGCATCTGATCAACATGAGGGAAAAAGGGGTCCCTGATCATTATGACCAATCATCAAAGTTATCAGAGCAAGGTTGAAGTTCTTACAAGCTGTTTTGACGATCTGGAACCAACCATTGGAGTCTGAAACCAATGAAGCATCGTTTCTTAGTATAGCTGCTTCTCCAAGCCGTCAAATGGAGGTCAATAAACACGCTTGCGGCTCAATTGACATACTGGAACTCGGCAAATATTCTTGAAGGCCTGCCACGATTCACCCTGTCAAAAAAGGTCTCTCCATGTAACATCATAGGGGAATAAAACGTGTCGCCAAATTGGGCTGACCGCGGTGACGCCGGGAAATGAATCAATGACATGAATGAGGGGGGTTCAATCTCCAATGTCTTCATATACGGTTTCAAAATCCAAAGAGAATGACAACGCCACTAAAACATGTAAGCATGACTTTGGAGGCGCCTTTTGGCCCCAAACAATGGGTCTCGAAGTCGTGATATCTCCAATTCTATGTCACCTGACATGTGGACGAGTGGAGCTAAAGATTGGACCATAACCGCCTAGATACGCTAGATAGACAGGTTGTGTAAGGCGACTAGGATAGTTCCGTCAATTTTGAACGTCGTAGATCGAGGCCGATTGGCAATCAACGATGAGACGGCTACGGACCGTGACTACAAAGTACAAAGTTCAAAATTGAAACAAAGCCGTTACTGGTAGATTATCAGCTAAGACTGAAGTCAGTTTTCGGCTTACTATGACTGGCAGTGTCCCAAACTTACATGAAGGTTGAGGGGGAAAAATATAGGTATTCGAGACAACGGCAGCTAGGGGCTGTTTTTGCATATGTTGATATTTCTAACAGCACACAACGCACTCGAATATGGATATCGTCGTTGGATATTGGGGGACCATGCCAGCTGTCAGGATGATATCGAACGGTTGTGTGCACACGGCTTGTATGGGGTGTTGATATATCAGCCCAATTTTCAGCCTCACTGTTGGCGCTCATAATCGGACTCTTGCCTTTTTTCCCCTGGACGTTTTGCTTGACTTGTCAAAGGGACTGGCATTGTCGAGTTTCTAAAACTTCATAACTTAAATCCGAAATCTCCTTTTAGCAGACTCTCGTCAATAATGATCCGGTATTAGCAGCGTGGTTCACGGGCTTGTTAGTGTTAGTCAATCTATTTCAGTATAGTACGTGTTCAGTCATTCGAGCCAGTTGTTATACCAAGTCCCCCAACGCCCCCCTCGCACAACTCAGCAAGGGTTCACCGGCTTTGGCGATCCATGGCACAGACCCAGTAGAGATCAGTGACACCCTACCCTCATGTAAACCTTGCAAGTGAGATGGTAATTGCCTATTTCATTCACCTGAACTGCTGTTCCGCCTTACTGGCAGTCACCGTCTCGTCCGTGTGGTACGTGTTGCAGCGGTGCGTCGAAGCTATAGCACCATTACATGCCCAGTCTACATTGTCATCCAAAACAGCCGCTTGATGTTGGTTGTATCCTCGATGCATTTATGGTTCTCATTGGCCTTCTTGCCAATGTATGGCAGTAGACATGGCAAAAATGGTATGATTCTTTCACACAAAACATCCTCGGCATGGGACAAAACAGGCTATCTAGAAACTGAGGAGTTATCAAAGCCTGAAAACAAACCTCGAGACTATAATTCTATTCCTCAGGGCTGAGGCCATGCAATTTCACGTGGACCTGAGTCTTGGGGTATATGACCAGCATGATGAGGCTTGGCTACATGGCCACCACAATAACAGAGTGAGGACTGTAATTGGACTTTAATCGGAGAATATCACCAAGCTAACTTTCCCCTTGCAGGAAGTGAAACACTTTGGAAGCTTGAACTGATGAGCGGAGAGCTACCCCGTGGTCGAGCCAGTGGGCATATCAACGTACTATTGGATGGCATGCTGTACAGACTCGTTAGGGACTCGGCTAGACTATGACAATATCTGAAGAGGTCAAGACCTCCAGCTTCGTCTCTCCTCCAGACCTCCTGGAGGAATGACTTTTTGCTGCCCCGTTCAAAGCATTGTTGAGTCCTTGCCGTGCTGACATATCCTTCTCCTACGCAAGCCAACGGTTTCTGTCATCAAACCACTGCTTACAGAGCAGCCCTAATACTCAGTCTCAGTTGTATTTCGCCATGAATGAACTCTCTGGTAACCCTATTGGATGTTCATCATCGGTCTCGCTCACATACAGGCATTACTGTTATATCGCCACGACGGCGAGGTGTAGAGTATGACCGGAGTTGGCAGGCGTTATTTTATTTCACTGCGAGAGGCTTCCCTCGTCCGGCAATGCAGGGTTGATATTGTGTGCAGTATGGTCCTAGTATATGTTCGTATGCTGGTAGTGATGCTGCTTGTCATATATGACTGCAACCCGGGGCTTTACCCATGTCCCCCGGTTCCAATGTTTCTCTTGTACGGGGTACCATGATCTGACAAATGTTACGGAGTAATCTCTCTTACATTCCTATGTTTGCCAGGGCTTCTTTCTTCTACATTAGACGAATGATGTGGATATGATGACTCTGGTTGGAGATGAATGTGCATATCCGCTGCTGTAATACATGCTCTATTGACTGATTGTCAATCATGAAGCAATACTTATCACATGGTCGTCCGTAAGCATATGTACCCCCCAAGCAATAAACCTCAGCCAGCCAAAGGGCACACTCATCTCATCAGTCCTACGGTAACAGCTCACAGCCCCCCTAACCCCTGTGCACACGCTTCCCCATCCAGCGACGTGCATCTTCTTGATCCAAACCCTGGCCATTCTCCAGGTACAAGGCATCGGGAGGCCATAGCGTTGTATTTGCGCGACCGTGATCCTTTGAGATTTATCCTTATTTGACTTGAATGTGTATGTAACATAGTATGAGCATGTGCCCTAACCTAGACTGTTCTCTGAGGTGAGTCTTGCCAACGCAACAGGTTTGGATGAAGCATCAAGCTTGGTATATCGAACCACGCCTGCGTTGACGCAGCGTTTCAGGCATGTTCAGCTGACGTACGAAGACTTCTATCCGCGTTTAGCTATTCAAGAGTGTCTGAGGTATTAACACAATGCAGCCGTTGCAAGCAATAGATTCAGACCTTTTTCTTGACTTGGTTCATCTGGCCCCCAAACCCATGGCTGTGCGGGTATAAGCACTGACTTTGGCTGGTACAGACTGGCATCCTGTCGACGTGCTTAGGTAGTGAGGCAAAATTCCAACGAGAACATGTCCGATCTGACAAATAAAGTCTCGAAGCTTGTCATGTCACATTGGTGTAATCAAGGCTACCCTATATGCTAGGATATATATATCCGTCTCTTGTGATGAGCTCGTAACACGTTACTTATAGCTAGCTACATAGTATTCTGCAACAACCCATAACCGCGATGAAGCAAAGAAACCATGGTGCCGATCAATGCTACATATATTTCTTAGCCTCCCTTCGAGCTGAGGAATGAAAGAAATCCGAAATCAGGGCCTCTTTCATCGGCTCGAGCCGGTAAATCGGGATGCATGTTAAAAGAAGCAAGCAAACATGCCTATCATAAACATAACTTGTCAAAAACCATGTGCTTGTTCATGAAACACGTCATGATCAGTTTGTTAACCCCTGAGGCGCCACATTGACGGTAGCGTGGTAATGTTCCTTGCTGAGAAGACAACAGGCAAGGGAGGCAGCAGCCGGTACCTCTTAACCAAACACGTGAATTCATCCAGGCGGCAAGATTTACAATGACTAGTCTTCATCGTTGACTTTGTCAGCAACCATATCCTTGGCAGTGTTGATAACCTTCTCGGGAGGTCGTTCGACATGCTCAGCAGGAGTCCCAATGCCACTCGGGATAGGGGACAGTTGTGCGCTCACAACTCCGCTGCTAGGAACAGGAATTTTGATATCTTGAGGTGAGCCAGGTACGATCTGGGGATCCAGGCCAGGAATATGGATACGCTTGGCCTCATTCTGATATGCTGCAGGGATGATCTCGATGATCTCGTCGCGTGGAAAATTGATGACTGGGATGTCAGTGGTAGAGCAGTGCATTAAATAAGCGTAGAGAACTCGAAGCACAGATTCGTGTGCAATTATGAGAAGGTCGTGTTGTTCTCGCTCGAGTTCGAGAATGATGGGCTCTAGGCGAACAGCCAGATCGTGGTATGACTATTGCTAATTAGCATTGAGAAGATAGCCGACTTCACCAGCCCGTAGTTGAAGCATACCTCTGCACGCGGATACCGGTGGTGGTAAGGGTCTAATTCGTGCTTTTCGACCTCATCGGGATAGATCTGGCGAATCATACGCTCTGACATCTTTTCGCACACGCCTGGGTTGATTTGACTGAGTTGTGTTCGCTGACGGACCTTGTAGCCTTTCTCCTTCAGGACGTCAGAAGTTTGCACCGTACGCATACGAGTCGATGTCCAAACGGTGAGTGGCGGTAGAGGCACATCTGGACCTCCTTCCTCGATGTTTGTGAGGCGCTCCTGCTCTCGATGCTTCAAAAGAGCCTCGGACATTTTTTGGGCATAATCTCTCCCCTCTTGGGACAGAGGGGCATCGGCCTTGTACGAGTCTTCTTCTGCTGTGGTACCAGCCCGGGCGAAGAAGGTTTTCCGTGATTTGATATGCAGGTTGGTGAGGTAGAAGACGATTCGGTGGGCAAGATAATTGAAGCTGACGTTGTTGTAGAAGAACTTTTCCCCGGCGTTGATCATCTTGATGTAATTCAGCTCCTTCTCATTCATGGTTTCAAATACGGGAATCTTCATCTCAATTCTCTGAAGGTATAGCTTAGCGGCTTCATCAGGTTCCATACCAGCGAACTGCGGTCAACATTCAACATTAGTCATAGTTGGTTCAGGGAGATGGTACTCACGTCTGGGGATGAGATCTTGACATTTCTTGCATTCTCACGAAGGATGCGTTCATCATCAACAAATGACTCGATGAAAAGAGTCTGCTGCGTCAGCGATTGCTGAGACCCGACAGGATGGGTGGTGACTTACTTGAACATCGTGCTTCGCAAATTCCTTGGCAAGCGAACGCCGTCCGTTAGCAGTAGGGTTCACTGCATCGTAAATGGCGACTTGTCCATTGTCGTGATTCAGCCAGGAGTATATGTCTTCGCGGCATTTCTTCAGGATTTTCTGGCGCAGAATGACAGATGCAGGCGATGCGTTTGGGAAGAAATAATCATCGGGAATAGATCCATCGGGGCCAACAGTTGCTCGACGGTAGTCACCGAGGTGAAAGATACGAGACTTCACACCAAGCCACCCTAAATACCGTGCCATGGAAACACATATATGTCTGGAATGTTGTTAACTTAGACCAGTCACAGAATCATGAAACCTACGTTTTCCCACGTGCAGGTGGTCCAACCATGACGATTGCAATGCGGCCAGAGTGAAACAATCGGCCAGACATGGTACTGTAGAGCTGAGCTGGGGCCAAGTCTTGACCATGAGGAATGTCATGAATGGCATCGATAAATGTAGAGCTCTTGCGACGGTACCGAGGAGCATTGGCCGCAATCTCAGCGGTTCTGTCAACATCAGCTTCATCGCTATCATGAATAAAGCAAAAGATATCTGTCTATGGCGAAGGTTCGAAGAAAGACGGGGATCGACATAAAGCGACACTCCAAATCACAGGGTTCCGTGATTCTAGGAATGAAGATACCGACTTGAAGTCTAAAGATAAGGAAATTATCTAGACACAGGGCGAGACGAGTGAAGGGAGGAGATGAGAAAGGAAAGCAACATACAGAAGAGTATCCATCTTGTCTCTCGTCGGTGATGCCTATACAGGATGCTTGTATGGTAAGATTTTTGTGAGGAGGCCGTATTCGAGAGACCGGAGACTCTGAGGCTCAGCCAAAACGGACGGCTGGCGGTAACTTGGGAGTATAGAGACAGTTCCGGCTTTCGTTGGGTTCAGATAAACACAGTCCTGTTGGCAGTAAAGCGAGAAAAGGAGGACTGCCGAGCCTTGTGTTTTGGCGAAGCCCTCAACAGCCTCGATCGTTGAGTGTGATGGATCTTCAACAAGGGTGAGCCTCAAGAAACAATTAGTGGCAGAAGCCGGTCGTTGCCGGCGGGGTCAATATTTAAAAGCGAACAGGCCGGTCGTCTGATGCTACTACGATGGAGCCCTGGGTTGATCAAAAGGAAATTTCGCGTTTGAAGTGAACACGAGAGAGATAACCTAAGTGAACATGGGAACGAGGAGCAAAAAGTAGTAATCGGTTGGTGTTGAAGAATAGTTATGCCACAGGAGGGGAGTTGGAGATCAGGTGCAGGTACTCTTCGAAGTATCTGTACCCACGAGGAGGGACGTCATATCCCAGATATGCGTTATAAAGTTAGTGCAGGTGAACCCTAAATCCTTGAGATATAACACCGTCTGGAAGTATACAGTACCTTGCACTACCAGAACACAGCCGCTTCTGGCACAGCCTACCCGATTTACAGTGAACGGCTGGGACGCTTCTGCACTTTCCATTTTCCTCCAGCTGTAGGGTATCCTCGGGACGTTGGTCTGTACTAGCCACAATCCCTCGGGATGGACAGTTGGAGAGCGCCACATCCGACTCGGCATCATAGGTGGCTCGTGCTCCCCACCCAAGAGCTGTCCAAGCCAGATGAAAATTATTCTCCATCTCCATCCAACTGCGCTCGTCATCACGATCCTGGCGTTCAGAGGCCTCGGCATTCAATCGCTTTCGAGGGTATTTTAATAACTCCTTCTATTTCAATAATTTCACCTCACCGAATTTCGCTCCGGCTGGTTGATCGTCCACCGTCGCTGTCCACTATCTCTTTATTCGCACCTCTTCCGACCTCTTCACATCCTCGCTTCGGCGCACCTCAGTCACAATGGCCTCCGCAGCCGCATTGGATCCCGTTAAGACGGCCCTGCTTTCCAATCCCATCGCTAGCGTTTTAGGAGATGCCCTCAACTCGTTTAATGAGCGAAGGGCCAAATTAGGCCTCTCCAACCCAGGGACTATCGAGAGTCTTGCCAAGGAGGTTCAGCGCGATGTCTTCCTCAACAATTACATGTTCACCGGAATGCGTGCCGATCTCACAAAGATCTTTAGCATGGCTCCTCTTTTCCAGGTTTCCCACCAATTCGCCATGGGAGAGCGCATTAACCCCTACACCTTTGCTGCGATGTACGGAACAGGCAAGGTAGCTACCATGAGCCATGATATTTTCGCATAGTAGGTCGCTGATTCATCAACAGGTCTTCTGCCAAGGTAATCTGGATAACGAGGGTTCTCTCTCCGGTCGATTCAACTGGAGATGGTCCGACAAGTTTGTTTCCAAGTCTCAGATCTCCATTTCTCCTGGTGGTCAGGATATGGCGCAGTTCGAGCACGAGTATACTGGCAACGATTTCAGCGCATCCCTTAAGATGCTGAACCCTTCTTACCTTGAGGGTGGTGTGACTGGCATCTATATCGGAAGCTACCTCCAGTCTGTTACTCCTAAACTTGCCCTAGGTCTTGAAACTCTCTGGCAGCGACCTGCCCTCACCCAAGGCCCCGAGTGCGCTGTCTCTTATGCTGCCCGGTACAAGTCCGCAGACTGGATCGCTACCGCTCAGCTCCAAGCTGCTATGGGCACCCTTAACACCTCTTACTGGCGACGACTCTCGGACAAGGTTCAGGCCGGTGTTGATTTGAGCCTCGGTCTCGTTCCCTCTGCCGGTGGCCTCATGGGTGGTGGCCTTCAGAAGGAGGGCGTCACCACTATTGGTGCCAAGTACGATTTCCGCATGTCTACTTTCCGAGCTCAGGTCGACTCCAAGGGCAAGCTTAGCTGCGTTCTGGAAAAGCGTGTTGCACCGCCCGTTATGATGACATTTGCTGCTGATATTGATCACTTCACGGTTTGTGCCCTCGTCCCCATCCATTCGACCATGTACTGACAACCACTACAGCATCAAGCTAAGATTGGTTTGGGTGTCTCAATTGAGGCAGCCCCTGAGGAGCTCCAAGAACAACAGGAGTCTCTTGGCTCCCAGCCCCCCCCTAACATTCCCTTTTAAGCCCTGAGCTTAAACTCCCCTAAAATCCGCGACGACGCGGCACTCCCCGCTCAAATGAGTGATATATCTTAATGATCGCTCAACTGTGAGCAGGCCAGGACGAAGTTTCGACCTCACCCCAAACCCTTCTCACCACACTCGATGTCTTATTAGTCGTCCTTTTCGTCTCTGGTGATACCATGACTTCCGAGCCCGAGGGAGACCTCGTGCTTATGTGGCCTGGCCAGCTTTAGGTCCCGGTCCAACCCCTATGTGCTTGGAAGTTGGGTATCTGTGTATATTATTGTCGTGGACTTGCATCGTCCTGGTCATGTGTATGAATTTCCTGTAACGCACATTACGGAGGGACGAAAAGTCGGTCATCGCACTGTTGTTGTTTTTAAATAGTTTTGAACGAACTCCTCATCTCGGCGCTCATGGCGGCTGCGGTTGTTTTAGTTCGACGTGTTGATGGGTCTGGATGAGCTGGTGAATATCAGGGCAAGCTACGAAGAGATGGCCTCCCTGCTCATGTATATGTGTACAAGGAAATAGACAAACTTGAAGCTACGGCCTTCGCCTTCTCATGGGGTGTATACGAGAAATGGTCATGGATTATTTGACTTCTTTTCAGATGCAGAATGTCTTTCAGCACAATTGGTAGATGTTATCACGGGATATTTGTCACTTGAAAGTACTTTGAGGCTCTAAAATCAAATAATGAAGACTTTTCTCCCCTCTAGCGTGCGGTATCATCTCCGTTTCTTGTCTCATACTTGCGTGTATCATGTTCAAAGTACCCAAGCTTCGAAAGTTAGCCATGCGACAACAAGTTGTCACGCCTGCCCAAAACGCCTCGCTAATTACCACAGTTCTGTTCACTTTTTTTTTCTTTTGAAAGACCAATACAAAAAAAAAACACAAATGAGGTCCTCATAGGATACCAACATCACAAAACCATCTCTGCATAGCCTGCTGTCCAACTTCATACTAACAACACAGTCGCTGCGGTACCTCATCACTATCCATATGTTTAATCCCGTGCCAGTTCCTCCTTGTAAATGAAGACTCCTATAGCTATGCATGTCCAAACATCAGAACTGTCGTAAGTATGTGAAGTATAATCTAGTTGCATTCTCTCTCTCGTAACGTGGTTATCGGGATGATGTAACAGGATGACTGTTACATCACTGTGCATTCTCGTTCAGGTTGGTCGCCGCTCTTATTCTTTACTTTGTCTTTGGACTTGACCCTCTTATGTCCATGTTTATGACCATGGTGACGATGATGATGCTGTTCGGGCTCTGGTTCGGCGAGTTGCTCTGTCCCATCCACGACATCCTTTGATTCCTTCGACTCTTTAGATATCTCTGCCGTCAAGACACCCGTGGAGTTGGCAGAAGACATGCCAATGCCATTGGGTTCATCTTTGGGCTCCGCCAAAGGCTCTTTGCTAGGCCGCATGAGACCGCCCAATCTGCTCATCGAGAAACTAATGCGATTTTCTCCATTCTGGCTACTGGGCCGACTTCTGTTAACCAATGTAAATCTAGATGCTGCGCGTGACAGCCTCGATGCTGTCGATTCTTCGTTAGGCGTGACAGCTGGAGAGTGGGAGTTGGGGGTATGTGTGGTCGAATCGGTCCAAACAGCGCTGGGACGCCGCGAGTCCCCAGCTAGAGATCCTGGGATGCGATCGATATCTTCGCTTCTTCGTGGCCTTTCGCCCTCCATAGAGAGGCGAATACTTGGTGGTTTACTAGACAAAAGTTGTGAGTTTTCTAAGGTCGGTGTGCTATCAAAATAACCTCCCTCCAGACTACCCAATCGGTTGCTTCGTGAAGGAGTAGGAGGCAATTCAATGCTGACTTTCGAATCGTTATAGGAAGGCGGTTCTGTCTCTGTCTCGTCCACAGATGGAGGCGAGACTTCGACCATAGGCATAATCTGATAGAAAAGAAGATAAGGCATTTCCTCCTTCAACGCTGACCTGATATCTTCCACATAACTGACTCGGTTTTCGATCTGGAGGTCATCGAACTTAACCCATTGTGCTTCCTCGTAATCCGGTGGCGGGTCGAAATTATGCCGTCTATTGTCTTTCAATAACTTAGGAGCCACTCGGGCGAACGAAACATAATGGCCACTTTGTAGTGAGTCGCCCCGGTGGCAGATGACGGACTGTAGGACGAGCTTATAGTCCGTGTTAAGAACGTTCATATCTTCCTCGGCCTTGGGTTCATCTGCTAGCATGAAATGGGGTAGTCTCAGACTATCGGGAATGTCGATAAAGGTATTGTGACGTTTCGGCTGGCCGGACTCAGTCATAGCGTAACGCTTGAGACAGATGCCAACAACCGGCCTTTGCTCAAAGTTCAATGCGACCTCCGTATTGTTTCTGGGCTCACTGCTTGAAAGCGCATGCCAAGCTGAACTGAATGTTAATATTCATATTGGTCTTAATGAGGTGGCACAAACTTACGAATCAGACGGAAAAACTGCCAGGCAGGAATAGTAACTGCCTTCACAACTGTCGAACCTTTCCTCATAGCCTTTTGAAGCATTGTGACATTGTCTGGGGTAGAGGGGCGACCGTCTTCGTCCAACACTACGCGCTGGATAACGCTGGTTGACCTCGTTCGCATGCTTGGCTTGTTCTTCACTATCTCCACAGTCGTAACCTCTCCCTCTTCTTCATCATCAGGGGCATTTCCGTCCTTGACATTGGGATCTGTCAACAAAAGAGGAATTCCCTTTTCCGAAGTTGGCGTTATCTCCAACGGTGTATTTACCAAAGGGGATGTTGGTGTTGATGCTTCGCCGCGTTCTTCAGTGATGATGCGAATTGTATCCCTATGCTTGAGTGTTGGTGTCTCGCTTCGACTCTTCTCTTCTACCCCGAGCTTCTTCCCGTCTTCGCTATCTCGTTTAACGTCTACCTGGGCGTTAAAGTATTCTTCGAGGCAGTCTTCTAATTTTAGACCCTTCTCCTCAGGATCTGGAGGTACAGCCAGATTCAGGAGACGCTCGTAAACAACCTTGTGGTCGTCCTTGTCCTTCTTGCCTTGATGGAAGAGATCGACTTGCAGTGAAAGTAGAGGTAGCTGTAAGGTTTCTGTTATGAAAGCAAAAGCCTCCGAGGTGTCTTGCTGCTCAAGCATCCGTGCATCCGACCATCCACAGTCAGCCAGAGCGTCCTGTATTAACTTGGTCTGTTCAAATGTTAGTTTGAGCATCACTGAGATTGCACCTTTGCCACTCACCATATCCGTATGCACTAATTTCCCCGTCCTCAACATGTTAACCCACATCCGCAAAAGATTGACAAGTTTGTTGCGATTGTCTTCTTCTGGGAAATCATTCTTGAGCATACACTCGAAAGCATCGATTTTGGCAAACATTGAGAACAGAAGTGCATCAAGATAGCAAGTCACATTGCCACGGTTTTCGGCGCCCACCATATCCACGCTGGGATCATAGGGGGTAATGATACCCGCTGCAGCCTTTTGCTCCATATCGATGAACTCGACTGTCTTATTGGGGTCGTGGTCTGCAAACTTTGTTGCCATGATGTCGGTAACATGATCGGCGGTGACATTGGTTATGTTGAGCTCGTCTAGTCGGCGTAAAATGTCCTCAATCTAATAGAAGGCAAAGTTAATGACACGATCCTTCATACCGTGAGTCGAATCGTACTTGTGCGGTATCCTTCTCTTTCTCTGCTTCTGCTTTTGCTCCTTGTTTTGCGCTGTCGTTTTTGAACAAGGCCATGAAAGCCCCAGCGGAGAGTGGTCGAGGCTGGATAGCTGCTTGTCAGAATACTTCATCTTGGACTATAACAAGCTCGTTGCTGGATGCAGTTCCATAGATCACTCATCAAGCAAAAATTCCGATTCAGGCAATAACGTACCTTGTTTTTGTTGCTAGTGCTGTCAGGAATCGTTGGGACAACTGGCGCTGGTGTAGCCGACTTAGATCGCCGGCCATTCTTTTCGCGCTTGCTGAGAAACTTTCTAGGAAACTCCTTCATGGTGTTTGAATAGCAAGGAAGAGACGAATGTATCGATCGAAAGTAAGAGAGGGACTCGTCAGGTTCAACGAGGGAGAAGCAAGCCACAAGTCTTCATTATCGGGGACGCATCCGTTGTTTGGGAAGGGTCGGGAAGTGGCTCGAGTGCGATGCGCGCGAGGGGAGAGATGGAATTGTTTGGTTTACGGCTTTCAAATGTTCGACGAGTGAAGGAATCGATGGAGGAAGAAAACACGAAGCAAGTGTCTCAAGCTTTAAGAAGAGAGGGTAATTTTCAGCTAGTAGGAGCAAGAGAAAAAGCGAGGAAGCTGAAAGACATCCTTCAGTTGGAGGGACCTGTGTACTTGAAAAAAAAAGGCCGAGACTGAGTGATCAGCAAGGAAAGTCGGGCGTTGGAGCGCAAGTCTCAATGGCCGAACAGCCCACGGGAGCGCTTGTTGAGGGGCTAGAGGGGGTGACCTGGATGTTATCGTACTAAAATAGAAGGATAGGCACCTAGGTTGATAGTGGCGGGGGTGGGACAGCCTCTGAGGTAAGGTTTAAGGTAACAAGAGTTGCAGGACCCCTGTGCCTTGTCAATCCTGTCACTCCCGTCGGTAAGGTAGGTAGGAGGTTTGCTTTTTCTTCTTTGTCTTCCATTGCCTTTTGTCTATGGAACAAAAAAGTGGGCATAGGAGTTTGCAGCTATTATTCAATTGCCTCGAACAACTATGTACACGTCAACATTACACTTCATTGGCTAGTGTGACCGGTTCAACGGCGCTGATATCCTTTCTTTTATTCCATTCCAGGCCGGTAATCCATGGAGCCGATCCTAGCCAATTCCGCGTAACAACAAGGACAAAAACGGCGGCCTTGCAGGGCGAGCTAAGCCAACGAGGAAGTTGGCAAATAGTTTATGAAAAAGTCAAGTGATTTACGAATTACTGAAGCCTGGCCAACTCAACTCTACTACGTAACATACACACGTGTTATCATGTGTGATGGAACACTCGTCTGTGCATCAGCTCCCCTTCTCCTGATGGACCTTATTTTGGCCACAGCATCATTGTACATGTGTAGTAGGTTCTGTAATCTTATTCTCAAATCACCTAACCCACTCGGTTCTACCTCAGCTAAACTCAGCCAGAACTCTTGTAGCACAACAGTTCCACCAAAACACACTTTGCAATGGGAGATACTCTGTATCATTTGGTGGCTTTGCACTGCCGTCATCACCATGATCATCATCTTACTGCACTTCGTCACACCGTCAGAGCCCTTCTATAATCGCCCGTCTGGCTCTGTGGGCTTTAGGCTGAGATGATGCACTCACATCAGGACCATAGGCACAACAGAACTGGTGACCTGAGAAAAAGCGGACTATGCAGGCTTGTGAGTATGTCAGGCATAGCTAAATAGGTAGACGCATTCGATCGATCGAAATTGGATCTCTAATTCGTACCTGAATACGTAGGCAATTAGGGCTTGTGCCAAATGAACCGAAAGTCCCTCTAGGAAACTGAAGGCTCTTCGGTTTGGTGTTGCATATTATTAGCCACAACAAGACGAGTTCCTGATGGCCTGGTGAGCCTGATCTAGGTATTGCCTGTAAATCTTTGATCGTGACGTATAGGCCTTTAAAGATTATCAGACCGCTCCTCTGGACGTCTACTACAGCAGTTAGATCGACCACCGTGTCGGATGTTAACTACCCCATGTTTGTCCGACAACGTATGGTTGTTGATGTCTTCGGGCCGCCCGTTGAAAACCTGGTCCGTTGGGAAAGCCACCTGTATCTGAACTCGGTCGCCAGATCGGTCTTTGCTCTCAAGAAGCATGGAGATAAACCGGGTCGACGGGCCCACGGACATCCCGCGCCCAGCCTTTCGGGTCCGCTCCATATTTTGAGGCATCTTGGGCTTACATGAAACATTGAAGTATGTCGTCGGACTGTTGCGTAGTCCGAGACCGATAAATGTTGGTGGACAAAGAAAAAAGACTCGGGCAAAGTGATGTCGTCCGTTTTCTCAAGACCAAGACCATTGGTGGCTTCGTAATTATGCTCTCTTGGAATACTTGTACAGTACTAAACCTGGTTTTTAGATCTGGGTAATGGAGGGGCGATCGGAGTGCTTCGGATGTGGTGAGATGCTTAAGACTGAGTAATCAGATAATGAAAGCCAGCTTAAAGAGAGAAAGCTGAATTATCGAGTTTGCATATCCAGAGTAAGATACTTTGCGCGGAACTATTTTTCTTCTTCTTCTTTTTTTTTTTTTTTTTTTTTTCTTTCTTTTTTTTTTTGATAAAAACACTTGTGTGGGAGAATGAGAACTGATAGAGAATATGTTGACATTGAAATCCATAACGTTGTAACTCTGGCCACAGATCTTTGCTTAAGTATTGATATGGCGCTTTCGGTATTAAGAGAAGAGAAATCAAAAGGAACAAGCTTCGATTCAGTAATGAGAGTTATCACAAGTCTCAAACATGAATTTACTTACCTACTTACCTTACCTATTCTTTAAAGGATGGTCCATACGGTGTAAGAGCACAGCCACAATTACAGATAGGAACCGCACGTGGCGCAGTCAAGCGCTAGCCGCTTAGATGGAAATTTCCAAATCCACGCGACAACCACACATCTTTTCGACGACGAGGAATTCCAACCCACGAGCCCATGATGACTACGGTACGAGAAGGAGCTCGCATGGCGAGCTCGTTGGGACGGAGGCACCTGTCTCTGAGGACAGGTTCGGTTTGTGTGCAGCGCTTCGCCTCGACCGAGGCAAAGAAGTCCTCCGCTCTTGCAGATCTTGACAATGCTTCGTCTTTTGCGACAGGTTCTCCCGACGAAGCGGCTATCCAGGCCTTCAATTCTAGAGAAAAAGCTGCAGAGACGGGCAAAAAACTTCCCGGAAATAGGTTCGTAGCCCAATTGCTCCCCTTGACCGAGCTCGAGTTGATTGACTTGCGATAGATACCAATACCATCCTCCCAAGTACTACCGTGGTCCTCTACATCCCGTCCAGGTGCCCAAGTCCTCCGATCCGACTGCTCGAGACTTCGTTCCCGGTCCTTTCAGCTTTCCTCGATTAAAGCACACATACGAAAGCACGATTGCTCCAGATCTGATCGCCATGACATATCAGCATACCCCGCCAGGTTCAGAAGTTCCTGTTTCCAATAAGGGTAACTTGAGAGAATGGGACGAGTCTTCGCCTTACCACAAGAACCGACCTCGCCGAGGACCTCGAGGTGGTGGCTCTTCAAGGCTAGGCTTAGTGGAGCGCCCAATTGAATGGCACAACGTACCTGATATCGAGGCTATCACTATCAACTCATTCGCTCCCATGGGCGCCCAGAACAAGGAGTACCTGCACGTGTGCCGTGCTGTTATCCAAGCCATCTCTGGTGCCTTCCCTGAGGTCACACGAGTCAAGCATGGCGTCGTTCAGTGGGGTGTCCGAAAGGGTGACAAGACTGGCTGCAAAGTGACGCTGAAAGGTGCTCAAGCTTACGACTTCCTTGATAAGCTCATCACTCTGGTTCTGCCTAAAATTAAGGACTGGTCTGGTATTGATGCTACTACTGGCGACAGTGCAGGCAACCTGGCGTTCGGTATGAAGCCCGACTGGATGGCATACTTTCCTGAAATCGAGTTCAACTACGACGTGAGTCTGCTTGTGCACTAATCAAGACATGGCGAGCTAATTGTGAGCAGATGTACCCTGCACGACTGATGCCTGGTTGCGATATATTCATCAAGACGACTGGTACATCAGATAGGCAAGGCCGTCTCCTTCTGGAGGCACTCGGCCTTCCCTTCTATGGCAAGGCTAGGCACTAAATTACGATAGAAGGTGTCGTTGTAAGGCGTTGGAAACATATGTCATCTCTAAGTAGCTGATATGTAGCATAGATTCATGTACCAAGACGAATGTATCATAAATGAATATTTAAAATTCAGGGCGAATTGCCTATACCATTCTATTTTTATTACCCTCCGGTTTCTTCATCTCTCTTGACCCCACGCCCTGTGCTTCAGTTCAACGCCCAACTCCGTCCCAATGCAGCCGTTCGTTATGTTTTGATGTTTGTTCCCACCAAAGTTTCTCAAGCCTTGTCGATCTTCTCGCGTAATCCGTTGACCACCTCGTCGACAGCCTCCATGCTTGTGGCATCGACCTTGTCAGTCTTGTGACCCCTCTTGGTCAACTCATCGGCAAAGAGGTCCATCGCTGGTTGGTAGTTGCGCACCGCTGAGCTCAGCGCATACACAGCCTTGCGACGAACGTCGTTATGCTCATCCTCTTGGGTCGCTAGGTTTACAAGTAGCGGAAGTCCCCCCATAGCGAGCAAACGCTCCTGGGTGCGCTCGTTGTTCTGTACAGCGGTTCCCACACACCAGGCTGCCATCTTGCGCATCTCTCGCTCGTCATGCTTGAGCTGGTCGAGTAGTGGGGTCCACAAGCTGAGATTTGCGATATTGTTTGCATTGTCGAGACCCTCAATAAGCTGCTCAAAGTTGTCAAAGGCAATGAGTTTGTCGTCAAGAGAGACCTGCTCAGCATCGTCCGATGTGATTATGTCCATAGAGGCCTTCATCAGGTCGGCGTCAGAGGGACCGCCCATGAGCGATGCCATGAGTTCTGGGGTGAGCTGTGTGGTGGGAGCTGGAGCATCAGGATCATTTCTGGTGGCATCTGATTGCTCAATACTCCATTTGAGGAGTTCGTTGAGTCGCTTGTCATCCATGTTTCCTTGTTTTTGTAGTGTGTTTCTTGATATGTTGTTTGAGCCGAGTTTGTTGAAGGAGTAAGAACAAAAAACATTAATCTTTTGATATTTGCTTTCAATTTTCAACTTGACCAAGCATATCGATTAGAATTTGCCCATTTCTGGAATCTTCAAGAAGACTCTAGTCCAAAAAAGGTCTAGCTCAAGACATGTACACAGAATATCGATCCTCCGTCAACCGACCAATTGTCCTCTCGTAGTTCGATAATGGTACATTGCAGCCCAATGAGTGCCTTATGATGACTTGTACATGCTTTTGAGTCAAAGAGCATAGTAGCACCAAGCTTCTGCTGGGGATAGACACCGCGATTCAACTGACAGCAGTTCTACGTGGCAGAGAAATATTTCATCATAGCTCCCCTCCAGCTCAGCAAAGCTGCCCCACCTTGCAAGGTTGCCCCTCATCGCTGCTTTTGTGGCCGAGACGGGAGAAAGAGCTTAAAGCGAGAGCGGAAAAACCTAAGGAAGGATTCTGTACAAGATACCAGTACTTCAGTACGCCAAAAAAGCATGATTTACCAGAAGGCATTGTGGCTGGTTGAGACGACGCGCGTGTGTTGCGTTGCATGACACTTGCAGGAGCCTGGCCACAAGGCTACCACGAATACTGAAGTCTAAAGTCCCATGTTCAAACTAATGGAGCCTAGTCAGTGGACGCATTTCGCATCTTCGAGAGGCGCCGGAGATCCCGCTGTTCGTAGGTAAGTAAGCGAAGGCATTCATTCTCACAGCCTGGTTACTGGCCGACTGCTCCAGCTGGTGGGTTTCCCCGGCTGGACTGGGCAGGGGCCAGATACAGGGGTCTAATTCAGAGTTTAGGAGATCTGTTGATTGTGATGCCAATATTTGACAGCCTCGTGGTTCAGGGGTGCTCATATGGCGGTGTTGAAGTTAGGCTGCTAATGACATGAACCACACTCACGACGGTGAACAAGATATGAGCTCTATAGAACAGAAACTCATCTCTAAAGACATAGTACACGTTCAGCACCACAAATTGGTTTGTCAAAGAAGTCTCTACATAGTGAAGGGGACGATACAGCTGCGTAATATCGAGGCGGTTCTCGCTCCCAACCACAAATCCCTACTCACCCAGGGCAGACCAGTCGGAATGAACGGGCGAGTGCTGTCTTTTCAGTAAACGAAACAGGCCCTAACGCGTATTTGGTATGGTTGGTCAGCAAGAAACTTCTTCGATACAAAAAGCTCTCTCCGCGTAACTCTGCCCTGAACGAGTACTTGCTCGATTAGCCACTTGTGCTAATTATGGAGTGGAACTCGGGAGCTGGAAGCTGGGTACCAGTTCCAATCTGCGGAGCATCTGGAGATTTGGCATGGAGATAACAACCCCTTTTCAGTTGCTGAACCCAAGTGCTTGGAGTCTTGGGATGGTTGGTTGTTCTGAATGATGAGACCCTGCAGAGTAGGAAGCAAATAGACATTCCGCTCATGTATGGGCCTCGCCCAGGAGTGAAGATTGGACAGCATCTCTGAGCTATGTGTGGCTGGGACTGACCTGAACAGGAGCTATTTGCGTAGACTTCTTGATGATACAAAGATGCCTAGGCTGGTATGTTGTTTACAAAGTCATTGATGTCTAATAGAATGCCATTCTGAAGAACGAGTCCTCAGCTGAAACGCTAAGATATTTCGCCAAGAGAAATAAAAGGAAGCCTCAGAGGCTGCAGCATTAGAAAGTTCCCTAGCTGACGTCTTCGCCAGCTCGCGTGGCGGTGGATGAAGTTCTGCTTACGACGTCACCTTGTGCAGAAAGGATAAAGTCAGGACGGTGAAGCGGCCCGTTTTACTGTGTCGGGACGTGCTTGCAAATGTCTAGGAGCTTGACAGAGAATCACTACTTGATCCGAAGGGATCACTAGATATTTTGACCTTGAATCACAACCACTTGCTCCGATATCAATTCTCCAAGGAATTGGCGATCACGAACCTTTATTACTGTTGTAGGTAAGCTCCCCACCTCAGCCACCGCTATAACCATTCCACTGCGACCGCTGCTCTGCAACCACTGGGACAAAGTTGCTCTCAGGGCATCCTTCTCTGCACTACGACCACCACGAACCAATCAGTAAAGCGGCGAGCAGCTTGGAAAGACCTGTTTTTCTGATTGCCCCGCCTCTATTTTCCCCCTAGCAGTCAATAGCAAGAGTGCAGCTCTCGCTCCTGCTCTAGATTGTGCATTGTCTGCTCAGTTTCCCTACCCAATTCTGGCAGGCGGTCTCTTGTCCCCCCCCTTGTCCCCAAAGTGTCCACCTCAGCAATTCGGGCCCGCCCACAACTTTCTTGTGACAGCGTCGCCCGGCGATACTTGTCTCCTTTCCCCCTCCCCCATTCTCCCGCCTCCGTCTCTTTCCCTCTCCCATTCCATTCCAAACTACTTCTCTTCAACTCTTCTAACCCCCGACCTCCGTCTCCTTCTCCATCCAACGTCTCTTTTCCCGTAAGCTTGCTCTTCCACCTACTAATTACTACATCTTTCGTCTCTCTTCTTTTATAGCTCTTCGTCTTTTCTTCTTTGATTCTTGGCCGCTAATCCCGTTTCTGGACAGCTTTCCCATACACACACCGTAATCCACAGCCATGGAGGGTACGTCGCATCATACCGCGTCGCTGCATCGTCGGATCTAAACAATCCGTTTTGAGCATCGCGAAGATCATCTCCAGACTCATGCTGACTTGTGTTTCGCTTTATAGAAGAAGTTGCTGCTCTCGTCATCGACAATGGGTAAGCTCCCCCGCCTGTCTCACCGACCTCTGGACTATCTCCCCGCCTCTCTGCTCCTGGACCAGATCTGCCACCCCATCGTCCGATGCCCGACACTGGCCTCGACATTGATGCTTGGGGAGTGTTTGGTCTTTGAATTGGTGCAGAACGATTTCAGCATGTCCATGATAGCTAACTTGATATCAGTTCGGGTATGTGCAAAGCCGGTTTCGCCGGTGATGATGCTCCCCGAGCTGTTTTCCGTGAGTACCCCACTTTCTAGCCTCTGCGCCCAAAGAATTGATATCGCATGTCCTGGGCGCAAGTTAATCAGAAACCCAATGCTAACATTGTAAACAGCTTCCATTGTCGGTCGCCCCCGTCATCATGGGTAAGTTGTAGCTACAGCGGCAATTCTGCCGCCTCCTTGGTGGCTGGCCACTGACAAGTTCTCAGTATCATGATTGGTATGGGTCAGAAGGACTCGTATGTTGGTGATGAGGCTCAGTCCAAGCGTGGTATTCTCACTCTGCGATACCCCATTGAGCACGGTGTTGTCACCAACTGGGACGACATGGAGAAGATTTGGCACCACACCTTCTACAACGAGCTGCGTGTCGCTCCCGAGGAGCACCCCGTCCTGCTCACCGAGGCTCCCATCAACCCCAAGTCCAACCGTGAGAAGATGACCCAGATTGTCTTCGAGACATTCAACGCCCCAGCTTTCTACGTCTCCATCCAGGCCGTTCTGTCTCTGTACGCCTCCGGTCGTACCACTGGTATCGTTCTGGACTCTGGTGATGGTGTCACTCACGTTGTCCCCATTTACGAGGGTTTCGCCCTTCCCCACGCCATTGCCCGTGTCGACATGGCTGGTCGTGATCTTACCGACTACCTCATGAAGATTCTTGCTGAGCGCGGTTACACTTTCTCCACCACCGCCGAGCGAGAAATCGTCCGTGACATCAAGGAGAAGCTCTGCTACGTCGCCCTCGACTTCGAGCAGGAGATCCAGACTGCCGCCCAGAGCTCCAGCCTGGAGAAGTCCTATGAGCTTCCCGATGGTCAGGTCATTACTATTGGTAACGAGCGATTCCGTGCTCCTGAGGCTCTCTTCCAGCCTTCTGTCCTGGGTCTTGAGAGCGGTGGTATCCATGTCACCACCTTCAACTCCATCATGAAGTGTGATGTCGATGTCCGAAAGGATCTCTACGGCAACATTGTCATGGTAAGTTTCATGAGAATGAGCTGTCCGAATTGTTCTAACATTCATTCAGTCTGGTGGTACCACCATGTACCCTGGTCTCTCCGACCGTATGCAGAAGGAGATCACTGCCCTTGCTCCTTCTTCCATGAAGGTCAAGATCATTGCTCCTCCCGAGCGAAAGTACTCCGTCTGGATCGGTGGTTCCATTCTTGCTTCCCTGTCCACTTTCCAGCAAATGTGGATCTCCAAGCAGGAGTACGACGAGAGCGGTCCCTCAATCGTTCACCGCAAGTGCTTCTAAGGTGTGTCAAGCTCCTGGTGACTGGGGAGGCTTCTTGCTAACTTACTAAGCTACCCGACCGACAAACCAAATCCTCCCACTCGCGCAACGACGACAAGATCATGGAGGTGGCGACAGACGCTAAGCTTTGGGTGGTTGGCAAACGTCAAAGTCGACTCTCATATTTACGAAAAGTTTTTGACATGGTCAGAAGGGTGGGCGTTGCGCTTACGAAGAGATGTGATGGCCCCTTTGTTGTAGTTGCGCGTGTAATGCGTGCCTAGGGGTAGAAGCCGAGGTTGACATACAAATACTTTTTTACTTTCCGCTTAGAATTTTTTGAAATGAAACGAGGTGATGACATGATGTTTGCTCCTTTGCGTACATTAAGCATATCCACATACATGATGTCGTAATTAAATCCTCACAAGTGCTTCCATAGAGCATTGATCACGGCGCTTTACTTGTGGTGTCTAGGGGTTGAGAAGTCTGGTAATTGTTTGCGTCGTCTGTGGTTAGGTCACGTCCCTCTGGTGAAGCAGTAGATGTGTCTGACTGCGCTTCAGCTTCAGCAGCCGTAGCGGCCTTCTCTTCCTCAAGTTTCTTGTACTTCCTACGACTCTTTTTCGAAGCACTTGCAGCTCTCTTTTGCTTTACCTGGCCGACAATAGCCGATCGACTCTGATCTCCATTGCGAAGTTCATCGACACGTTGCGCGAGTAATTCACGGGCGTGCTTCCGGTTCTGGTCTCTCGAACGGGTTGCCTGAGACTTGACGACGATGCCAGTGGGTATGTGCTTCAGCTGAACTGCGGAATTGGTTTTATTCTAGTGTAACAACTATGTAAGTTGAAAGGACTTCCAAGGACTGAGCAATAGCGGGGGCGCTAGAAAAGAGATATGCGTACAATCTTTTGTCCACCAGGACCACTACCTTTGACATAGGACTCTTCGATCTCAGACTCAGGTGGGGGCTTCGGCCGAGGAGGGAGAGCTTTCGCTAGGAAGATAGATGTATTGTGAAAGGTCCGTGTTGGAAGTGCTGGGGGAGTGCTGTAGCGGATGGTTCGGAGGAGTTTGAGCGGCGTCATTACGAGGCGATTGAATGCAGACATTCAACAAGAAACATCAGATGCTTTGTGCCAAGGCCGTGAATTAGAGTCGTAATCAGGTTAAGATGAAGATTAAGCACTGTGGACGAGGCTGATTTCGGCTTCCTGTGCCACGAGGAAGCCACAAGGAAGCCACAGTCACAGCCACGAGCCACGAGCCACGAGCCAGTCGCGTGTCAGCAGCCCACAGCGAGATGGTGATCCAGTAAATTAGAGACCCGCACCCCCTGTAGATTTCAATACATCGAAGCCTTAGCACTTCCCTGCGGTGCCTCCGGTACCCAATTTTCGGGAGCGTCGGTACGATAAAGGCACAAGGAGCCCAGATAAAGGAGGGCCGGCCTTTCCCTGATCCTTATCCTTATCCTGATCCTGTATTCTCCATTGCCTCAACCTTTCCCCTGGATCTACCACTTCAAGCCATTCATTTCAGCACGCGGCAATTCTACGACGACGGCTACCGATATCTGCGATTCAACAACAAATTTTTGACCCTTCATTTCGACACAATGGCCGTTCTTGGATCATTTCGCAAGTGGTTGAGCCTCAAGCAATACCAGCTGGAGGTCACTTTCAGTGTGTACATGTTCACGCCCTGGGAGAAGTTCTTTTTCAGTATGTTATCTGTAATCCCATATGTTTTAAGTTATTGTCTTCAGAAGACTAATCCATCGCCCTAGGCTCCATTGTTTTTCTGCTCTTCAGCTTGACCTTCATCGCCGCCTGTCTTTACCTCCCGCATCACATCTCTTTCCTCGTCGGTCGCGCCTGGTACTATATCAACGGAGAGCACATTGACGTTGCCGAGGTGGTGCAGGAAGCTGTTAAAGATATGTCTGCGAGCGCGCTGTCCGGGACAGCTGCAAGTGTCGTAGATGTTACTAAGGAGACTGTCGAGACGGTTGTGAGAGAACTATAAAATCCAGCACAGGATCGCTCACGCAAAAATTCTGGAAATGCATACATGCTGGACATTGGCACCGAAATGGCCTCGTAACGAGGAGGAGGCTCTGCATAAATGAGTCGTAAGAGCCGGTCTTTAACCAAAGGTCCGTGAGAGATGGCTCGGGCTTCATCTGGTATACGATATAATGGACATGGATCTACAATACTTTGGCCAATAGATGGCTGTAATGATAATACACTTTTACCCAATAATCCCGCTGTTCATCCCACTGTTCGGTCTGTGCAAAGATGAGCAAGCCGCTGGTCTCGATGTGAAGGAAATTTCTGGTAACGTCGTAATCATAACTTTTGGTTCTATGGGTCTGCAGACACCTGAAGATACGCCTGGCTGAAGGCATATACTCTGAGTGAACTATCCTCTCCTGCAACTGCCACCTCAAATGGCCTCTCGGCCCCCTCTCGTACAATAGGACGCCATGCAAGCTGGTGAACAGCCTTGGGCAAACAGTAACTAGAGGCAACGTCAGCAGTTGGTTCTTTTATATCGGTGGTTTACGAGCACTTACTCTTCATATGCGGGCTTCTCAGTGACATCAGTTCCATCCTCCTTGATTAGGCAAAGACTGAGTCGGCCAAGTTCTGTGCCAACTGCCAAGACAAATCTACCGTCAATAACCTGAGGGACAAAATCGACGGATGTTACAGGGGATGCAGTCGGGATGGAGGCTGTCTGGGAGAACTGAAGCTTTCCATCTTCATTAGGTTTGGCGGCCCAGACGCGGACTTGCTTGTCACGGCCAGCAGTTGCGAATACTGGCGCCTTAGATGACGCAGGCGCCCACGCTGCGTCAAGGACCATACGTGTGTGACCCTTGGGATTGATCTGCAGGAGCTTGTACGCAGCTTCATCCTCAGGGGCGCGCTCAAAGATAGCCCATTGGCGATCGCGCCCTACACTTAGGAGGAACTGGTCGTCAGAGGAGAATCGAAGGCGGGTGGCTGTTAGAGAGTGTGCGGTCAGAGGCGGCTTGAGCTCAGTCCAACGATTTGTCTCGAATAGGCGAATTACGGCGTGGTTGGTCGAGCTGGCTTTGCATGCGCTGGCGACGAGAGTGCCATCGTGGCTAGCTGCGAGACAAGAAATCTCGTAACCATGTCCATACAGCTTCTCGGTTTCCGGCCACAAAGTATGTCTTGAGAGTGTCTCCTCGAAAGGAGGGTGATCGATCTCCAAATGCGACTTTTTGACTATCGAGGCTGGATCCATGGCCTCACGATCCCGGTCATCAATGGGCTGAATTTCTTGGTCATCTTCCACGGCATCAATTGCCTTGTTAGATAGTCCCAGGACTGGCATATTGGCGGCATCTGGCATGTTCTGAACATCCATGCCACCACCGATGCCTGCAAGACGGTTGAGCATCGAGGCAACAGCTTTGGGTTCGCTAAAGACACGCATGAGTTTCTCATCGGCCCCTGAGACGAATTGAGAAGCTCCCACAGAGTCAATACAGTTGAGATCATAGCCGTGAATCTGAGGCCGGGACATTTCATGCCATGTCTCATTTCCTGGTCTGTCCCAGCGTGTATGCAGTCGTGTGGTTTGGTCAGAGCTTGTTGACAAAAGATACTCACCATTCTTGGCCCACGTTATACCTGTAACAGCTCTGGTATGCCCGGAAATAGCTACACATGGCTGCCAAAAGTCTTCCGCGAGGACATATTCCCATCGTCTCCAGCTACCGGTACGGCCGAGGCAGGCTACTGATTTACCATCAGGAGACCACAAGCCCGTCCAAAATCCGCCTGTGCTTCCAGTTGCTGTTGTTGCACCCTTCTCCCTGCTAATCTCACCAAGTCTCGCCATGCTGACCCAGATTCCAGAGCTAGAGTCAGCTTCCCAGATGGCGAGCGAGTTATCGGCTGATGTCGAGAGCAGCTGTAGCTTGTCATCATCCTGTCGTTGCCAGCGTGCACTGTATATCCAGTCCTCGTGGCCCAAAAGAAGTGCTTCGAAAGTAACGGAGAAGTCCTTGCCGGCGGACTGAAGACGATGTGCCTTGTTGGAGGGTGACTTTCCGGGTAGGTATGCGTCGCTGGAAGGGTCTGAACCACTGGCAGCAGCAGCGGGCAGCTCTCTTCCCTGATGGAATCTCCAGATACGGATGTATTTATCCTGGCTCGCTGAGGCGAGTAACAGATCACTGTCAGGGGCACATGTCTCTTTGGCGAAGCTCAAGCTCCGTATCCAACCCTCATGTCCTGTCAAAGTGGCTTGCACGTCGAACTGAACATTTTCTGACTTAACCTCAGCTGTGAAAATCTGCACGATATCTCTTGTGCCAGCAGATGCTAGCACCAAAACATCGTCTTCATCTCCAGCGTAGCTGAGTGATAGGCACATGGGGAAGTATTTGGGTGTCGTCTTGACGCTTTGGAGTAGAGTGAGCTGATCATTCTCGAGGTTCCATAATTTTATGGAGGCATCTGCACTTCCAGTTGCGATAATCCATTTCTGGGCCCCCTTGATCCTCAAGGCAGCGATACAGTTGATAGCAGCAGTGTGCTCCGTTGAGGTGTGGATGGGCTTGAATTCATCACTGTTGCGAGATGCTTTCCAGATGATCACGGTCTTATCGTCTGAGCCAGAAACAAGAAATGAGTTTTCATCCTGGTCTCCTTCGGGGAGAAACGTCAAGGCCTTGACAGTGCTCTTATGCCCATTGAGCAGCTTTGTGACTCCCTTGGGAGATTCCGACTTCACATATGTTAGTACCAAAACACCTAGATGGTCTGCCAGAAAGAAGCGTAAAGCAGGGTATATTGACATTAAAGCAGCAAGGTGACTCGAATACTAACCAAAGGTCGCCATAACGCAATGTTAATATCGGCTCCAAAAGCCAAAATCCCACATTGGCTCCAGTCCGCAACAGCGGTCTGCCGGTTGGCCCCCGAGGAGAGATATTCGATGGAGACGGGTCTTGAGCCCATTGTTGTCCCTATCGCCTTTCGTCGTCTCTGACGTGAAGTCGTTATTTTTAGAGGTTGTAAAGATGAGTCTGAAAAGTGTGTGCTTCTTGACTTCTGATTGGCTGTAGAGACGTCCTGCTGAGATTTTTGGACCGGCTTGCTTATGTCATCCGATTCACGCTTGCAAGTGCCTTGAAACACCAACACATTAAGAAAAGCAATTAATGTCAACTGCCTACCAAAGGTCACGGGTCTATTGTTACAGAGACACCAGTGAAAACATTCTCATTCGCGATACAATCCTCTTGGTTTACTCATCTTCCTCTCGTTGCCGGACAGAAAACCTGGCGTTTCCATTGTAAAAGGGTAATAGTTAGCCTCTTACACCACATCTCTTTGATGCCTTAGACACAGTTTCGCTACCGCCAACCAATACCTCGGGGTCACCTTTTATCCACTACTGCAAAAGCAAAGTCACGACCAGTTGACAGCAGTAGCATCAGGATCACGCTCCCAGATCGTCACTTCGCTTCAGCTTGCACATCTCTGTCACAATGGCTGAATCGACATCGGCCCCCAAGCTCAACATCGACGTCGAGTTCTCGTAAGTCGCTTCACCAAGATTTTCATCTTGCATGTATTATATGATCTATCAGCTCCCGCTTGCACGGTCTTGACTCAGACTCAGACTCAGACTCGAGTCCACCCCCTTCTGCGCTATCAAATTTTCTCCTGGCGGGAGTGTCCACCTGAACCACGCTTGTGCCTGGATTCTCGCTTCCAACGAGTCTCTTCTCTGCACTCTCTTCGATCTCTTTGCTTTTTCTTGGCCATCCTGTCCACTGAGCTAACATTGTGGCACTGCAGTGGCGGCCTGGAGATGCTCTTCTCCAACAAGAGGCAGCATGCTCTGACCATTCCCGCGGCAGATCAGGACGGGAAACCCGTTGACATCGCGTATTTGATCGACCATCTATGTCAGAATGTCATGGATGATTCTCGCAAAGATCTTTTTGTTCTAGACAACCACCTGTACGTCTTGGCCACCGATTACTCTCTATCTCCGTTTATGTTTTCTTATCGCTATACACACTCCCCTTGACCATGGCCACGGCCGTGTTGGTTCGAAAAACACTCCAATTCTTCTCCTACCTCATTTGATTGTCTTTGTCGCTAATAGGGGTGGCAATCAGTCGACCAGGTATCCTGGTTCTGATCAATGATGCAGACTGGGAGCTCGAAGGTGAGGAGGCCTATGAGATCCAGAGCGGTGACAACATCTTGTTTGTCTCAACGCTACATGGAGGTTAGATTGTTGCACTCTTCGTCCGCTTTGGGCCTCAAAACATCACCGCGGGTCGGTCAGTGCAGTACCGGCACGGCTTTTATTGAAGAACTTCTACATGCATGCACATATACATACAAATCTACGCATTCCTACGTATGCGTACAGAAAACACAACTCCCTTGCATATCGAATTGTTGAGAAATAGGCAAGGACATGGACATGGTATGCATCGAGTGCATGCGCAGCCAAGTCCACAACAGGCCAGTCTCGGGCTGACTTCAGGTTTCGACACGGCGGGACTGATACGCGAATGTTAGTTACTTGCTCCTTTGGGTCTCACTGTCTTGTCTTTGTTGTCTCCCGCCTCGTCTTGTCTGTGTATCTTGCCACTCCGATGAAACGGCCGTCTTATGTGGACAATGAATGGATCATACACGTCGCTTGCGCGTGTATCTGCGCCTGCACTCCCCGTCTCAGCCAGCCCTGCAACGGCCTTTAGAACCAACGTCTCCAGCCTCTGGTCTAGGCGCATCGATCTTAGCCCCAGCAGAAACCCATCTTGCATCTAGAGCACATACACATTACAAGGAACGTGCATTGTGTGCACAAGCAGCATCAACGGCTTTGTGGAGGCGAAAAAGGAAAACCCACTTCGACTTGCATGCCTTACATCTACGGCCCTCGAGATCAGCAAAGCCTCATTTCTTTAAAACTTGGAGGGAAAATGGAATGGCGGACAATGACACGACGGGCTGTGCCATTGCAACGTTATCTACGGCGGTGAAGGGAAGATCCCACCCAAAGTGCTCTGCCACATAGTTGGGATGCAGAGGTACGAAATGAGGCTTCATGTGCGTGTGCATGAGAGTAGATCCATTTTCATGTGCGTTTGCTGGGCTCTTTGGAAGAAGCTGGCCATCCAGGGGAGAGGGAGAGAAGAGAGTAGAGGCGGGGCGGTGAATTTTAGGGGAGGGGGGCTTGTCGATCAAAGCCAGAAAGAGAGGTATGCAGCCCTAATCTACATCAGTCTGCATTTTGTACGCATGCTATGTAGAGCGAGCGTTACTGTAATTGTGAGCTATGGATAAAACAGTTATTGCTCTCTGCGATAGTTCGAAGTCCTTTGGATGTGGGCAGTCAGTCTGAAGAAACCGAGAAACCTCAGTTCATGAGTTGTAACTTGTTTCAATAGCAAACGGCATGTGCATCACCATCACATGAATTCACATGGCATCTTCACCTTTCATATCAACGCCTACAATATCTCTTGCATTCTGCCAATATGCGTGGTCATTCGGTGCCTCACTTAGGTATGTCCTTTTCCTCATGGATGTCTTTTCCCCACAGTGAGCAGGGCCTCTTTTCATATGGACAACCGTCAACTGTAGGCGAGACAACATTAGCCATACTGTACCTGGACTCTCATCACTCATCTCCATCTGAGCCCCTGATAACTCGATCTCGGCACCAGGATCATCATCCTCCATCGAGGCCTTACAGCTCGGCTCAGCTTTGTCAATTTCTCTCTGATGGCTTGGGCAGCATTACAGCCCCCAAGGTTCCTAATTTGGGGCATCCGTGTCTTGGTTTTACTTGTGATCCCCCGCCTTCTTGATCAGCAGTCAGTGACTTAGACTAGAGGGTCCTTTTGAAGAATTCTGCTATCATGTGCCCCTACAAAGCTTGTGTGACAGGTTTCCTTCCTTACTCCTTTAATGGCTGGTACTGAGGTGGTTATGGCTAAAACAGTTCAGTTCGGTTGTTTTGTTCCGGGCTGGAAAGGTCCAGAAAGACGCCGTTATTATTTGAGCCTACGATGCTAGATGCCAGCAATCATCCCCATCTTAGCGATGATGTCTCGCACTGGTTTGTTTGTTTGTTTATCTGTCTGTCTGTCAATCGAAACGTCTTTGGTCATAGTGAAAGGCTCTGGAGTGTTCTTCTAAGAATATGTTTGTTAAATTCATATTATCTACTATCTTGACGCCAATTTCTCGATTTCGCCCCCCTGTGGCTACTTTCGACCTTTTTTTGCTCCCATTTCATTATTTCAGATGCTGCCATCTAATTGTGAGTCCAGTAACTCGATACTCAGTATACGAACGCTCGTAAAATGGTCTAATAACCCATGGTATATCCATTCATACAACTCCAAAAAGCAATTGAAGCCAGTGCGTACACTCGCGTTTGGATAACCATAAAGAAAAGACGAAGAACTGAGGAGACGAAAGAAACAAGAAAAAGACAAGACTTCTCTGGCAGATAAAACCACCTTTTCCTAGACCGCCGTAAATCATGAACCAAGCCACCCGCTCCCTTACATCCCCTTACAAAGACCGCCAATTAATAGAACGATAAGCCAAGCTGTCCTTAAATGAAGGAAACCGGAGAGGCTTCGGCAGGGCTTGATGCAATTGGTATCAAAATAGCAAAAAGAGAAAGGTAAGGGCGAATCCCCTGCATCATTGTGTTCAGACAACCAACCACCCAAAGAAAATCAACCGCTTCGTTGTGGCCTCTAGAAGAGTCCAATTTTTCAACTCCTTTTAAAACACCCGCTTCTGTAAATTCTGCTTTTTTCTTTCTCAAAAATGGAACCGCTGTTGTGCCTCCCGTATGGTAGTACTGTTGTAAATTTGGTGAAATGAAATGCGTGACGCTGCCGAGTCATATCCAAGTTTGTGCGGTAGTTCTGTCTCATGATACGAACGATGAGTTCTCAGTACATGCGCCCATGGTAGCCCATTTCGCGCGTGCTACCGGTCTCATATAACATGCCGTTGTTGTTCGGTGGCTGGATATGGTGATGACCTTGTATGTCATACACCTCATAGCCACCAGTGTGAGTCTGGCGAGACATGTGGTTGATAGGACCGGGCTGGCCTCGAGTCACACTGTAAGAAGCGAGGCTGCCCGATACAGGGAGTCCGTGAGGAGTCACTGGTGTTGGGGCAATTTGAGGAAGAGGATATTGGGGCACAGCTGTCATGGTGTTGGCAGGAGGAGACTGGGATGCCTTGGCCTTGCGGTCAGCAACCGTGCGGGCTTTCCCTCTACCCTTGATCCCTTTGTTGCTGTTCTTGTAGTGCGCGGCGAAGTATTCGAAAAGCTCGCGATCGGCTTCGGAGACTTCCTCGCCCGAGGCAATGATATTGGCGAACTTCATTGTAAGCTTCTTGAGTGTCTTCTTGTGGAAGTTATTTTGGTGCGTCTAACAACTGATTAGAACATCATCTATTTCAGGGGCCATCAACACATACCTTCATGTTTCCAAGTTGTGAGAATGTCTTGTTACAATCATCGAGAATGCAAATGAAGGGCTTGAGGCCTTGGTGAGTCTGTAGGTGGGCGCGAAGGTTGCCACGTTGAGCAAAGTGGCGATCACACTTGTCGCAAGCAAACGGGCGTTCGCCAGTGTGACGACGTCTGTGAGTCTTGAGGTTGCCAAGTTGAGAGAAGGTCAGGTCGCAGCCAGGAAAGTCACAGTTCTAATGGTGTTAGTTAAAAGTCATCGGCCATGGAGGTTCTCACTCACGTATGGCTTGATGCCAGTGTGTGTCCTGCGATGAATGTCGAGATGGGTCTTTTGGGTGAAACTCTTCTGGCAATTGGGGCCATCACAGCGATATCTCTTTCGAGCTGTCTTACTATCCATAGGACCTGGTGTTCCTTGACTTTCAAAGCTTGCTTCGGAGACAGGAGACATTCCAGGAGTGAGTGGCTGCTGTACTGTATCGACTTGCAGGTCTGCCTTGCGTTGGATGGCTTTCATCAGCTCATCCACTTCTGTTTCGAAGTTGATCTGATCACCAGGGTTGAGAGTTTCGTTGGAGGTGATAGTCTTTGAGCCCATAGATGGGTTGGTGCCCGAGGATCTGACAGTCGAGGCTTGCGAATCGCTCCGTGCCGGGGAAGGTGCTTGTTCGGCATATGTGTACTTCATCTCCCGAGAATAAGAGGGCATTCGGCCGTGGTCGTTATCATGTCCCATAGGTCGGCGATCATTGTATTCCATTTTGAAAGGCGTTGAGTGGTGCGGAGGCGTCGGCGGGCCTTGATATCCTCCAAATTGGTAGGGATTGGGAACCTGGTAGTGAGGTGCTGTGAGGCTGTTCACTGGACCTGAACCGTAGGATGGCTGAACCATGTAAGGTGCCATGACAGGTCGTTGGAGAGGACCAGTGTTGGTGGCTCGAGAGTCAAAAGGAAGCATGTGTGGAGATGCCATCATAGTATAGTCGCCCGGAAGTTGTTGCGACCAGCGTCCCCAGTTGGGAGCGTCTGAAGATTGAGCTGTAAGGGCCATTTGCCAGTTCAGATCAGTCCTGCTCTCAAAGCAAGACTGGTAGGTTCTGTTGCTTAGACTGATTCAAACGGAGTAAGTCAAGAAAGACTTGGTATTGCTTGAGATGATCAAGAAGGGCCGGAGCAGAGTGTACGAAGGCGACAAGAGGGACCTGAACTATATAATAGAAGAATAGATATGATGTAGAAAGAAGAGATTGTATAAAGTTTTCGAGTCCTGGGTATGGTTCTTTGGGAGACAGACTTGACTAGATGGCTCAGAAATTCAGAGGAAAGACCCAAGTATATATCCTCTAGCTTCAGAAGATAAGTTGATGTGCGACAAGGGTCAAAATATCTTGGAGCCAATAGAACGGTAAAGGTCGGAGATCCTCTTCAAGGCGGGTCTACCAAGTCTAGTACTCTATGTGACCAGGCCCTGGGATTGTAACAGAAGGTAACCCGGGTCTCGTCATAAGCTGGCCTGCGTCTTAGACTGAGAGCTTCAAACCCCTCCCCACGCGCGGGTACCAGGCATGGGCATGGGCTGGGGGTGGGTGGTCGATCTAGTCAGGGCGCCGCAAAACCAGAGTGAGGATGGGGTTTCTGGGTCGAAAAGATGATCAAACGGAGGGGTGAGGAACAAGAGCTTGCTTTTGGGAGATGGACAAAACTAATCCATGTCTAGCTCCTCTATCTAGACTGGACCCGAAGTAGTTGTCTCTATCATTTTGATATCTGAACCAGCCAGGTTCAAAGCCACAGTTGAGACATTAGTAGTGAACATCAGCAAGGGGAAACAGTCCCCCGGAAGTTTCCATGGGAGAGAGCTGAGTTGATCTCTCTCTTTTCTCAATGCTAAATCGATCTCACTTGGCTCCATCGATTTGGGCGGCCGCCAGGTTGATGAAAGTGAAATAGGGATTGGTCCTGAGGGTTCGATATTCTCCCTTCAGAGTCTTTACTTGAGAACCAGCTCAAGTTATGCTCCATGTCTGAAGCCGCGATTGAGGTTCAACTTAGTCGGCTCCAAACCTGTATAATAAAGTCGTCTTCTTCATCTTGAAGACTTGATGTCAAGTTTAAAGACGTGGGTGTGGCATTGGGATGCGGGATCTTGACAAGGGTCTTTTTGCGCTAAAAAGGACGCCGCTCCTGGGAGAGGGCTTGGAGTTTGGACAAGGGGTGGAGGGGTGTCCACAGGCGTGTGTTGAGGAACAACCATGACTGAATAACTTCAAGGGATATCCCTGAACCCCGGGACATAATCTCGAATTTTTCATCCTCTCCATCAAGGCCTCGCCCAGCCGGACGCCGCCGGTGTAGTGTTTGAGCTTCAGCGCGATACCCGGCTGCTGGAGCCGGTTGCTGGCATCGGCAGACATCAGTTACTGTTGCTGATGGATTCTGGGATCTGTTAAGAGCCGTTGACTGAGCTTGTGAGATGCTTCAGTCCAATAATTCTGGCTATGTTGACTCTGACGTTCAGCAGTTGTGATGATTTGCTCGCTAGTTGAGCTATGGTACAGTCAAATCTGGTCAATCATTGAATACAACGTTCAGGAAACTGTCATGAGTCTCGAGTTGCATCCACTACAGGTTCATATTATAGGATCCGCAAGGCGGCTCCGTGTCTTCGAGCTGTGTTCTTCCTTCAGGTGCACAATGTGACGGCGGCTTCCGCTGCCAACAGGGCCTGCTGATTTGAACTGGCACTGCGGACCCATTAATCCTGTTGCCCATCGTGAAGCGGTAAATTGAGGTTTTACTCGGGACCGTTTTGCAATCTCTCAGCCGTTGGATTCTGTCCTGTATCCCAGAAACTCCAGTCAGGTGAGGTGTGCAATTTTGTGCTATGCGGAGTTGTTCCGGGCGTGGAAAGAGACATCAACAAGTACTGCTGCAGCTGGTTATGGTAAGGCTGGCCAACATCGAGTCCCTTGCGTATACCATACATACCTACGCCACATAACCACCTGTCGATGATGATGAATTGCCATTCAGTCGATTCCATCATCGTCATGAGGCGTCGTCTCCTCTACTCTTTAGATAGTATGAAGGCGGGACGGCATGTGAAGCGCCTCTTCTGAGCACGTACAGTAGTGGCGCTGGGTCAGTCGGCATAGAATGGTTCCTGGAGACAAATGCGAACACAACGGTCAAACGTTCGTAGCAGTTTTGGCTCCGCCAGACTAATGTTAGCACTTCAGAGGCTTGAGGCTAGGGTAGCCGTTGTAAGACAATTGGGTCGAAACAGGACATGATTGTTGACTATTGATATGAGCTTGAGTTGTGGGACCTGGATACATACAACCGCTCCGTTATCAGCGGCAATGTTCTCTCTTTCCTTACCCTAAGTTACAAACAGCGACGCTTTGGTTCATTCCTGCTCTTGTGGTGAAGGCTACGTGGTTGTCGCTTTTTCCACGACACTGCACTACCCTACGGTTTGCCATGGCTATGAGGAGATGGAGGAAGTTGCTAATTAACATGGGTAGAGGAAGCTGACGGTTGTTGTCGTTAACGTCTGTTCTCAATACCCGTTCTCTAACCTAAGCCAGGTCAGGGGCCGGCAATCAAACAGAGGCCCCAAATCCCGGGACAGCCGCTGTTAATTCCTTCATGGGGACTCAGGACCCAGTCCAGTATCATAGATGTATGCGAAAAAAAAAGAAAAGAAAAAAAAAGAAGCCAATACCTGTGTTGCGAGGCGGAATAGATTGTTTTTCGCTAATCCTTCACTCTGGGGCTAATGAGTCCTGTCTTCCGTACCAACCCACAACACGAGGTATGCCTTATTTAAAAGAGCCCTTCAGGAACTGCATGCACGGCAGTTATTCTCCTATTTCATGTCCGGACAATATCCGGCAGCACTGCACTCTTTTCCATAAAATACAGGGAACAGCACAGGCCAGCTGTAATCTGGATGATTAGGTACCTATCTCATTCAACGTCTACGAAATACGAGCGGCACTCAGCACAGGAGATTTCTCACCCAAGGGACAGACAATTGTGTGAATGCTTCTCTCAGGTTTACCAGGGTGCAGATGCTCGCTTGGTTCCCGTGATTTCAGAACCAGTAGCGAATCTGGAGCTGAAAGGCCGTGCGTCCAGGGTTGTCGTGTTGCGTTTGCACGCATTCACTGCGTACAAGCCGGGATAATGCTTCTTTCTTTTGTTCAATCACAACTGCGGAAGGTCGTTTCTCACTCACCATCATGCGAGCCAATCGAAAGAGCACCTCGAAACATTCAACATGTTGCCCGCCAGTTCACTCATTAATGTGCTACGTAATGCCTCAGTCGCGGGGCTTTTCATTATTGAGCACGTGCAGACAGAAAGATTGTACCCTTTCGCATTGACCTTCGCCCTAGACAGTTTTGAAATGCCATCGCGTAACCCAAGCTCGGGTTGGCACCGGCCCGTTGTCCATCTCGTCTTGTTGGTTAGAAAACACAGTATCACCAACAATCACAGACCTAGGACAAACCAAGGACCCCACATGTTATGTTGTACTACAGCTCTACTTGATCACGATAATCTGAGTTTCACAGCAGCGATCTTGTAGGTACTTCAACCTTGATTCTCTCCCCCTGGCCTTCGGTACTGTAGCCCAACGAGATTATCAGAGGCACGAAGCAGCATTTAACACACTGAACTCCGACATGCTGGTAATACCTGGTCAAAGCGTCTCAGCCTTTCAGTATTATCGAAATCATGGGACACAATCATGGCAGTTATGAATGGTCATCCATATTAGCTCATAACGGTGTCCCTTAACGGAACGGTGTTGTTTTCTCGGCCGATGAGAAAACAGGGACATCTAGTCTAAGTGGACACCCTTGTCCTTCTCGCAAGGCCATTGGAAGGGGGGTGTACGGCCTGAATCTATTCCGAGATAAAGCCACCCTTTGAGGTTACGGAACAGAAAATGATATATCATTTCACCACGACTCCTGAATGGACCATTGATGGACTTGGATCTCGCTGCATCAAAATCTCGATTTTCCGGCCTTGGACTCTGGAAGGGCTGAAGAATCTCGCAAAGCAACAGTAGAAGGGGGGAAAGTAGCGTAGAACTGAGCCATCGGGTTATCATGGTCTCCCAATATGGACGCTCAAACCCTAGTGAGCTGCGCTTGAGTGAGGCACGGCACCTCAGGTCGATTGTGGGGGTTGTTACGTTCACCTTGGCCAGTGATCGTTATTTTCGCAACAAGACAAAAGTTGGTAAGCTCCAACATCGTGAGCCATTCAGTTTGCCATGACGGCGGGGCAGCACAACAGGCCATGTGCAATCGCTATTTCCTCGACTTGGTAGCCTTGTTGGAGGCCAATCCAATCAGGTTTGTGGTTTTTGAATAGACAATTGGCAGTGAGCTGTAAGAGACACGATTCACATATTCGATTCCCCTGTACTCAACGCCTGGTGATACACTCCAACCTTAGTTATTTGGCTGCCGGATTTGTCTTGTTTGAGTTACCCTGCCATAAGGGGTATCGAGGGAGAGCTGCAAAAGGCTTGTGGTGAACTGCCTGTAGAACAGTAGAGTCGTGACGATACCCAGGGAGTTACTATTGCCATATCTGGGGAAGCTTGAGAGGAAGAGCCTTTGAAACCAACCAGGGTTCAAGCAAGGGTGTTTTACGAGGGGATGGTCAGGAGTCAGGAACAGTTACAACACAGCAGGGGCAATAACACTGCGCTACGCAGGCGCCGTCCATCTCTGACTACCGCGAGCCCTTCAACAAGTTCTTATAGTTGATTGACGTATCACATCGGTATCGTCAATATTGCCTCAGATGCGCTAGACTTATTGCTGCCCAGGCATAGGTTGCAACGCAATTCGAGACCAATATTCGCTGGCAATTCCCGACACCCGGTCCTTGCACTACCTGCAAATTCTGACCTTCTTATCCTGGCCCTCGAGGTTCTAACATTAGATGTTTGTTCAAAACAAGAGCGCGGCTGTGCGGCGACAAGCCGCACTACCCGGGTTCATGCTTATTGAGGCTTGCCATTGGGCGCACATGATCCTAGCCAATGGCTTCGAGGAGCTCCCAGAGCTTTGGGAACATTGGAGATCCTTTTGCTGATTGGTTGTTCCATGTGGACTGAACACGGCAGATCGTCTTAGACTCAACGTCTGACTATGATGGTTCTCTCTCAACTTTTACGATCAAGACTGAGCCGGGTCGAAAAATAAAGGGCGGTCTTTGAGGTTTCTTTTTCTCGCTAAAGACTGTTCAAGTGCGGAATTGCATTTGAAAGCCCATAAGGCAGACAGCGAGAAAAAGACTGAGGACAAGCTGGTTGCCAGACAGGGGTCATCATTGCCAGGGGTCTCTATGGACTCCAGTTCAGGGCAGTTCTGGGGACCATGGGGCCGGCAATACACGGCGGGGGCCGTCCTCCGCAACAGAGACCGGCCGGCGAACCCACCCCGAACCGACTTTTCTCAATTCTAACTCTACAGACGCCGCGTTATCCCCGTTATCGTCACAGTGGATGTCGAAATCTACAAATCATTCGATCTACAAGTTCTAGACAAGTCATCGGGCTCTCTTAATGGCATACTCTTGTTGGCTTCAATAGAGTAAATCCTTGTCAAGAAAGGCGTGAATTTGACGAAATTTGGCGCAGCCACCATGATTTTAGAAGTGTAGCCATTATTGTAAACATAACTGAGGAGCCTTTACTTCCTAATTCTTATATGGCCAAGCTTCCTGTTTTTTCGTGAAGAAGGTCGGTCTTTGATGAAGCAATGAGGGCTGTCATCCACTTAACTACACGTCTCAAATTAAATCACCATGATGGAAATGACCGGCCATGGAGCATGTGAGCATAAAGATAATCCCAGTCGAGGGATAAGGAAGATACCGACGATAATTCAGCCCTGACAATCCAGGACTGACGAAGCGGGACCATGAATTTCATCTCAGATGACAAGACGGGGCAGTACAGTCCAAAATGCGGGCATCCATCTTGTTCAAGGACAGGCGGCTCAGCGAACAGATTGACGAAGTCCTACTTCGTCCACGATACGCTCCAATCCTCTGCGAAATCATCATCAAAGCAGCCTCGGATTGAGAAGATGGCTGTCTGGCCAATAGAAGCCCTTCACCCGCAACTCAACGCTTCCTGGCGGGATCATGCCCCATGAAGAGACCCTTGCTGCCAAGATCTAGGCACACCCACACCCGCCATGTTTGCATGAAGCTCAATAGCATGCAATAAATACACCTGCAGCTGGCTGCGAGAAACAGGTAAAGCCTGCATGTAATTCTTGCAGCGTTGGACCCTTGCTCTTTCCAACGACCGAGCCTCACGCAGCCCATCAAGTATGCACATTTGGGATGTGCATAATGAACAGGAACGTTTCATCGAGCTTCATCAGTTGTCAGGTTCCAACTTTTCTCAAACGCTCATCTCAGCCCAATTTAGAATCTTCTATCCCCTTTCTTCCTCTTAAAACCCCCAAGCCTTGTTTTCTTTTCAAGTCATGGTGCGGCTACGCATGCAGGAGTGATGCTAATCCGATATTTTCGAAGCCCTGGCCCTGCGGTTGTCGAGATCTGGCACTAACGTTCAGCTATCTGCTCCAATGCAGGAACGTAACACATACAGAGCATGAGTAGATACTATTGCAGAAACTTCACCCAGTGACAAGCCGCTCACGTCAAAATGTTTTGTTCAAGGCTTGAGTCTTTCCACAGGCTGTTCGATACTTTGATTCGAGCGATTGTATCAGGCTTGCCAAGTGTAATTGTGCGTAGGCAGTGATGAGAAAACTGACATGTCAAGGATCGAGAATAGCCTCAGAAGCCACCAGGCTGAAATGTTGATGTTTCTGATTCGACTGCCTGCGCTGGCCATGGTGTGGAAGTAAACCAAAGTCTCGACAAGGGAGCGAACCCACCACATCGGAACGCTTGAGGGTGCAGCCAAACCCATAACTCGTGTGTGTGTCAGGCCAGAAACACGGCCAAGGTTACCAAGGATGACTTCAGTAACTTTTGCGAGCTAACAAAGATAGGAGTGGGTTGATTGGGGATTGCGTTATACCGTAATCCTTGTTCACTGTTTCTGTTTCGTTCCCCCTCTTCTTCCATCGTCTCTTTTGGCGCACAGCTCTTCTAGCTCTGTCAACTAGGGCTAGTGTGGATTGTTCAAAAAATGACAGCGCGAAAACTCCTGTAGCTGACGCTTTCATTTCCGTACTCATCCCAGTTAACAGATCAGGGCAATGCTCTACGACGGAGACTTCAAACAGCGCCGGAGATGTTTGCATGAGGAACCAGCCCGCAGATGCTCCGTGCTTTATTCCCTGACCTTGATGTTTATTTCTGGGTAAGCAGGATACTACATTACGACAAATCCTGCATGAGCATTCGAAAATAAGAAATGAACAACTGATAGCAGAAGCTTGGCCTGAAGTTGATGATGGAGAGGGTAAGCCCGGGAAGTTTTCGGTTTCGGGATCTTCTGGCCCCGATCGTTCGGTACTGGAAGACCGGAAGATCGGAGCACAGGCGGAAGCTTGATACGGCAGATCGGGAGATATTCGAGGCTCACAATTGGTGCATCACCGCTTGCGGTAGCTCCCGGAACAGAGGGAGCCGTAGTTTATTCCTCACAAGGCTTTATGCGCTTGGTACGCAGTGCGCTACGATTGTATTGCTGTTTTGGTCGCTTCAAGACTGTTGTGGTGGTCCTCTCTGTGTGAGAGCAGGGTGCATTATTTGCCCACAGCGTTGTTCTTAGCTCTGTTTGCTCGCGAGCCTTGACAGCGGGACAGCGGCTCGGCCTTTAGTTGCTACCAGCTGTCGGGGACTGCCGCTGGCTGGCCAGTTGTCTCCACGATAGGGGTATGTTTAGTAAGATCTCTCAATCAGAGACCCGAGGAGGTCATTGCGCAACACATCCCACCGTGGTGTCGGGTCCCGCTAACAGGGGTCCCTGGCTGAGAGGCGTCTAGCCATGGCGATCTTCAATATGGCTCTGAGCAACTTCAGACTCAAACCAATGCTTTTGAGTGCGTCACCGGGATCACCAGCCAACGTCAGTCAGGTGCTGAAAATTTGTCACTGACAGGTTTATCGAGCTGCGGAGAAGAGTAAAGTTGCCGTAGGCACTGCCAGCAGAGATCGGGAGTTTGAAGTTAAGGATCTGGCACTAGCGAGTAATAGTTGCTGCCCAGTTCCTGTTACGTTACTGCTCTTCGAGCTAATAGAAAATCGGGTTTTAGTATGATTGATAGACTGAAGCTACGGATTACCGAGAAGGGCAAAATTGGGAAACGGCATGCCAAAGAAGCGCGGGGGAAACGGGAGAGTCACACGGACTCAGCCTAAGGGGAGCTCAATTAATTAGGGCACCTGCTAAGGCTGCAGAGGCTGTCGAACATCCTGGACGTTGCAGCTGTCGGTTTGGCACACCAACGTCAGTGCGTATTGTGAGTTGAGAAACCACAACAATAAGGCGTATCGGCTACACTAGGTACCGAGTATTATTAGAAAATCAGTCAAATCCCCAGTGACGATCCTGAACCACACAGCTCCCCTCATTTTCGTCATCATCTAGCTAACAAATATGCAAATTGCCTTACTCTTTCGCCCTGTTGCGACCCTATAACGAGAGTTACGCAATTATCCTGCAACAGCCCCTGCTTGGTTCAGTCCAAGCAGCTGGGTTCTTGCGACCTGTCATTTCTGGCGAATCTCAGATCCTCGGTCAGCAATTCCAAGATAGGCACTGCGCCAATGTAACCCCGCGGCAATTAGCCAGGTTGGCGATGGAGCGGGCTCCCAGGTGACCGATTTGAGCTTGGGCTGGGATGGTAATCGGGTCGCTCACCCAGCTTCCCAAGGGCCAAGGTCGCAGCGGTACCTTGCAGGAGGTAACAGAAATGCTGGGTATCCCCACCATGACGCTGACCATGAAAACCTGTTGTAGGGTATGAATACCACAGTCTGTATCATCACAATCAGGTAAGGGAGGTGGTTACTCAGGGTTGTGATCTTTGTAACGGCGCAGGATCTGGTTTTGAGAGATTCTGCAAGGGAGATTGACGTGGGAGTTTCAGACCAAGGGAACCGGCTCGATTACCGCTTGGCCCGTAGTCAGTAGTGCACACTAGGCGAGAGTATATTTGATAGTCATAATGAAAGCTCTATAGTTGGCCATGAACCTTATTTGCGACACCTGGGCAAAAAGGTGTTGATCGTTCCCTGCTGGCCCGTCATATACGCCATAGGCATTGCATTGTGATCTCCATGAACCCCTATCATCGCCCTACCGGAGAGCAAGCTCTGACTCCTTATTCCTAGTCTTAAGTCAGGGTTTATACCGCAATCCATGCTGTGGCTGGTATCAGCCTTTGTTGATCTATCACTTGTTATCCACAGATGATTGAGACTGACTACCCGCCTCATTTACCAACAATCCCTTACAGCCCTCGAAAAAGCCTTAGTCTTTTAAAGACACCGCCTGCTCCTGATACGAGCTGTCCTCACCGTAAAGAGACTCTAGCGACCCACAGGACTGGGTCCAGAGATTAGCCTTGATGAGATCCTCGGGCGAAGTAAATCAATACCACGTCGTATCTGCCCAAAGAGACGCGTTGTAACGCTGGTTCCTCGAAGAGTATCAGCTTGCGAGCTGGACACCCGCGCGGTGCAACAGTAGCAGCGATATCTTTAGGGCCCTGCATTATCTGATCCTATCTTCACGTCTGGTAGATCTTTGTTTCCCTCCCCTGCCCTGGAGTTTAGGTTGTCATGTTTGATCGCCAAAATTCGCAAGCATCACCCCTAATCAGCATGACGCCGTCGGTGAAGCCGGCTCGATCTGGCATTTAAGCCTGTTCTTTTGTAAAAAATGAAGCTCGACATCGACCCGTTTTTGGGCGCCCGCGGGAAGAGCCTTGATTAGGGAAACGGGCGGCTAAATCTGGGGCCGTAGTGGCCGTTCCCGCGCGTGCTTTTGCTTTTTAGGCCTGAATCAGAAATGGCCATGGTAGCGAGAACAACTGAATACCTACCGTTGAATGATGGATATGATGCATGAAATGGTTGCTCGTCTACACGGCGACAAGATAGGATGAGCTGAAATTTGTCGGTCAGCGTTTTTAGCATGAATGGATTACTACCAGCTATGCATGTCACAGAATCTGTATTGAAACGGCACAGCGTGGGATGGATTCAACTGGGCTGTGGCGCGCGCGCACGGTTTTGCGCCTCGTTCATACACATGGCCAACAAGTTGCCTGTGCAGTAGAAACAAAGACAAGGACAAGGCCTGCTGCAATGGAGTGACTGAAGTGTCATCTGCAGCTGACAATGACATCCCAGAGAAAATTGGATAGGCTGCCTCTTGGTGTCGCACACCTGTCCCAAGCCCTTGGTTGAAGGAGATCCCCCAAAACACCAACGTCATTTTGGTATAGGTACTCCGGCTGGATAATTTTTCAATAGACCATCCCTTGAATAGGCTTGAACTCTCTCCTGCGGCGCAGTAAAAGTGTAAGCCATCGATTGGATCATAGAGACAGATGATTTGCATCTATTACTCGTGATCCGCGGCCTTGGTTCTTGCAACGGGCCTCTTGTCTCAGGAGAGACTCATTCCTAGTGATTAGCACCTCGAGATATGGTTCTTCACCATTCGCGCAATAAGATCCCTCGAGCATCACTTGCATGAACCTTGAGGGCTAGACTGTTATTCTGGTTCGAATCGCGCGATCAAATTATGTTGCAGATTCAAGACACGGAACTATCGAAGATATGGAATGTATTGGGACAAAAAAGCAAGCAAAATCATCATCGTTCGGCAGATGTATTTCCAGCCAGATGGATTCTCCGAGTCTCAGCGCGCAACAACTTAAGTCAAACCCGCGCCTTCCGGGCCGAGACGGGATTTACGTTTCTTGTGCTCTCTTTTGGGTGGTATTTTGACACACAGACATTGATTGACAACAGGGCATGCATGGGTCTTATACGAATTCTTTGAAGGGCCTATGGGATATCTTCCCCTGTAAAGGGGACCCATTAAGAGGAGTCTGAAAGCGTCTCAGTAATGAGCACTGAGCCTTGAGTTACGGACAACAGTTCGTCCCTTCCGGAAGGGACTGGGTGAGTGTGCACGGCGCACATAGAGAAAGAGTCAGTGATCCACCTGACGTTTTGTCTCTGCTCCGATATGATCTGAGGTGAGGACGAAAAAAAGGTCGGTGCTTTACTGTAAGGCAGTTGCCACAAACCAGACTGTCGGGAGAAGAAGCAAGATCGATCGCATAAGAAGCTCAGACTCCCAAGCTAAGGTAAGACTGCCACAACCAACAGCAGGCACATCGCGGCCCGTCCATTTGGTTGTCACCCACCACAAAGATTAAAATGCGTGAGATATGATGAATGACATCTGCCGGAACTCACACTTCCCCTAATGCGCAAAGTATTACGTCTGCATTATCTCTTCATCTCTTCATCTCATCAGCTGGCCATCGAGCCCCCCTTTAAGCGGAGAATCCGAGTCAGCCGCAGCGCAACAGAGAGGGCGCCACCTACTGTAGGTGAGAGATGATATCTGATTTTGTTAAGGGCACAGTTGCAGATGACGACTCCATCGGGTACCTTGCTAAACCATCTAGGGTATTCCTTAACGAGCTGAGAGGAGTCGGATTCGTGAACGATCCTGGTCATCTCATGCTCTCGTCGTGCCGCAGCCTCAGTTTGAACTGAGCGCGTCTGAATTTGATAGACATTCTTGGAAACTAGGGTAACCACCCAAGGATCGATGCCATGGATCTCTCCAGGCCCCCGTCAATTTTGCTGCAAGATCTCATCTCTTCCCCTGTTGAGCAGCATACAAAGTAACACAACCAAACAATCAGCGCAGCTCGAAGTGCTCCGCAGAGGATCAGTCGACGATCATAGGCCACTGCCCACCACAGAATCGCAAGCAATACCACAAACAATCATGACGAGATGACGAGTCGATATTTCAATATCCAGCCACTGTAACTGAATCGCCAAAAGAAACCCTTAGCCAAACACTTGTGATGGTGGTGAGGTGTAGCCACTACACGTGCTCATCACGCAAGCAATCAATCTATCGATCAATCAATCCATCAATTCAACGGCAGTCAACGCCAGACATGTCTTTCGATTGACGCACAGCATATCCCGTCAAACGAAAGAAGCCCTAACCTTGAATTTTTTATTTTTATTTTTTACCTACACCACCATACAAATGCAAGCTTCTGAGTCGAATCGCGATGCAACGAACTCATACCCCTAGTGCTGGTTAAAGTGCCCGGAAGGATTTCCAGAGACCAATGGCGTCAATGGATTCTCTTCTCGTCTCTTTTCTCTTCAGCTCTCCAATCCTGTTAGAGGAAGCCCAACTCCAACTAGGGGAGGGGACCCGGTTAGTCAACCCAGCCCCTCCTCGCGACTAAAGCCGCTGGTAGATTACTCAACCCTACTTCGACCTGCTGAGGTCGATCATTTATCACATTTCAGCGATGCATTCTTTTGGGTTCTTGGGAGGGGGTGTCAATGCCCGAACAAGATCAACCAGGTCAGGGACTTCAACTGACGCCACAGGTGAGTGAAGAAAGCATCTGGGTTCCAACATACTGAGATCGTGGCTCATGCGCCTCTTTGCCCTTTCCCGATCCCGACGTTTTCCCCAACGCCCCGGTATCGATAACACCAGAGCCAATTGTTCAAGACAACATCGTAAAGTAGTCTCAAGCCTTACTTCGCCATGGTAAACTTCATGATGTTCAGCAGGGCGAATGCTAAAAGCAGGGCGACGAGGCGAAAGTTTAGCCTCACATACAGTGGCGATATTTTTACATGACCCAGTAGTCTGGGATACTGCCAGGAGAAAGATGTTCTGAACACAACATCGAGTATGTACGACAGCGATGTGCAGTATGTCTTGCCCTCTGATGAGTACTCATTTTCCACTTCCACGGATCATGTGCTATCCGGGCGAACCAGAACACAAGGCCGCCATTTGCCAGAGACCTAGATCCCTCCAAGATCCATCCAGGGCGGGTGTCGCTCTGATTTGTGATATACGACGAGAGAAGCCCAGACGAAGGCACCTCGAGTCGTTATTCGCGTATGAATCTCCGAAGGGAGTGCCCGAAATCTATCGGTGCCCTCCTGTTTGAGTCCGACCTTCTACTCCTGTTTACATACTTCTGTTTCGGGGTTCAACTTAATCTGCATCGAAATGATGCAAGATGGGAGGTTCCAATATTGATTTATTGTGGCTCTAACTCCCCGACGCAAGGGGCAGAACGCCTATGGGTCCGAAAATGGCTTTGTACAGGCTGTATAACTTGCTTTCAGAGACAACAAAGAAAGGAAATGTCGTTGTTTCCCCCTTCTCGGGGTAATCACGCATGTACGATCTTTCCTCGTGGTCATCGTTTTGTGCCAAGGTTATGGCGAATTCGCCTGTGATTACTTTTTTTTTTTTCGGTCCCGAGGGTGCGCGGTCGACATTCGTGGCTAAACGCCAAAAAGATAGAGATGTCATGTCTCCTATCGTGACGCTTCATGAGTAAACATTTTCAGCTGACTGTAATTAACATGCATGCAAGATTCGATCTTGGAGGCTCTGGTTGGAGCTTGTGGGAGACGTGGTGCGGAGCCAACCAGGGTCTGAACAGGTGTCGAGGTGACATCGCGTTTACCAAGAAGAGGGTCCTCCCCACGAAACTTGAGTTCCAGCCTTCGCCTCTACAACTTTTGCAGGTGGATAGCCTTCGCAAAGCTCACCAAGACTTGATATGCCTGTGTCATTATTCACATGGTCCCGAGACCCGATCTCCAAGCGCCCTGGTCGCGATCCCCCATCTTGTTGAATCAGAGATCCTAGTCTTGGCACGATACCTTCGACAAACAAACTGTTCTACTTTCTCGGGGGACTGATGGTCGCCAGCTGATGATATTTTGGATCACTTCAAAACACATAAGCAAATAAGGCTCGCGTCAGATCTCGGACAGGCCGGGAAATAACAGGGGACAAGAGCAAGCGTTCTGTCAACCCAAGCATTCGGGATCCGGGGGGTCAAGCGATCAACCGAGAAGGGCCTGTCGACGAGCACTTCGGCTCGTCCCGTACTGAATTCGCAAGTTCTGCCGTTTATGGAACGGTATCACTTCCTGTTCTAGTCCCAGACTCCGATGACAGTTGTGTTTTGGGATTCGACAGTTATTCTCGGACATGGAGGATTCTCGAGATGCAACTTCACCCTCCTCTTCTAATAAACGAGGAGACGATACGACGCAATCCTGAAAATCTTACTATATGGAGTGTCTCGATAATGGAGGACCCCCCGGATTCACTACCTGTCATAATCGGCTATGGCATCACGCGGCCAGTATATGTCTGCTTTTATGCCTTTTGGGGTAAGAATCGCGAAACTACCATGCCAACAGAGGCCTTTCTTGACCGTTTCAGCATATATTGTCGTATTTGCCGAGGGTTATTCGTAACAGAAAACTGGCAGAGTCAAGATAAATCGGCAGTAAACTACATGGTTGTTCGTTCACCTCAAAGGCGGCAGTGAACTGCGATTTGCGCGTTTTTTTATGCACACCGTATCGTCATGTTTTGACCAAAGATACTGTCATGATATGGGGCTGCATCAGTTCCTGAGACTCATGTGCCGTTCGTATGGAAGATCGCAAGAAAGTTCTTGTCATGTAAATTCGACTGTCGCCCGATCACTCACCTGTCATATCAGAGCTACGCCTGTTTAAACGCAGGCGTCTCACGCCCACAAGAGTCACCCCTGCTGCAGAGCATGATAATCACGCTTCTGTGCTTCACAAAAAACATATTGAATGGGCTACTGGAGCGGACACGGCTCATGGGGATGGCCAGGCATCGAAGAAACGATTTGGATAACCTATCATATCACTTTGTCATGTCTGCATCATTAATTTGCGACTGATGACTCGCGGTGGTTGTTAGATGTTCAAGTCGACGTTGTACTCTCAGTTACGGCGATGTATTCTCAGCAGTGAATGGATGGGCGATGTAGGTGATGTATCTCATCTGTGCCCCTGTACGAATCGACTGATTTTGCTGTCTCAGGGGCCAGGGTTGAAAGGATGCGCTTCCCCGTGCGAAAGGTTTTCAACAAAGCATAAGGGGGGGGTTTTGAAATGGAAATTTGTCTTGTCTCTTTGGCCCAAAAATTCTCGTTTCCACGGTTGGCGTGATCTCTTTCCAGCCGATGGCGGCTGCGGAGAAGCTCGGGAAGGCTCAGGCAATCTGTGGTGTGACTGTGACTGGATGTCGGAATTTCGAGGGTTCGATTGACTTTCGGCGAGATCTTGACACTGAATCCAGATACTCAAGTTTCAGGGACCGGAACAGAGTCTGTTTGATTGGATGTGATATCCGGGGTATCTGGAATGAGCTTTCAGTAAGTGTTCGTGAAGTGTGTGGTTTTGGTGACTACAGGTGGATGTATCAATCCATGGGGATGATCGGGACATGACACAGAGGTAGCTAAGCAGAATGGCAGACAGGATTACTTGTATGTAGTGGGCTAATTCGTTCCCTTTTTTCGTGTTTCAAACATCTTTTTACCATGGCTGATAAGTTTTGCATTATCGGCACTCAAAGTTCGTCACTTCGCGGTGTAGGGTATGCTTGACTCAACTGATGCTGGAGGCGGCGTGGTAACACTCGGTCATTATATTGCGACAGTTATGATTGTAGTGCATATGATAGGGTAGGTGCAAGGTTCTTTCGTGGTATTTCTCGTTTTCTGGGTGGCTGACTTACACCGTAGCTGTGATGTTTTGTTGGGATGAATCATGTTCGTATAAGCATTCAGAGCCGTCGCACGAGACACTAAACATCTTCTACTCTTTCAGTTAATTACAAATGCCATTCGGGAATTATTACATACAACATAAATCAATACAACTATACGCAAGAACGAGTTTCAGTGAACAGTAAATTTGATTGAAAGTACTGATATATGTGAGGGGGTGGTGTCCCATGTTTGCCAACAGCACCAACTATTGCCTTTGGTTACGGCTAGAGGTCTATACGAACCCAAAGCAAGAAGAGGATCGAATGATGAAGCATGTTTACCACGCGTTGAAGCTACCGAGTATGACAAACCGATTCTTGCAGGTGTTTCACTGCGTCATATCTCAAGCTCACGAGGTAGAATTGAAAAGAAACAACTACAGCCAACATATGGCAGCAAGATGTCTGAATCACGGCCAGTATCTAATATAAAAGCCATTGCTCCCACAGACAACGGGAACTCAAATTGGCAAGAAAATAAAAACAAAGCTTACAGCTACTGTCCGGAACCAGCTGCAAATCAACATCTTCAAGGTACCGACCTCTTATAATAATGTGTGTCCTGACCTGCACCAAGTACGACTGTGCACAATGCCAACGAGCTATAAGTGGCACTGAGCAACTCAAGGAATGTCCTGAGTCGAGCCAGGGTATCAAATGCGAGACCACTAATGAGTATATCACCGGGTATGTCTCAGCTGATCAGTGCGAAGTGTGTGAGATGCGTAGGATTAAGGCCGAAGTGGCTGCTGCGGCAGAGGAGGAGGAGGAGGCGAAGAAGGCAAATGCGACTTAAGCAGCGATAATAATGTGGATGGGTTAGATCAACGCGGCTCTGCCATATACTATGCAATAGAGTGACGAGTGCCCTAGGCTGTATGTCTCTTGAATTGTGCTCTTCGCTTCCTAGATGCCATCTAAATCTAAACTGTAACCGTGATAACGTGAACCCACAACGCCATGCCAGTCAGATTACACCTCAAGCCCACTGAGGAAGATAGTACTTGACATTTTCATACACCAAGAACGTCACCCACGTCGCGGGCATCACCCTAACAACGCCCGGTACCATACCACGATAGAACCCTCTGAGTCCATCCTCGGTCCATATCCTTACAACAACGCCTCTGATACCCCGACCGAACCGCTCGTCAGCTTGGTAGTTCTGGAGTCTACTCCGGAGTACTTGGTACGGATACGTGACAGCACCAGCGACGAATTTGGACAGACTCGATAACCCAACTGTAGCCTCAGTGGTCATATGCTCCCTTTCGATGCCGTGCCTCTCTCGACGCCGCGCGTGGTACCATTTCTTTGCGGGCTCGTATACTGCAAACTGCACAGCGCCGTGTGATACTCCTATCAGAGAGATGCCCAGGCCACGGTAGAAGCCCCGAATGCCTTCAGTCTGAAGTATGGAGCGGGCGCCGGCCAACATGGAAGGATATGCACCATGAGAGCCTCGGTCAGAGGATACCATGCGTACTTTAAGGACCCATATAGGGTTGGTCAACGTAGTCGTTGCTGCGCCTGCCAAAGCGCTAGCGATGAAGTAATCGCCTCCAGAGGGACGTCCTCCAAGCCGACCCTGCCACGTAGCGAGAGCGCGCTCGAAGCGCGACTTGAAAAAGAAGAAAGAGGCCCAACTAGAGGCATTTCCGACAAGATTAGGCGTTAGACCGCGGTAGAGAGAGGCGACAGGGTGAGGCGTAGATGTCAAGGCACGGAGAATGGATACTGTTGTTGGACGCACAGCATCGGGGGCTGCGCTACGATAGACTAAAGGTAATTGTCAGACACTGAGATTGTGCCGTAGAGGGGTAAAAGTCAATCAGCCATACTCTGCATGCGAGTCTTGACGACGTCGAGAGGATGAACAGTCAATGTCGCGACTGTACCAGCGCTGAGACCGGCGATGGACTCGATGGTCGCGGGAGAGAGTCCCGCATGGTCTGAATCGGGCATATAGGAAGATTAGATAATTCTATAAGCCGAATATCATATTTCGCGAGGGTAAAGACAATAGAAGAGCGCCATGAGGTAGAGTGGTGGTTGAAAAGGTTGAAGGTCACTGAAATAATTATTCGATACAATATTTCTGCGGATCTCAAAGCTACGGAAGCTCGGCCGAGGCTTCGACGTCACCAGAGCAATTCTTGCGTCTTCTGCCGCATCAAACCGGAACTCACACGATCAAATTTCATGGAAAGAGTATTATGTGACAAGGTTTAATTATGAGTGGTATTCCCTTATTCTGGGCGTCATAGCGTTGCAAGATGATACATGGTGATTTTTCACACTCATTCGTACAGTCAACCCCTCCTCCCAAGCATATCTGCGGTCGTCGTCAAATTTTACCACGCCGTGTCCCAACGCCATGAATGCTGGTGGTAGTTGTCCCTTTCTCCCTTGAAAAACATCTCCACAAGATAATGTACACTGTTATGTTTTGTATAGCTGTAGAACTGCTCCCTGCTTAGGAGAGGGGAGAGAGAAGGCTAAATGGAGTCAATTAGCATTGCTTACGTATGCGATTCGTAGGGATCGATGCATACCGGATGACTGAGGGTCGGGGCTCGCTTCGGGTGTAGCCTGGGATATATAATCAGTATTGCCGTTGTAATCGCATGTCGTTATTCGAGCTTGTTCGTACCAAGATAGAGGATCAGAGGAAGATAACCACTGTAACACAAATCAGTTATCGCCCAACAATAAAACCAAACGTCGACGACATACTAGTGGATGGCAACGCGCGAAACGTCAATGAGCTTGGCAATGCGCTCCTGTGCTAATGGTTAGCGAAGCTGTGATAGATAGATACCTCTCCAAGCTATATCATCATACCTTGGACTCCTCGGAAAGGGCAAACATCTTGAAGTAATTCAAAGAAGTGTAGTTGACTGATTTGAGAAAGTTACACAACAAAACAATGCAGCTCAACCGGATGTTTCAAAGCTCGAGACTGATAATCTATAGACCGCAGTCGTTTCTGGCGTTGGCGTTGACGTCTTCCCAAAAATTTCGGAGAGCTGCCGGGAGCTGGAAATTCCACCTCCGAATCGCGGACATGTGGGCGGAAGAACCTCGGTCGACGCCACATTTTCACCTGCACCTTGTGTGGCTTACGCGACAAGGCTACCTCATACATCCCAACCATCAGCCAAAATTTCTAGAAGCTCCATGCCAAGTTGATAACCAGGTGTTCACCTCATCATCGCGGTAGCACAATTTCTGGTCAATTCTTCGCCCTCTTTATTTGTCAAAGTACTCGTACTGTAAGAGACAGAGGTCTCTTCAAAATCTATCATCATGGCGCAAAATAGGCATTGGTATAGCTCTCTCATCTCATCGCAACGCGACAGCAAAGCTAATACTCTTAGGGAACAAGACAAGGAGGCGACGGTCTACATCGGCAACATCGACGAGCGCGCAACATCCGCAATGGTATACGAGATCATGCTTCAGATGGGCCCCATCCACAACATCCACATGCCTCGCGATCGTGTTACCCAGACACATCAGGGCTTCGGCTTCGTCGAGTTTCGCACACCCACAGACGCTGAATACGCCGCCAATGTTATGAACGGCATCAAACTGTATGGAAAGAGCTTGCGCGTTAACAAGGCCAGCGCAGACAAGCAGCGTGCCGCCGAGGTTGGCGCCGAGCTGTTTATCGGAAACCTCGATCCCATGGTTGACGAGAAGATCCTCTACGACACCTTCAGTCGCTTCGGTCCACTGCTCAGTCTGCCAAAGGTCGCAAGGGAGGAGTCTGGCGCGAGCAAGGGCTTTGGTTTTGTCAGCTTTGCCGACTTCGAGAGCAGTGATGCGGCTATCGCGAACTTGCACGGACAGTACATCTTAAGTAAGGAGGTTTCGGTCCAGTATGCTTTCAAGAAGGACGGAAAGGGAGAGAGACATGGTGATGAGGCTGAGCGTGAGCTCGCTGCTCAAGCGAAGAAACGGAACATCGTCCCAGAAGCACAGCCTGTGCCCCAGGCGTTTCTACAACCGCCACCTGTTGCAGCTGCGCCTCCAGCAGGTTTCGATCCTTCAGCTATGGGAAGAATGCCCCCCGTCGGTGCACCTCCACAGGGCGTCCCCGGTGGGTTTGCACCTCCCGGTCGAGGTCCGTCGCCATACAATGCCGGAGTTCCGCCCCCCGGAGCCCCTCCAAGAGGCTCCGTTCCTTTACCACCAGCTCCCTCAGGTTTGCCTGCGCGACCCCCACAATCACAGGCTGGATACACCAACCCAGCCGATTTCCACCCAGGCAGTTTCAGACCACCCTCCGGGTCTCCGGCGCAGGGCTTCCCAGTTGCTCCCCCGCCCGGATTCCCTGCTCCTCAAGGCGCCCCCGGTGCTGCTGGTGCTCCCCCCCCTGGTTTTATGCCCCCTCCAGGCTTCCAACCGCCACCTGGATTCCGTCGGTGATCTACTATCTTCGCAAAAGTCACAATGCATCTCTTGAATGGAGATGCCTTTAATAAGCTCAGGACTCAACAGAGTCCGGGACCTTGATTGACGCCGTTATCACGGCCAAAAGCACGACTTTGGGTCGTATCTAATTACCACTTTCTGCCCACAAACAGCGAAGACCAAAGACATGTATGGTCAGGTATCGTACAGATCTCCATAAACCCCCGAGTCTGATATACAATCATGAAATAATTTCTCTTTTTAAACCATGCGGGAGAACTCCTTGCCATAAACGCCAGTCCTGTGAGCTCTACTTAACCAGGTTATGCTCTCATTCAGAAACTTCCTGCAAATGCCTCTTGGGCTTCCCTTGTCGCCCTCGCCCATTCTTGCGCTGCTTCTTCTTCCTTGCCTTGTACTTCATAAGAGTGAGCAAGCATACCGTCTGCAACGCTCTGCCACAAGACATTGCCACTACGATGAGCCTGCTTGGCTGCTGCTAGGGCGCTTTTCAGGGCTTGATCGCCAACGACGTTCTCGAATAAGCGGCTGCGCATGATAGCGAGTGTGACGGCTGCGCTTAGCACATTCTTAGTGGATTTGGACCCGGCCATGGCAGACTGTATGTGCTGCTTTTGTTGATTGAGCTGCTGAGGTGGGTCGGTGCTAATAGCGGCCATAACGTTATGCCAGGCGGTCCGTAGGTCGACATTGTGGTGGTTTAGGCACAACGGCCTTAGCTCCTCGATCAGATCGAGTGTCGCTCGATCGTTTCGGTATGAAGGATGCTGCATGATCCAAAGCCTGTTCAGACCAGCTAGCATGGCTAACTCGCGATGTGCGGCTTTGACACCAGTTCCACGCTGGTTCAGATCAAAGTCAGGCTTTTGGAAAGTGTTCATAGCAGCATCCAGTTCCCCTGTGCCTTGGTCAAACACTCCCGATAGGTAAATAGCCAGCAAACGCAGGATGCCCTGTGTAGACGGTATCATAATGTCCTGAAGCTTCACGATGTATTGCTTTACCAGGTCCCATTGACAGTGACTAGCTGCGTATAGGCCAAGTAAGATGGTGAGGTAGCAGTGAGCTTCCAGCCGCCACTCATGCTGCGCAATGGCATCTTGTAATGAGATGGACGGCCCATATCTAAATCCGGCTGTCGCTTTGTCCCCTAGTACATGTCAACAAAATGTCTGGACAATGAAGAAATGCTACTTACAAGTTTCCAGGGCTTTCACGCCTTCATTCAAGAAGTCGGCTGTCTGTCGACCATGTGCACTGGACTTGTGCATATTCACGAGACCTGTCAAAGTGAAGCTAGCGACATGTTAGCTAATTTGGTAAAAATGCGTTAGGGGTGGTAGCTCACATAAGGGAATTCAACTCGACTTTGGTCATGAATGACATGACTAGAAAATCCTCTGGAACACCCTCACCGCTTCGAATGATGCCTGCTGTGTCACTACTAACAGTATGGCCAGTAGAAGGTTGCTTCTGGACCGGAATGAGAAAATCGGACTTGACGCTATGCCAGTCGGTGCACGCATCCATGCGATCTTGAAGCATTTTAAGCTTATCAAGCATCAAATCCAAGCCAGAGTGATTGATAGTGCAGACAAGATCCAGAAGTAGCGTCAGTATATCGAGTTGCATGATATGAATTGTTGGTTCACACTGATACTTCGCTACTTGAGCAATACAAGCTTGGACTTTTTCGATGTTGCCATCTTTGGAGGCCTTGAGAAGTGCCAGACCTTCAAGAATGAAAGCAAACACACTCAGGGCATCGTCGCCACGGGAACTAGCTGTAACTTGAATAGAGCGAATGTTCTCCAGTGCACTGGCGTCAGCTGTCTGGCCAAGCTCCATGTAAAATGAAGCCTTCAACAGTCTGAAAGCATAAACCCATTGGATATGTTTGTAGCTGCGAAATAAGTCAATAAATGCCGGACTTCAGACACTACGAAACTTACGTTTCACAGTCAGCGATTTGTCGATCAGCTGCATTCAAAGCAGCCTTGTGATTTCGCTGAAATAGGAGCTTCAACCTGATATAATCCATGCAGTATTTGAGATCGGCCAAGCCATTCTGCCAGAGTCGGTCAGCTGTGCAGGACGAAGGTTAGTCAGTCGTCGCTCACCTTTTCGCAAAGAGAGATGCCTTTTGTGACGGCCGTCTCAGCTTCCATTGGGTTCTCTGTCTCTTCTAATACTACAGTGGCGTATCTCAATCGCATCTTTGCTTCTTGACGCGGAGACAGTCTATTACTTTGCAAACACGCCTCTAGACACGCCAGGCCTGTCGAGATCAGTTTCTGGTACTCGTCTATCCGCGTGGCATTTAGCGACATCGCGACATCGTGTACAGAACCACGGGCCTTATCAAAACACTCTTCGGCCACTGCCACCATAAGATGGACAGTGTCTAGGGGCCTACTTTTTGGTGTGCTTGCGGGTGATTTCTTGGTAATACTCGGAGAGTGAGCGTTAATCGCTGGTGAGTTGACCACGGATGAGAGAGGGCTCGGTTTTGCCCGGGGAGTGGCCATTTGAGGTTGTGTCTGCGCGGGTTGGTGATGAGATGCCTGCACTTTTGGCTGAGGAGGCGGAAGAGGCTGAGTTTGTGGGCTGCTCAGCATAATGTCCATAGGCTTGACAGTGCCAGATTCGTACTGCGCGTCCCAGTTCGTTGTCTTCCCTGTGTGAGATGTAGGACCGCCTTGTGTCTGATCCATGGTTACTGGTGGAAGCAGTGGCAGTTTTTGGATGTCTTGCAGATTCACATAGACCATCTGCTCCGGTTCTTGCCGTGCAACTGTCTCCGATGCGGGCTCATCTACATCTATTATTGTAGGTTTCTGCGCAGGCTGTCGAATTGTCTCTTGCTGCTGTTTGGATGGGTCTTGGCGTGGCTGTTGGTTCTGTTTTATTTGTCGAGCCTGTGGCCGAGCCGGCGAGGCTACCTGCTTTGGTGCAGGTTGCGGTGATGGCTGAGGAGCCGTCACCTGAGGCTGCTGCTGATAGTGCGCGTGCTGCTGCTGGTATTGTTGCTGTGACGTATGCTGCTGCGAATACTGTTGGTGTTGAGACCGTTGTTGCTGCGCCTGGGGGAGTGGATATCCTTGATTTTGGGGTATCGAAGAAGGTCTTTGCTGCGGCGAAGGGACGTGGCCAGACTGCCTTCTCGGTTGAGCGTGTTGTTGAGGCGACGCGACGTGCTGCTGGTATAGATGTTGCTGTTGCTGTTGATGATGATGCGATGGTTGATATTGTTGCTGATACATCATGTTCTGTCCCCCCGTAGATTGCTGCTGCTGCCAAACATTCGCTGGAGGTGTATATTGCGCGGCAGCTGGTTGCATCCGGTGTCCGCCATACGCTTGTCCCGCTGTATCGTATCCCTGAAAACCCGTCTGCATGCCCCCGAACTGCGCCATCTGCTGCTGCTGCTGAAGGTACGGTTGTTGTTGCTGCTGCCGACCTTGCTGTTGAGGCATAGAATAGAACTGCTGCTGTTGAGGGTTCGTATACTGCTGGTAACCGCCGGGCATATACGATGAAGGCGGATTCATGCCGGGCACTGGCAGCGGTTGCTGTGAGCCTTGTTGGCTCTGGCCCTGGCCATGGCCATGAAAAGGCCTGTAGCTCATGACGTCTCCTAATTCACTGTATTCCGCTTTCGGTATCGATTTCAGCATTCGATCTGTCGTTTCGTCGCGGTGCGCAGACCAACGCGATTGCGCTTCATGGTCCGTCTTGGTCCGTCGGTGCGTTTCCCATTCACGGACGGTTTTGTATCGGCTCGCTTGTCAAACACCACAGTCTATAGCGCAATCTATCGAGGCTCGGTCGTCCTGCTCGTTATTAACTTGTTTGCTGCGTCTGCGGATTCGATCGTGTTAGGTTAAAACCATAAAACAACGGAAAGGCACGAGTGCGACAGGATCCTATCGGATCCTATCGTCGTGTCGCAGAGCAATGTGATTGGCCGAGACGGGATGGTAATTGCGGAACTACAAGTCGAACTAACGATTATTCGATGGAACCAACAAAACTTCCTTTGAGAGCTTTATCTTGGTGTGATTATTGTTGTCTTCACTTGCACTTGTTAATAAAAGGTATTAATAAAGAATCATAAGTTAAATTATTCATCATGTGCTGCAATCGTTGCTCGTGACATGCTATTATCTTACACCTTGCGATAAGTTTCCGACATGTCTGCTACTTTTGAACAAACCCCAATGCAATAGATCATCCCTACCAAGACAAAGAAAATCCAAGGCCCATGCGCACTTCTATAATCATACCGCTGTGCGTCAGGGCATGCATGATCCTCCTCCTTGGGTATTAGAAGACGAAACAACCAAATATGAGAGGAAACTCCAACGAAGTCTGCCCATTGCTAATCCTCCTTTCCATATGTAATGATCAACCCATACAAACCCATTCAGCAAAGACGCACCATCGAGCTGTGCGATCTGCGAGTACAAGGCCTCGCCATACACCCTTCTCTGAACACTTAATTATTGTCTCCCAGGTTCCACCATCACTAGCAGTTTCGCTGCCTGAGAGACTTCGGCCTCCAACGTGAATACCCTTACGATCCTCCTTCCTCATAAGACGGAGGATCTTGCCTCCTGGAGTCTGGATCGCCAACTTGGCAGGCTTCTTCCCAGCCACAGTGCCCGTAGCTGAGCTTGGGGTCGAGCCGCTAACACTGGACGCATTCATGCTCAGCGCTGAGCTGGGGCGGGCGAACGGTATGGGGCTGGTGCCGCCTGGATTAGACGACGGTGTAAGTGCCGATCCGCCCAGCGAACTTGGGTGCTGCCTGATGGCAAAGACAAAAGTGTTGTTAAGCGCAAGCCTTTGGCACTGCGGCTGAACCACATAGATGTCATGCCGCTGTGCGTGAGGAGTTGGATGTCTTGTGACAAACTCATAGGGCGGGTTTTCACCTGTGTGGACAATAGGCAATGCAAAGGCAAGGGGGTGTGGAATATCCTTGATGCTGTGCATAAGGCCTCGCTTGCCAGCATAAATCTTCAAGGTACCCTGCCCTTCATCTCCAGGCAGTAGAGCTTTGACAGTGTATCGCTTGATGCCATTGAACCATTCAGCTTGAGCCAGTGCCCTCTTCTTGACGATATCGCCGCTTTCAAACACATCTCCGTCTGAATCTCTCGAATAGCCTCGAACTTCGACCTCGGCGGCGATCTCCACGTCGCATGGAACACTGAATTTGATATGAACCATCTCCAGATCTTCGATTCGAGTCAATGCAGTATTGTAATCCACCATCTCGAAACCATTGCGGAAGAAGGGCGCGCAAGCGCATGGCAGATTGAGCAGTGTTTCGTGTGCGACAGGTGGTACGATGTGCTGCTGACTGTGATGCTCTGGGATATGTGTCCAGCAAATCTCCAGTGGCCTGGTCAAGAACCACCACGGATCGGCTGTGTTATTGGCATTGGAGTATAAACCTCGCCGAGGATACGAGGGGCTGGCAAGACAGCAGTCAATCATGCGCCACTCATTGTCAACGAGAACGGCATTCCACCAATGGTTGGGTCGGGGCATGATGTTGATTTCGGAAACTTCCCCTGGAGACTTGAGGTAGCCTCGAACGATCTCACAGTGGATACCGATAGCAGAACACATCTCCATCACCAGGACAGCATACTCCTCAGCGCACGCCCTTTTGGCCTGGATAACCCGTGTTGTGTCGATTTCACCCTCAAAGTCCTCTTCCCAGCAGATCTTCTCGGAGACCCACGTAAAGATAGCTCGCAGCCGCTGGACATCGCTCCTGTACGGTCGGCATACGTATGTAGTGGCAAGTTGGATGGCCGTTATGGCGGGAGGAAGACCGCTGATGAATCGGGAGTTCTTGTCTACTTGAGACAAGTTAATCCCTTGGTAGTTGGTGGGTTCCTGGACTGGCTCTCCGTCAGCCCCCTCATCTCCTTCGACGCCCTCATAGAGCTCATCAACAGGATTAAGTGCAGGGTGATCCATCATTTGACATCGTTCGCGGCGCTCAGTCAACTCTATTGTACTGAGCGAATTGGAACGATTCACATCACGTCGGACCTGAACCCAATCAACACCGCCACTAAGCCCCATTTCTGTCGCAACGTCTCTGTTGGTAGGCGTGCTACCCATACCTGGCATAGGCGAAGCTCCAGCTGGCATTGAACGAGCAAAGGGTGATTTTGGCGAGTCCATGCCGAGACCACCAGCAACCAGACCGCCCCGGCTGCTCGCGACACCTGTTTTGGCGGTGTCAAATATCTTACGGAAGATGTTCCTCTTGGGTGGTTTCGGTTGCACCAAGCCTCCCAATTCCAAAGAAGGGTCATCGTGGAAGCCGACTTGGGTCTGGGGACGCTGTTGCGCTGGAGAGTCACTTGCATGGCTGCTGTGATAGGTGACTCCTGTGAAAGGAGAGTCCGGTCTATCAATCTCCAAGTCTCGTGCTCCCAGGGCACTTTGTGCACGTTGACGCTTGCCTGAGCGTGCGAGGCTTCCCGCACTAGTAGTACTGAAAGCGCCAGCTGATGTCCCGCTCCATAAGGTCCTTGAAGTGCTCTGTGTTGATGAGCTGGTGTTGCTCTGATTGCCCGATGACGAATTGGTCGAGTTGGTTTTTGTTGTTAATGTGCGGGCAACTCCTCTTCCGATCTCATATGCCGACTTGCGAGCTCGTAGCTTTCGTTCAGGCTCAATGGACCGGCCCATAGACGATTTCGGCCGCTCGTACGGCACATTCTTAGGGGGCGGGGGAGGTGGCTGATCGTCATCAGGCTCGCTAGTCCTTGAGTTCTGACGATGCATTTGCTGAAACCGCTTTTCCATGCGATCAACATAACTGCTGAGCTTGTCTTCTCTTCCTCCACTCTGATAAGACACCTCTTGAGACGATTCGCCGCTATATGTTTCATACCCCTCATCTTGCGCGATTCCCATCGAGGTTTTAGGCCTGCTTCGCTCCTGGTCCCTTCTATTTGAACGATGAGACAGCATATCAAAGGATTCTGGAGACCAAGGATCGGCAGGTGGCTCAGGTGAAGGAGCTTGGCCAGGCCTTCCAAGACCACCACCTAGAACGTCCAATTGCTCCATGACCCCATCCATGGCCTCTCTCAATGGAGAAGGCGTCATACCTCCGGCAGGTGATGGCGGAACGGGGGAGTTCCTGCCAGGGGTATATGGCATATATGACCTATCATCGAAAGACCCTCTAGATCCATGCCTAATTGTTGGTTGTGGCGGCTGTGGCGGTCGGTAGGAATTATTTGAATTTTGCCTCGAGGGCGAGAAGGGGTGGAAAGAGGCATTGGATCCATGACGCGAGATATCAATAGATCTCCTATGCAGATCGTTGGATCCTCCTCTCGTCATCTGCCGGTGAGGAGGTGGTGGGGGGGGAGGCGGTGAGTTACCTCTGTCCTGTCCTCCTCGATAAGGGACTATTTGACGATGGAAAGATGGCGCGGGAGATGGACCTCTTGAAGCATAGCCATAGCTTTGGTGCATCGGAGGAGCAGGAGAAGGCCCCCTTGCATCGTAACCATGAGGAGGAGCTGGCGATGGAGCTCTTGAATGGTGGTAACTGTGCATTGGCGCAGGTGAAGGAGCCCTCGAGTGGTAACTGTGCATAGGAGCTGGAGATGGAGCCCGTGAGCCATAGTGGTGAGAAGGCGCCGGTGAGGGTGCTGGCGAAGGAGCCCGGTGATCGTGCGCTTGAGGTGGTGCAGGTGAAGGTCCTCTGTGGTTATATGACTGAGGAGGTGCAGGTGATGGGCCTCGTTCCGTTTCATGAGTACTAGGTGCGAATGAAGCGCCAGAATTTTGTCGTTCCTTAGGTTTCGGGGTCTCTTTGAAGATCTCGGGTTGTTTCGCACTGGTGTAGTGAGGAGCCTTGGCGTATGCTTCGAATGGCTTTCGAAACGTTCTGGATTTTGTCGGTGCAGTACTTGGTGGTGCGTTTGGTACAGGAGCTGGAACAGATTTGGTGGTTGGGCGGAATTGAGAAGGGAGAAGCTCAACAAAGTTGGAAGGGAATGATCCCACGGTCCTTCGATCTCGGTATAGTCTGCCTACCCACCACGAACCATCACCAGCATTCAAACATTCTATCAGATCTCCCTCGATGAATCCCAGATCTCGTTTCGACTGTTCTCAAGTTAGCGTAATTTGAGGCTTAAGAGGTCTGGTAACAAACCTCTCCTCCCCATGAGTATACAGCTCTACACCAACATGGGAACCTCGTCGGCAGAGGTGGTGCAGCGGGTGCCATATTGTTGACGAATGATTTCAAGCAGAGACTAAACAAGGCCCAAAGTAGGTGGTTTGGAATCGAACAATTCGAGACGGGGCGAAGTGAGGATTTATCGGACTGTAGATACAGGCATATCAAACACGATCTTATCGGACAGGGCTTAACGACCAAAAACACGATATGCGAGGGCCCAAAACGAAGAAGTCTCAGGATGGCGGATATGGTTGTGCAGAGGTAATGAATGAGAAATAAAAAATAAATTACCACAGATCGTGGAATGTACAATAAGGCAAGACAGAGGCCTCGAGGGTAAGGCTCTTGTGAAATGAAGAGCGCAAGAAGCGTGTTGAAAAGAAACGACGGTTTGAAGCTACGCCTGTCAAAAAAGCGGTAGGACAGCCACGGTGCTCGAGCGTCTGGCGTCACAGCTGGAGAGGTCGAGGTTGCTAGGGCAACCCGAGATCGGCGGGGGTTGGCGGTTCAGTTGTCCCACGGAAGCTTTGGCCATTTGAATGCAAGGGGAGCCTTGGACTCAACTGAGACAACAGAAACAATGTTGGATTGAGGAAATCGACGTGCCTAGGCGAGTCACAAAGAAGTTCGCATAACAGAAGGGCAAATCATCAGACAGTCAGAAAATTTTCCTTCGGAATAATCACTTCTTTCTTGAGAAAGGCTGGATCTTGGCTTTTGTGGTCTTCTTCTTAAAGTTCTTAACATGTTCACTACTAAGGTAAGGCTGATCTGTGATACCCACCTGGGTACTCACAGAGCTCGTGCATGTTTCTTCTTGATCGTATTTTCATCTGAACATTATCGTCAGTCGGAAAAACAGGCAATGTGCAGCTGTCGTGTCACTCTTCTGTCAATGGTTCAAGTGCCCTACATGAGAGTGGCCTCATTTTTCGCATAGGTAGGCAGTATTTAGATCCAAGTACCAAGCCAAACATTGGATGGTGGTCCATTTCTACCCTGTGGTCTAGATGCTAAAGTCAACGTTGCTGGGGATCACACACGTGCATTGGCCATCCTCCAAACTTGGAGCTGGGTGTGAGGCTGTGGGTGCATTGCCCCATCTCGCTTTAACTGGGGCCCTGTTCTGGTTGCAGTGTTGCATATCATGAAGATCCTGGGAGCCTATAACAAACAAGACTATGATGAGAGACGGGGATATAGCATGAAGATAAGGAATCCCCCATCAAGTCAACACACTTTTTCGCTTATGCGATGACAATTTGCATTTGACATCTAGATATGCCCATCTGACAGAATCCCATCACCCCAGACACGGAGTTCTCCATACACATAGAGCAATCAATGGATTTCAAAAGTATTCATGAATGGATGCGACAGTTCTTCTAATTGATAATGGATTTTACTCTCGTGACCATGTCTCTCTACCCCATACTTCTTCTGAGACCACTTTCCTCATCCAGAATTCATTGACATCAGCAGTCTCAGTCGTTAAGAGCAACATGCACTAGAATGCCTACCACTCTCTTGTCCTAAGTAAGTTCCAGAGTCTCTTGTGCCTGGAGACGGATGAGCCGTTGTGTTGCAACCTCCACAACCCGTACCTTACCTTAGTGCGTTGGAGAGTGTGCAAGAAAACAACAGACATGATAGAAGCGGACATAAACAAACGAACATCCGCCATGCCTGGTATGGTGGTCAACAGCCCGATGAATTTCAGTCATGTAACCTTTTTCTGTCCCAACTAAGAACCCAGCCATAGAAACAAGCAATCTGGGCACTAAGCAATGTGCCAGGGGTGCCCAACAGGGCATGACAGGCTAAAAGCGACCGGGGGATAGGATAGCTCCCCACCGAGTGTGGCACGGCCTGCAACGCACCTCAGTGAGAAGTCATGAGAGACAAACCAGCTGGTATGTGACTCTTTGGCAGAGACTCCACGAACCTGCATTTTCTATATAAGCGCGGAAGGAATATCTTGAACCAGAGAACCACTGATTCTAGTCTTTTCAATGTTTGATTTCAGAATCTTTTAACAATTTTTAATCCTCGATCTATTGCTTACACCAGTGTCGGACCATCCACTCTATTAGCTGCCCTCTAAGCTCCCGTCTCAAAGTAAACAAAGGGCCAGGGGTTCCATCTGGCTATAGCTTTCGACAGGGTCCGCTTCCCAGACAACCATCCGTCTACCTTGACATTCACCCACATGACTTTTAATAAACGACGACTCCAACTCATCGCGCACGCTTTTGTATCTTGTTAATATTATTCGATTCACTCAGCACACGGTCTTTGCGCATTGCATTGATCCCAGGTCTCAGCATCAGCTTTGTTTATTCCGTTGTCTCCTCTGCCCGAGCAGCGTGAATCCAAATAACGTCTAGACAGTGCATGACGTCAACTCACAATGGCTGACGAAGGCGTTGCTGAGCATTATCAGGTCCTTGAGGAACTTGGCCGTAAGTATCATGATTGGCAGTATCTCTCCACGTTAGCTGATGGTATCCTAGGTGGTAGTTTTGGCGTCGTCTACAAAGGCATTGAGAAAGCAACTGGCGAAACTGTCGCTATCAAACATGTAAGTCCGATCATTTCGGTCGCCTGGTACACGAGTTAACACACAACGTCAACAGATCGACCTTGAATCCAACGATGATGATATCCAAGATATCCAAGCCGAAATCGCTGTTCTGAGCACTTGCGCCAGCTCTTACGTTACCCAATACAAAGGCTCTTTTTTGCGAGGCCATAAGTTATGGATTGTCATGGAATATCTCGGCGGCGGATCCTGTTTGGACCTGGTATGTCTCTCCATAAAATACTCCGACACGAAGTCTCAACTGCTAACCGGGAATAGCTGAAACCCGCCAACTTCAGCGAAACGCACATTGCCATTGTTTGTCGCGAACTGCTACTGGGCATCCAATACCTTCACAATGAGGGCAAGATTCACAGAGATATCAAGGCGGCCAATGTTCTCTTATCCGAGACCGGCAAAGTCAAGCTTGCCGATTTTGGAGTTGCAGCCCAATTGACCAACATCAAATCGCAGCGAAACACTTTTGTCGGAACACCTTTCTGGATGGCCCCGGAGGTGATTCAACAAGACGGCTACAGCTTCAAGGCCGATATTTGGTCTCTGGGTATCACAGCTATGGAGATGGCCAACGGCGAACCCCCATTGTGTCACATCCACCCCATGAAGGTCCTCTTTCACATCCCGAAAAATCCGGCTCCCCGTCTTGAGGGCAACTTTAGCAAAGATTTCAAGGACTTCATTGCACAGTGCCTCACCAAGGACTATGACCGTCGACCATCCGCAAAGGACCTACTACGCCACCGTTTCATCCGTAACGCGGGCAAGGTGGAGGCTTTGCAGGAACTTATTGCTCGTCGACAGATGTGGGACGCCAACCAGAACAGACAGAAGCATCCTATTTACTATCAAGAGACCCTTCAAAGTATGACCCCTAAGGATGAGCAGCAGGAATGGGTCTTTGACACAGTAAAATCTGTCGCACCACCTCCCAAGAGGCCGACGATCAAGCAGCACCGAAAGCCCTCATCCATCTGGAATGCCGAGGAGGCGATGAAGAAGCTAGATGTCAAGGATGGTCCTCTTGGAGGAACTTCTCCCGCCCCGGGTACTGTCAGGAAGTCAACGGTCCGACGAGCACCGTCTTTAGCTCAAGAAACATCAATGCGGCCTGGTTCTCCCCGGGGTTCCATCGCTCCTAAGAGACCTCTCCAACCCGATATGTCGTTTGGCAATTCGGGATCGACTATGCGTCTTTTCAGAAGAGTCCCTTCAGATGGTTCAAATGGGAGTCAAGGGAACCGACCAGTCTCCCCCGACGATGTCTTCTGTGATGAGAACCTTCCCCGTCCTACCACAACTTCTGTTGAACCGTATGGCAAAGAGGCTGTACTGGGGAGACGCTTGTACAACAAAGCTGTGGAGCCTTCTCTGGCCGAGCTGCACGCTCAAACCTCTGCGATGCAGAAGCGAGAAGCGCTGGCCAAATTATCTGATGCTTTCGCAGCATTGGACGCAGTTGATCCTGAGGGGGCCTATCACCTTATGACGAGCATGGTATCATCAATCTCTCAAGACAACAAGCTCAGCGCAACGATCCTTCGACAGCCCGCTCAGAAGATTCCTGGTGACGGCACCCCGCAAGGTACTGTGGTTGTCAAGAACACCACCCCTGCGTCGAGTCCAACTAAACTCGTCATGGCTTCAAACAATCCTCATTTGCGCAGCCATCGACGCCGTCATGCTGATACTCCTACCATGTACGAGAAGAACTTTGACCCTGAGAAGTTGGCCACCGAGAACAAATATCCTGGTCAGGAGGCCAGATCTGGCATGGAGCATTGCAAACAGTTATCCGACGTGCTCTACTCACGTTGGGTAGACGGTCTTCGAATTCGTTGGCCCGCTGTCTGATTCTAAGGCGTGCTTAGCAGGGATGAACGATTTAACATGGCGGCATGACCTAAAATAGGCGGCACTGCGTCTTACATGTTGTACGATTCGTATGCAGTTTCTTTTGCTACTCATTTTGCATTGTTTGCCTTCCAGATGGAAGATAAAAGCGAGTCTTCGAGGAGCTTATTGGCAGCCGTATTTTCATCAGCATTTGACGACCCCGGTCTAGCATGACGCTCACGATATAACGATATGTCGCGGATGATCTCATTGACCTGGTCTACTAGTTTGGTTTTCCTGTTTTTCTGCGAGGTGCGTGGGGCGTTGTAAGGAATTGCATTTAAGAACATGGATGGTACGGAGGCAACTCTTGTTTTAATCTTCATTACATTGCAGCTGTTTCGATACTGGCAGGTAGACAACTAGATGCAGACACAGCCTAGACTTGTTAATTGAGCACCGTAAGAATCTGAGTATAGTCCGTCCACGATCTGTATCCAATAATTTAAGTGACCATGAGGACCTTTCCTCAATGACTATAACGTGCACAAGTCAGCCCAACATTTATCAGGAAGCATCGCTGGGCCCAAGAGCCAACTTGATTCTCCAATTCTTGAACTCATCAGACAAGATATCGCCGTGACCTGTCTCCTCCACCTTGAATAGCTCGATTGTTGGTGACTGAGGCTCGCGTCTTATTCTCCAAACGCCCTCATCGTTTATGTTCTCTGTTAGCCCTTTTGATGAAGCAGATCAGCGATTGGTCCCATTCATAACTGAACAGTAGGCTTACACTCTAAGAAAGTAGCGGCAAAGTTGACACACATATCGGCGTTCCATTTGGGATTCGGGTCGGCATTGACCATATCGGGAATACGATGCGTTTCCATTTCCCTTGCCTCGACTAGAATACCATCCTGCGTGCGAAAACCGACAACAATGCGTGGCACACCGAGAAGAAATGACTGTATCCAGTACTTCATGAGCTTACGTTTGAAGTTCTCCATGCCGCCTGGGTTGCGAATCTCGGCTGATGTCTTGAGTTCAACCCAGTTGATGGGGCTGCCCTTTTCTTCAGGTTTGGAATCCCAGACTGTGGAAATGTGAGTTGAGAATAGAGAACTGAAGGAGTTACTCACTGGCATCAACTTCGCCACCGAGACATAGGACAGATTTTCCGATGCCCGTTCGAACGACAGAACAATATTGGGCTTTGTTGTTGACGGCTTCGTTCTCTCGATTTTCGATGAAGTCGCGGGACGTTTCAGCCCATGGCGCTGGCAGAGTCGACAACGTTTCAAACTTGTATCCTAGATTACGATATGAGCAACCGTAACCTATATTCGAAACAGAGACGCATACCCCAAAACTGCATTACTTCTAATGGTGGTCCTCGTCTTCGTTTGTTGTTTCCCTCATTTGATCTGGAAGCAATCTTGTAGGCGTTGTTCTCCTCAATGAAGCTTTATAAATCAATTTCCGCATAAACATCCCTCGAACTCCTTAGACTTACATGCAATCCTGCGTGGTCGGCTTGTCAGTGGATTTGCTTTTGGAGACGGGTATATCATTTTGGACGTACTTGATACAAAGTGGCATTCATCTCGAAGCTATTCGTCGATAAGTCAATGGGGAAAAGAGAGCAGACCGCCGGGTGAGACCTACCCGTCCATCTGGTCAAAAGGTGCTGCCATAATCTATGCCTGTAGATTAGCTCGTGAAGCCAGACCATCCATGGGCAAAGAAGTCGAACCTTTGTCATCATGCCTCTCCATGTGACAATGTTGGCATCAATCTTCTTGCCTGTTTCTTGCTCGTGCGCAGCGATAGTCTTGAGGAGACTGTCAAGGTGATCGTCTCCGGTATCGTCCAACTTCTGAAATGTATCAAAGCCTTTGGAGAGGTCAGCCCCAAGCTGTGGTGTGTAATAGTACTTGAGAGATGAGTCGTCTAGGTGAAACTCATGGTTGTCGTCGTATGAGAAGCAGGCAAACTCCTGTGAAAGGTTTAGTATAAGCCAGACGGATAGTTATAAAATGGCTCGATGTTTAGATGTGCACCTTTGGTCTTTTGACAGGCTGACTTGCACCAGCAAAGCGGCCTATGGGTTGAACTGAAAAGCGCGCCGACATGATTCTCAATAGAGAAGACACCTGTCTCATACAACGACAATGGTATGGCGATGTCCAGGCTCGGCTAATACGCGTAGCGTTTCTGAATAAGACGAGGGACAGAATTCGCGTGAAAGGCAGTGTTTACTGTAACACTTCTGTCTTAATGTGTGTTGATGGAAGTCTGAACAAGGTGTGACGCTACTGCTCAGGTGTCCCGATCAAGTTCATGGGAATGGGGGTTTTAGTGGAGGTTTGCAGCGACCTTCCTGTGCCTTGCTTTAGCGCTTACACAAGCTCCAGGTTCAGGAGCCGCAACTCGACCACTAATACAAGTGCTTAATAGATACCAACCTACTTACTTACCAATTTGATCTTGCTTTGAGACATCAAGGCTACAAACAAGAGACTCATTATACGAGAATGCTAGATCACACAGTTACTGGATGTGTTCGCTAGAAGGCCTAAGATAGATGCCTGCTTGCTTATGTTAAGACCAAACGATATGACACCAAGGTAAGCTGCGTTGTTTGTGGTCAACTCTAGAGCAAATGTGAGAAATATCAAACACCAGGCTCATTGTTTCCTATAATTGACGTTGAAAAGCTATATAATCGTTCGGACAGCGTCTCAAACGTCTCATTGGGCTTGATCAATCTTCCTGCTTGACCTGTGACGCCCATGCCCAATCAAATATTTGACTCTTCGTCTCGTTTGCTGCCCTAGGATAGTAGAGGCACAAGTGAGGAATCACTTTCGGGGTGTGTGCAACACGGCTCCCAAAATTGCATGACATTTGCCTGCCTGTGCAGGGTGCAGAAGATGCCTGCTTGGGCTACCTACCTTAACTTAATCGCCTGAAGCGATTCTAAGACTTGGAAAAGCTTCACAGCCAAAAATTGCGAGAAAGAAGGCACCTACCACCCTCACTTTACGCTTTCATCTATCTTATCCCATCTTATCTACCGTAACTTCATTTTAACTCTGAACTCTGAACTCTCTTCGATTTCTGTTTCTTGCCTCAACTCAACACCTGCATCTCGTGTAACTACACTCTCATCCACTGAAGCGCCCTGTCTTTCACCTGGATCCCCTGTCCCTTCTTTCACTATTCTTGCGCCTCACGCCCCCAAGGTCCACTAGCTCGCCTTAGGACCCTGAGTTCTCACCCCCAACATACACTATCCTTGGCCTGATCATCACGTGCATTCTAGCGGGAATTGATCGACGACGCTCCCCAAAGCATTCCCCAAGCTGCTTCTGTTTAGCAGCCTTGCTCACAACCGCGGCGCGCAACCATCGACTTATTCCAAGCGTTGACCGCTGAAGCCGGTCGCCGCAGGTCATCGTCGCTGGATAGATCTTATCGCAGCTTCGTTATTGCGCTGCATCTATTTGCCACGGCCGTGTGTTGCACTCCTGTGGCTTTTCGGGTTCGGCTCTCTAGCTATCATCCCACGTACGTTATATCAGCGTACCCATGGTGAGAACGCGCAAAGAAGAGAATCAATCCACAACAAACACACCCAGAACCTCATTAGAGCGCAAATCGAAAAGAAAAAGAAAAGGACAAGCCCAAGATAGTGAACCTGAACTTGTCCAACAGTCGCCTGCCAGAAAGCGCAGGAAGTTGGGCAAGAAGAAAGAGTGGTGGAACATTCGCCGGGTCATTAATGAAGAGTACTTAGCAAACCCCAAAAGTGGTGAGATTAACCACCGGTGCCTTGTAGAGTGGGAAACTGACTCTGACGGTGAGACGTATGAGAACGAGTGGATTCCGGTTTGACGCCCCGTCAAGTTGATAAGACGAGATCACATATGCTAACAAATGCCTTAGTACAAGGATCTCAATGCTGAAGCATTAAAGGATTGGGAGAAAGAGAAACAGAAGAGGGAACGTGAAAGGACAGAGCGTGAAGCTCAACGTCGTGAGACAAGAAATCGGCGAGGACTTCGAGATCTTACACCTCGTCGGGGTAAATCCGAGACGCCTGTGGTGTGCAACAAACAAAAACAGCCAAAACTTGATGCATCGACTCATGACGTATCTCGATTCGATTCTCACGAGCAAGACGTACAGCCAAACCGCAGTTCCAGGATTAAATCCGAAGAGCCTGTGCCTTCATTCATCTCTGCTTCATCTGTTGACGCTGAATCTGTGAGCTCCTACGAATTCTCAAGGGCACCTACTCAAGGAGTTGCTGTTGTGTTGAGTAAGCCTGACAACTTCGACCCATCTGAGTATCAGAGTGTCACTACTCAAAACAGCTCTCAAAGGATCACGGAACTTGAGGATGGTGACCAGCGAGTTACATTTGCATCACAACTAAGTCAAGACACCATCCCAGATTCCCAAGATTTATCCGGCAATTGGGACTATCAAGATTGCGAGAGCCAGCCTGCTGCTAGACCTGACTGTGTTCCAAAAAGTCCTGAAATACCCGAAGATCCATCATCTTTGGCCGAGGATAATCCTGGAAGCAACCGCCAAGTTCGAGAGGTCGTATGCCAGAAAGAGGTACACAATCGCGAATCCATCGCCAGGTCCCCGGAAAGGGAGGCCTTTCAGTCTGCCAACGCTCCTGTGGATCTGAAGACGGAGTATCCTGATTCCGAAAACCCTGAAGACAACCTGCCACCCACTGATTTTGGAGAGTTCACCGGCGCCGCTCATCATTTGGACGACCAGACCGAGGACATTCACAGTCTCAAAGAGACCCACGATTTAGAAGGTGACAGTACTGAGAACCGTACCACTACGAACAATCAGATATTAGACGGAGATAATCTTGGCTCGACCGGGGGTATTCGAGATATCTTATCGCCGGAAAACGAGAGTTTTGAAACCGCAAACTCTCAAGCTAGCCATTCCTCGAACAGCCGAGACTTGCCTGTCAATCAGGACCCATACGGCCAAGATAGCGTCTCGGTTAACCAAGGTTCTGGGGACGGGCAGCGAGTGGTACAAGATCACGTCTTTGATTCTTCAAGTCGCCTTCCATTCGAAGAGGAGATTCTAGGTAGTCAGCAACCGGGTGTGAAGCGAAGTGCGCCAAGTCATCATCACCCCCCAAGGGATCGATACGAAAGACGTGGACTGCAATTCGAAAAGGGCGACGTTAACCCCCAGCGCCCTGATAAACCAACTAGTGTGAGTGGCGTGGAAGATCTCTCCCAGGCACAGGTACTATCCTCCTCAAGCAAGGAGATTGATACCATCGTTCCAGATTCACAGGGCGACTCGAGCCTATCCACCGACCTGAACATTATCACAGACAGGACTTCGACGCTTGTATCAAAGACCCAGGCCACCTCCCTTGCTTCACAGGCCGAAGTTGTTTCGGATTCGACTGCGACTGGCTCGGACATCATACCGTCTCGTCAACCAGGCCACTCTCACCCTGCAACATCTGAGAGAGGGATCCTTCTTGATAGTTCTTTGCCCAGTGACCAAAGCATCCGGCACGTCGTAGGGGAGGCAGCTGCATCTCTACGAAGTTCTCCGGGTTCACACAGGACACAGAAGCCCCAAATATACTATTCTCAACCCCAAGGGTTATACGGCTCCTTAGACATATCGAGCTCTCTCTCTTCCGCGGCTGGGACTCTCAACAAGACTGCTCGTCCAAGAGCCACAATCGAAACTCAAGCGAGTCAGGAGGAAACTTTTGAAGCGTCGCAGCTTTCTAAATTCCAACCCGAGAAAAACAGTGTTTCCGGTCAAAGAATAGGCTCCAGCCAGAGATCGCCTTCTCCCACAACCATTGCAAAGACCGATAGCGTACTTAGCAAGTCTAAGACCGGTAGCGACTCTAAAGGGCTTGAAAAGCCTCGATTGACTTCAAAACAAAAAATGGAGCGCCCGGGTTCACAAACACGGGATTCAGCTGTCGATGAGCTAAAAAGCTACATCGATTTCGGCAGGGACTCGGCGTTGACACATGTTGGTGATTCTCTCGAAGAGAACCCGGGTGGGACGCCTTATGAAGCAATCACCGATGAAGAACCGGTTCCTGGTGCCAGCGCAAGTAGCCATGCTGCTGTACTTCAGTCTCAGCCAGTTTACTCTATGGATCCCTGGAAACCACAAGCTCTAGGAACCAACTCCGACACCCCTGTGTCTTCAATAGCGCCGGCAGCCATTATGGCGGACCCTTCCACCACTGCAGTTGCCAGGATGCGAGAAGAGCTCAGTAAGAGATTTGCTGAATCAGACGTATCCCTCACCCGTTCTATTATTAGCCAAGATGAGGGAGATAGCCTGCTCCCTGCAACGATTTCTCCCACAGTCATCAGTATAGTGAATGAACCAGTTGCGTCAACTCACACCTTGAACTTTCCCAACCAGGATTCAGTGCCCACTGAAGTTGAAAGTTCAGGGCACTCTATTACCATGGGGCAAGTTCCTGTCGAACAAGTTTCTGATGTACTGTCAGAATCTTCAGAGCAGAACGACTTTTACGTGCAAGCGAAAGTCACTCTCCCGATGCAGGCGAGCAGGCGTTCTTACTATGGAGAGGTAATAGAGGACCACAAAGACGAAATTCAAGCCTTTAGCCGCTGCTTCACTGGCGAGACTCCCGAAGAGCCCAGTGAAGAACTCATTAAAAAGATCGACAGTCTTTTCTATAGGCTCTTCGAGATTTGCGACTATCCCCAGGATGTCATTGGTAGTGTTCTTGAGACGCTACCCAGCTCTGAGCTCGCCAGATACTGTTGTGATGCCAATCCCAAATTCAGTTTCTTATTTGAACTGATGGCTGCACTAGACGGGAAAGAAAAGGAAATTCTGATTGTGGTTGGTACCAAGGAACTGATGCGACTACTTTTTAAACTTGCTGAAGCAGCAAAGGTTGAATGCTCGGCAGAAACCATTAACCAGCATGCCAAGTTTACTTCGTTTGCAAGAATCAGTATTGCTTTGACCAGCGAAGACTTCGACCCTTTTAACTTCGACGTCATTATCGGCTATGACTTTCATTATCCGAGTTCGTTGATCGCCAGGCAGTTATGCGACAATACTGTTCGGAAGTCGCCGCTAGTGCTACGACTCGTGACAACGTATTCGATTGAGCATGTATATGGTCCTTTGGATGGAGCAACGGCACTCGAGGTCAAGAACGCAATTCTCGCATCTACTGTAAGTGCAAGCCGATATCTCGAAGAACCAGAACGAGGTTATTATGAACCCCACGAAGTCGCAGAGATATTTGCAAATTATTTCAATGGAATTACCGACACATTGAATTGGGAGCCTCAGGGTATCCCGGATGACGTTCTTGACATCTTCGAGAATCCGGGGACACAGACCCAGCTACCTTTTACAGGAGACGCCTTATATGGAAATGACTTGAAGCGGAAGCATGTAAGTATCGACTTGTATCTTGAAGCTCATATTGCTGATCACCCTCAGTTTAACGACGAAGGCGATGGTGATGCTAAACGAATGCGCACTCTTCCACTTCGCGATCTGCCGACTGACACCAACAATCCTCCTATGCCCATTGCAGTCCGCCAGATGCTCGAAAGTGCTTCCCTTCGAAGCGGGACCAGGGACAGAAAAGCAATGATTTCAGTGCCTTTGGTAACTCTGGAGACAATCCAGGAGCAGGTAAGCACCATGGAAATGAGTGATGTGACAGTATCTAAATTGTTCTAGATCGACGAATACAAGCGACAAACTGCGCAGGCAGGCGAAGTCGAAGTAGAACTCAAAAGCTACATCAGCAGACTCGACAAAGAATTGAAGGACCATCGGAAGACCTTGAGTAAGATTGAGTCTTCTAATCGTGCTGCTCTTCAAGATCGAACCGTGGCTGAAAGGGAGAGGCTCCGAACCGAGGGTGTTGCGGCAGCTGCCGCAAAGGTTGCTCAGAAGGAGAAAGAGAAGCAACAACAGCGAATTGATGAACTCGAATCAGTCATTGCGCGTCTCAACCAAAATCCTGAGTCAGCCAAGAGGGAAGAGGCATTGAGCGAGGTCAAACGGCAACTGCAGCTCTCGGAGAGTAGGCGAACGAGCGCCTTGAGCGACGTGGATTTCATGAAGAGTCGGTACCAGGATGTCGACGCTCAAGCTTTGAGATTGGCAAATGAGAACAAATCATTGAAGATCCAAAACGAAGAGTTGGAGCAAAAGGCATCAGAGAACTTGCGTGCCATTCACGCACAGAATGTTGCTATGGAACGTCAAGAACTCTTGGAACAAATCGCCAGCCTCCAAGCACAGCTCCAGCAACGAGACGCTGAGCTATATAATGCCAATCAGAGACTGGCCAGTGTTTCAAATGGCCGAAACACTCGGGGCGGTAGCATGCCTCGCAGCCCTCGTGTCCCAAGTGGAATGAGCCCACGTCCCCGGGCAGCATTCTCTGCTAGTCGAGGGACGAGCCCTATCGGCCCTGGTCAACCATTCGTGGGACAACAGGCAGGAAATGGAAGATGGAATCACTTACAATAAGAGCTACAGAAGGCAGATGTATGGGAGTATGATGATACCAATCCTTTATATGTTAGGGCTATCATGGTATTTGGCGTATGGGATCGGAAGTTGGGAATGCAGAGCCTCTACCCCAGTATACAATGAACATCTATTTGAGACGTATAGAAGTTTGACCTGTGCTTCTCGTGAATGCCGAAGAGAATACTGACTTGCGAAAATTTGTCATCGCAGGGGATTTTGTACATCAAGCTTTCTTTGACGTAAATCCCCAAGTAGTGCAGCTTCAGTCAAGGTGGAAGATAAGTCACTCAAGTGGATGAACAACGAACTTCAGATATACAAAAAACTCTCAACATTGGAGGAGATTAGCAAAGAGCAAGCGTCGCCAAGTCGCACTTAAGGCTATAACACAATCGATTTGGGGCTGCCACAACCAAACTCCCCCGTCTACCTCTTGGGTCTGAAATTCTCTTCCGTTTCGGCCAACATCCAGTATACACAAGGCTCAGAACACTGAGACCAGGGGACAATCTACTTTTCCTCAGGGTACAGCTCCTCCTTGAGCAACACACCAAGCTCTTCTCGAAGGGGCTTGAGTTCCTCAAGGTACTGCTCGTACTGGCCCTTGTTCTCAACCTTGGTCTTGATACCTAAAGAGCAACAGTTAGCAATGTGGTTAGGTTGGTGAATTCCCTTGCGAGCCGTCGATGGTTTTCAGCAAGCACGGTCCGCATCGAGTTGGGGTCACTGTGCTGATATAACTCAAGAAGGGCAATTTAGACGCTGCCGATCCATCGGTCGGGTGGACGACAACAAAGTGGAATTGATTGACAAAATTTCGTACCTTCGAAGATGCGGACGGCAGTGCCGAAGTCGTTAACCCTTCGGGCGGCTTTAAGGGCGGCAGCGATCACCGAGGGGGCAGGGACGAGATCGTAAGCGAAGGCGTTGTTGAGGTTGCGCTGTGGTTTGGTGATAAGCCAAAGTCATACGACATTTTCGGGAGCCAGCCGGAGAGCAGCGAGCTCTACCCCGTGGGGCTAACATACCTGAAGCTCGAAAACGTCTTGAACACCATCAAACTCCTTCTCGAACCTGCAGAGAGTGGTGGTTTAGCAATTGAGTCCCGCAAGAAACCTGTGCGGCTGCATTGGAAAGTATTCGGGCGAAATCGCGTGGGGACAGAGCTCTAGGCGGGCTTTGCGGCATCTTTTTCCCACAGCCGCAAGACAACCACGCAAAGGCCCCAATCCTCCCAGCCAATTTGCGACGCCTTTCCACAGCACAGAAAACCGATGTTCCAAGCAGACGGCAGGCCATTGGGTATTAGGAGTGATCCTACCTGGCAGAGAACTCCTCAAAGGTCTCCTCGGCGTGCTCGCTTCGTCGGGGAATCGAGGTGGTGAAGTGGGCAACGGCCGAGCGGGCAACCATGGGCTGGACGGCAGGTCGAATGGGAGCAGCGCGAACGCTACGGGCGACACGAATGAAGGCGGACATGTTGGAGAGAAGAGGCGTCTGTTGTCGGAGACTGGTGATGTCTGTTGTCGGAGACAAGTCGTGTATTGGTAGAGGTAGTGGGCTGGCTTTTTCCGGCTCGGGTGATGACTGCAGAGTTGTTTGGGCGAGAGGATGGGCTGAGGATTGATGACTAAGGCGAGGCTAGACCAGATTGCGTAGTTGTGGGCTATAGTGCGAATTGTGGTGCAGGTTCACAATAGGGTGAGACTTTTGACGGAATTGACAGTGTATGTACTGTACTTCGACGAGCTTACTTCCAGTTAGCTTCCATTCGTCATTGCCGCAGGGACCTGGCACGGTAGTTCAATTGATCATGGCAGCTGAATAAAGTAGAAACTGACGATAGCCTCGTGCCACACACGTTAAGGCCATAGAACTTAGTATTCTGGAGCAAGAGTCTTCCAAAATAGCTCGAACTTGGCTTAATCCAGTCTACTGTAACGTTCTGCGCTCTATCGGCAAGGCTGTCTTCGGTGACAGGGAATTGGAACGTGAAGACCACCAATAGTTGAACTGGCATTGAAATTATTGGCACCCACGATTTGATTGACAGCTGCGAGGTAGCCACACCTTAAAGACACAAGCACCGCCACACCGTAGCCACAAGTGACACAAGCTTCTGAGTTTGAGATGAAGGTGATGTGAATTGAGCAATCAGTTAAGCGAAACCTTGATCAAGATTCTTACATAGGCTTTTAGTTTAGCTCAGAGGAACCGTGCTGAGATTCGTTGAAGTATTGATCGATCCGGGCATGGGGGAATCGCCGATATTTGTATGGAACCTTGGTTCGAAATTACAACGACGAAGGATTGGCAGGAAGCCAACTATCTATCTTACGTCGGGTACTGAAGTAACCATTGCGAAGATCGAGTTGCTCAATCTCTCCAGCCTTGTGCTTTCGAGTAGTTGTTATTATTTTCCGGTCTCACTATGAGCGAATCAAGCTTGCAAATGCCATCTGACAACCTGACATTATGCGGTCGTGATACGATGTACGGATATTAATGCCATTGTCTAACGGGCTTTTATCCCGGAGTTTGACATAGCCAATGAGTTTCAATCGGGCTACACCATTCGGTCATCACCGTCGTCTTGGCATCCAGTAAACCTCGGGACACGATCTCACAGGCATAGGCACAGCAGAGTCAGACAAGTGTAATAAGCAACAGTTGAGCACAAGCCTCAGGGGACATCATTAGCATATTGTGTCGTTATGGCATTTCATAAATCACGTGTAGTCTCTAAACATCTTCGTTTCATTGGTGCATCCGGAGAACCCGGCATATTCACATGTAATTGCAGTGTGGAGTGAATCCTCATCTCGGGCATGCATGCGCGTGTGGTGCTTCCTCCTGTGAGCGCGTGCCATGTTTTTTCAAAAGGAATTAGAAAACAGTAGCCAAAAGCGCACAAGCCTGGCCAATTCTTGGTACCCGGGGCGGGCCTGTTGGTGAAATAAGATATACGCATGGCAATTGGGTGAATTCTCGAGATGCCCCCTACAAGATGTACTAGTGGCACCTCGATGGAAGGAAAGTGCGGTGCCAGGTGCCACTTTCACTTTACTGCTACAGCGTCCGCGGCAGCCGGAGATCCAACCTGCCCGGTAAAAGTGCGATTGAGGGAAGGTAGCGGTGCGGATTGAAATTTCCCCTTTTTGATGCGCCATCCTCCTCTGGCTCTCCCTCAATTAAAACTCTACTCTCCTTCTCCCCTTTTATCTCCTTTTTAATTCTACGCATTCCCACAGTCGCTGTTTACCTGGCTTCTTCTTTAAACCATTTCATCTCTCCGGAGAACCTTCTTCTTCTTCTTGTCATTCCTTGTCAGTCTTTACTTATTCGTCTTTCACGTGTCCTTCCCGCGCCATTGGCTCTGTCGCGTCTTCGAAAAAAAGCCACGTCGAATACGTAACTCGGCTACTCTAAATCCCCTACTTAATAAACGGTCCCGCGGTCAACAATTGTGTCGGTTTCAACGTACAATTCGCCCATCATGTCTGCGTCTCCCGCTACTTTCTACGAGCAGCTTCCGCTGCCAACCATCGACCGGCCTTTTGGCGTTCACCTGTGGCCCATCTTTGACAAGGCATTCACTGCTGTTGTCGGCTACTCTGCCAATGACTTCAAGTTTGTGCCTTTCGAGACCCCCATGTCAACTCTCAAGTCGACTTCGATCTTTATCGTTATCTACTATGCCATCATCTTCGGTGGTCGCGAATGGATGCGCAACCGTGAGCCCTTCAAGCTCAAGGGTCTCTTCCTCATCCACAACCTCTACTTGACTCTGATCAGCGGTACTCTCTTGGCTCTCTTCGTTGAGCAGCTTCTTCCCACCGTTGTCCGTGGCGGCATCTTCCATGCCATCTGCGATGCCGAGGGTGGCTGGACTCAGCCTCTTGTGGTCCTGTACTACGTAAGTTTCCAGCAAAGATTGACATGCACTCCCAACTGACAATTGCGACAGCTCAACTACCTCACCAAGTACCTTGAGCTCCTTGATACCGTCTTCCTGTTCCTCAAGAAGAAGCCTCTGAGTATGTATTTGTTCCCAGTGCGACTTTGACAAGCTAACATTTACCAGCCTTCCTTCACTGCTATCACCATGGTGCCACCGCCTTCCTTTGCTACACTCAGCTCATCGGTTCCACCTCCGTCTCTTGGGTTCCCATCGTCTTGAACCTGCTCGTTCACGTCGTCATGTACTGGTACTACTTCCAGAGCGCTCGTGGTGTCCGTGTTTGGTGGAAGGAGTGGGTTACCCGTCTCCAGATCATCCAGTTCGTCATTGATCTCGGCTTCATCTACTTCGCCTCTTACACCTACTTCACCTCGACCTACTTCCCCTGGATGCCTAACGCTGGAAAGTGCTCTGGCGAGGAGTTTGCTGCTTTCTCTGGTATCATTACCATCAGCTCTTACCTCGTTCTGTTCATCTCCTTCTACTTCGCCACCTACAAGAAGCAGGGCAAGGCTCCTACCGGCCGACAGAGTCTCCGACGCATGTCTCAGGCTCCTCTTCCCGACCCTCATCTGGTCCAGACTACTCCTGTCAAGAAGTCCAACGGTGCCACTGCCACTGGCTCTAAGACCAACGGCTCAGTTCGATCTCGCAAGGCCTAAATGTCTGGCTAAGACTATGTCGAATCGGCACAAAGGTATTCGAATGAGTACATCGGCCTATATTGATATATTCTCATTTTGGTAACGACTGCATAATGCTACGCGAGCATTCGAGCCATTCTCGCGTTGGAGTTGGATCTGGATTGATCTCAGCGGCTTCATTACGTATATAAAACAATTTGGAGATTCGCTTTTTTCTGAAAAATGGGCGGCTCGGTTGGTTTCGAAGCTGAGATCTGCTATGAATAATAGTCTTTATGTGTGGGTAGCGATAATGATGGAGGGTGTTGACGATGCTTCTCACGGTTTTGAGTTTACAGGGCGAACACGGGGCATTTGAAAGGACGGGCATGGTTATTGGGACACAAGTCTCGGCCGACTTTGAGCGGCCCCAGGCTACGACGATCTATCTAGAACCCTTGTAATCAATTTCTCAGCTATGTATGATAGAATTATTAATTCTCTCAGTTGTTGAGCCTGAGAGATGAATGAGCCAATTGATGGATCACTCACTTCATTGTTGTAACACTTGGAGAACCTTGAGCTAATGTGTGATTCGTGATTCATGCTACTAGATGAAGCAGGTATTCAATATGGGTATTAACAAGTAATTGGTAGCTTGCCATACATTCCATCTGGAAGGGTCAAGAGGCAAGCTATTAGCTTGCACTACTAGGTCACGAATGTATTTCGAAGGTACATAAGACATCGACACATCGATAACAAATAAGCTTAATGTTTAGTCCGTTCCTTTTAATATAAACTTTAGTGTCGTTCTCCCTTGTGACCTTATCGTAACTCAAGCCACTGTCCTTGAGATGGTGGGCTTGGAATTGTGTTCTTAGTGTCCACATCCACTGCATATGCTGGGCCTACAAATGTGTAGCGATCCGTTGCATCTGGCCTCAGGACTACTGGCTCCTTATATCCCCAGAGAATGCAAAGCCTATCTCCTTCAAGAACGTCAAAATCAACTGCACCCAAGTATCCCCGATTTGTCTCGAAGAATCTGTAGTTGTAGAGTACTGGCATGATTCCTGACACAGCTTCTCTTCGTCTTTCGAGACTCCAGGAGCTGAGTTCTTCAAGGACATTAAGTCTGACTTTCAAGGGAGCCAGGTCTGATGGAGAAAAGGCCATGTTGAGAAGATCATGATCCCAATTTGAGCTCCAGGTTTTTGTGACAGTTTGGGACTCGGACATATTGAAAAAGGTGCTCAGCATGGCTAGATTCATAGCATTATCGACAAGATCCTGAGAGACATTTTTGGATTTATCCATGGATATCAGCCTGATAATAGCCTGGGCAGCCGGAATCCCTGTAACATACTGTGAGTTGCGCGTGGTGAAAGAGTTCGCGAAGGACATGAACGATGCCAAGATCTCTGGATCAGAATCGTGACGGCAGTTTGTGGACAAAGTGATATGTCCCATATCTTTACCCCAACTGAACAGACTATGTGTTTCTTCGATAATGTAAGGGTAGCTTGCACGATGAGCGGGAGATGAAGTCGGCTCACCTTCATCGGGTGAGCGAAAATTGCTGGCACTATAACACCAGGGTGATGAAGCTTCCCTCTTCTTTCTGTAGTTGGGAACCCAGCTTGGCAGATCTGAGTGGCCATATTTCCTAGTGCCTGCGAGGGACAAAAATGCAAGAGGACTGTGGACATGCGTAGTTTGTTGTGTGCGTGCAGCTTTCAGCCAGCCTGCCATGTATTTGGTATAGACTTGTGAGGTCGTGTTCTTGGGACTATAGTCAGGAGTAATTGGTATTCCAGAAACTCCGAGAAGGCCATAGATATAATCTCGATCATCGGTGGCCTGTAAATTAGCTGCAAAAGTCGACACAGCCCACCCTTTGAAGCCATCTGGATCCGGTATCTTGGAACGTGCTTGCGCAAGGAATAACCATGAGATCTTCCCCCATGACATTGGGTTGCTGAGAAGGTTCCATGCTGCGTCTGGTAGAAACTCGGGCTTCTTGTCATTGGCAACAGAAATTACACTTTGGGGAGTATCACGAAGCATAGACCAAGAAAGATTAGCCTCTCCTGGACTGATGAAGACGAGTTGATTTGCGAGAACGATTTCTTGGAATATCCAAACTCGTTGCCAATATTGGTGTTGCAAGAAGTCGGCTACAGCAGACCAAGGATCATTCAAGTGGTTGTTTGGTAAGTCGGGTCCTCGGTCGATACAAAGCATAGGATGGCGCCGCAACCATTCAAGATCGAAGTTTGTCTTATAAGGAGCATTTTCCTTGGGCGTATTCTCATATATGTCCTTCGTAATTGTTTTGATAGTTTCAAAAGCAAGAGAATAATCTTTTGGGCCGACCCAGGCAAACGTGACATGGGCGCGTTGGAAGATACGACGCATGAGCTGAACTTGTTGAGATCTCTCATCAAGATCGTTCTGGTTGATACAAATCGCATCAGCCCAAAGATATCTGACATGTGACTGTGATCGGAAAGAGTCATCGCTTAAGACGCAGAGAAAGGCTGAAGCTAAGTTGTCCGGGATTTTGACGGTGTTTCCTTTGATAGTGACCTGGCCATATTTTTCGGGATCGCCCCAGAGATAGGACAGTGCCGCATACTTGGGTTCATCGTCGAGAGATACAGTGACAAGTTCGAATTCAGAGGAGGGGTTTGGTGGTATTTTGAGGAGTCTAATTTCTGATGTCCTAGGGTTAAGAGGTTTGTATAAGCCTGAAGATGCTTGGCATATGGATTGCGAGAATAATCGATGAGTGAGGGAGCGGGTAGGGATTTGTAAAAAGCGGCGCATGATTGAAAAAAACGGGCAATGAAACGATCTCATGGTCGAATTATGAACATGCTACGAGAGACTTTGGATGAGAGCGTAACCTTCAAATGATTGAATGCCTTGCCCACGGCTACCTCGACACAGCCCCCTAGTAGAGGGAGCCTAAGATACCTTGAAGATATCGATGTTGGGCAGAAGCTACACATTCTCAGTTTGGTGGTCTGTATCAAAACACGGATGCTAAAATCTTTTCGAAAAAGCTAGTTGACGGTGAACGTGTCTATTCAGTCCAGTAGAGTTGTGTCAGTCATTAGCCAAGACCTGCCAGCATCTTCAGTTCTTCAACACACCATCACCAGATAAAACGCGACCAATTGACGTCATGTTCAGGGTCTAAATTAAGCAAAAGCATACACGAACAGTCAGCGATCCAATTTAATTCATGACTACCGACGAAATGCGTTGGTTTGCCAAGTTAAAGACATGGGTTGTGAGCCCATGTTTGCTATAAAAGGAACCCATTGGCTGCACATGCGAGAAATCCTACAGCTATCACAGACAGAGGAAAGAGACACGCAAGGCAACACAATACAACGCAGTCAGGCATTTAATTCGGACTGAAGGGTCCTGTCCTCATTTAGTTTCTCACCTAGAAGCAGAGGCGCTTACGCCCGTGGCACTCGTAGATCCAACCCCTTTTCCGCTGACTGCATATCATAGCAAAAGGGGGTAAAGTTTAAGCCATCCAATGCGTTGCAATGTAATGTTTGCCGGCCTGTGATACGCAGGACAAGTTTGATATTGACGAGGTCTCTTTATTCCATTCCTGGCAGCCAAGACTTTTTTCTGTTTTCTGTTTCTGTTTCTGTTTCTGTCCCTCTCTCTGCCCCCTGCTGATCGATGATCTGCCAGTGAGCAAGGAGGTGCTGATCAGCTCCAGCATCAAAGCGCAGAGACCACGCGCTTAGAGGCAAACGCCACTCAGGTGTCAGCCTCTGAAAGTGCAGAGGAATGCGGGCTGGCGGGGTAAGGCTGCAGGCCGTTTGGATACAGCGTTTATCCCCTGAAACATCAGCCTTGAAGAAAGATGCATAATAATAATATTCAATTCTTGCCCTTTTGGTTGGGTTGCGAGCTTAAGCTATCGCTTGGTCTTTGTTCTTTCCCATTTTGAATGCCGGATATACAGTCTCATTCATTGGCACGTGCTTCCATCCACATCCGAAAAGGCAGGTACCCTGGTGGTCCCCCCTGCAATTATTCAGTTCCCCAGAATTCAATTGGAGTTGGAGTTCGATCTTAATAAAGTCCCCTCGTTCACTTTCTCCTCTTCCTCTCGCCTCTCGCTGGTCTCCATTCAGTTCAGCCTCTCAAAAGAGCCTGAGCCTCTCTTGTTCTTCGATTTCTGTTGCGTGTTGCTCCTTGTTCCTTTCATTCTTTCTCTTCTATATCACCACTCTTCTCTCTTTCTTTTTTGTGAGGTCTCCCAATCTTCCCTGTCTCTATCCACTCGCGATCTGTCCCTACAGCCAGACAACCGCACGCCAAGATGCGAAACCCCTTCCGACGTCGGAACAAGAAGGACAAGGCCGGTAGTGGCGGCCAGAGCTCAGACTTTATTGTTCCCATAGAGTTCCGTCCTCCTGGTGCTGGACGCCCACCGTTATATCCTCCAACTCGACACTCAGCATATCTGCTTGCTCATCTGCCACCAAAGGTCCTCGAGCGTATCTTTACTTTTGTTTGCCCGCACGCCCTTGACGAGACTTATGATACTTGTGAGGGTAGCGCAAGCACGAGTGACAGCGTGTGCATGCTATGCGACCTTCGTGATTTAGCTCATTGTGTTCAAGTTTGTCGCGCATGGCGGCCCAGCGCGGTCAAGATCTTGTAAGTCGTGCCATGGTGGTTCGATGATGTTCAACAGCTAACTGTTTCCTAGATACCATAGCGTTCGTATCGATCCAGTCCACTACTGCCGTTTAGAAGAATGGCTTGCCGAAAAACGTAAAAAGACCTCCCGCTTCGATCGCAATGGTGTCCCTGAGGATCCTGCTCAAGCTCGTCTCCGTCTCCTCCGACGTACTGTCCGTGATGATCCTACACGTATTGGAAAGTCTGTACAATATTTGAAGCTTCCATACATGTTGCGCGAATCCTCCCAGGTTGAGCTTGCCCAGACCATCGCTGTTCTTCCAAACCTACGATATGTCGACTTGCCCGAAGGGATGTTTTGCGATGACCCTCATTACGCGACCCTCCGCCTCGAAGTCCAAGCTCGATGTCCTAATCTTCGAAAGATGACCTATATGGGTGGTTCTGAGCGTAGCCTGGCCATGCTCGCCTCGGGTCAAGTCTGGCCGAATCTTGAGGTGCTGGAATTGAATGACCTCGCGATTGATGCCATGACACTTCGGGCTGTTCTTGGTAGTCTCACCAACTTACAAGCGCTCAAGGTGTCAAACACGCCAGGTCTCTCAGATGAGGTCCTGTCCTCATCAGATGGTCTTCCTACGCTACCACCTATGAAGGAATTAGTGCTGAAGGATACACCGGGAGTGACATTAAAGGGCCTTATCGAGTATCTTGCCTGGCAAGAGACACAGCAAGCTCTGACGGTCCTGACGCTTAAGGATACAGGTGTCCACCCTGCAAGCTTGCAAGAAATCTTCACAATGGCCTCGTCTCTCAAAACATTTGCCATTCAGACCAATGTTTCTGAACAATTCCCAACATCAGCCAATTCACGCCCACTGGCATCAAGAACGCTCGAAACTTTGCGGTTTGAAGTTTCTTCATCTTCAGCGGGTGCCTTCTCCAGTGTGACGATGGGCTATTACTCATATCTTGCGAGCTCCATCCTCGGCGGCGGATTCCCCAGACTAAGGCGGCTCTACGTTCATGATGAAAGCTTCCCTGACCAGTTACAGGGACTTCCACCTCCCAATGCTGCATTCGCTGGAGGGCATGTACGCGCTGGATCTAATTCATCTACGAAATCCACTCCAGGGTTTGCCTTCCCATCATCAAACCTATCACCAAAGTCAGCAAATCTTCCTGTGCCTAGGCGGCCCATGTCGAATATCCAACCACCCAGCAAACGCTTCAGCTCTAATAATCCATTCGCTCCTCGCAATCCCTCGTCGGCAGCTCCCACACATACACTCGAAGTTTTTACCAAGAGTGACGAGTTTGGAAAATGGAATTTTGTATCAGTTGATCCGATGATCAGATCTGCTGCGGCACCGTCTCGCCGACCGGTTAGCAGCTACGGGCTGGCGGCCGATGTCACGGGGTCTGGGTGGGATCGAGGAGATGCTCGACGTAGTGTCATGGTTGGTAATGGTGCTGGCGTGTTTTTGGCCGTGCCTGGCCAAGGGGGCGACGATGGTGCGTTCAATGGAAGCTCTGATCCATGGCGACCTCAGAGCAGTGGGGGATCCCCTCGACGCAGTCGAGAACTGTGGTAGTGGAGTACCTTTCAACAGGTTACGGTTAATCCCTGTGGGCCCTAGAGGTCTATTCCGTAAGCTTATACTATTAATGTTTCCTTTGTCACCTGGGCTCTTGGCAGAGGATTGAAGTGACGGATGATGGGGCATTATGAGGTTACGGCGGATGAAGGGAAGTTGAGATTGATTAATTCTTGGGATCGGTTGTTATGCAAAATACCCTAGCAGTTGTAAAGGAGAAGTTGCTTGTAATCGCTGGTAGATTGAGGCAGCCGTAGGTTGACTGAAAGATCTATGTTTCTGTAGATCTAGAAGAATAGACTTTGGCAAAGAATGTGTGTTTGACAATCCAGTGACATCCGGTGTGTTTCAGCTTCGGGCTAGGGATTCAGTGATCGACGGTAATTCATTCCAGAATTAAAGTTTAATGCCTTCATTATTATATCTGTGTCTGTATTCAGAATGTTTTCATAAATATCATATCGCCACGTCCTTGCTAAAAGGGACTTTGCATCATTCCACGTTGTACATGGAAGTCAACTTGGGAATTGAGGAATACTGTGCAATGTACTCCCCTTTTGCGGTTGCATCACTTACAGCACAAACTATGAAGATCCAAGGATAGAAGCAAGATTTGTGACGCCTTAGTCGATGTAGTTGTTACCGGGTACGTCAATCGTTCTTCAATACTCAGGTTTCATAAACTGCATGCAGATTTATGACGTTATTATGCATGGCGAAGTGTGCTTAAACATCCCTGTCAGGCTGGCATCTGCGCCCAGGGACTCACTGACACTCGGGTCAAAGTCAACACACCATTTGAAGGACACTCAACTACTGTCTATCTGAGGTATACAAAAATTTCTCCCAAGACAGGTCAAGATCGTTGTCTTGTTTTTAGATACTGTATCAAGGTGTAGGTATTGCCGATGCACCCTTCACCATTGTGGACCAAGACTCAGTCGACAGTGTTGTCGCATATGGAGCAGGTTTTGTGTAGTCGTACCCTGTAGCATTGCAACTTGATGTCATCTCCTCAAACTCGGATGCATCTTCATCGTTGTAACTTATACCTGCCTCCAATTCTATCCCCAGTGGCGCCAACAAACAGTCCTCGCATTCGAGTGCTTTGCCTGATCCGCGATGGATTCGCCATTCCGCAAGTTGAAGATGACACAATTTCCCAGTAACTCTGATTAGTCTTAGTGATAGCACATAGAAGCATTGGGTACCTAGGATTGCTTACCTATCTCGGTAGCAATATATATTGAATGAAAGGAGTAGTAAATCGACCATGTATGTTGCTAAGTAGTATGTTAGCTGTAGTACCCGTCCTTGCGTCGGACGGGTTCACTTACGTGGGAAAATTTTGTCCTCATAAAGGAATGCCACAGCATCCATATCCGTGTTGCATGCGGCCTCAATCTTCGGCCGGAGCTCCATCAAGCTGTTGTAGCAATTTTCGTGACAAATCTCGGCCAACTCTTCATCCACAAGTATTTCAAATATCAGATCACTGCAGGGAAAATAAGCAATGTGGCTGCATTTGCAATAGTCGTATCTTACGGATTAGGGCCGTGGTAGAACAGTCCGGGCGAACATTCTGTGATGTTTGTGTTCAACATGCGCAGGCAGCTGTCACTTAAAGTCATAGTCTCGTACGGATATCTGAAACCCAGCTGTTGACCATGTGCGGTTGGGAAAAAATGCGCCGCTGCTGCAGTTATCTCGAAGGCAAAGAGATGCCTCATCGTGTTTGGATAATGCCACTACTTGACGGTGGTAGAAATTGCAGAACAAGTCAGAACGAGTGCCCGTTTATAATTACCACACAAAACTCTATCTGTCATTCACTTGTGGCCACGTTGAGACATAATAATATGAGTATTCCATGAGGTCTGTTCATATGGTGACTTCCTAGACCTCAGATTGGTGCGAATAGTTCCCAGTTCAATCAGTGAAACCTCGCCATGGATACGTTGGTCATGATGTATGTAGCAAGCTACATAGAAACGAAGGGAAACTTATGTCAAGATACCTATATATCTATCTGGCTTATGTCGTGCGATTACTAAATTGACTTCTTGCTTGACAGGCTGGCTTGGTATATCTCGCTCAACAGTTATAACCAAGTGTGTCCCCAGAAGATGTCGTGTTGTTAAGGATTAAGAGGAGTTCTCAAGAGGCAATTGTTCTTGCGCATCAGATAGAAGTTAGTTAAATAAGATTTTGCTCTGTTATTGGTGCTGTTACTGAAGCTTTCAAGTTAACTCTCGCTGACTTTCACAGAAACCTGCGTTGCTTGTACCACTTGAGAGAGTCTTGTTCGTATACGGTACCTGTAGCGCCGGAGACGATGACTTCAATAACTTCTATTCAATGGGCATTAAATCTCTGCCGAGCATTACCCCAGGGGGTCTTGGAGAGCCTTGTTCTTCCAGCTCCTCATGAAACAGACTGTTGTAGAGCGAGGGAATGCCTTCTACGCCAGTGTAAATCCAGCCTGTGTATTCCTTGGTGCATCCTTCGATAGAGGGAAATCCGTTTCTGCCTCGTCCTCTTGGTTCAAATTTCTCATCCAGCATAACACAAACGACAGCCCTTTTATGACCCTCAGCGCCTGCCTCAACCTAGGCAGCGTATTGGTCAACGGTGTCGAGGCATTTCTGATCAACATAGACACAATATCTATATCTTGGAGATATACCGCTAACGGATCATCTGTTCTAGCACCATCTCTCTCAGTAGATCGCTCGGAAACCCACTGAGAAAATTGATCGTGCACCTGTTCCTTGGGCGCATTATTGAAGGTTTCGCAATCTTCCATGATAATCCATTCAAGATGTGGCTCGAGGGGTGTCCAGAGTTCCAAGTGCTTGAGAGTGTGGGTACTCTCAGCCCTATCATTCTTAACCTTGCATGTAACTAGAGTTAAGGCGCTCTCTCGACGCCAGGCACAACTTAAAAAACATGGCGGATGCTATGATTTGACATCTTGAATGCAAACTATAACTCACAGGTCGTTCCAACCAGGCATTACAAGTCATGCAGAGGTGGGTAAGCGAATATAGACATTATGTAGTACATCAGTTACCCATGATACATCATATCTTCAAAGCAAAATGGTTTAAGGTCGAGCAGAAGAGAACCTTCAAGCCAACGGCATCGGGGTAATGTGGATGTAGGAATTATTGGTAGCAAGTCATGATATCCCCGACAAAATTAATTAAACGTCGCTTTCCCTCGTATCGTGTCATAAAAAATGCTAAAAGCCATGCAAGGTACTACTTAACAGCAGATCACTTACATCTTCGGTTTCAATCCTGACACAGAGGAGGAAATGATAAAGTCTTAAGTTCCTCCTGGTATTATCAAGAACCCTTCACGATCTTCCAGCTTTTGGGTACGGTTATTGGGGATCAGAAGGCACAATGATTTACTAGGCTGCCAATAACAGAAAATAGGCGCAGAACGCGATCCTTTGATACCCTCCATAGAAACCTCAGTAGCAATCATTATTCATCCCTAAGACGGCCCTCGTTCACAAACACTATTCCATTAACAGCCACAAAAAAAAACAAAAAAACAACAACATTTGACTCATTCAAAACGAAAATACAGGCTTACATCACCTTAAAATTATTAATAAACGACGTGGCATTAAAATAATGACATTGCACTGACCTTAGCTGGTATTTCACGGATAGATAGAGCCCCGGTTCTCGGCGGTCATCATCTGGGTCTCCGTCCTCCAACGGGTACAGTAAAATACTCGGAAACGCGAACATCCTTTAGATCCTTGACAAGATGCGTGTCAGCCAATGCCTCATCCTTCTGTACCTACACAGTGAAATGTTTCTACTCCAGAGAGTATTGCTTCTGTACCGAAATCGTGGGGTAAGAAAAGAAGACAATATGTGAGGGATGCTATCGACGTGGGGCCCGACCCATGAAACGAAGTCCAAGCAATGCACGAGGCAAGGGTGAAACTATCCGAGAAACAGATTTATAGTGTGGGTGAATTTGAGACATGTTGCCGATAGACCGTAATAGTTGGGTCGTGGCAAGGGAGCGACAGAAACACTTGGTATTTCATTAGTGTTGCGGAGGGAGGAATTTATTTGGTACGTCTAGTTTCATAGGCATTCTCGCCTTCGGCCCGGGCAAGCTGGAACGTGGATGAAAGTTGTTTCGATTATTGATTGTAGATCACTCGCCTATTGATACTGTTTGCCAGAACCGAGTACGTGGACTCTCAAGGGTGAAGCATTACGACAACTCAGCCATCACGTTTAAGCTTTAGATAGTAACGTGAGTTGGCTGGTTGCTTGTCAGCTCCTCAAGGGAGCGGAGACTATTATCATGAGATCCATAGTTGCATCCTTTTCACGGCTGCGCCGACTTGTACTCACAGTATAGACTAATTCTGCACTCTAAATAGTTTACACCCAAAAGTCTAGACAGACACATAAAGTTCACACTTCAGATCTAAAAAAGGACATGGCTGCTTAGAGCAGACCCAAATTTAGACTCTGGACGGGTAGCTAGATGACACTAACCTGATCCGAGTTAGCCAGATCCCACATAGAAGTGGCTGGTGACTCTCCACTGTGACGTTACAGAGAATGCTGTGGCTGTAGGTTTGTGGCACACTAGTTATGTGGACCTGGGGAAAGCTCTCTTCGCTTCTGCAAGTTCAAACCATGGCGTCATCCAGTTTGAGCCTGTCCATGTTCATAACGAAAATCTTCAACAATGAAATAAGGGTTCACGGGTAGATCACTGTCAATAACAAAGACAATTATGAACGCTGGAATTGAGCAAAGGTACAAAGCCTCTCAATTGGTCTGGATTTAGACTCTTTCAACAAATACATTCCAACGAGACGCCTCGACCGAGAATGGACGCTTTCAGTGACTGCAGCCAACGTCCATAGCCAGCAAAGATAAGTCTTCCTCTGTATCTTGGACAGTAAACTCGTAAAGCCGACCCTTGGCAACTCAGGACCGCGCTCATGCAATGATATGAGGCTATCAAGAGCGGAGCAAATTGACCTCATCTCGGACGGAAATGTCACTGTTTTACATATCGCTTCCGGCCGTACCAGGTACGATTTCGTCAATGTAGCTCAGAATATCTTTCACTGTGTTCATCCTCGCGGGCTAGAATGTCCTTTAGCCTTATCAAATCGACATGGTCGAATGCTCAGGTGCAGAATTTGATACTGGAACAAGATTCTCCGTGTCCATCATCATCTAGCATCAGACCAACCTGCGACAGCGGTTCTAGCGTATCAGCGTTGAGTATTTGGACCCTTGGATCGGACCCTTGTTTTCTTGGCGCTTTGCCGACTAACCTGAGACTCAGATGTCAAGGGGTTTTCCGAATCGAGGGGTTCGAGACCTAACGATTGAGAGCTACAAAGGGTGAAGCGCAAAGGGAATAGAATGACGGCTGTATCTTATAGATTCCCATGTCAAGGGATGGACAAGGGAGCTTTGAGGTTGATAGAGTGAATATCTTCAAATGAAGTTTTAGGAAGATGAGCACATTGTCGTGCGAGTTGAGACTTTACCCGGCAGGGATAAGTTTAATGGGAATACGTCCGAGAACTAATTAAGTTGATTGTCGAGTCAAGACTTTTTCTTCTGCCGGAGAAAAAAAAACGGTAGCGGTTCATCGTATCTCGCTCGCGAACCCGACGCAAATGTCGGTCTGGCGATACAAAAAAGCGATCAAAGTGGGTGTATGGAAGTATTCGGAACTGTATGATATGATTGGTCAGAATGCGTCCTCCTGGTACGATACCATGGCGGATCACCGATGTTAGCGGGACCAGTTGGAGCAAGAGACTCGTCGTGAGCTGGAGAATGGGCGCTTCATGAAGGAACAAGGTTGCCCAATCTTGATCGTGTGTTGTCAAGTTCCTGCATCACAACTAATGCGCGGCACGACAAACAGTGTGCCACTCAGGAAATACTTTTTGGTAGTCTATGCCTCAGATCCTCAGTGCCTGCGTTAACACTGCACACTACACACTACAATGTTGCATGCTGTTGCATCGTCTCCGCTTGGTGAGTTGGCAGGATAGGTACGGATACACTCGAAAACATCGCCTCGTCTTGGTATGCAGCATCGTGTCTTCTAATGCAGTCTAATGGATACAGCCATGCCGTGAATGGGTTGAGATCACACTAGACGATGCCTTGAGCAGGCTGGCGCGGTAGAGACCCATTCAGGCGTGATTGACTACTCAAGATCGACCAGATCAAGACCAACATGTCAACTACACTGTCTGCTACTTTGTGATGAGCTGTAAGTGAGTTGTCTCGAGATGTATTCCTCTGTGGGTGTGGAGCTTTCGGATGTGGTTTGACGTTGAGCTGGTGATACGCGAAAACGAGGTCGCAGACAAGACCAGCTGAACAACACCACGGATTTTTAATCAGTTATCATCACCACCTACCGCGGCCTGGTGACCCAGATGCAACCAGTCTCTAAAATACGGGCGGTAACAAATCTGATACAAAATATTCAAGGGCCCTGGACTGTCATCTCTTGATAGTCCAGGGCTTTTCTTTTCACCCGAGATTTGAGTCTCTTGTGGCAAAGAGTTGCAGTCAGAGCCTCGACAGGGGGATGCATTCAAGGTTTTTTACCTGTGCAGATCATGAATGACTCTGACTCCGACTCTGTCGAAAGAAAGCGGTGTCGAGGAATTTTCGGAATTTTTTATCAATCATTCTGTGCC